GAAGAGGGCACATTGCTGCTGGCAAGGACTAAAACCATCAGAGAAGGGACCGAGCAGAACCAAACCCTGGTTGTTCGGCAGTTCCTCTCTCTCTCTCTCTCTCTCTCCTGCCTAGAGAAATGACTGGTAAATTACACAGCAGCTTTGGGAAGCATCAACTTCTGTAGGTGTTCTCCTGCAACCAGGATTTCACAGAAATTAATTGCTCACGGCTGCCGCAGAATGCAAGGCTTGTGCTGATTAACAGCCCGACCTAACAGAAGCCGGGTCTGTAGCAAGCTCTCTCCTCAGCTACAACATTTAGTTGATTAATCCTTTAGATTAACATTCTAATTGATTAAAAACAAGCACACAACTAATCGGGGCAACCATTTTTTTTTTAACCTGGTAAAAATAAAAATAAAATATTATTCCTGTGCTGTCCTCCATGAGCTCTCTTCTAATTTAACAATCAACAGAGCAGTGGGAAGGGGGTTGTTCAGAAGCACATCAGCTAGAAAGCTGCTAAAATCCTGAATAGAAGAGGGTGAGCCAATAGGCCAAACCTAGGCTCCCCTCCTTAAAAAAACCAACAAAAAACCCTCTAGCTTTCCACAACTGCAAGTAATTAATTTATCTGAAATCCTGATTGCAGAATGGCACCTAAATCATGTAGCAACATGTCCCTCTCATTTTAAAGGTGATAATGGCTGGCGAATGTTCTAAGAACTAAGTATGCAATTTTTATTCAGATCAATGCTGTATTCATATGCAAATTCATTCAAATTTAATCACGTAATTGGCTACAAATCACATTACTAGTCAGAGATTTCTTTAACTGGGAAGCAGCTCTACAGTTTGCGCATTTCGTATTCTGGCATGCTTGCAAACAGCTGCTTTTACCCAATGCCAGTTAGCACAGACCAAGACGCAAGGCAGGTGTGTTCAGCCTGAAGTCCTACAGTTGCTACTGGATGAGATCTCCCATCGCGGCTAACCACTGACCATGCTGCCTTAGGTTAATGGGAGTTCTGAGTCCAGCAGCCTCTGGAGAGCCAGAGATGCCCAGCCCTGAAGCAGACAAGGGGGTACTTTTAAGAAAGGGTACTGTTTAACATGGGAGTTTGGCAGTACTGCTGCTGTTTAAATTCAGTGATGGGTCTATCACCTATTTGGGCTAGGAGTGATCAGCACTCTGATCAGTTCAGTTCCGACATGATTTCAGAACCATTCCATCTGGAAGCACCACTATTCTCTCTAGAAACAACAACTGCCTATTAATGCTGAAACAAAAGCTGATAGAAACAAAAGATTTAGGGTGCTTCCAAGTGAATGTTTATTATGGGATTGATGTTGTTCATGCATATAATTTTTTTCAGTATCCACATGACATCAATAGCAGCAAAATGGCAGCCCACATACACATACACCCCCCAATTTAATCTGAATTTCTCCTTTCTGTGGAAAAGTCTGATAAGATAAACAAGGGGGGGGGGCTGTTGTCAAAGTGATGCCTGAATGACTACATGCAATATTAAGCCTCTATCTAGAAGTATCCTAATATATGCATGATGCAGCTTGTAAATTGCAAAAGGGATCTCCAGGAGTCGTGACTACAGAAGTAAAACAATAGTCTTGTGTCACCATAACACGTGATAAATTTTATTATAAATTTGTGGACTAATAGATGCATTTAAGATGGAGAATTTAATCATACTCTTTGTTGTGTCTGCTGCAAGAGACTAACCCTTACGAAATTAAAGGTTGCAGTGTGCATGTGTGCACAGGATTAGTATCTCGTATGAGAAAAGGGCAAGCAAAATTATCAAGAGAAAGAAGAAGCCCTCCTTTAAGAAAAGGCTGCAGCATCTGAGAAAAATATGTGTTTGAGGCAATATGACAGAAGTTTATAAAATTGTGCGAGGCATGGACAAGGTGAATAGAGAAGTTCTTCTCCTGCTCTTATAACACTAGAATTTATGCACATCCAATGAAGATTAATGTTGGAAGATAAGGGACAGATTAAAAAGAAGAGCTTCTTCGCACTTAGTTGCTGGCATCCGTCTGTCTCAGGAGACAATGTGCTCCTTTGCAGGTGGAGTCAAACTGTTGGAGAGTTACAGCGCCTGCAGTGGCTGTAGAGACCGATATGGGAGAGCCATGTTCTGCTGCAGCTGGGGCATATGAAGGCGTCCAGTTTTGCTGCTGCAGATGCACCATGGTATTTCTTCTCTCTGTGCTCCTCCCAGTGGTCATTCCTTCTCTGGTCGCTGCTGTGCGCATAGTTAAACAATCGAACTGCCTCCCACGGGAAGTGATGGCTACCAACTAGGATGTATTTAAAAGTGAATTAGACCAATTCATGGAAGGATGAGCTACCCATGGCTATGTTCTGCTTCCACTGTCAGTATGCCTCGGTTAGGAATCTCAGGTGAAATGCTGTTGTGCTCTTGTGTTCTTATTTTAGCTTTACAGGACTCACAGTCACTCGCATTGGACCTGAATGCTTGCAAATGTGCAGAATTCATACAATTCCCCATTTCAGCAATTCTGCAATTTCAGCTCTCCTTATACCAGCCTCTCTTTCTTTTTTTTAACAGATCCCACTGGCAGGTTGCTGGCTCAGTTGCACAGGGATGTGAAAAAATGCAAAGTGCACTTGAAGATCACCTAACGAGGATTAGTATAACGTTGGATTAATAACAGTGAGAGCTTTAGTCAACTGATTAATTAAATTGCATATATTTGCATATGAATAAACAATAGCTTTGGCAAAAATACTTCCTTTGTTTGTAGATAATGCAACATGTCTAAGATGGCAGGCGTCTTAGGCATGCCATTATGTGTGTGTCTGTGTGAGGGGGAAAAGGCAAGGTCTCTTTTAAGACAGTTATCTGCCACCTACATTTTTGCATTCTATAAAACCCTGTATCTAACTTTTTTTTTTAAGTGCCTGATTAAAGTTGTTAAGAACTGGTGATTGAAAAGTTGACCGAATGATCCAACCATTTATTTAATGATATTCCAGCATCAATATAACTGCTAAGGGGAACACTTTAGTTGGCATCCATCTGTCTCAGAAGACAGAATGGAGGAGTGTGCATTTGGGAGTGAGCTCAAGCTGTCAATGGGAAACACTGGAGTTGCATCAAACGTAAGAGCCTTGCAGGATCAGACCCAAAGAACACTCTTCCACTTGCACTCCCCAACAATGGGTTTTTAGAGGCAGACTGCCTCCCATAGCGGAGGTGCCATCCTAATGAATAGCCACTGGCAGCCTTGTTCTCAATTTGCCTAGTCTTCCTTTAAAGCCATTCAAGTTGGTGGCCATCATCACATCTTATCTTAGAGAGTTCCACAGTTTAACTGTGTGCTATATTGAGAGGAGGGCTTTCTTTGGCCTGCCCTGAATCTTCCAATGTTTGGGTTCACTGAATGACCCCAATCATCAGAGAGAGAGAGAGAGAAATGTTATCTATATGCTTTCTTCACACTATGCATGCTTGTATAATCTCTATCACATCATCCCTCTTTTTTCTAAGCTGAAAAAAGCCTTTCAATTGTTGCAACCCTTCCTCATTAGGGAGCAATACATATGTCTTCAAGCTCCCTGGATAGGAGGGATGGGCGATTCTGTCAATTTCAGTTTTTCATTTTTCCAGTCTTAAGTTCAGTTCTCCACATTTTGACATCGGTTTGCAAATTTTTGTTTCAAATGCTTATGATACTCAACAGTGTTTTAGTGCAAATGTCTCCTTTTTTAAAAAATTGTGCAGTGCTGCCTAATATACCCATTTTTGTAAGCCATTCTTTTCCTGATCCAATGCATTTTTCAATTATATGCACTTTTTTGGACACTTCACCCTAGTATATGCATTTTTGTACACATTGCTTGGCAGGAGAACTGCACTGCAGAATTCAGAGAAGTGCAAATTTCAAAGGATGGTTGTGCTTTGGGCTCATGTCTTGTTTCCAAAAGTGCAAATAAGATGGACACAGCTTTAAATGAGACTCAGCTTTCTCCCCTCTCCCCTCCACCCCTACTGGACACACACATCTACTAACCATGAATAGCCTACCGGTTCCTAGAGAGCACAGACCAGTATATTGCGCCCACTCGCTGCACGTTTGTCATGGGACACGCAGGTGCAATACATACAGGTGTTCCCTTGCAAAGGGCAGAGCTGCCTTGCTAAGCTCGGAGTCCTTTCAACATGGCTTTCTCCTGCATTTCCTCCTCCGCTCTCAACACTTGGCACCCAAAGCACCCAGGAGGCGCAAAGCCGCTTTCTACGTATCAGGTCCCTTCCATAAGACTGCCTGTCCTGGGATCAGCGCCTGCAAGTTTCTTTGCAGCGCCCACAGCACCGCGTTGCCATCAACCTGTCAGCCCGCTCGCCGCCCCTCCCAATCTAATCCAGATGCACCCTTTCTAAAGCCGACCCGTTTGCAACCCCAAACCCCCATGAGAAAGCACCCCTCCCTCAACACGCTTCTTTGCGCATGCCACCCGCATCATTAAACCGTGGTCATTGGGGGGGGGGGAGCTTTCCCACCAACCAGCGTCTCCCCGGTCTCCTCACTGTCACAGCCCCCGTCTTTCCCCGCACGCGAGTATGTGCGTAGCTTATTCGTTTTCCAACCCGGGTTAGCGATCGTGGGAACAGAAGAACCCAGCGGCGGCGGCGGCCTATGGAATGAAATCGCGTAGGGGTTTCCGCTCCGGTGCACCCCCGCACCCCCTGGGGATTAAAAAGGCGGGGTGTCGGAGAAAGATGAGACAGGCTCTTCCCAGCTGCCTGCTTGCCGAGCGAGCGAGCCCTCCTGCACCAGACGGGACCAAGGCGCGCGTGCCGTTTTCCTCCCGGGTCGCCCTTCTCGTTCGCAGCCCGCTTTCCCTCCTCTTAAGGTGGCGCGCCGGGATGTGGGCCGCTGCTCTGCCTCTCCTCCGCTGAGGGGGCCTTAAAAGCAAACCCTCCTCCTCCTCCTCGCCTCCTTCCACCCAGAGCCGCAAGCTTCGAGGTGCGCCGAGTGGCGCTGCTTTGTAAGGGCGCCCGGCGAAGCGGCTGCGCTCCAGTCGGCGGGAGGCTTGGCCAGGAGGAGGAGGAGGAGGCGGCCCGGAGTTGGATCGCGCGCAAGACGCCGCCGCCGCCACTGGGGCACGTGCTGCAGCCGCAGGCGGCAGACCTGCAGCCTTGCAGCCGGACGGACGCCTGCCTGCCTGCCTGCCAGCCTGCCTGCCCGCCTCCTTTCACATCCTGGAGCAGGGTGCCGCGGCCGCCTTTAAGCGCCGGGAGATCCCGCCGGAGACCCTTGCCTGGGTGATCTTGGAGATCCTCGTCGCAACTTACCCGCGAAACAAGACGACGCATTTATTTCCTCAGGTAAAAAAAAACAACACAAAAAACCCGCATGGAGAGGAATAGATCTGTGTCATGAACAGAGAGATCTTCACCGTATTCTTCTTCTTCTTTTAAAACAAATAAATAAATATTGAGTGGGGGGGCAGGAGAGTCTCTCTCTCTCTCTCTCTCTCTCTCTCTCTCGGGGGACAATGTTTTAAGACTAAACACCCTTGACATTGCCCACTTTCCCCCCTCTTTTTGTAAGAGAGTCCCGTCTCTACTGGACACAGTTAACTTTAAAAGGTGCTAAGCGAAGCAAATTGCCATGAATTTTAAGATATATATAATGGCTCGAATAACACCCTTCTCCTTAGGTACAAGTATTTTCTCATCCTCAGCAAATTTGATGGATTTAAGAGAGACGGAGAGATGTGGGAATGTTTTTACAAGGGATGGAATAATGCATTTTTCTACATCCCTCCCATATTTAACGCTCCGGTGAAAGAATCCTAGAGGATATTATCCAATCCATTATTTAACCCTCCCATCATCTTTACCTGAAATGTCACCTGTATTTAACTACGTTTGGAAGAGGGGGAGATAGATGTGCTGTTGCAAATTGCCGGTGCTCACCTAAGGATAAGAAAGCAGCGGCAGAGACGGGCATGCAAGGACCCACTGCATTCTCCAATTCCCAATCAAATCTTCCTCTTTTGTTTGGATTAAACAAAAGGAGTCACACACAAAGGGGGGAGGGGGAGTCGCGGTACTTTAACAAAAGGAAAAGGTTCCAGAATGTTTTTTAAAAGTCTTAACTATGACAACTTGGCAAGATACATTCATCCAAGATTCAGAAGATTGGACCACTTTTAGAACATTAAGTGAAAGAAAATATTCTTTTTTTCCCTCTCCTTTGCCCTTGCCATGCTTGTTTCTATTTAGGATGCATCTTCTTCCTTTTCTAGGATGTAATTATTGTTTAGGGGAGGATGAATCTGATGAGGGTAACAGCTTCACTTTCAGTGCCACTCTAAACCACTCAGGTGCAAACAAGGTCTAATTACCCAAATGAGAGGCATGAGCTCAGCATCCTCGCTCTCTGACTTGAAGCCATAATCAGGTACAAGAGGGACCCTGGGCAAATTGTAGTTGCATATTGGCGAGAGGTGAGCACTCGGTGTTCGCTCGTGGGGATCGGCGTATTTCCGTGCTGAGCTGTGACATTACAGAGATCCCACAGCAAAGCCCTTGATGAGATGCAGCTCAAATTAATCAATGTACAGAGCATGCAATGGCAGTGAAGACCTACAGTCGTGTAAGTTCTGTACCAATGTAATGCAGGAAAAGGTTTAATAGATGTGCTCTGGACGGCAGGCATCCCACATCTGTGCCGAGCCGAGTTACAATGTCTGAGGATAAATGCCAGGCTACTAATATCTCTTGTGCCTTGGAAATCTATATTCCAAGGGGAAGTTGTGCAGGTGCAACTTCTGTCATGGTGTTGCAGTGATAGATAAGCCGTATCTGCTGAATATCTCCCTGCCACATAGATTTTAAAAACAAGTGGAGACAGTTTTTGATCCAGATTTGATCATATGAATCTTGCCCTCAGTCCAAAGAGAAAGTGAAGGATCATATCTCCAAAGCAGGGAGATGGAGAAAGTGTAGGACTTTCGTGCTTTTTGTATAGCCTGATCTGCTTCTACAGTCCAAAACAGCCTTAGCAATCTAGCATACTCTCACGCGCAACTATGCTTGGCTTAGAACAGGGACCATGGAGAAGAGGCCATTGCAGCCCTGATTATATACGTGGGCTGGCTGAGGGGGGAGAAGAATTGCATTTTGATCAAGCTAACCTGAAGTGGCTATTGAAATTCAGGACTGTGATGTGCCTGGAGGAAGTTGAGGGGCTGCCAGCCTGTTTTATTTGAGGCTATTACAAAGTGATGGAAGGTGCTAGGGGACAGCTGGGGGGGGGGGGCACGTAGAACTGAAAGGGCAATCAGGATTAAGGGGAGAAGCAGAGCCAAGGAATGGGAGCCAGAGACTGGAAGAGGTAGAGGAGTAAGTAGCTTGAGAGTGACTGGCAATGGCCGATTTCTCTAGACAAGAGCTCAGAAATATGGCTGCCTGGTCGCCAGCGGTGACCATAAATTTAGTTCAAGTGACCAGCAGGGAAAGCTTCCTGTATATTCTGCCACACCGTTTTTTAAAAAACCTGCCAGCAACACAAGGAGGTGGAGAAAATGTCCCTTTCCACATGGTGCCTGGCTGTCTGACTTTGCGCTGAGATACAGCATTTGTGTCATGGGTTACAAACACATCCGCTACCCGGCTCTCGTCCTGTAAAATCTTCTTGCCAGGCAGTGGATATAAAAGAGGCATGCTGTGGAGCAGGAAGCAAAAGAAGAAGAAGAAGAGTAAAATCTCTCTGCCAGTTAGAAGCAGACGTTGCCTGTCATGCCCAGGCCTGATCTACAGAGCAGATGTAGACAACATGGTGCCCTCCAACTGTGGCCAGACTCCAATTCCCATGATCTCTGACTATGCCGGCTGGGGCTGCTGGAAGTTGGAGACCAGCGTCTGAAGGATGCCACGTTGGGCACACCTGCTATAGAGGCCATGAGTGTCTTCACACATTACTTGTTTGGGGTCACACCTGAAAGGATAAAGTGTGCCTAACATGGGTCTTGCTGGGTCTATGAGACGGGACTGTGATCAGGGCTTTTCTGTTGGCTCATTTCTTGCTGTGTAATGTGTGAATCGGCCTCGGGAGAAGAAAGGAGCATTACAAGTCAAGGTGGGGGATAGAACTAGTACTGCAGAAAGTATTGGAGGTGCAAGTTGTAGGCCATTGTGTAGCAGAGGGAGAGAGGAGAGGACCCTGAGAGCAAAGGATGATTCAAGCTGAGGTTAGGACTGGGGTACCAACCTTCGAATGAGCTGAATGCACATCTCACTGTGTCTTGTGTGTAGAAAGCTTCCAAGTCCTAGCTACGTACATGTACTGTGTCCTCTGGTGCAGGATCAGGAACCAGTGTCACCCCTGCAAGAGTTGCATTTGCTTCTGGAGGGATTTGCATCCAAAGTCAAACCTCTTCAAGGGACTCAAGGCAACCTGGCATTACTTGCACTGCTGTATTTAGCATGCATGTTTTTCACAGCTGCTGGGAGATAATTATTGAGATTGCAGCAGGTGGAGACAAGGGAATGTTAGTCCTGATTGGCAGTGCAGTGCCCTAAGTGTTTTCCCCCAAGTTTCCCATTGCCAGAGTGTCCTCGGATTTCACCATGTATGTTTAGGCATGAGGGGACAGCAATGTAGCCCCATGTCTTAAATATGAAATTTGTGCTTTGTGTTTTGACCTGGATAGCTCAGTCAGTACAACATGAGACTCTTAATCTCGGGGTCATGGCTTTGAGCCCCATGTAGGGCAAAAGTTTGCTGCATTGCAGGGGTTGGACTAGATGACCCTTATGGTCCCTTCCGACTCTGATTCTATGATTTGCAGTAGCATTGCAGTCACAATATAAATTTATGCACACACACACACACATTTATAATTTCTCCAAAAAGACTCAAGAAACTGTAATAAAAAAAAGAATAAAACAAGCATAGTCCCTGAAATACAACAATGGACATTTAAATTAAAAAGTTAGCAGTATCCAACCTGTTTAACAAACTCCAGCAGCACAAAGGTGACATGGAACTGACCCAGCAAAAATCATGCAATTAACTAAAAAACTTTTTTTAAAAAGCAGCAGCGTCTTCAGTGATCACCCAGCACAGTGTAGTGATAGGGCATGATTGACTTTGCTCAACACAAATCCCACAATACAAATCCCAACCCTTGGCTACTGAGATGGAGGGAATTGGAACAGGCCCCTAGATGATGATGGCTCATGGGGTGTAAAACATACAGAAAATGGTGGTTCCTAAGGAATCCAAGCCCCAAGCTGTTAGGAGATTTAAAAGATTAACACCAGCACCTTCCCGTTGAACCTGGAAACGAATCGCTGATCAGCAACTAGCCTGAATTGCATAGAACTCAAATCACCTGCTGGCGTAATGCCTTTTCCCACTTGTGCAACAGGAATTTAGTAGTGACTGCCATCCTCATGCAGCTGGCGTAACTTGAATATAGGATTGGCTATGTATGTGGCACACTCTGTACCTAAACGCTGTTCATTGAGCGAGAGCTGTGAGTCCCCCTGCAGGGGGGTCAGAAGCATGCAGAGTATGATTGCCATGCTTGTCTCGCAGGAGCACCAGCAGCCTCTTAGCATCACTTTCAGTGCATTTAACTCTGCACTGAATAAAAGGCCAGTGGGAGGAGGAGGAGGGAACCCTGCAGCAATTAAAACTCTATATTGTGTGTTTTGAAAGTCTATTGATACAGAATTAAAAGCATGCTGTATGCCAGAGCCAATCAAAAGTACCAACACGCTGAATATCCATTAATGAATATCCATTAATGAATCATTTCCACTTTTTGAGCAACGGTTGCCCAGAGAAGTGTGATATTCTAGGTGCTTTTAGAGAGAGCATTGCTGAAGGGCGGCAGGAATAGGCAGCCACCTTTGATGTAAGGGGAAGCAGCATATCACGTTTGCACAAAAATGTCACATAGGGTGGACATGACGGACATTGGAGCAAGAGGAGAAGGGGTGCTGAATTTTGCATGCAGCGAGTCTGTTTGGAAGAGTGATGCGCTGTAAATCCCATGGCATTTGTGTAACGTAAGTGGCAGAACTGTGATCTCATTCAGGTCTCTCCCAAGGCCAAACTTGGTTGGTGCCCGTAGCATACACAAGTGTGCACAGACACACATGAGGAATATGTTACAGGGCTGATGTAATATGATTGTTATGTGCTTCAGATGCATTCTATCAGTGCTACATGTTATTAATGAACTCACTTCACTTTGGCTAATGCAAACTATTCCATCTTCACCACCAGAATCAGAAAATGCATTGAAATTCATGAAATGTTGTGTCGCAGCGGAGAAACAGAAGCAAGTGTTCTTCATGTTGACTTTGGCAATAATTATTTGGACTAGATTTTGGAAAGTCCTGGCAAGATAGAGTTAAAAAGGAGGGGGCACTAGTTAAAGCATTTAATAACTTGTTTGAAAATCCTATAAAAAGATGTTGAACGGCTAGTCCCCAACGATTTGCTTTATACAAGGAGTCTTCAGGTTTTCAGATAGGAGGAATGATTTCATACTTTAAAAAAAAAAAGTAAGATGTCTGGAACTCCATTGTCTCAATGAAAAATTGTAGCGATAAGGAAGTTAGCTTTGCAGACTAGTTTAAATTGTAGCTTTTGTGTGGTGTTTAATCTATGTTCTTTCCTCATAATCTTTACAACGCTTTCTTTGTACTTTTATTTTCTGTTTTTTGGAAAAATGTATTATTCAGAGCCTGCTCTGAAATTTGGACTATGTGATGCTCTCAGTGACATAATCAGGAGCCACCAGGGTCCAAATTCACCCCTTGTCCCCTGAAAACTCAAATTCTGAGAAGCCTCTGAACCCCTTCCCTATTTATAGATAGATATTTATTTGCATCAGCCACCAGCCACCGAGTATAAAATACAAACATGTACAAACACAACTAAGCTGGTAAAATGACCAGCCTTTTCCTTTTCTTACCTTCACTTTCTTTGAAACTCACCTGATGGCACAGGAGGTCTCTCTGGCAACCTGTAAATCCTTCTTTCTCTCGCTGAAATAGCAAAGTTTCAGGCACCAGGAACCCTGCAAAATGCTGTTTCTCCTCAACAACAGCATCCTCTGCACAGGGGCACCTGGACCATGTCATTTCTACAACACCTGGTACCCATATAAGCTACTTGTGCCTGCTATGAAGCTACATGGCCCATGGCCCTTTGCCCCCTGGGTTGGTTCCATTTAAGGGAGCTTCCACATGGGGAGTTTAATATTGTAGATGGAGCGCTGGCAACAGGATTTTTTTAATTCACAAGATTCTAAAGGTGGGAAATATGTGGGCTGGCGTTTTGAAGCCCGTAATGTCACGTGGACCTCAAAAACCTGCTTACACAGGGAGCAGGGATCCCACAGTGAGCACCCACCTGGGAACAGCTGCAGCTTATTGGTGAAGCACCTGCAGAAGTTCTGAGACAGAGAAGCCTCCCTGAAATCTGCTGTCTGTCAGTGTAGATAGTCCTGGACCAGTGACTTCACTCAGTATACGGCAGATTCCTGACATTCCTCACCCATCTGAAAGCACCTTCAGTGTCCAAGACACCAGAGAGCCAGAGTGCAATGGAGTTATCACAGAAATAGCTTTGCTGAAGCCTCCCTGGTGTCAGTGTGGTGTAGTGGTTAGAGTGTCAAGACTAGGACCTGGGAGGCCTGGGTTCAAATATAATAATAATAATAATAATAATAATAATAATAATAATGTGGGACGCGGGTGGCGCTGTGGGTTAAACCACAGAGCCTAGGGCTTGCCGATCAGAAGGTCAGCGGTTCGAACCCCCGCGATGGGGTGAGCTCCTGTTGCTCGGTCCCAGCTCCTGCCAACCTAAAGCATGTCAAAGTGCAAGTAGATAAATAGGTACCGCTCCAGCGGGAAGGTAAACGGCGTTTTCGTGCGCTGCTCTGGTTCGCCAGAAGCAGCTTAGTCCTGCTGGCCACATGACCTGGAAGCTGTACACCGGCTCCCTCGGCCAATAAAGCGAGATGAGCGCCGCAACCCCAGAGTCGGTCACAACTGGACCTAATGGTCAGGGGTCCCTTTACCTTTACCTAATTAATATTAATAATAATAATAATAATAATAATAATAATGTAATAATAAATAATTTTATTTGTACCCCACCCATCTGTCTGCCCTACAGTTCAAGCAGTTCCCTCTATCCCAAAGTGCAGAAAGCAGATGGAACACATTGACCCTAAGAGGAAGCAGACCCTGGAGTAGAAGCAACTCTGGAATGGCCCTGTGTGATCATTCATAAAATTATATATTTTCAAATGGGAAACAACTGTTGATTAAACCGGTGGTGGGGGTTTTAAGCCCATGGCCACCAGTGAAAAGATCATTCATAAAATTATATATTTTCAAATGGGAAACAACTGTTGATTAAACCGGTGGTGGGGGTTTTAAGCCCATGGCCACCAGAGAGGGCTTTCTCCGTCTCCCTGTATAATGTGGAACTGGCATGGCTTCAAATCCATGTTAGTGATGCTGGCTATGCATAGCAGGGGACGATAATAATTCTGGATAAACAAACATGGTCTAGTAGAGCATGGTCTCATGTGTGACTTATTTGATAATGTTTATAAATGCTGAGGTTTTGTTTTGTGTGTGTGTACTTGAGTGGGATTTCATTTTATTTATTCCCTGCATGCATATGCTATTTCCCCCCTATTTTGGAACTCAAGAGAGTTGGTTCCTCCAGTTGACCTATTTATTGTGCATTCATCCTGATATGCTTGCATTGTGCCCAGTCTTCATTGGACATTTGTTCTGCTTCGTTTGTGACAATGAGCGAGCCTCTTGATTTGCTTCTGAGTGTTCATCCTCTTCCCCGTTGATCATTTGTTCATCCCACACAATGCATTTCCCTGTCACTTTCCTAATCTCAAAAAAAAGAGGGGCCATTTTCTTGTTAAAAAGTGGGTCTGTTTTGCCAGGGCGAGGAAGTACTTTAATTCACTAATAATAATAACAATAAATTTATTATTTATACCCCACCCATCTGGCTGGGTTTCCCCAACCACTCTGGGCGGCTCACAACAGAATATTAAAAACAAGATAAAACATTAAAAACTTCCCTAAACAAGATGAAATGACTGAGCAGCCATAGTCACACTGGTAACAATTTCAGGGTCATCACATAAGCTTTTTGTTTTGTTTTTTAAAGAAAGAAGTAGCAAGTCCAAGATCTATGTAGGAAACTGAGCTAAGCACATCCCTATTTCAGCTGGGAGAGCATGAGGGGTGAGGAATGAGGGGTAATGGTGCAAACTTAAACTTACAGGATACTCTTGAACCCTTACTGATAATTAGTGACAGCCTAGGGGGACCCAGCATAAACACGGTTCCCAGGCAGTCCCCCATCCAAGCACTAGCCAGACTCTGGCTAGCTTAGCTTGCGGCGAGTGATGTTGTGTTGCCTGCCTTCAGACTGTAGATCTGATTTCGTCTCAGTCACAGGTGGTCTGACCAATGTAGAACCCTGTTAGCTCCTATTAACAGTAGTGCAACTGGTGCTCTAAAAAACAATCGAACACAGATTCCATTGACTGGAAAGGTGGAGGAGAGGGGGCTGCTGCTGTTCGCTGTATATCAGATAGTCCCTTGAGGCCAGTGTGCAAGGTGTGCATTGGCTCCCGGCTTGTCCTGGTTAAGCATATGCAAATTCCCAAGGTTCAGCAAAGTGCCCGGCTTAATTTAAAGACTTGTTTCTGCTTTAACGACGGACATTCCCCTGTTGTTTAATATGTTTTCTCCTTGTTTATTCTCTGAGCATAAGGCAGAAAGGGCTCCGTCTCCTGACGCCGTTTCATATGCCCCCGCCCAGCTGCCCCAGCCTCCCCACTCCACGGTTTTGGATGCCGTCCCATCTACAGACTCCCCCAGTTTGGCTGCTTTCCTAGGATGAGACTTCACAATTGCTGGCTACTTCAAGCCAGAAATCAATCAGCCAGGAAATTCCTTCTGTCTGGCACTCAGAGAATTGGTAGCCTGTTTCCAAGAGGCTTCAAGGCAGGAGTGTGATGAGTTGCGGGGGTGGGGGGCAGGAGGGGCCGCGGGAAGGAATCGGGGAAGAACGCCACTTTATTTGAAAGCAATTGACAACTCAGAAATAATCAGCACGGAAAGTAATGCCCTTGTATTTTGAGAGCTTCCCCACTCCTTCGCCTCACCTGCCCTTTGAGCGCATCACTGCATAATGCTATCGTTGTGGTTGTCCTTAACTTTCTTTACAAAGTCACCTGCAGGTGCACGTTCCCTATACTTTGGTTCACAGTTGAACACCTTCAAGATTTAATCTGCGGCGTGCCCCACAGGCAAAGAAATTTCAACATGGCAGCATATTACAGCGAATGTCAGGAGCTCACGGGGTGAGGGAAACAGGGGATCCTCACCTCCTCCTGCAGTGGTCGCTGGTGGGAGCAAGGAGAGTCACGCTGTGTGGCTCCAAACTTAACATAGTGACCTTGGGACCGTACCCCATCGTCCCCTGTGTGGCTGTATTTGAGAAACCATGGCCTGAGGTTTCAAAAACATAATAGGGGGGAGGGATCTGTAAATTGTAAATGGCTTTAAACCAGTTGAAAAGCTGGAACGTGTGCAGAGAAGGGCGAGCAAGATGGTCAAGGGTCTGGAAACCAAGCCTTATGAGGAACGGTTGAGGGAGTTGGGTATGTTTATATCTTGATTTTATTCTGTGAACTGCCTTGAGACCCCCAGGTATAGGGCGGTATATTAATAATGACGACGATGATGGTGATGTTTAGCCTGGAAAAGAGGAGACTGGCAGGATATATGATAGCCATTTTCAAATATCTCAAGGGCTATCACATGAAAGAGGGAACAAGCCAGTGTGGTGTAGTGGTTAAGAGTGGTAGACTCGTAATCTGGTGAACCGGGTTTGCTTCCCCACTCCTCCACATGCAGCTGCTGGGTGACCTTGGGCCAGTCACACTGCTTTTAAGTCTCTCAGCCCCACTCACCTCACAGAGTGTTTGTTGTGGGGGAGGAAGGAAAAGGAGAATGTTAGCCACTTTGAGACTCCTTTGGGTAGTGATAAAGCGGGATATCAAATCCAAACTCTTCTTCCTCTTCCTCTTCTGCTCTGGAGGGTAGGATTCAAAAGAATGGCTTCAAGTTACAAGAAAGGAGATTCTGACTAAGCATACAGAAAAACTTTTTGACAGAAAGGTTGTGGATTTCCTTGGATGTTTTTAAGCAGAGGTTGGATGGTCATCTGTTATGGATGCTTTTGCTGAGATTCCTGCCTCGCAGAGGGTTGGATTCCGTTACAACTCTATGATTCTATGTCAGACCATTGATTGGTCCATCAAGCTCATTTCTGGTCTGTGGCTGTAATAAATCAATTCTACTTCAATTCTGGTCCATCAAGCTCAGTTTTGCCTGCACTGTCCAGGATTTCACACCATGGTTTCTACCTGGAGATGCCAGGGGTTGAACTTTGGACCTTCTGCATGCAAAGCAGATGCTCCAGTAGGCTTTGAAGGCACATCAAATGGCCTCAGCAGAAGAACAGTCGCTTTCTAAAGGAAAATAACAGGAGCCACATAGGCTTAAGATGGCTCTTTTGCAGGGTTGAAATGCCAGTGCTTTTTCAAGCACCATCTGATCTTGTTCTCCTCCGTTCCGTAACATTGTACCCCCTTTTTGTTGCTTTTCATCTCCATGTGCAATCCCCCTCCCCATCTCTCTCTCTCTCTCCCCCTTCCCCAAATCCGCACAAAGGTGAAAAGGAGCGAGGAATGAGGCAGGGATGGCTCTCCTCTATCTGCTGCTTCTCTCCCCACCTCCACCATGAATGAGCCCCTTCATCCTCTCCTCCAGAGGAAACACAGATGCTTTTGTTTGGCGGCCTTGTAGGATAGGATGGAATTAATAAATCGGAGAGCTGATGTTGTGCTGCTACATTCTTTGCAATTTTAAGGCAAGAGCCTGAAAGAAAAGTTAATTTGCCTTCGGAGAAACCGCAGAGGCTCAGCCGACTGTTTATCCCCACTTTTATTTTTCTTAGACACCGCTCCTTTTATTTTCTTCTTCTCTCGCACTCAGCCCCCTTCCCCTTTTCACCTCTCCCCCGTAATCCATCTCTGCTTTCCCACAAAGAGGTGCCTTATGCAGAGTCAGGCCATGTTTTCAGTATTATGGAGAGCTGTCCAGGGGTCCAGACAGGAGAAGCTCCCAGACCTACATGGAGACACCTGGGATCAAACCTGTGACCATTGTGCATCTTCCGCCATCCTGCCCCACCTTCCTCTTTTTGTCCCTTCACTCCTGATGCTTGCTTTTTCCTACCAAAAACAGACCAAGGTAGAATTCCTATGGCTAAATCACTAGCAGTATCAAGAACACACTTAAGTTTGCTTCCCAGTTCAGGGGAGATGGCTTTCCACATTCAGATATTTGTTGGTGCAAACCAGGTAAATATTGGGGTCCATTGTATAAGGTAAAAAGGTAAAAGACCCCTGGACCGATGGAGGGGTTCACAGCATCAACACCCCAAAAAGGTATTGTTTCTCCCATAGTTGCAGCCTTGGATTCAAACAGAATCAAGCGTTGCTCTCAAATGTTGCTCCAGCTTGCTGCTTCTAGCTCACATCCCGGCCCCAACTCTGCTCTTAGCTGTGGCTTTTTCTGTCCCATTTGCCCACCAGGAAGCTAGTTTGGCTATTTCCCAGAATGAGAAGGCTTGATTAGCTTTTCATACTTGCTGGATCCAGGGGTTAGAAGAGTCTGGCATACAGTTTAACACCCACCCACCCCAAATTCATAACAGTAAGTAGATTGTGTCTTTTTCCTTCCCCTTTTATTGATGGGAAGCCAAGGTTGAGGAGTAATGATTTGCCCAAGGTCAGCCTCTGTAAGTCCACTCTAGAGCAGGATCCAGATTGCCGTCCAACATTTTGTGCATTTGAAAAGGGGCCGGGGTGTACTAGATATATATCGCACTCTGTGTGACTCCTCAGTGAATCATGGGTCTTCTTTGTGGCGTTCAGTTTCCTCAGCCACAAATCCTGCGTTCTCTTCCGGCATGGAACACTGGAAGCTTGCAATGCAAGTCAGCTTGGTAAATCACTGCTTTGAAACTAGAACACCTAGGAACATGTTGACTGTTCTCATTTCCCATACATGATATTTCTCTGTGTTCCTGTGAGCAGAATCGGATCCTGCTGCTTCCGGACTGGCAGAGGCTCCGCTCCTTGAATTACACCCAAAAATATGCCCAGGCTTCCCCTTAAGCTTATGTGATTCTGTTCAAGCAGAAGAGTTGCGAACAATTCCATATGCTTGCATGGCAGAGAAGCAGAGCTGGGGGAAGCTTTGAGAAATCTCTGTGGCACCATTCGCTGTGCCTGGTGCTGTCCCGTGCTGGTTGGGGCTGATGGGACTTACAGCCCAAAATGTATGGAGGGCACCAGGTTGGTGAAGGGGGCCGTTGCATAGAAAGTTCACCACACATTAGCTGTCATGAAATCCATACAAACGCTTGAAGGCAGCCCTTCAAATATCTGAAGGGCTGTCACACAGAAGATGGAGCAAGCTTTTTTTTTCTGCTGTTCCAAAAGGCAGGACCCAAACCAATGGGTCTTGTTAATCAAATAACAACAAAGGAGATTCTAATTAAACATCAGGAAGAACTTTCTGGTAGTAGGAACTGTTCAACCATGGAACAGACTACCTCAGAAGGTGGTAGACTCTCCCTCATTGGAGGTTGTTTGTTTAAAAAAGGTTCGTGTATGCCTCATTGATATTGCTGGGATATATGTATGCCCAAATATATAGAAATTGTGGCTTTTTGCCTCCCAAACCTATTGGTTGATAATTTTCCTGTTCTGTTGGAGAGATGTGGTTTCTCTCTGGATCATTTGTGGCTATGGATGAAGATTTATGAACTTTTATCACTGTGCATATGTGCATATTTATATATAATCGAATTTTGTTTTTAGTTCGTATCAATAACAGCAAAGGAGCAAGCTAAAATGCAGCAAAAGTGGAGATGAAGGAAGTTGAAGGATGTGAGTAACATTCAAAGATTTTGTTCACTTTCAATTTGTGAGAAAGTCAAAAAGCGATATGCTGTGATCTGCCAGAGGAATTCGGCATTTTAAGTTTGTTTATGCTGCATGTAGTTTTGTTTGGGGCCGAGTTATCTTTCATTGATGTTACCTTGTTAAACTTTTGTTTTGTGATGGTCCGATGACTAAATACAAATAAATGAATCTTGATCATTGATTTGGAAGGATTTGATTGCCGTGATGTACTGTTAATAATTCAGACTGTAACAATTGGTGCTGATGGGAAAGTGCAGGCTTGCACATCCAATCAAGGCACAAGCGCCGAGTGCGCCAGGCAGAATCTGCAATGTGCTTTTGCCACTAACTTTACTTCCAACTCCTCTCCAAGGAGGCCCCTGAACCGTGGAATTAGATTTTCAATTGGCAATATCAATTCCAAACCCAGACCCTGCATTCTTGCATCCTTTAAACTCGAGATCTAAACTTATATTATGATTGGAGGACATGAGGCTGAAAAATAAATAAAATGTGATGGGGCCTAATGAATCTGTTCTACCTGATGTGTTCTACCTTGTCCAACCCCAAACAATGAATGGGATTCCAGGAGCCTAACTTCCAGAAGGGCAGTAGCTACGGTAGTCAGCTGCAGCAAGTAAACAATAAAGATTTCTTTTGCACTCAGTAGATTAACTGTGGTATATGCCTTTGCGGGCAAAAACCCACTTCGTCAGATAAATTAAGTGCTACCCGAACTTGGCAGGTATGCATGGATAGAGAGGAAAAGATGTAAACACCCAATGAAAGCTAGTGCCATAATATGTTGGCTGCTATGTAAGGTGCCACAAGATTCATCAGTGTTTTTAACAGTAGTTTGGAAATTTTTGCAAGTTCTGCAGCTAGTGGCCCTACTCCCACGACTACTACTAAGCAGTATGTTTTATATCCTGTATTTTAATATCCTGTGAACCACCCTGAGATCTTATGCTGAAGGGCGGTATATAAATCTAATAAATAAAACAAAAATAAAATATGTTGTTTACATTAGCCCCACCTGTCCAGGCAGCGGATAAGTTTTAGATCCACATGTGAACTCTGCAGCTAGAGTCCATCCCTCATCCATCTTGGCTCAAGGCTGCCACTTGTCCTGTCTGAAATGAATGACAGGCAATGCATCTCTGAAGCATCTGCAATGGGCTTGGATGGACCATGGACGAAAGGTGGGTTCAATACTTGCCTGTAGCTGCAGCCCAGGTCCTTCAATGAGCTTGAGGCTTTTCTGCTTAATTCTATCATGAGTCAGATAATTTGCAGGATGACTGCATAGTTTGTGGGTGCCTCTGCTGACACCTACGGCAACCTGTAGCATGGGCGTGGGGAACCTCAGGCCTGGGGGCCAGAAGCAGCCCTTCAGACCTCTATCTGGCCCTCATAACTCTCCCCAGGTCATGCCCTTTACTGGTCCTACTTTGCACTCCAAGAGTTGTTTTTTCCCCAAAAATTTGATTGATTTTCCAAATTTATAACAAACATAAAACAAACAAACAAACAAGCATAAATCCTAACTATATTAGTTCCACTTTTGTTAACATTGTTAGGTGACTTCCTCAAATCCCCCTGGCTGAGTTTCTATGTATATATATCATTGTAACAGTTTTCCAAAACTAATTTCTCATAAAATTTACTTAATTAATTAACATCTTTCTTTCTTTTCATTTTAGCTTTAGATATATTATTCTATAACATCCCATATTTAAATCCTAAGCCAATCTGGTACTTGCAAGTATTTCTTTTTAAGTTATCTTAGCATATTTAGCTAAATAGTCTTTAAATTTCATCCATTCCTCCTCGAACTCCTCCTCCTTCTGGTCGCGGACTCTTCCGGTCAGGTCGGCTAGCTCCGAAAAATCCATCATCATCATCTGCCATTCCTCCACTGTTGGTACTTCTTGTGATTTCCAATTTTTGCCCAGCAAAATTCTAGCAGCTGTTGTGGCATACAAAAACAATCTGACATCTTTCTTGGGCAATTCCAAACCTATTATTCCAAGAAGAAAGGCCTCTGGTTTCTTGCACCCGAAGAGTTTTTGCCTGGTTGGAATGTGCCTGATCAAATGCCTCTTCCTTGCCTGGGTGTGTGTAGCAGCTAACCAAATGAACAAAGGTAAAAAAATTGCCATTGTTGCTACACCTACATGCCTCTTTAGTCCTCCCCACCCCAGGCATGTGGCCTGCCGAAGGCTGCTCAGGATGAAATGTGGCCCTCAGGCCAAATACATTTCCTTGTCTCTTGCTGTAGTGCCATTCATTTCATGGATGCCTCAGATCCAAACAGGTGCCGAAGAGCTAGTGACACAGCAGCAACAATATTGGCACCTCACCCCCCTAGCTGAAGATGGAATGGGGAAGCAAACCCAATGAGAGAGGCAGGGTCTCTCTTTGATGAGTTGACCAACTACATACCCTCCAACATTCTGCAGCAGAAAATCGGGATGTGTGTCTCTCTGGGCTGCACCCCCATGTGAGTCACAGGATTCATCCGAGAGCATGGCTTTCCAAAACGTGCATCTTTCAGGGCGGCACCATTCCACATAACCGGCAAGAGAGCATGGCCTCCAAACATGGGCATCTTTCAGGTCCACACACTCATGGCAACCAAAACGGGACATCCCGGGATCCAGTCTGAAGCCGGCGTGGCTTCTGTAATTCCGGGATGTCCTGCTCAAAGCGGGACAGTTGACAGGTATGCAACTAGGCAGAGGACTTGGTGCCGCAGGCAGCTGCTGCTGCTGCTACATGTCAAGGCATCCCCAGGGAACCACTACAGGCACTTGGAGGTGAGGAAGCTGTGCCGATTCCACACGTGACATGTCAGCAGCATGGCTTCCTTGCTGCCTCATAACAAGGCTCTGGGCTTGTTATAAGTAATACCTCCCCACCCCAACCCCCAAAAGAAATGTGCTAGTTCTTGCTGATCACTGATTCTTCTGGGGCGCACATGTGTGATTCTTAGCATGACGTGAGTAACTAAGATTAGTCACAGATATAAATAACTTGTTTTATCAAAACCCATCTGTTTCCTATGGTATTGTCATCCAGAAAGAGCCAGTGTTGCTTTCATCAAAATAAAATATCAGTGCCCTCAGATACCCTTTGTGCTGTCTGAAAAAGTTCACTAGGGGGGAAAAAACCAACTAGCCAAAAGGTAATATCTCCCCACAACGCCTGGAGGCAGAGCCAAGTAACCAGTGGTTTTTATATTTTCAATGGGGAACAGCCCTTGTTTTTGGATCCCAGTACAGTGGTACCTCGGGTTAGGTACTTAATTTGTTCCGGAGGTCCGTTCTTAATCTGAAACTGTTCTTAACCTGAAACACCACTTTAGCTAATGGGGCCTCCTGCTGCCGCCGCGCCACTGGAGCATGATTTCTGTTCTCATCCTGAAGCAAAGTTCTTAACCTGAAGCACTATTTCTGGGTTAGCGGAGTCTGTAACCTGAAGCGTATGTAACCTGAAGCGTATGTAACCTGAGGTACCACTGTACAACCTTAGTGCAATCTGCCATATTTTTTGCACCCACCAGGATCCAACTCAGTGTGTTTCAAACTTGGGTCTCTCGATATTGTTGGACTCCCAAGTCCCACCATCCGGTGTTCAGAAATGATGAACATTGCAGTCCAAAAACAACTGGAGACCCAGGTTTGAAACACACTGATTTTAACCTTATTAAAGCTGCCATTCTGTATCCAGATGCCCCACTGGACACAAGTGGACTTACTTCTCCGAGTAGGCATGGGGTTGTACTTAACACCTCCTTCTTGCAACTGTTACAAACTTTAGACTTCAAGGTCTTTTCCTTCTCATCCCAACTTTTTCTTAGCCTAACATCCAATCTCAGTTTCTGAGATATGAAAGCTAGGAGCTAAATGACACTTTAAACCTAGGGTTATGGGCACAACAATGGAATGTCTAGGTGCGCTTTTTTATAACAAGAATAATATTATATATTATTATAATATAATATTATGTTCATTTTTCACATGGTCTAGTCCTTACCTTGCACACACCCCAAATATTCTTAAGAGGGTCTCTTCTCCAGTCTTCAGAGAGTAGCTGGAAGTGGGGAGGCAGAAAAAGGTCCTTCTTTCCTTTCACTCTGCAGTTTTAATCTGAAATCTTAGGTGCAGTGCTGCGCCCAGAGCTCAGAAACTGCTCGCGCTGATGAAATTCCCTGTTGCAAAATGCGCCTAGAACAATGGGAGTTTCGAACACTGATCCAGTCTGAATATCAGGGGAACACAAAAGCCTGCCAGCTGCACTGTGACATTTTACTTGATCCTAATTAAATGTATTGCCTCTTTATTTTTGGGTCTCCTCACCCCCCACCCCAAAGCAACCCACAGTTACTGGAACTGCTACAAAAGTTTGCACAATCCACATGTAAACCGGGGACACCGGGAGAAGGATCGTGATTCAACATGGTATACTCCTCTGAAGCAGAGGACACCCGCCAGGTGTTGCGCCTCCCATCATCCCTGCCCATGCTAGGTGGGGCAATTGGGAGCTGGGGTCCACGTGCGCCATGTTTTTCAATCCTGCTCTAAAGACAACCAATGTCTTGAACATCATGCAGTACGTGGGTTTTGTGCTCCGCCGCTGCTATGGAAAATGCAGGTTTTCAGCCACTCTGTCCAGCAACTTTTAACAAGAGACTGCTTGCTCTTTTTTTGCCCCTGTGTCCCAGCATGTAAGCTGTAGTAGATACAAGCTGTAGTAGATACAAGGCATGTGACAGCTGGCCTTAGTCGCCTTTGTGTTCTTAAGCAGGTGAGTTCATCTTAAGGAACTACATATGCCATACATGGAAACTTGTATGTCATGAACTCCCATCTATCTAGTCCAGCAATCTGTTCTCACAGTGGCCATCCAGATGCCTGTGGGCTTTGAGATGCATTTATACTCCGGCCCATATCATCCATCCAGTTCGGCTATTATCTTTTCACTGATTGCAGGGTGGGTTTGCTTGAATGCACATAGGAAACATTCTCTGTCAGTTGGGCTGGCGGCAGCAGCACGAGATCAGGCTTTTAAGCTCCAAGCAACAACATGTACAAGCATCCTCTCTGGAGCAGAGTGTGACTGTGAAATAAAAGTAAGTCCCCTACAAACAGACCTAGGATATGAAAGCTGTGCTCACACATATTCCCTGAGTTCATTAGTAGCACTTGGCTACATAGACAATGGTTCTTGGTTATATATATATATATATATATATACACACACACACAACATTTTTGGAAGCTTCTCGCATCAGGATTTGCTGTTGTGTTCCTTGCATTTGATGAAAATTACTGTTTAAATATTTCGTTTATTCTTTTGCATTTGCTGTTCAGGCAGCATTGCATGTAATTTTAAACAGGTTTTAGGCTCCATTTAGGTGGTTCTCATGTTTGAGAGTTGTCTGATTTTTAGACATTTGGGTTTTTGATATATGTGTGTGTGAGAGGGACAGGGGGAAAACATTTAAAGGAACTTGATAATTTTGTTTCAGTTTGATTTAGTGGAATGATTATGAGAGTGCATTATATCCTACATTTTATGATCCCATTCTTAGGGCATATACTATTTGTATATTTATAGTGCCCCTGAGAAAGGATTTGATCCAACGTGTGACAGGGCTAGAATAAATCTCATTTGAAACATCTGGACTTTCTTCCCCCTTCCAAGTAGTGCTTTCCCAGTTTTGTGGTTGGCTTGGTGCTTCAAGCCTTTTTGCAGTGGTGTTTCTGAATACAGCCTAATTAGCCATTTGCATCAGGACCAGGATGGCCTTTCCACTAGGTGGCTGCCTAGGACAGGACTTTATAGGGACCTGTATCTAATGCTGGAACAACCTGGTGGATGCAGAAAGGCAAAAGAACCAGGCAACAGGTAGGGAAAGTCCTATGAAAACAACTTGTGCATATTTACTTTGATGTAAGTTCACTAGGCCTTTCTCCCAGTTACATGTGCATGAGATTTCGGCCCCAGTATATTACATGTGCTATTCTTTTTTAAAAAAACAAAACAAAACACCCAAATAAAACAAAGGGTGATCATGAGTCCACTGAGGGCTGTAGGAGATGAAAACGAAGGTTGGAACAGGGGTGCCTTGTTAGAAATCAATAAGCCACTATAACCAACAGGATGGGAGGCTAAGAGATCCAGGATGAAAGAGTATACCCAGTACATTATTATTATTATTATTATTATTATTATTATTATTAGGACGCGGGTGGCACTGTGGTCTAAACCACTGAGCCTCTCGGGCTTGCTGATCAGAAGGTTGGCGGTTTGAATCCCCGCGACGGGGTGAGCTCCCGTTGCTCGGTCCCAGCGCCTGCCAACCTAGCAGTTCAAAAGCACGCAGTGCAAGTAGATAAATAGGTACTGCTGTGACAAGAAGGTAAACGGTGTTTCCGTGCACTTTGGCTTCTGTCATGGTCTGTGGACAAACACCAGCTCCTTCAGCCTGAAAGCGAGATGAGCGCCACAACCCTATAGTCACCTTTGACTGGCGTTAACGATCCAGGGGTCCTTTACCTTTTTACCTTTATGATGATGATGATGATGATCATTATTATTAATTTCATTTCTATGCTGCTTTATATTTTTAAGGAGGGGGGATCTCAAATCAGTTTACAAACTACTTTAAAACATCAAATAAAACAATCCAGAATAAAACATTACTGAAGAAAGCCAAATATAAAGTATACATTTAAATACAATTAACACTCATTCAGACATAATTAACAGGAAACTAAAATGTTATCCTAAACATTTTAAAAAACAACAACAAACACTACAGAGGAGGTTGACTGCAGAATGCACATTTAGCAGAGCAAAGGTAACAAAACAATTATCTTAAACATTTCAAAAGAAAGCATTACTAAATGAAGTCAAATATAAAATACATGATTTGAAAGACCACAGCACCAAAAGATCTTGGACCAAAATGACCATGCAAGCCCATTTCTGAAGTCTGGTGTACTTGAGCTGCTGAAAAGTTGGGGGAAAATGGTCTTCCAGTTGTTAGGTAAAGGTACACCTGACCATTAGGTCCAGTCGTGGACAACTCTGGGTTTCCGCGCTCATCTCGCTCTATAGGCCGAGGGAGCAGGCATTTGTCCTCAGACATGTGGCCAGCAAGACTAAACCGCTTCTGGCGAACCAGAGCAGCGCACGGAAACGCCGTTTATCTTCCCGCTGGAGCGGTACCTATTTATCTACTTGCACTTTGAAGTGCTTTCGAACTGCTAGGTGGGCAGGAGCTGGGACCGAGCAACAGGAGTTCACCCCATTGTGGGGATTCGAACCGCCAACCTTCTGATCGGCAAACCCTAGGCTCTGTGGTTTAGACCACAGCGCCACCCACGTCCCTTTCCAGTTCTTAGATGTGCACAAAATCTGCCATTCAGGCACTACCCCCAAACTACAGGATAGAAATCTTTCAGTGAAGTGCTCCAGTAAATTGAAACCATTGTTGTTTTCTCCTTCCCGCCTCCCTAAAGCTTCATTTAGCCTCTCCACCAAAAGCCAATTTCACAAACCAGGTAATAAGTGGATGTGTTCAGAATAAACCTGAGACTAGGTGAGAAGGGCTGCCTTTTGTTTACCTTCCCAAGTGTTTCCTGTGATTGTCCTAATGGTGATGAAGCATAACTCATGCAAGGATGCTGGAAGGAAGTTCCTGGACCATGAGGTGCAACTGTGGTGGAATCTACACACATATAAAAAACACTGTGAAAATGCTTTTTTAAAAAAAAGTTTTGAAAAATACATTGAATTTGGCATGGCTCAGTGCCGGCATATAGTGTCACATTTGTATATTGTACTTTACAACAGATTTAAAATGTTTTATTTACAGCTGTGTAGTTGAGTCCTGTGTTTCTAAAAAACGTGGACCTGCAATGAGGGGCAAGTGCAAATGAGCTTGCTGCAGGGGTTGGGGCTAGATACAGGGTCTTATTAGCCAGGAACACACCTGCCTGTATGACTTTTGGAATACCATAATGTGGTATTATGGGGAGTGCTCGAAGGCAACCTCTAGCCCTCCAGATGTGCTTGGACTCTAGCTTCTATTATCCCTTACCATTAGCCATATTGGCTAGAGCTGATGTGAGCTGGCCTCCAACAGCATCTGGATGGCCACAGATTCCCTATCCCTGGCCTAAACAATCTGTATTGGGAGGCAACTAAAGAGGGGACGGGACATGGGTGGCGCTGTGGGTTAAACCACAGAACCTAGGACTTGCCGATCAGAAGGTCAGCGGTTCGAATCCCCACGACGGGGTGAGCTCCTGTTGTTCAGTCCCAGCTCCTGCCCACCTAGCAGTTCGAAATAAAATAAAGGGAAATAAAAGATCAGGCTGAATTCAAATTAAAGGCCAAGCAGAATAGCTCTGTCTTACAGGCCCGACGGAAGGAGGTTAAATCCTGAAAAGGCCCTGGCCATGGTGGAGGATAGTTTGACTTCCTTAGGCCCGGGACCTCTAAACTATGGTTATTCATAGACCTTAAGGTCCTCTGCAGGGCTTACCAGGAGAGGTGGTCCCGTAAACCCCATTGCAGGGGGTTGACCTAGGTGACCCCTAGGGTCCTTTCCAACTCTACAATTCTATGAGTCTATATCTATATGTATGTGTGTGTGTTGTACTGGCAGTTTAAAAAAAAAATTCAATGTCATCTACATGGGGCCCTGTGGGAAAGTGGGGTTAAAATGTGCTAAATAAATGGAATTGGCACCCAGTGCCCTTATACTGCCACTGCTCCCATTGACACCCCCATGCAGGTTGTAACAGACTGACCATTGCCTCCTTTCCTGCCTCCTCTTGCTTTGGATGCTGCAACTTTTTCTTTTCTTATACATCCCCAACATGCAGCTGAGCTCAGACACAGTACAGATAACAAGAGGACCAGTTCAGTGAATCTGTGCAGAGCCGTTCTCTGATGCAGAAAGCAGTGTGAGAAACCTGCTCATTACAGATGTGCTTCTTTTTGGGGGGGGGGGGAAGGATCTGCTTAAACAACCATCTCATTAAGTCTGCATAACAATGAAAGAGCAAGGAGAAGCCAAGCCTTGATTAGCAGAACTCCATCTCAGTAGTCACCTCCTTGCGTCAGTGTTATCCTGTTTCTTAGGGTGATCTATGCCTGGTGACCAGCTGCTCCATCAACCACAAGCTGCTCCCACAGTCCGTAGAATGATATGGATAAACCGTAATCTCAACAGTATGTTGAACCCGCTCTGATAAATCTGCTGTAGCCGATTTGAATCCCCTTGTTAGCCCACCTCCCCTTCGCGTAACTCAGGATGAACGTCTTTGCGTACATAGCTCTCCTCAATGCAGTGTGTTGGCAGGAAAATGTACTGTGGGATTTTTTTAAAAAAAAGAAAAGAAATTGGTTGTGCTCCGTTGCTTTTTTCAGAATGGATGCTAAGTGTTGATTGCTGTGTTACCATTTGGTGTCCCCGGTCTAATCAAGTATTAAAAAGGTTCAGATTTGTACAAAGCATCCCATGTTTTTGGAATCTAAGCACCAGTTCATCCTCCACAGAAGAGCTGGACCGCCACCATTTAGGAAGGACGTTGACTAGCTGGAATGTGTGCAGAGGAGGGCGACCGAGATGACCGAGGGTATGGAAATCAAGCCTTATGAGGAATGATTGAGGGAGCTGGGTATGTTGGAAGAGAGGGAACTGAGGGGAGATACAATAGCCATCTTAAAATATCTCAAGGGCTGTCAGATGTTGTAAGATGGAGCAAACTTGTATTCTCCTGCTCTGGAGGGTAGAACTCGAACCAGTGGCTTCAAGTTCCAAGAAAGGAGATTCTGTCTAATCATTTGGAAAAGGAGATTCCAACTAACACCAGGAAGAACTTTCTGAGAGTAAGACCTGTTCAACAGTGGAACAGTCTACCTTGGGAGGTTGTGAACTCTCCTTCCTTGGAGGCTTTTAAGCAGAGGTTGGACGGCCATCTGTCCTGGATGCTTTAGCTGAGAGTCCTTCATTGTAGGGGGTTGGACTAGATGACCCTCGGGCTCCTTCCAGCTCTATGATTCTAGGTAGATAGAGGAGTGTGATCAGGGAATACTGGAAGAAGCCAGCTATCAACTACTGCAGGAGTTACCAAACTGTGAACTGCAAGTTTTCTTTCAGGTGGTCTGAAAGAAAGGTGGGTCCACATTAAAACAACCGTATGGATTTCAATTGTATTTTTATTGCTTCTATTACCATTTGTATTTATTTTTATCAGGTTACAATTTGAGTTCTGTGGAATTCAAATTGTGAAACAGTAAAATACAATTTAAGAAATGAAAGTGGCGATAAAAAATACAATTAAAAACCGCATGGAATGTAGCCCAGCATATTACAAATGCTACAAGCTGCAGGGAAAAAAATCATTTAAGTGGTCCCCCAAGACCCCCAAGTGTTTTCCAGTGGTCCATTGTGGGAAAGGTTTGGGATCTATTGACTCCGTTGCCTTGGATCTGATGCTCTATTGGCGTTTTACCATTTTCCTGTGACAATGCAACCTTCCATGCCACAATTTTCAGAGTTACCAGAACGTGATCAGGCTGGGTAGCTGTTTCATGGAAGCTTCCTGTGGCACGTGGAGGCGTGAGCCACCAAGGCTCAAATAACCATAGACCAAACACCAGCTTTGTAACCTCGTTTTGTAGCCGGTGTAGCCCTTGCAGACTATGTCCTGGAAGACCAGAGTTCAAATCCCCACTCAGCCGCAAAGCTCACTGAGTGACCTTGGGCCAGTCACTGCCTCTCAGCCTAGCCTACCTCACAGGATTGTTGTCAGGATTAAATGAAGGAGAGAATCACATTCACCACCTTGAGCTCCTTGGAGGAAAAGTAGGATATAAACAAGACAAATAAAGTAGATAATGAATATATATCCTGTGAATGGATTTTCCAGGACTTGTTCACACACACACGCCTCAGTTGTGTATTTATGGGCTGACCTACCAATTTCGGGGGGGGGGCACAGAAAATGTGACACAATTCTGTGACGTTACCACTTCAAGATACAGGTGGGTGGGTGGAGAATCACACAACTGTTGTGCTCCTCACAGGCACTCTCCAGCAGGTACATATGACATCTGCACAGCTGTATCTCACACAGCCTTTGCCGTTGCAACTGATGTTAACAGCAGAGGAGCAGAGACAATTGCTTTCCCCCCAGTAATAAAAACACCGCTGTGTAGCTGCTGGGGGAAACACAATATCCTGATAGCGAGCATTACTCGGCCAAAGAGATATCTGGAATGCACACAACTCTCGCTCAGTAATGATGGCATCTTTCGTTGCACGAGGAAAACACTTTAAATAGAAAAAAAATAAACCCTGGGTATTTTGAAGCAGTCTGGGGGTGAAAAGTTACAGATCTATAGCAAATTCTGTACTTGATCACATATCACAACATCTGTTTGTTCTGAGATAGTAGGAAACTGCCTTATGCTGAGTCAGACCGTTAGTCCGTCCATGTCAGATGGCAATGGTGGCTGCTCGCGAGTAACCAGTCAGGACTCCGACCTGTCTTTTACAGGTTTTATTATGGTGCAAAACTATTTACAGCGCAGAACCACAAGTTCATGTCTGCCTCAATCGCTAGCAGAATCTGGGAGTGGTTGTTTCTGTGTCCTCCCCCAACATAAGAGCTTAGTGACCCCCAGCCTTTTCCTTCCTTCTTTGCGTTTTACACCTCTGCACAAGGTGGGCGACGGAAGAGGCGTGCTTCCCCCCTGGCCGGCTTGGCAAGGAGTGGTGCTGAGGCTCCCACCAGCATCCTCTAGCCCGTTCCCCTCCTTAACCCTGGAGGTGTGGCTTTCCCCACCCTCAGAGGTGCAGCGCTGGGGCTCCCAGCAGCATCCTCTGTTCCCTTCCCCTCTTCCCCACTGGAGGTGTGGCTTTCCCCACCGCAGGAAGAGGAACTGCTTCGCAACCGTCCCTCTCCCTCCCTTCCCTGTTCCGATGGCAGTTCCCTGACAATCTAGCTCAGTATTGTCTACACGGACTGGCAGCTGTTCTCTGGGATATCAGACAGGGATGAAGATGCCAGGGATTGAAACTGGGACCTTCTACATGCTGGGCACATGATCTGCCCCTGAGCTATGGCCCTTCCCTTCCAAGTGGGATGTGGAGGGAGGAGGGTGGCAATGGGCAACAGGACGTTTCTCCTGATTTCAGGGAGCAGAAAGAAGAGCTGCCGAGCACCACAGACACCCGAGTTGGCATGAATTATGCATCCCTTGTCTGAAGAGAGGTCAGCCTCATCAATAATGGAGGAAAGGCTCCCCGCTCCGCCTTCTGCCTGCATCTTCCGGCACCAACAACTCATGAAATCTGCATGGACCTTCTCAGGGTGTTTATGGGCTGCCGGGGGAAAGAAGCCGCAGAGCAGGAAGCAACCGGCACATCGAGCTGCGGCAAATTTCTGTGCATGTTTACAAGGCACCGAATGAGTGCGGGATTCATTTGCGCAGATCTGAATAGATCCTTTCTGGCACAGGCCCGCAAATGCACGCTTGCCTGTGAAATGCAGCTGACCGCAGCTCGTGCATCCGGGCTTGGGACTTGAAATACTGACTTTGTTTCACCAACTGGTGACAAATTTTAAGGCGGACACATCTGTACTCACCAGCACAGTTTCCTGTTTAGTTTAAAAGAAAAAGAAAGGAAAAAAGAGTCACTTCTCCAAGTTTTCCAGTGTTGTTGTTAAGGCCAGATGGGCAGGTTATTTGCCTGCCCTGTTATGATTTTTTAAAAGCAAAAATACTCATGTGGTACATATCTGAATGTCAGGGCTGGGCCATGCATGGCTGGACTTGAAACCAGGCCCAGGAAGAGCCTTGCTGTCTGGCGCTAGAACTTGACTTGAGCAGGGTCTGTGCTAAACTAGGGCTGAATCGGATGTGCAGTGGGCAAAGGCCACTGATATGTTGATCAGGCCTGGACAGAAGCCCAATATCCTGTTCTTGTTCTTGTTCTTGTTCTTGTTCTTGTTCTTGTTCTTGTTCTTGTTCTTCTGGCCAGTACAGGCCTGGCCTATACAGAGGCTGCCAATCACAGGGACTGGTTTTCCATGGCTCTGAGGCCTGAGTATCGACAGACCTAGGCAGCTCACTAAGGATACGTCCAAACCTGGTTTGAGTCTCTGGATGCTAGAGGGTACCTCCAGACTGTAATAGCTTTGTGAGGTGGATAGTGGGAAGTTTAGGTTTTCACAATGAAAGTGGATTAAAGCATTCTGTTGCCCAAGCGCTACCAGTCCAATTATTTTTAAAAAATGTCTTTTGCCATTAGGAAAGTGGCAGGGAAAATGCGCTTAGGTTGGTGTGTCACCTCCAGACTGTGGAATAACTAGACTCATATAACCAACATGCTTAAATCTTATGCATGAAGGGGTTAAGACCATAAAGTAAGCTGTCCTGCCAGACTTAGCTCACCTTGGGAGGGGCTGTGCAATCAAGTCTTTGTTCCTTCCGTCTACCAGAGAAGCTCAACATGTGAGGAGATCTGAGATGGTTGCTGCAGCTCAGACCACATGGCTTTCACAAGCCATGCTTGTGTTCCTATACCAATAATTCAGGTTCTTTCACCACAGTAACTAAGACGAATTTTACTGCCTGTGCAGCTTTTCTGACTTCTATATGGAAAAGCACATGAATCTGAGTTATTAAGTAAGCCATTTTTAACTTACCAAATGTGTGGTCTTTTTCTATGCTGGGGGAAGAGGGAAACTTTGGAAGGAACTCACAAGGGCATATTGTAAAGTATTTCCACGCTTTACTTTGCTGCATATTTTGTGATTTTAAATCTCTGCTGGTGTTCTCTCCCCAAAGAGTCCTTGCCCCAAGCATGGATCTTGGCATCCAGGAACTTTCCTTTTCATATAACTATTTTTTCCTGGCCAACCAACACAGACCTCATATGGGGGTCCCTCCTATGTTTGAGATCCTGCCCAATGCCATTTCCTCCATTGGAATGAGCACATAGCAGAAAGTCCACCTCCAACCTCACCTACTGTCTCAACCAGCCTAATACACTTGAGTGCAGATCTTCCAGTCATCATTAAGGGTCATAGATTTAAACTCTCCCTTTGAAAGACACAGATTGCAACATTTTTAAGGAAAGAAAACATGTTTTATCTTTCTGCAATTAAATACTCTGTGGCACAAATAAATAATTGGTTTTCATGAGCGTGGCAACACTTTTATTAAACTTCCTTCCTCTTTTTCTTCTCCTAGGTTTGGTTTGGTTCTCTTTAGAGGGATGTAGGAAGATTAGAAAAGCTGGCCCCCAATGTATTCCTGGACTGCAGTTCCTGCCTATCAGTTTGCATTAAAGGTAACGTAAGGGGCACCAGATATTTGTGTGAATCTCACCAACCAAAAAACTTCAAATTCCCTTCCAGACTCCACACAGATCTGCACACCAACCACATGCCTGGTGCATAGAGAAAAGGGCCTTAATAATCCCACTCTTGAAATTAATGTTCCTATTTCTTTCTTGGCATCGTCACACACCTGGCTACAAATATGTGATAAAGCATTTACAGCCTGACCCAGATTCACTGCCCTCTGAGAGCAAAGCGAGATGTTTGTTTGATATAAAACATACAGCTGTGTGTTAAGTTTGAACTTTAATCAGAGGGGTGTGTACTTAAGCATGTGCTTGTGTGTGATCCTTTCAGGGAAGGTTTAATGCAGAGAAGGGAGGGTTGTTTCTTGCTTTCATAGTGTGATCAGAGCCAAAATCACTTTCTACGTACAGATAGAAAGGTGTTTTTTCCCCTCCCGAAGATCGCATAGCTCCCCCCAAAGAATCCTGGGAACTGTAGTTTGTTAAGGGTGCTGGGAATTGTAGCTCTTTAGGGTGTAGTTCTCAGGATTATTTGGGGGGAAAGCCACATGCTTTAAAAGTATGAGGTGAATTTGACCTAAGTGTTGTAGTTACACTGGTGAGAGGTGATTTTGGCTCCATTCACCCTGGGGAAGAAAGAGAGAGGCTCATATATATGTCCATATATGTATGATCCAGTTTGGGAACTTTGCCTGCCACAGCAAAGACTGGGCCATCCAAATGTGTTTTTTGCATTAGGATGTCTTCCATTGCTGTTAAGGGGATGTTTCTTTCCAGTATAAACACTATGCGCAAGGGCCTAATCCAGATAAGCAGCAGTTGGAGGTTTAAAGCCCCTTTCCTTCTCATCGCCACCATCAGAGCGTCCATCCCAGTCATCTCCCCCTGTATGGGCCAATTTCATATACGCAGCTAGAATGGAAATAGCTAGCAGTTGGACAGCAACCCAGCTGCCAAGGCCTACTCACGATTACAGAAACCGGCTTTGTTTTTGTTTGCTTGTTTTGTTTTTTTAAAAAATATAAATCTTTATTAGTTTAAAATACAATCATACAGTAAAGGTAAGTATAACAAAATTAAGCACAAAAGAGAAGGGAAAAAAAATTCGTCACCTCAAAAAGGTCGAAAAAAGGTTTAAAGTTGACAAAAAAAAGACAATTAAAAGAACCACATATTTACCGTATTTTTTGCACCATAACACTCACTTTTTTCCTCCTAGAAAGTAAGGGGAAATGTCTGTGCATGTTATGGAGCGAATGCCTAAGGATGGCGGGGGGATCTGGTGCAGTCGTGAGCAGAGGATCCATGGTTCCCCTTCCTTCCCTCCTCAGTGGCTTGCTTTGAAACAGCAAAGCGGGAGAAGAGCCGCTGAGTGGGGAGGAGAGAGGGACAGAGAGCCTGCTTGCTTTAAAGGAGCAAAGCGGGAGAATAGAGGAGCCTTCTCCTCTTATACCCCTCTTCTGCATTATTAACAGCATCCTTCTCCATCCTTTTCCTTCCCTCCCCACTTAAAACGTGGTTACAAAGCACAGATCCACATGGATCCTCAGCACTGGGTCACCCCGAATTCACCATCAGATCACATAGCATGTCCATGGCTACAGCTTACACCAAAAAAATCACGCACCCACTGTTGCCTGGGGCCGCAGTGGTGCAAAAACGTGGTTACAAAGCATGGATCCACATGGATCCTCAGGATTTTTGCACTGGGTCACCCCAAATTCACCATCAGATCACATAGCATGTCCATGGCTACAGCTTGCACCAAAAAAATCACGCACCCACTGTTGCCTGGGGCTGCAGTGGTGCAAAAACGTGGTTACAAAGCATGGATCCACATGGATCCTCAGGATTTTTGCATTGGGCTACCCCAAACTCACCGTCAGATCACATGTCTGTGGCCACAGCATGAACCACAAAAATCATACATCCGCTGTTTCGTTTAGAATATTTTTTTTCTTGTTTTCCTTCTCTAAAAACTATATGCGTGTTATGGTCGGGTGCATGTTATAGAGTGAAAAATACGGGTATGTAACACCATGTCTTATCCAATAAAGTTTTTATAGAAACCGGCTTTGAGGGACAAACTAACAAATATATGTGGCCAATTGTGTCACGTGGCCAGATTTCTTTATGGAGAGATAATCCCTTGTCTGGCATGTATACAGGCTGTCACACCCTTTACCTTTGCAGCTGGTTAAAATTAATTGCTCCATAATTTGAGTATCATACTTAACTGTTCAAAACGAACCTGCCGAGTGTAGCATGTGAAATGGAAGGTTGTGCTCTGTGCTTTTTCTTGGGGCTCCACGTAGATGGATATGCAAATCTGCTTCCTATGGAGAGATTTTGCTTGTAAAGATATGGGCAGATATGTGTAGAATGACAGATCTAAAGCATGCTTGTTCACACTGTCAACAATCTTTGAATGGCTGCTAATTCCAAGAGTCTCCTCCTTCTCCTTCTCCTTCTCCTTCTCCTTCTCCTTCTCCTTCTCCTTCTCCTTCTCCTTCTCCTTCTCTTCCTCCTCCTCCTCCTCCTCCTCTTCCTCTTCCTCTTCCTCTTCCTCCTCCTCTTCTTCTTCTTCACATACAAAATTATATTCATTTTACCTCTTTGACTTGAAACCAATACTTGCTTTCCTTGGATACAGGGATGGGAACCTGTGGTCTGCCAAATGATGCTGGACTATAGTCATCTCCCATCAGCCCCAGACAGCTTGACCACTGGGCTGGGATGATGGGAGATGTTGGCCAACACATCTGGAGGACTACAGGTTCCCCATGCTTATTTAGCCAATCCTTCTGACTCATAACCCCCACGCACAATTATTAGCTGGTTGCGTAGACGACAGGAACACTTAAGTTAAAGGGGAAGCATCTGTTTCAAAGGCTGTGTCTCAAACTTTTAATTATGAAGCTCTCCTTTAGATATCTCTATATAAAAGGAAAACGGATGATGGATGACTGAAATTAAAGCGAGACATGTATAATTGGAAATCGGCTCAAGGATCTTAGGCAGCATATTGAAGGCATCCATCATTCGGCCAGTGAATGTTGTTATAGGTGGTTAGGAATGAAGTTCTGAAGCAGGCATTAACAGATATGGGAGCTGAGAAGACGAAACCTCAGAAAAGAAGAAAGGTGATGAAAGGGAACAGGGAGTGATGAGAGCTCATTTCTGATCCTAGTTTTCAGAGCCGTTCCAACATTTACAAGCTTCATTTAAACTATTAATACTAGTGTATAGGCAAATGTCATGCACATCTGCCCCATTTTTGTCTCTTTTTGGTGATGTAGTTCACATTGTTTGACTCTGTGTAAGTGGCCACCCAGATGTAACCAATTGTGACTACCTGACCAGTATACTTGCGTGATGTGTTTCCAAACACTGGTTTGTTCATCCTTTGAGTCCTGTAGGTGTACTTTTGAAATCATAGTTTTTAGAGCAGCATTTGAAAAGGTCAAAAAAAGCAGCCCCTGGTTGCTGTTATTTCATTGCTCCTGAGCAAAGCCCTCTAGAAAGTGTCTAGTGCATTCAGACATTACAAATCTGACACCATGTTAATTAAAGGGATGTTGCCATGTGAGCACGTGTCCCAGTGATATGGGTCTTTGCAAGAAAAAGTAAAGGGACCGGGTGAAAATGTTGTGTTAACTGCTCTATTCTGTGCATGTGTTGTATTCAGAGATCCAAAATATGATTTGGAACAAGTTATCCAGGCTGGCTCGTTTAAATCTGTTTGTGTTTGTCCCTTGATACAGTTGGAACAGGAAGTAGTTCATCATCATTATGTGTCATGAATGCATCATCCCACTCCCAGATAATTAATCTGGGAATCTGTTTTAAACACAACTGCTTTCGCTGCTCACTATTAACCGTTTTGCCCTCTGCTTCTAGTAATGAGAACAAGTTACATCATTGTTCGGATTTCTTTTGTTCCTGGTATATTTAAATGCACACTCACAATAGCATTTTCCCCTGCCAGCTGTGGATCTTTCCCTGTTGCATATAGTTCTTTAGTCATTCTCTACGTCTCCCAGTGCCTAATTTGCATTAATTGTTTTCCATTCATCTGTTTTTATTATATGTCACTGCCCTTCACAGTTCTTCTAAACTCCTCACAAAAGTTGCTTGAGTTTTTGCAGAACGCCATTAACTATCAAAACTTCTCATGGCATTTTTCCATTCCCAGGTTTTAAAGTGGAATATTAGGGGCGGTACAGCACAAGCACACACTGGGCACCCAGAGCTGACCTGAAGGTGTATAGCATTATGACTGGAGAGAGATGTTTTTCTCCCTCTCTGTAACACTAAAACCCAATGAAGCTGAATGCTGAAAGACTGACAGCAGACAAAAGAAGTATTTATTCACACAGTGCATCATTTAACTATGGAATTCATTCCCACAAGAAGGAGTAATAATGCCCACCAACTTCCAGAGCTTGAAAAGGGGGTTAGACAGATTCATGGGGAATAAGCCTAACAATGGATACCAGTCATGATGGCTTTGTGCTGTCTTCAGTGCAGTGTGCCTCTGAATACAAGGTGCTAGGCATAACAAGTGGGGGGGGGAGTATTTGTCCTCCTATCCTGTTTGTGGAGTTTCCATAGGCATCTGGTTGTCTGCTGTGAGAACAGGATGCTGGACTAGATAGGCCTTTGGTCTGATCTAGTAGGACGACCCTTATATTCTTGAGGTGTGAGCGCATGCTGGCAAAGGTGTGTCGTCAGGGTGAAAGTGCTCTCCTTCCCATTCAGAACATTCCCTTTTTATACGATGGGGTAAAATGGCAAATTTATTGACATCAATTGGAGCACTAGACTGATGATGACTGCTTGGTCTTTCTCAAATGTCACTGTAAACTTTGGAAAGAACACTAATTAAACACTGGAAGGAAGACTAGCTGTGCACATGTAAAGTGAAGATTGGACTCGTGGTGAAGAACAAACTGAATGTGAGTCAGCTATGCGACACTCCAGCACAAAAGGCCAGTTCAATTCTGGTTTGTGGAAACATTCTACCCAAGGCTCAAGCAGGAATAATATGTTTTATGCTGCACTGGCAAGGCCTCATGTAGATTACTAGGAACATCACAGTTCCAGGAGCATGTTGCTAAATCAGAAAAGATTCAGAGCTCAGGTTAAACCTGTCATCTGAGGAAAGGCTTGAAGCACCTATGTATGTACTCAGCCTAGAGAGAACAAGATAGAGCTATTTAAAAAAAAAAAATCCAACCCTTTAGCAACAGTTTTTGTTTTTTTAAAAGCAATGACGTAATTGACTTTGTAAACGTGTGGCTGTAGCACAGGGACTCACGAAGATGCCTGGTAAGTATGTGAATCAGCTTTTCAAATGAAATACTTGTAGTTGAGCTTTTCGTATCAGGAACGGCCACGGTCGTATTTCTTCCAAGCAGGTGAGAAACTTTGCTTTGTGACTAATGAGGTCTGTGTCTGCTTAGGCCTCCAGAGAAAGCACCGTCCCCCCCTGACAGACAGGAATGTGGAAGAAGGCCTGCAAGGAAGTGCCAAATGTATACACTCTGCACCTGAGGAGCATCTCAGAGGACACCAACTCCTGGCAGATCCCAGGAAGGCCAGGGGGCTAAATAAACCTGCCAGCTAGACTCTCTTCCTCAAAGCCATTGGTGTCAAGGCATGCCCTCTGTTGTGACAGATAACTGGTGAGTCATTTTGCAGCATGGCTGATGAGGTGTGCTCGCCTAGCAAGGGAAGGAGTGCCGTTATTATGAATAGGGTTTTCTCCTAAATTTCAAAACTGTCAGCAGTTACATATTGCAGGCAGGGACAGGAGCATCACAGCTCTGACTCAGGGGTGGGATACCTGCGGTCCCTGAGATGTTCCTGGATTCCTGTCAGCCTTGATCAGCAAAACTGCGATCCTAGAGAGGGATTGGAAATGGCTGACAGGATTATGACGTAGCTACTCTGTTCCTGCCTATCAGTCTGCTCTTGCAGCTACTGCTTCCAGTGTTCTGCTTTTGCTGGCTAACTTGAAAGTATTTCATAAAAGAACAAACAAACTTGACACACTGCCGAAACTGTTTTTGTTCCTCTACCCGGAACTAGGTAACTGAATGTAATTATGAGACTGATTATGGAAGATGTCCATTGCTTGTTTGCACGTAGAGCTGACAGTTCGTTAGACTTGCTGGGTTCTTTCCATCAGGGCCTTTTGGCACCTTTATGACAGGCAAAACTGCTGCCACATCTGAGCCTTCTTCTAGAGTGGGAATTCAGTTAAGGGAAAAGCTTCACCCGCTGAAGTTTTGCCTCTTGCTCAGGTGTCAATAGCATTAGTACAGAAGAAAGAAGATGGGAATCCTATGCTTTCAGTGTTTGAAGAAAAAGATGGTCCAGCATAGTAACTTCTTTGGAGATCCATATTTTAAAAAACAAATATTGTTTAATTTATGTGTGTACACACACAGAGAGAGAGAGGCAATTAGCTGCAATCCTGGCATATTTACTCAGAACTAAGGATCAGACCATAAGAGTGCTGATTTATTAAACATGTTTTCCCTGGTTCAGCTGCAACAGAGTGGCAATGGTTCACTTTTTACACTCATGGGACTGTCTAGGAGTGTGGAGTCAAACCTGTTCCTCTCCCCAAGCTCCATTGTTTTCAACATTTGCTCCCTGTCAGGATGTACTTTGTATGGATGCATTATCACATCCCAGTAGCTAAGGAAACAATGATTTTTCTGGCAAAATCCACAAGAGAATATGGCCTTCAAGCTAAGAAAGATTCCCCACCCATTTTCCATTAGTTCATGCTTGAATTTCAGTTCATGAATTAAGACCAATATTTGTTTCATTTTCATGTCTCTTGCCTGATTAAAATATTGACCAGTTTGTTTGTTTTTGGCAGAAATGGATGAAGTTTTCAGGCATTTCTAAGAGGATGAATTCTGCCAAAATACATCTGCAGTGCTTTACCTGCCAGGGCAGCATTTACAGTTTGGAGGTGGTTTTAAAAAGAGTTAACTTAATTCCCCTATTGTTTTGTGGGCAATAGGTGTGAAAATAATTGTGTGTGAAAATAATACATATCGGACAGGTGTCCCAAAGCAAGAAAGCTGCCATAATTCAAAAGGATTGGTGCAGGGGCTTTTGTGCTGGGTACTTTTTAAAGTTGATTTTCTTGAGGAGAACTAAAAGGGAGTCATTCCCCCATCCCTGACATTTTGCAGGCAACAATTTTGCATGAAAATAGCATGCATGGTAGAGTTGCCTTTAGGAGAGTAACTTGCAAAATACCAGAAAGACAGGTGCATAGGCTATAAGTTATAAGGAAAGGAAAAACAGCTTCAGGCTTGTTTGATGCTCAGTTGGCACTAAAAGCCACAGAAACTTAAGTGCAGAGTTGATTTAATGGGAGTGGATGCGTGGCATTGGCAAAGGCAGAAGGAGTTAAATGCCCAGCATTTTCCAAGGAAGCAAGCATCAGTAGCAGAACTATCAAAAGCGCAGAGCAGATCAAGGTGATGCATTGCTGTGATTGCAAAACACTGGTAAGATTATTCCCTCTGATTATCATTATTTTTCATTTCTATTTATAAATAGGGGAAAATCTCAAAGTTGTTTACAAGCCTACATTAAAACATCAAATAGAACATTAAAAAATAAAGCAGAACTTCTTACAGAAGAGGTTCAAATATAAAATATATATACTCAGTGATTTTGGACCGGTTGGTTGGAGCATGGCGCTGATAATGCCAAGGTTGCAGGTTCGATCCCCGTATGCGACAGCTGTGTATACCTGAATTGCTGGGCGTTGGAATAGATGATCCTCAAGGTCCCTTCCAACTCCAGAATTCTATGATTGTATGAAAACAACGTAATTAACAAGAAAATAGAATGCTATCTTAAAGATTTCAAAATAAAACATTACAGTGGAAGGTCAAATACAAAATATACATTTAAGACAGCAAAATTAAGACAAAATATTTTCTTAGACAGGGACACGGGTGGCGCTGTGGGTTAAACCACAGAGCCTAGGACTTGCCGATCAGAAGGTCGGCGGTTCGAATCCCCACGATGGGGTGAGCTCCTGTTGCTCAGTCCCTGCTCCTGCCAACCTAGCAGTTCAAAAGCACGAAGTGCAAGTAGATAAATAGGTACCGCTCCAGCGGGAAGGTAAACGGCATTTCCGTGCGCTGCTCTGGTTCGCCAGAAGCAGCTTGGTCATGCTGGCCCCATGACCCAGAAGCTGTCTGTGGACAAACGCCGGCTCCCTCGGCCAATAAAGTGAGATGAGCGCCGCAACCCTAGAGTCGGCCACGACTGGACCTAATGGTCAGGGGTCCCTTTACCTTTATCTATTTTCTTAGACATTTCAAAATGAAACATTCCTAAAGGAGGTCAGATATAGAATGCACATTTAAAATGGCATAATTAGCAAGAAAATGAAGTATTATCTTAAACGTAAAATGTAGCTGCTGCTAATGGTGGCTCATTTCGGGGAGCTGCTACTGGAGTTTGGACTTGGTGGGTGGCAGGCACAGCCAGCAGGCACTTCAAATCTGAGAGCCAAGAGAATGGCTCCAAATGCAACTCTCCCACCCAACCCTCTCCCTCATCTCTGTAGAGTTTTCCTCATATGGCAAAGTCGGGAGGAAAGACTTCACTTTTAGCCTTTTGCCTGAATATCCAAAGCATTCCAAATCACTTTGGTTGCCCCAGCTTCACTTCAGGGGGCACTTTGGAAAGACCCCATTCTGGTTCAGACAAGAATCTTTCCCAAAGCAGCTTCAGCTCAGGATTCAGGGTTTGTCTGAATCTGATGTGCATCCCTAATATCTATGACAAACTCACATTTTGCAGAGGCAAAATGTATTAAGGCAGCTGTTAAAGCGTGGGACTAACTACTGAAATAATTCCCAAGTATTTCTTGATAGAGTGAATGCCACAGAGAGCTGAATGTAAAAGTTGACAGTTCTGTGTGAGTGCCTGTCTCAGGTTTCTTGCAGATAATAGCAGAAAATCCAGCCGGGGTTTTGCAAAAAGCATCTGAAAGTGCTAGGATTTCACAAAAATAAAAAAAAACTATGTTGTCGCCTGCAAGTTCTTATACCTAGCAATATCATTCTCATCACCATTATTTAGCAATATTATAAATTGCCTCTCTTTTTTCTACGTATTGTACAAAACTTACAAAATAAAACTCTGCCTACTGTCGGGCTTACAGTCTAACAGACATTATACAAAAGGAATACAGAGTGAAGGAAAGGGGTGGAGAAGCACTGGAACAGCTGCACCTTCTCAGCCAGTGGATGGTGCCAGGCTTTCTGAAAGGCAAGAGGTGTTAGCAGACCTTGCAGCTTGGGTGGATTAGATTAGAATAATCAGTATGTGGAATTCAAAGGTTTTATTCATGCAGGAACTATTTACAGGATGCATGGAGATAGAAGGGAAGAAATAGAAGACAGAACAGTAAACAAAATGACTCAGCTTTTAGGAGTGGAGTTAACTTAGAGAGCTACCAACAAATGCTGACTAGATTGCTACACAAACAAGGCCCTCTGCATTAACAAGAAGCTTAAGAGAAGGAAATGCATTTACTTTCCTTCAACAATAGAGTGCATCCTCCATGGAAAATCCAGTGAAGTTCCCCTTCAGTTCTGCAATCCTAGGGTAACTGACAATTGGAGCAGATTGTTCTTTCTGGCAAGAAAACAAATTCATTGCAATTGTTGCTTCTTTGGCCAATGGATGGAACCCAGCCAACTTACAAACCCTTACCAAAAAGTGAAATTTCTTGCAAGTAAAAATTATATACAATGTTCAGGTTTTTCTTTTTACCCTTGTCTGGACTACATATGCAAAAGCTTACTACTTCAAGGGGCAAATAAAGAAATTATCATGTGCAGGATAAGGATAAGAGTCACTTTGCATAAACAAACTCTATGGAGAATTGGACTGAAACTGTAGTCTCATTTTACAAGGTGTATGTCTGAACCCACATACACGCCTACCACACATGCGTCTTCAGCGTACAGCTCTGAGAGGACTGGAATATTTTGCATAGAGTCAGTACATGCCTCCATTTAAACTGGTGTACATCTTTCACCCTTATGCCCATAAAGACCTTTGTACACCATAATGTAAATAAAGATTGGTTTATTACAGGGGTCAGTAAACATTTTCAGCAGGGGGCCGGTCCACTATCCCTCAGACCTTCTGGGGGGGCAGACTTTATTGGAGGGGGGGTGAACGAATTCCTATGCCCCACAAATAACCCAGAGATGCATTTTAAATAAAAGGACACATTCTACTCATGTAAAAACACTCTGATTCCCAGACCATCCGTGGGCCGATTTTAGAAGGCGATTGGACCAGATCCGGCCCCCATGCCTTCGTTTCCCTACCCATGGTTTATTACATGGAAATGAAACATATAGAGTATATAGCCTTCAGTCATCAAGGTTACACATATGCAGGCAGCAATACAATCATTAAATATTCACACCTTAGGTGCAAAGAGTAAAGAGTCATTTACTACTAAAAAACCTAGAAAGAATGATCTCAGGAATATGCCTTCGCTAAGTGGAATAGAAAACCAGGTATGTGGGGATATAGCAGAACTCGGAGCAAACAGAGCACATTGTCAGGGATAGAAATCTCTCTCATACACACACACACACACACACACAAACATATGAGAAAATTTTCAGTGGACAAATAAAGTAAAAGAAAGGAAAAAAGGAAAACAAAAAGGTGCTTTAAACCGTAATACAATACAGCTGTACAATACAACTAACGATGAATTTGTGAAATGATTAAGTGGGCACAAGGTGTGGGTCACAATATTGATTATGAATTATGGGGAAAGTTGTGGGAAATAAATATGAATTTCACGACATGCTTTGCAATAAAAGAAAATATGATGAAAATGACCCACAGATAATATATAACACCCACAAGATTGGCAAAAATGTATAAAAAAAGAAAAAGGTATATGTTGGAAGTGTAATGAAAATGAGGGATTTTTTTCCACATGTGGTGGTCCTGTAAAGTAATTAAGGAATATTGAGAAACTATATATAATGAATTTTTAAAAGATAATTAAGAAAACTTTCCCCACCTGTGATTTTCCTCTTGGGGATGGTAACAACGGAGGTCCCCAGAAAACACTATACGCCAATGCCGCAGCTAGAACCTTGTCGGCACAAAGGTGGAAAACAAGTATAGTACCCACTAAGGAAGAACTGCTGTGTAAAATGCTTCAGTATGCCAAACTGGCTGGTCTGACATACAGGATAAGAGGAAATGAATATAAGTAAAAAAGGAGGAATTGATCATGTTTATTGACTATTTTAAGAACCAGTATAAACGAATACATAGCTTAGCAGAACTTTAGTAAATCTAGCAGAGTTGAAATAGAGCTTTTAATAGATAACAAATTGGATGATTAAAAAGATGTGGATTACGCAGAGTAGTAGAAAAGCAAAGGAACCAGGATAAGGGTGGAAGGGAACCCATATGGTATATGTATACATGCTGTATTTGGTACGAAGTAGTAAGTGGAACAGGGAGAGGGAGGGAAGGGGCTAAGTATGCTCCCTGTTACTGTTTTTGAAAATGCAAATGAAATAATAAATGGGGGGGGGGGGACTGTAATACAATACGGTATTTAGGTATATAAGTAATGCTATTATTCTGACAAGTATATAATTATTAACAAAGAATTATAATTTTACAAGTGCATTCCAAGTGTCATGATATTTATCCATACACTTTTATATCTCTCCCCACCACTTTGTTCTGAAATGTAGGGAGATGCCCAGGCAGTGGGACATCTCTGCAGCATGCTGAGGAGACGTAACCTTCTCACTACACTTCTGATTGCTTTGCCATGGGGGCTTCTTCTTACATTGTGGCATCAGTACCCAACTACCCGCTACCTCAGCATTCTGAGAAGTAAGTGTACCAGGGCCAATCTTACAAAGAGCTTCTTTTTTCCCCATAGCAATTACAGTGTGCGGGGGTAATTAAAATACAAATGTGAATGTGGTGAAGGTCTCGTTGGCACTGCAGTGGGTGTTTTATGATTTATTCTCTCTATTCGACTTGCCTTAGAGGAAACAGATGAAAACGTGACGGCCAAATCTCTCTTCAATAATAGCACATCGCTCGCGAGGGAGGATGGACTCTCATCATGTGCTCGGCAGCCGGCTGTTGGGGCAGCTCCAAAAATAATCCGGAGCTATGTGTACTCCAGGCCTCCCCCATGGTCAGAGGCTCTGCCTGCCATCTTTGTGATCACCCCTACCTACAGCCGGCCAGTGCAGAAGGCTGAGCTGACCCGTCTGGCCAATACTTTCCTCCATGTGCAGAACCTCCACTGGGTGGTGGTGGAAGATGCTCCCAGAAGGACCAACCTAGTATCCAATCTGCTGGAGAAGACAGGGATCAATTTTACGCACCTGAATGTTGAGACTCCTAAGAGTCTGAAGAACCCTTCCTGGCTCCCATCTCACAAACCGAGGGGCACGTTGCAAAGGAATCTTGGACTGCATTGGCTGAGGGAGAATTTTGGCACCACACCACCACCAGAGGGTGTGGTCTACTTTGCTGATGACGACAACACCTATAGTCTAGAGCTCTTTGAAGAGGTATGAGACTCGAGTTTAGGGTAGTTTGATCTTTGGGGTCCATGATTTAGGCACATTGGTTGAGTGCATTGCCTAGCCATAGTGGACAGCATTATTTGGGTGGATAGGAAGAGATGCCAACCATATGACAAATGAGAGATGCTGGAGCTCAGTGGTAGAGTACTTGTTTTTAATCCCAAAGGTCCCAGACTGGATCCCCTGGATGTCTAAAAAAGAAGAGAGGTCTGTATGAAATCATCAAGAGCTTCAGCCAGTCATTTTAAACAACAGTTAGCTAACTCTTGACAAAGTACCTCACTAAGGACTCCTGGTTTTGCTTGGCAGTCATGGAATAAGAAGTGAGGTCCTCTTGTGGATCGGTAAGCAGAGAGTAGAAATAAATGGTCAGTTCTCCCAATGGATGAATGTAGAAAGTGGAGGCCCGCCCCCAAGGATCAGTAATGGGCCTTGGGCTTTTTAACTTGTTCATAATTGATCAAGGTGAGCAGTAAGGTAATTCAGTTTGCTGCTGACACTAAACTGTTCAGGGTCATTAAAACAAGAAAAGGATTTTCTACAATAAAATAGACGGACCTCTCCAAACTGAGAGAATGAGTGGCAAAATGGCAAATGTAAATCAGTGTAAACAACCTTAAAGTGAAGTACAAAATCTGAATTTCATGTGCATGCTCATGGCATCCTAGCTGGCAGTGACAGACCTTCGGTTTCTATTCCCAGTTTGCAGCAGCTGTGCAAAGGCAAGTTCCATGCTAGGGACCATTAGGAAGGGAATTGAAAATAAAACTGCCAATAGAATATCATGAAACAAATCTATCATGCAGCCAGATTTGGAATACTGTGTACAGCGGTTCTGGTCATCTCACCTCCCAAAGGATATTGTAGAGTTGGAAAAGGTTCAGGAAACGGCAACCAGAATGATCAAGGGGATGGAGAAACTCCTCTGTGTGGAAAGGTGAATATATTTGGGGCTTTTTAATTTAGAGAGCAGGCAACAGGATAGAAGTACCCTGAAGGGTAGCTCAGTCAGTAGAGCATGAGACTCTTAATCTCAGGGCCGTGGGTTCGAGTCTACATTAGGCAAAAGATTCCAGGACTCTACAAATCTATGATGCTGTGTAGTGTATAAGATTGTGTATGTTGTACAGAAACCGGTTAGAGAATAAAAAAAATTTCCCTCTCTCATAACACTAGACCTCATGATTATCCACTGAAGTTTAAGGTTGGAAGATGAAAGAAAATAATGCTTCACACAGTTCAGCTATGGAACTTGCTCCTACAAGGGGTAGTATTAGTTACCAACTACCCTTTTTAAAGAGGATTAGGCAAACTAATGGATGATCAGGCTATCAGTGGCTACTCACTACGATGGTTAGCTCCACAGTCAGAGGTAGTAATGCTCCTGAATACCAGTTGCTGGAAACCTTAGCCGAGGAGAGTGGTCCTGTGCTCAGGTCCTACGTACAGACTTCTCATGGGCACCTGGTTGGCCACTATGAGAGCAAGATGCTGGCCTAGATAGACCACTGACCTCATCCACCTTAGGTTCATCCTCCTCCTCATTTTATTCGTATGCTGCCTTTCCATAGTTAAAACCATGTTCAAGGCAGCTTACAACATGAAAAGATTTACATAATTCAGAGCTGTTCCACCGGGCCTTTGGTCAGGGCACAGCCTGACTCCCTCCTTTGGCAATCTCCACAGAACCTTAGCTTAATGGTTGCCAACAATTTGATTTTAATTAATTTTTATAATGAAATGTTTTTAGAATATTGTACTATTTTATTGTTGTTAGCCGACCTGAGCCCGGCTTCGGCTGGGGAGGGCGGGATATAAATAAAATTTATTATTATTTATTATTATTATTAATAATTCCAAACATTTGTTGTTTAGTCATTTAGTCGTGTCCGACTCTTCATGACCCCGTGGACCAGAGCACGCCAGGCACTTCTGTCTTCCACTGCCTCCTGCAGCTTGGTCAAACTCATGCTGGTAGCTTCGAGAACACTATCCAACCATCTGGTCCTCTGTCGTCCCCTTCTCCTTGTGCCCTCCATCTTTCCCAACATCAGGGTCTTTTCCAGGAGTCTTCTCTTCTCATGAGGTGGTCAAAGTATTGGAGCCTCAGCTTCAGGATCTGTCCTTCCAGTGAGCACTCAGAGCTGATTTCCTTAAGAATGGATAGGTTTGATCTTCTTGCAGTCCATGGGACTCTCAAGAGTCTCCTCCAGCACCATAATTCAAAAGCATCAATGCTTCGGTGATCAGCCTTCTTTATGGTCCAGCTCTCACTTCCATACATCACTAAATTCCAAACATAAAAAGGCATAAAAATAAAATGCATCAGAAAGTACACAGCCAAATTTAAACGATTTCCAAGTAAATCATAATAAGATCTAAAAATAAAGGTGCAAGAACTATTATCAATCACAACCATCAGTTGCAATCCTTTGCACACTGCCGCCCATTGAACACAATGGAGCATATTTCTGAGTAAGCATGAAGTGTAGGCTGCAATCCTAGCTCCAGTTACTTGGGTGCATACCCCCATTGGATTCAATGGGATTTATTTCCGAGTAGACATGGTTAGGATTGTGCTGTTTGTGCTACCGTTTTTTACAACGCTATTGCTGTGCCCATTAACCTGTCGGGCTTTTCAGAAGGTGGGTGCATAGAAGGGAAGTCAAAGGAATCAAAGGGGAATGCTGGAGGAATTCTCAGAGGAACGGCCATCACAATTTTGTTTTCTTTCTGACAAGCAGATGCGCTACACAAAGAAGGTGTCCGTCTGGCCAGTCGCCTTTGCTGGGGGCCTCAGGTACGAGTCCCCAAAGCTGAGCCCGGCAGGCAAAGTGGTGGGCTGGAAGGTCGTGTTTGACCCTAACCGGCCCTTTGCCATCGACATGGCTGGCTTTGCCATCAGCCTCAGGCTGATCCTGGAGAAGCCTCAGGCCACTTTCAAGCTGGACGGAGTGAAAGAAGGTTACCAAGAAACTAGCCTGCTGAAGGATCTGGTTACGATGGATGGATTGGAGCCCAGAGCCGCCAACTGCACAAAGGTTAGCATGGCCTGAATGTTTGCGCAACAGCCTTCCCACACCCCCCCCCCCACCATCCACTTCCACTCTGGAAGGTGCCTCTCATCAGAGATTAGGCAGGCCAAAGGTAGAATATGGGGAGCACATCCAGTTCTGTTGTATTGGGCACAGAGCTTCTGGGGTACCGCAGATGGTGCTGTAACTATGACAGCCAATGAAAGGTCGGGGGGAGAGGATCGGATTTTAGCATCACACACAGGGGTTCCACTGAAATTTGAGACACCCAGGTCTGCCACTGGGTAGGCACCCACTGTCAAGTATTTCCAGCATGTTTTAGCATCTTACTGCAATGAACATTAAAGTTTTACTGATATTTTATGAAATGTCTTATGGCTCAACATTCTGTGGCTACAGAGCATGCTTAGTCTTCATTTGGGGTGTTCCCAAACACTGGGGTCTGCCAAGCCCTCCGATCCCCCTTCCCCTTGTGCAAATTTGGGGGTTGTTTGGTTACAAAGGGGTCAGTGCTCATGGAATTGTTCGTTGGTTTGTTTCATAAAATTTATATCCTGCTTGATTGTAAAAAACAAACAAAACCCACCTCAAAGCAGTTTACAGAAAGATAAGCAATAAAATTACAAGCCTAATTTAAGTACACAGTTAAAAAACTAAAACAGATTAAAATTAACTCAACTCAAATGATTTCCACATTAGTAGGAGTGATTGTTATTTAATTGATTTTGGTTTTTTGCGAAATCCTGTTTCTTCTTTTAAAAGGGAAGGTTATTGCTTTGTTTTGTTTTTTGATTTAATTAATTACTTGTTGTTTTTATCTTATATTTTATTCTGTGAACCGCCATGAGATCTTGTGACAAAGGGTGGAAAATACATTTAATTCATTAATAGAAAGAGCAGTATCAACATGCCCTTCCAACAAGGCTTGCAGCTCCTATCGATGTATACATGTTCCAGAGATTCTTCTGTTCAGACAGAAGTATACTTTCAGTTCAGATGTATACATTCCAGAGGCTTCATGAATGGCTGCCGTGCATATTTGCCAATATTTCCCTTCAGGTTCAGCCATGACATCCTAATAAGGTGCACATTCTCTCTGTAGGTCTTGGTCTGGCACACGAGGACAGAAAGGCCAACACTGGTTAATGAAGGCAAACGCGGATTCACAGATCCAAGGGTGGAGGTGTAATCGGGAAATCACCTTATTCTGTAAGTATTTGCATGCATGGGCATAGCCAAAGGCGGAGGCAGGGTGTCAGGAGTTTAGCTTACACTCGAGTAGGACCCTGGCAGAGACACATGCCCAACTGGCATGTTCTCTCCCTCCTGGTCGATTGTTCAGGAGCTTCAAAAGCCCGAACATCACAGCGACCGATGCCAACCAACACCGGCACACTTAGGGATCCACAGAGTCTTTACAGCATTGCATGACAGACCTCAGCAACTCAGCATGTTGGCTAATCTACTTTATTTACATATAAACACACACGGAGCACTGCAACATGGCTCCCTCTCTCTCTAGCATCAGACAGCAAAGAGGAAAAGAACAAAGGACAATAGTCCCACTTCACGGAACACAGTAACACAAACATCCTGTCTCCATCACTTCCCACTCTGTGGAGTCAAAACATATACCGTCATGTGATAGACAAAAATCCCATGACTGCAATCATGGAGCAGGAATTCTAACACAGGGAAGTGCAGCTGCCCTACCCTAAATCAAAAAAAAATACATAGCTAGCTAAGGTTCTGCCCCTCCCTCCCAACAAAAATCCTGGCTATGCCCATGTTTGCGTGTGTCTGTACTTCATTCTGGGCTTGTGAATAGCTCTTCTGAATAACTTACATGTAGGATGCAGAACCTGAAAACATTAAGATATTTCAGTCATCCTAACTATCTTTGACAGCCACATTCACACCATAAATTTAAAGCACTATGATACAGCCATGGCTTCCCTCAAATAATTCTGGGAGCTGTAGTTTGTTAAGGGTGCTGAGAGTTTTTAGGAGACCCCTGTATTCCCCTCACATAACCCCAGAGTTCCCTGTGAAGAGGGATTGGCTGTTAAACCACTCTGGGAATTATTGCCCTGGGAAGGAAACAGAGGTCTCCTAACAAAATCTACAACTCTTTAGAGAAAGTTGTGGCAGTTTAAAGTGGTATTCATGGTGCTTTACATGTATGGCATAAATGTGTCCTAACCTACTGGAACTCAGGGCCTTTGCAGATTCCATAATAATTTGTACTCATTATGATATTTGGGCCATTCTACAGGATCCTACTTCCATGCCCTCTGGCTCCTGCAGAAACCCTGTAATTTTTTAAAAACTGAAAATGTTGCTGGGTTTTTGTTTGTTTTTCATCTCGTCATTGTTGTTCTATAGCACAAGAGTGCCCTTCCAAGTGGTAATGTTGGAGAAGCATCGCAGAACAGTTAATAAAGCAGAATGATCCAGTACAAATGCAGCATTAATGTACCATTTTGGGGACAACGACATATTGCAAAATACACTGCGGGGGGGGGGGGACCCAAATTGCCCAGTCTGGAGTGGCCCTGACTCAGCCCATGATAGGAACAACCTCTGGTACAGATTCTTATAAAGTGTTTGGCTGTGTAAATAAGAGTCAGGGCAGTCTCCAGGGCATAGGCAATGGTTAATTTAGTCTTGCAAAGGTTTTTCTTTAGCTATGTATGTCACGTAACCACAGTTCATGCCGCAAGGGACTTCCTGGAAATGAATTCTACATCACAGCGTTAGGCTGAGCCGGTGGAATGGACTTGGAAGGCAAAGGTAGGGAAGGCTTGATTTCCTTTAATAGTTAAACTTGCCCAAAGGCAAGAATCTGAAACCACCTATATGCAGCACTGCAGCATAAATACTTCTTTGTTCTCCAAAATATTAGCTTCTTTGTGGTTTTTAGGGGGTATTTTTACAAAAAAGAAGAGACGATTTGTTGAGAAAATCCTAGCTTAGCTATCTTTGCGAACTGAAACGATAAAGCCCTCTTGGCCCGGACACGACCAAGTTTGTTACCCTCGGGCAGCGCCATCATAGCCTGGCAGAGGTCAGGGACTACAAATCTGATCCTGGCTTCACAGAAAGGCACAGAAAGGACATATTGTAAAGCTTTTGGAGCAGCGTAACAAAGTGAGGGGAATTAGTATCTGCTGACAATTCCGAAACACGGCTTTTCAGGGACCGAGGCTTCTGTTCCAGTTAATTCCAACAGGATTTATGTCAGAGTTTCTGAAAGACGGTGCCCTAATTCTCTCTGCATATAAAAATGGGTTGTTGTCCATCTTTGGCTTGGCTTGTAGATTAAAGAGGGAAAGCAGCCTGGAAAAAAATATGACCTGAATTGGGAGCCAAGCTAAATGCTGAGTGTGGAACATAAAAAGTCAGGCTGCTTGTCCATCCAGCCCAATCTTGTCTACTCTGACTGGAATGGCTCCCAGGCAGATTACATTAATGTCACCTGCTCCTTTTAACTTCAGTGCTGGGGTCTGCAGTGGGCTTGCCACAGAAAACAGCAGCCACATGTTTACCTTTTCTCCCTCCAGAACACCTAGTGTGAATGTATTAATCTTATGTATCTTTGTCTATCTCTGTCTACCTCTGTCTGTTTGCAGATAGAGAAATAGATACAGGTCTAGCTAGCTTTATATCTCTTTCTCTCTATCTTTATGCACACATTGCCATTTACTTCGGCTCCACTGTGCTCCCACCGCTGGTGTTTGAAGCCAAGTACGCGTGATGTTTGCCACAATCCCTATCTGTCCTGTAGCTTCTTGAGAATTGCCGCTGTTTGATGGGTTTGCTCTCAGCTTCCATCTGATTTGAAAACACCAGCCACTGTTAAGGTGTGTGCATTTCAGGTGTCTGTCAAACACGTGCGGATGGCAGCACATGCACTGATGGTGGTTTCATTGAAAAGAAGTTCAGGGCAGGTTGCAGGTGCAGGGAAATGAATCAGGTAATGTGGATCGGGTGAAGACACCCCGGCTCCTCTCTGGTGTGTACAGCAATGTAAACATGTGGTTTATGACACAGCAGAGGGAAGACATCTCCCTGCTTTTTATGCCACTAATGTGTGAGCAGTCTATATATATATATCTCCTGCTGTGCCAGAATTTTTAGAAACCAAGAAATATTGTGATTTTTAAATGTGTAAATTGTGAGTTTTGACCCATCATACTACTACTACTACTACTACTACTAATAATAATAATAATAATAATAAAAATGTATTTCTTTATACCCCGCCCATCTGGCTGGGTTTCCCCAGCCACTCTGGGCAGCTCTCAACAGAATTAAAAGCACAACAGAACATCAAACATTAAAAACTTCCCTAGACAGGGCTGCCTTGAGATGTCTTTTAAAATTAAGATAGTTGTTTATTTCCTTGACATCTGATGGGAGGGCGTTCCACAGGGCAGGTGCCACTACAGATTCAAAATGGCGTCTGATGTAGAAATGATGGTGAAAGCTGCCACCCCCACCTCAGGAAACCTGATGCTGCGTTTGGCAACGATATCAAGAGGCGGCCAAACCTATACCCACGGAGGGGGCAAAGTCTGTCCAGAACCTGTCCCATTAAACTTTAATTAGCTTAATGCTAATCAAATGTCCAGTGCGCTTCCGATGCGACAATGTGCCATTACAGCAGAGCATTTCGCACAGCGGCTCAAGAAGGGCTGGAGAGTCAGCATCTTTTCAAGAAAGGGATCTTGGAGCAAGCGGTTTGGAACTCAAATAAAAGGTTTATTTACACAAAACAAAAACCCTGGTGAAGAACCACACATTTCAGCAAACACGCCCCAAAAAAAAGGAAAAAAAAGGGGGCAAACACACGAGTGAGCTGATTATTTATACAGACTCACATTCCTGGAAGCTTAACGACCTCCAGCTGCTCAGTGAATAGAGCGTCTTGATTAGAGCTTCTTAACCCTTTAATACCAACACCCCCTCTCGCTCGTAACACTGAGCTGTACCAACCTTAATTCAAATTTAAACCTGAACAGAAACATTTATGAGATTGCGGACTCAAAGCTTTTGTAAAACCGTCTGCGAGATTTTCTTGGCTTGGACAATACTTTAGTTCAATTAAACCTTGTTTTACACTTTGGCATACATTTTGATAACGGATATCCAAGTGTTTTGTGTGTGCCTTGAATTGACCTGATTTAGCTAGTTTAATACAAGGTTGATTGTCTTCCCACACTCTGATAGGTAGGGAACATTCTCCAAACAATTCTTGTACCAGTTGCTTATAAAATTCCAGTTCTCTACATACATCTGATAATGCATTGAACTCAGATTCAGTTGAACTTAAAGCTATAAGTGATTGTTTTCTTGATCTCCAACCAATTAGTGCATTTCCAAATTTTATCGCCATTCCTGATACTGATTTTCTATCTGGTCCAGCATCTGCCCAACTGCTGTCGGCCCAACATTCAAGTTGTGTGCTGCCCTCCGCTGATAGTTTTAAGCGAAACCTTTTGGTAGTTTGGAGATACCTTAAAACTCTTTTTACTCCTTGCCAAGCATGCATTGATGGTTTTTCAGCTTGTCTACACAGCATGTTGACAGCATATGTTATATCGGGCCGAGTCCACTGTGCAATGTGGAGTAGACTGCCTATCGCTGACTGGTAAACCCCGGGATTACAGAACTCTGCCTGTTGCTCAGTTTGAGCATCCTTTGTGTAACTTAACTCCATTGGGGTTTTAACACCAGCACAGTTGTCCATTTTAAACCTTTCCAGCAACTGCTGGATCTTAGCTTCTTGGCTGAGCCAATAGTTCCCATCTTCATCTTGCTGAATTTTAACTCCTAGATAAACAGATACATTGCCTAGTGATTTTATCTGAAACTTTTCTCCAAGCTTTGTGGCAAATTGTTGTGCAAGTTTATCGTCCTTTCCACTGTATAATAAATCATCAACAAATATCAAGACTGCTTCTTGTTCACATCCCGAGCCTTTTAGATAAAGACACGCATCTGCTGCGCTCTTTCTGAACCCCATGCTCTCTAGAGCATCGTTTAAGCAGGAATTCCAATTACGGGCGGACTGTTTCAACCCATAAATGGATTTGTGTAGGCGCCAGACCTGGTTTGGCTTGTCTCCTTCAAAACCTGGTGGTGGCGTCATATAGACTTCCTCCTGTAAGTCTGCATTTAAATAAGCCACATTGACATCAAAATGAAACAGCTTATTTCCTTCTTAGCTGAAGAGGCTAAAAGCATTCTTAATGACTCCGATCTTGAAGTAGGGGCATAGATTTGAGAATAGTGAACTCCTTTGCGCTGCGAAAACCCTTTTGCAACTAGTCGGGCTTTATATTGCAACTCCTCAGTAGTTGTGGGCTTTAAACGATATACCCATCGACAACCTACAGCTTGTTGCCCTTTCGGAAGCTCTGTACTTGTAAACACACCAAGAGACTTCATTGAAGCCATCTCTTTTTCCATTGCTTCCTGCCATTTTACGGCTTCTAAGCTTGGAAGCTGTTGTACCTCTATATAGCTATCTGGCTCACACTGTGCCATATTTACGTATACACTTGTCACCTTAAACCGCTCTGGCGGCTTGCCCTTTGTGGCACGTTTTGACCTGCGCAATTGTTCCTCTTGTGCCCCCTCTGACTGTTGGCTGTCAGAATCTGTCTCAGACTTTATGTCTGGACGTGCCTCTAGGGATAAAGACCTCCGTTTAGATACCCCCCTTGGGCTTGGTGTTGCAGGCGACCTGCTTCGCTTTTGCTGTCTGCTAGGCCTACTGACTGGCGATGTTGGAACACTCTTAGATTCTGGCTTTTCTACTTTAGGAGAAGAACCTTGTGCCTGGTCAGAATCTGCATCTGAACCATCTGCACCGTCCCCTTCTGGCTCATCACCCTCTGGACTTTCTTTCTCAGCATAAATGCCTAAATCATCTCTCAAAATGTCAGGGTTAGCATGTAAGTGAGTCCATCCGGATTGCTCACAAAATTCAGTGCTCCTACTGAGGACCACTCTTGTAGTATCCCCATCTGGGTTCACGAACCTCCAAGATTTGGCGTGTGGTTCGTACCCACAAAAGATGAGTTTCCTAGCCCTTGGACTTCCCTGTTTCCTTAACGCTGTTGGGATCAGTACGTAGGCTTGAGATCCAAACACCGAAAGTAATTAACTTTGGGCTTCTTCCCATATAAAGCAAAATATGGCGTAGTATCAATTACCGAATTATATACTCGGTTCAGAACATGAGTAGCCGTCTGCCAGGCTTCCGCCCAGTAACTTTGAGGAAGTTTAGCATCAAACAACATAGAGTTTGCCAACTCTTGCAGAACCCTGTTTTTACGTTCGGCCACACCTCCTTCTTGGGGGGAATAAGGTGTAGACAGACGATGCTTAATTCCTTTTTTCTTAAAGAAATTCTGCAACACAGACCCGGTAAATTCTGACCCTCTGTCTGTCTGAAAAGCAAGAACTCGGGTACCAAATTCAAGTTCTACTGCATGAACCCAATTTTTAACTGTTTCTGCAGTATCTGCTTTTGTTTTGAGAGGAAAAAACCATGTAACCTTTGTTTTGTCATCTGAGAGACACAGTGCATACCTCGAACCTCTCATGCTAGCAACAGGCATTGGGCCACATAGGTCCATATGCACAAGTTGGAATACTTTGTCAGATTTCCTATTTGAACTGGGATAGCTGCATCTATGAACCTTCGCCCTTTTGCATGCAGTACAATCCAAATACTTAGTACATTTGTTCAATTTGCACCCTTCTGATAACTCAGGTTGCCTTTTAACATACTGAAAATTAATATGTCCCAAACGGCGGTGCCATAAATGAACACAAGAATTATGGGTAGGCGAGTTCACACAACCAGCATGAACCTGTTCAACTTCATCTGGACTTGTCTCAAAATAATATAACCCATCTCTGCATTCCACCTGCAAAGAGATGCGTTATTCTTTGAAATAGTGCAAACCCCATTTTCAAACACAGTTTTAAACCCATTTCTATCAAGTTCTGACACAGACAAAATACACCCCTTCATTCCCTTTAGCACGTAGGCATCAATTTCTGTTTGCAAACACTTCAAAAACACTGTGCCTACGGTCTCTAAGGAACGTTTAGTTGAATCTGCCATTGTCACAACTTTAAGGGTTTGCAAATGTCTGCAATTCTGCAAACGGACACTAGATGGCGCCACCAGGTGGTGAGATGCACCACTGTCGATCAACCAGCGTAGATTGCTGCCTTGGCCACGCCCTTGCATCAACGCCATTGCTGAAGCCATGTGCTGTGTGCTGTGGGAGTAGCCACCACCTCCTCCTCTTCTTCGACGTCCCCTGGAACTCCTTGTCTGGTAACTAGGGGTGACGGCCTTGGTGCTGTCTTGACCAGGTTCACGTGTACAATTCCTGATTAAATGGGAAGAGGAACCACAGCGAAAACAGTGTCTAGCTGCAAAAGCATTTACTGTGTGGTCAAACTCAGCATCCCCACTCTTAGGCACAGCATAACTCCCTTTGAAGACAAACCTCTTTCTCTTTGCCTTTTATCCTGTTCATCTGCAAGTCGAGAAGAAATGTATTCAAGGGTTAATTCAGTTGAAGGCATAGCTTCCAAAGTTAAAGCTAGAGTCTCATAGCTTTTATCAAGAGAAGACAACAAAATGTATGACTGCTGCTCCATAGAGAAAGGAATGCCCAGCTGTCTTAGTTGATTAAAGGCAGACACCATTTTGGCAATATGTTCTTTCACACACGCTCCCGGTTGGAGACGTAAATCAAACAAACATCTTGTAGCATGGATCTTGTGCCCCGCAGTGTTTCTGGAATTGAGCCGCTGCAGAACCGTCCAGACCTCATGCGTGTTCTTTAACTCAGAAACATAAGGCATTTGCTCTGGTCCCACTGCCAAAACTAGTAGACCTTGGGCTTTCCTGTCGCGTTTCTGTGAAGCTGCCGCTGCTGCTTTGTCTTCTGCAGACGCGTCTGCAGCTGCCTGTAAAGGCGGTGCTTCAGTACAACTCCACAACTCTTTTGCTTGCAACCAAACCCTTACTCTAGCCTTCCAATCTTGCCAATTTTTCCCATTGAGTCGCGTAAATGGGACAGTAAAACTTTCCTGGGACTCTGCCATCCTCCCTGGGGCTTAGGAACGATACTCACAGACCTGTAGACCGTCTCCCAGCTGCTGAGGTGGCCCTCGAGGAATAAGACGTCTTCCAGCGAGTACAAACTGCGCAGTGCCTCTTTAAAACTTTTCCTAGGCACGTTGCAGGACTCAAGCTGCTTTGAAGGCTTTCGTTGTCGGCAACCGCTTCTGTCTTCGCTCCAGTCCTTTCATAAATCACTCTGAACTGCACTCCTTATCTCCTTCTTGACGTACAAACACCATAACCTGTCCAGAACCTGTCCCATTAAACTTTAATTAGCTTAATGCTAATCAAATGTCCAGTGCGCTTCCGATGCGACAATGTGCCATTACAGCAGAGCATTTCGCACAGCGGCTCAAGAAGGGCTGGAGAGTCAGCATCTTTTCAAGAAAGGGATCTTGGAGCAAGCGGTTTGGAACTCAAATAAAAGGTTTATTTACACAAAACAAAAACCCTGGTGAAGAACCACACATTTCAGCAAACACGCCCCAAAAAAAAGGGGGAAAAGGGGCAAACACACGAGTGAGCTGATTATTTATACAGACTCACATTCCTGGAAGCTTAACGACCTCCAGCTGCTCAGTGAATAGAGCGTCTTGATTAGAGCTTCTTAACCCTTTAATACCAACAAAGTCACACCAAAGTGATGTTCCACACTTCCATCTTGAATCAAAATGGGGGCAACATCCGAACTTTGACAAAGATCGCTGCCCCCACTTTGTAACCATTGTGCTTTTAATTCTCTTTTTTTATATATAAAATATTTATTGAAATTTTCAAAGTGTTGCGAAATAAAATAAAAGCAGAAGAAAATACAAAATAAAAATAGTTAACAAAGTAGATAAAGAAAGAAAAACAAACCCCTTCCAACCCTACGAATACAAATTCAAAAATAAGAGAAAAAGACATAAAAAAAACAAAAATACACCACAAACAATTTAAGAACATTTAAAAACAAATTCATTATTCTCGAATCCTCAACTGTCATTACCTTCTTTCTTTGACCTCCTCCTCCTCCCTTTCTTTGTATCCTAGTTATTAATTATCCCAGCAAATCCTTTCCATATTTCATAATATTCTGTCATTACATTACCCTAAACAGTTTTAATCTTATCTTTCTTTCTATAAGAAAATAAACCTTAAAGCTTAAAACTTAAATCTTATCCTTACCAACTTCTCATAACCATAATATTCTTTCATAATTCTTTAAACATCTTTACTAAAGCCGAGTAATTTCATTCCAACATTTTTCTAACATTCATCAATTTTATAAAACAGTTCTAATGGTAGAAAAAGAAATACAAACAGATCCAATCTTCATCCAACGTCCCTTCCTCCTGGTTCCGGGTTTTGTCAGTCCTTATTATCCCATCGATCTGGCCCATTAACCTGGCAACCTTATATCCGAGGCCCTCAAGTCTCTTCCATGTCCCTTCCACAGCTCTTCTTCATATTTGTAACTGTATTTTCCCTTGTCTCCTGCTCGTGGTAACTCCAGCTTGGCAATATTTTTAACCCTTCTCGACAGATCAGCCCCTTTTCCATATTCAGCACTGAATTCCATATGGTATTTAAAAGCATGTTTCAAAGACCTTCCAAAATTAAGAGCCCCCACAATCCCAAACATCTCACGGCCCATTGCCAGATTTGAAAAGTCCAAACATCCCAGCATGGGGGGGGTCAATCCAGCCCCCATTTCCAAGCCAAACCAAACTTTTCCTTTCCAAATCTGGCTTTTTCCAAGTTCATTTGTCAAATCCGAAAACTCATATTCCTGTTGGGCCTGTTCTGTCAGGACACACTCCTGATTTAATTCCTGGGTGGGCTCCACATATTTTCCCACTGTCTGTTCAAAATTTCCCACTGCCTGTTCAAAATTTCTAGTCGAAGTCGTCATCAAATTCACCTTCTCATGTAACTGTTCCAGTAGGGCATTTGTTTTGTAGAAAGCACACAACAAAGCTTCTGAATACATTGTCCTGCAAGGTCAAATGCCTATTCCCACGATTGTAATCTGTAAACAGCTGCCGGCTCCCTGGAGTTGGTTACAGTTTCACAGTCTCCCTCTAGGGGGAAAACTTCTATTTGTTCTTGCAACAAAGTTTCCCTTTTTGAGATACTTTGTCAATATTTATTCCTTTAAAATGCGGAGGGGAACAGTGGAATCACTATGTTTCTCTTCTTTTAGCTATCTGTCAAAAACGTTTGTCTCTGGTCAATGAACTTCAAACGTCAGTCCTGACACCCCGCTCCAGGATCAGGACGGAGGAAAGTTGCTTTACTTTAAACTCACTTTAAACAGTCCAAAAAGATCCCCTTCTTCTCCTGCTGTCGAAGGGGGGTTCCACAATTTTAAATGATGAAATCCAATCCTTTAAAGGCGATTTTCTGAGCTCTAGTTTACGTTGTCTTTGCTTTATTCTGTCTACAGAAGAACGGAAGGCTGACTTCCTGTTTAGACCTTCCCGTTCCGTACCAAATTGAAATAAATTTTTAAGATCCAATTCCTTTCTGCTCGCAAGTCCCCATTTAATGTCCAGTTGTTCAAAGTCTAAGTACTCACGGGTGCTTATTTTTGAGTCCAAATTGTCCCAGGAAAAAGGCAGCGCTCTCCGGCAACGGCTATGCGGCTTCGCTCCACGGAAATAGCAGTTGACTCACAGCACCGCGCCACTTCCCCCTCTTCACTTCGGAGCCCGTTAGTGGGTTCCTTAGCGAGTTGGGGGGGCGCTAAAGGTGCCCGCCGAGTCCCATGGTCACAGGCTTCATCCGCCTGTGATTTTTAAAAGGGTCCCCGCTTCGCCGTAGCGGAGAAGACCCGTTTCCCGCGGAGCTAGTCCCTCCAGTTCAGAGGGAGTCCGCCATTGCCGATGGCGCCACCCCGGAAGTGACCATTGTGCTTTTAATTCTCAGTGACAATATCTTGATAGGCATCGAAGCACACAGGGAACGAACAGACAAGCCATTTTCCAAAATACATGGTAGATATTAATACATTTTCTAGACTGCCTTTCAAATCAAAGTGTACTTGCACAACATTCAGTTAAAATAACATTATAAAATATGACCAGGAAAGAAACAGCAACGCCGCAGGTAATGCAACATAAAATCACTTCAGATTCAAAGCTAAGGGTTTTTTTTTCTTTGAAAAGCAAAGTATTAAATAAATATATATTTATCATTATTCATTCGCCAGGAGCTGGAAAGATAGCAGTGTGGGCACCTGTGAGCTTCCCTGGGGAGAGCTTTCCACAGATGAAGCACCACCACCACAAAGGCCCTCTCCCTGGTCAACATCTGTCACACTTCATTCAACAGGAGCACCTCAAGAGCTGCCTGTGAAAATGAATGGCCTTAGGGTTCTGTGGATATGGGATAGTACCCATGAAAGATATTTAAAATAAAATAAAAAAGTTTCTCCCTTCTGTTGCCTTTCTCCTCACCATATACTGAACAGTTCTGGATGTTGTTTCAAGTTTTTGAAAATTCATTATTAATTACTACTATGAAAAGATGAGTGCTTCTCTCTGATTAAGTCATCCTATAGCCCTCTAAAAAAAGAACACAAGGAGCAAAAGGCTACCCATTCCCCATGGCAAATATACCCTATTTCAGAAATACTTTGTTGTTGTCGTTTAGTCGTGTCCGACTCTTTGTGACCCCATGGACCAGAGCATGCTTGGCACTCCTGTCTTCCACTGCTTCCTGCAGTTTGGTCAGACTCATGTTCGTAGCTTCGAGAACACTGTCCAACCATCTTGTCCTCTGTCATCCCCTTCTCTTTGTGCCCTCAATCTTTCCGAACATCAGGGTCTTTTCCAGGGAGTCTTCTCTTCTCATGAGGTGGCCAAAGTATTGGAGCCTCAGCTTCAGGATCTGTCCTTCCAGTGAGCACTCAGGGCTGATTTCCTTCAGAATGGATAGATCTTCTTGCAGTCCATGGGACACTCAAGAGTCTCCCCCAGCACCATAATTCAAAAGCATCAATTCTTCAGCGATCAGCCTTCTTTATGGTCCAGCTCTCTCTTGTCTTACTTTAAAAAGAAGAAGAAAAAGATTGATTCTTTCCCCATCTCTCTTTGGGTGGTGTATGCTCCCCCTTCTCCAGCACTAAAGTGAAGATCAGTGTGTTCTTTGTAAGTCAGGAACCTACCTGCCATCTACAAAATATTTATACCTACTTCAAAGCTCATCCTGCCCTTCATTTTAGACAGACAGATAGGCAGACAGACAGACAGATATCAGGAAACTGCAACAAGAACAGGCAAAGTCATTCCACACATCTTGGTTTGTACAAAGTCAAGTTTTTCACTGTGTGTGTGTATAGAAATGCTGTTTTCCCTCTCTCTCTCTCTCTCTCTCTCTCTCTCTCTCTCTCTCCCCCCTCCCATTCTCTGCTGCCTCCTAGGCCAACCACACATACACAGATTTCAGTGTCTCGTGGAAAAGCTTGATTTAGCCTAGCAACTGTCTGCATCTCTCTAGGGAGATCTTCCTCTCACTTTGGGAACCCCGAGGCTAAATGGTCAATTTGCAAGATGTTCTTCAGCTGTAGGATTGAAAATACTCATTTGTGTTTGTGTTGCTGCAACCCTCAAAAATGCCCTCCAGAAGAATCAAAAAGATGACTGTGGTTGCTTTTGGGGGGGGTTATATAATAAACCCCCACAATAACAAGGAGTGGGGGGGGTTGCTTTTCTCCCTCCTTTCTCGCTATTTTATGCAGCTGCTCTGTCTCCGTTCTACATCACTGATGTAAAAAGCTTGTTTCTGCCTGCAGCAAGCATATGTCTTAGAGCTGCCTCCAAGTTGCCAGTTAATTTTCTCTCTCCCCTCCCCTCTCCCGCTTTTCTAGGAGGCTGGATGGCATAAATAACTATCCTTAACCATGAAAGTAAAAGATAGTTGCTTACAATCCTCTTTATGATACAACTTCTTCAGATCTGGGCAAAAAATAAAATGTTCAAGCACAGGTGTTGTCCCGTCCCCCCCAGCTAAATTCTTCAACCCGCTGGGCACAATTTAGCACAGACTTAAGCAAGCTTAACTCCCCTAAAATAAATTGGCTTGAGTAGGCTTGGCCCTGCGCTGGATTGTGACAGGCAGAGGGAGGCATCCAAACCTACTCAAGGGCAAACACTATTGAAAGTAATATAACCGGGATTCGTACTCGTTTTCTGTAGGTCTTGCATCAGAGCCAGTGTGTTGTAGTGAGGATAGTCACTGATCTGCCTTCCAGGAGATCTGGATTCAAATCCCTGCTCAGCGGGGCAACTTGCCTATAATTTTGGATCCATTACTTCCTTACTCCTAATTTGTAGGTATTCCAAATGGTTGGGAAGGAAGTGCAAAGAAGTGTAATGAATGAGGAAATATTCCCTTTGGATTGTTACACCACTGCCATCTTGAAAAGCCCAAATCCATCTGAATAATCCATTTCCCTTCAGTGCTGTGATAAACTTCCTCCACAATATATGTATTAGTTTCAGAAACAAGATGTTTGGTTTCCTGGCTAACTCCATAAAGCTGGAAGAAAGAAGCAGAGCAAATTATAACACTTCAGTCACATCCATCGCATACGTTGAAAGCATTCTTATATCACTTTAACAGTCATGGCTTCCCCTCAAAGAATCCTGGGAACCGTAGTGACCTTATTATACCTGTCACTTTCTCTCAGCTGAACCTACTTCACAGGGTTGTTGTGAGGATAAGTAAATACTGGAGAGAGACCATTTTTTCTGAAGCCCTGAAGCCCTCGAAGGAAGGATGGAGTGAAAATGTAATTAAAAATAATATTATTACAGCCATGAAATTAGTTCCAAGGTCACTTCAAGCTTGCCTTTCCTAAATGATAGCTCTCCCCCCTGTGTGAGACATTGTTTTTGAAAATGGATCAAAAGAAGTTTCATAAGAATAAGTATAAAAGATTCACGCAATCCTGTTTGGGAGGTGGGTGAGTCAGCTGTTACAACAATGCAAAACTTCGTAGGTTAGAATTACCAGATGTCCCTGTTTCCCGGGGACAGTCCCCAGATTTGCAAATAAGTCCCGGGGCAAATTCCATCCCTGGAATGTCCCCGGATTTCATCTAATGTCCCGGGAAACGCAGCAGCGGCAGTCTCAGCAGCCCGGAGCAGTTGTCTCTGGCTGGCTTCAGGAGCTGCTTGGAAGTCCCCATATGATGGTGGTGCGGGGGCTCTAAAATGCAGCTTCTGGGCTGCCTCCACCTTCCCTGACCCCAGCAACTAAGCTGTGAAGGGAGGCTTCATGCTGCCTATCGGCACAGCCTCTCAACTACTTGCGTGCAAGCAGGAGCAGGGCAGGGATCTCTCAGCTGTGAAGGGAGGCTTCACGCTGCCTATCAGAGCTTGCATGCAAGCAGCCGGAGGCAGGGATCTCTCAGTTAGGCAACGGGAAGCCTCCCTTCCCAGCTGAGGGATCCCCGCCCCCTCCTGCTTGCATGCAAGTAGGAATGGGATTGGGGCTGCTCTGATGGGAAGGGAGGCATCGCGGTGCCCAAGCCTCGCCACCGCCACTCTTGGCCCCCCTTCTCTGCCTTCCATGCATGACGCACCACGCATCGCTTCCCTACCACCACCACCACCACCACCGAAGAACCAACAACTCAGGGGCTGCCCAGGCTCATGGAAAAAAGAGATAGAAGCCTCGGAGGAAGGGGAAATGTGGTGGTTGAGGTCAAGGCGGTGGCCGCCCCTCTGCCACCGCCATCGCTGCAGCATCAACGTCCTGAACGTGTAGTATTTGATTGATTGATTGATTGATTGATTGATTGATTGAGTGTCCCTGGATTCATTGGGGGGAAATCTGGTAACCTTATCGTAAGCAGAGATTCTACTGTGTTGATGCAAGGTGTTCTTTGACAGTGATCTGGTTGACTATGTCCTAAGACACGCTGAGTACCTATACACATTTCTTTAAAAATCCCCCCTCCCCTGTTTGTTTTGCAGGTAGCAACTGTTCTCATCTCTACACTTGCTCAGCAGCAAACTGATGCAGCAATGAAGAATAACATCCTACTTGTGTTCATAGCTACCAGCTTCCCACGTCCCGAAAGCCATGAAAGAAAGACAGAAAGACTGAAAGGAAGTGAATGTGGAACCCCAAGTCCAGTTGCTTTGTACAATGGCCATTCATCATGCAACTAGGAGAAATTGTTTCTACGTTTGTATTTATTTCTTGAAGGACTTTTAAAAAATATAAATGTGTGTGTGTGTGTGTGTGTGTGTGTGTGCGCATGCGCATGCACACGCACACGCTCACACACACTCCTTCCAGGGCAAGGGAAGAAGAACCAGGCTTTCACTCTGGACAAAGCTCTTTCTGGTAACGTCGCATCCTGATTTTTGAAGCTCTGCATTGTGAAGCGATGGGATGAGGGCTTCTGCAAATCTGCTCCATGCCACAGCAGTTCAAAAGGAGGCCATCCCTGCAATGGGAACAATGGAATATGCCAACATCACTTTGGGGGAAGAGAAGCTCTCAGAGTAGCTTAAAGCCTCATTCAATCTGAGGGGTTTGCCCTCCAGAAGAATGCGGTAGGGCAGTTCGTGCTTGGAGGTACATGTGGTTCATTCTTTGGCTTTGTTGAGTTCTGCATCAGTTCCCTTTACAGTGGTACCTCTGGTTAAATATGCTTGAGGTTACAGACGCTTCAGGTTACAGACTTCGCTAACCCAGAAATAGTACCTCGGGTTAAGAACTTTGCTTCAGGTTAAGAAACAGAAATCGCGCTGCAGCGGCACGGCAGCAGCGGGAGGCCCCATTAGCTAAAGTGGTGCTTCAGGTTAAGAACAATTTCAGGTTAAGAACAGACCTCCAGAACGAATTAAGTACTTAACCCGAGGTACCACTGTATATAAGATCCAAATTGACACACATGGTTCCAGCCATCTTCAGTTCCTCTTGGACTGGAATGATAAACTGAGCTAGAAAGTGGGTCCATTGAACCCAAGAGCCTCATTGTTCCAGTTTGCATGTCACAGTAAAACATAGTTAACGGTTTGCTGTGAATGCACAAAGGGGGCTGTTTCTTCTCCCCACTAGTGTATGAAGAAAACAAACCATGATCCCTTGTTTAGTGCTATATCTGAACCAGGGAGGATGACTTGGTTTGCTGCAACAAACCCATGATCAGTAAGCCAAGAAGAAGCCTTGGGTACAGAGCATGATTTATTGGGAGTGAAACAAACCATGGTCCCTGGTTCAGATGTAATGCTAAGCCAGTGAATGTGCTTTGTTTCCTGTCATTGAAAGCTGGGAGGGGCAAACTGGCTAAGATCAGCATCTGCACAGGAAACCATTAACTATGGTTTACCATGATGTGTGAATGACACCATTGTCTAAAACTTATCAGGATGAAATCCTTGTGTGCGGTATTATTTGGCTAAATCTTTTTCACAGGAGAAGATGCTCTGATTCCAGAGCTTCCCTCTCCTTCTTCAAGTGGGTGAAATCCTGGCTAATAGCTAAGCAGTGGCTTCATGAAATTCCGTGGCTGGGAGTGGGATACTGCAATAGGTGGACTTTTGGTTAGATACAGCTGGTCAGTTCTTCTATTCTTGTGGCTTTGTAGAACTATTACACATTCTGGAACTGTCGGTGCACTTGCATGATCAAACTCAACTAACTCATTTCCTGTCCGGACAGCTATGAACTCCAACAAAACCAACATGTTTGGAGTGAGCAGAGAGTGTTCAGCCATTGACTCCAAGCTTTAAATACATGTGATGGTGGCAAAAAAATGCAGCATCACCCAGAAACAAGACTTGGAACCACTGGGGAGGGAAATGACTACTGAAAACAGAAATATTCATCCATTATGAGTGTTAAAGGGAAACAAAAGCACCTACAAGTAATTTCTTATATTTGTAATTGGAAAAGTATTGTCAGCACATCAATAAGGTTTGGGGCCAATGTAGAGTCAAAGAAACAAAGAATTGATGGACCCAAATACCTGAAAAGGTAGAATGACATGATAGCACAAATGTTTGTTTCTGTGGTGGGCTGTGCTCACAAAAGCTCACTGCTGGTGTTTTTACATATGTGTGGAAATTCTCACACCCAAGAATTAGAAGGACACTTTTTTTAGCAACTGAGCCACCCCTAAAAATGATTCAGAAATGGCAGGATACCTACTTGTTTCTTAGCTTGTTTGTAACATGGGTCTTTTCTGCCTATGCCATTTATATCAACCTGGGTCGCCTGGCGTGTTTTATGGAAAATATACTTTCCCACTTCGCCTCCTCTGCTCTTCTGAATCTCAATAGGGAATAACCAAGTTATACTCTCCGTTGAAATGTCATATATATTTCATGCTCGCTGCATTACAGGAGGGGGGGGGAGAAGTGATGTCTTAAATTAGCAAAATAATTAGAAGCACAGTAATGAGGAAAGTATAATTTAAAGGAGAAAGAGGCTATGTGGGAGTTAAGGTTGGCAGGAAAGGTTTGTCAAGCTTTTCGATTCCCTTGCCAGCTGCTGCTTCTGTGGGAAATCATGGAGGTCACCTCATTATAGAACAAAGAGAATCCTGGGAAATTTCAGAGAACATTAGCTATAGAAAATATTTGAAGAATGGGGACTAGGGCCCATACTGAACCTCTAGCATTAAGACCAAGCCACTTTTGTTCTTTTCACCAAGAGAAGGATGAGGTCCAACTGAGAAGAGAAATTATATGAACTTGGCACCTCTTTAAGGTGCTTTTTTTCTTTCTGTCAGGTCTACTGCTGGGCTTTTGAGGGCCAATTTATATGTGGAGAAGCTATACAATGTTGCATCAAGCAAGTGACCCCACACTACGCAGGGCATTTTCCCCATCACTTTCCTTGTTGCAAATAGCCCAGTTTGGGAGCAAGGCTGGAAGATTGGGCTTGTCATGCAAGATCTCCAAATACACTTTAAATGCACAACATGAATTTGGTGGCATACGATTGAATCCCATCCGAAACTACTGATAATCTGGAAATGCCCCCCCCCTCTGAATGTCTTTGTTCATTGTTTTGCAAAATTGCAATTGCTTTGCTAAATAACAACCTTTAGCAGGGGCAGGGAAGGAACTGATCCAGGCTGCACAGACTTCCCCAGTGGCCTACCAACCCCCCCGACCCAATTTCCCAGGGGCGGTGGCGGCAGCACTGCTGAAGAGAAGAAAAGAGTGCACAACGTCAAGCAGGCACAGCAGTTTAAATCCCCATCATGGTCATGCAGTGCCACCCAGGATGCAAATCACCTCCTCCCTGCTCATCAGATGAACAGTTTCCACCCCCCATCATCCAATTATTCAAGCTTCACCTGTCATTGCGTTGTGTGCAGGAATAGTTTAAAACTTTGCTGTAACCGTTTCAAGCCCCTACTGTGGCTCCCCAGTAAAGAGAGCCAGTGTGGTGTAGTGCTTAAGAGCGGTAGTCTCGTAATCTGGGGAACCGGGTTCGCATCTCCGCTCCTCCACATGCAGCTTCTGGGTGACCTTGGGCCAGTCACACATCTTTGAAATCTCTCAGCCCCACTCACCTCACAGAGTGTTTGTTGTGGGGGAGGAAGGGAAAGGAGAATGTGAGCCGCTTGGAGACTCCTTACAGTAGTGATAAAGCGAGATATCAAATCCAAACTCTTCTTCTCTTCTTCTTCTGAGCTCAAGCTTGCAGGCAATAGAGGAAGGAAGGGCAGTCATGGTTAATGGTGGTAGAAAGACCCCCTTTCTAAATGTGACCAGGTTTTTCACTGTGGTTTGCGAACTTTTTTTTTACTGGCCTGCAGCTATGACTTTAAGAGCAGCTTGATATGCAAAAAGAAAAAGAAAAAAGTAGCAGCAACCTAATCCTTTTAAAATCATACCAGGAAAAGCTTCATCAGTTAAATATTTGTGTGTCATGTTGTTGTTAAAAACAAGAGTCGGGTAACTACATTGCATATCCTGTGCCTTCTTATCTGCTCCTAAGCATGCTTAGTCAGGTCAAGCCCCATTGAATTGGATAGGACTTACTTCCTAGCTGGTATGCACAGAAGTGTCACTGCCATCTAGGAACCTAGGAACCAAACAAACCCCTGTGTTGCAAAGAGAACGTCAGCAATATCTAAGCAACATGATGACCATGTACATATGCAATAGACAATCTTTACAGAATTCCTTCAAACCATAATAAGTACAAAATGAAATCTGTTAGTAGCAGTGACTACATTCTTATATGAGCACTGTTCCACAGCATTTGATATTTTCATTTATATGCATTCATTCGAAATAAGATGGAGTATGTACTCTTTTTCATTACTGTTTGTATTATAGTTTATAATTTTTGTAAAGTGATATGTCATGCAGGTCATCGTCTGTAAAATTTTATTTTCAGTTTATGAAGTAATTCTATATCCTCCCACCACACTGATGAAGAATTCTACGAAACAGTAGTCAATATCCAGAATCACTGTTCAGTGTTGGGCATCATATTTGCTGAATACACAAAGCTTCACAGCTTGTCTTTCATCGGTACCTTGCTTCATTTAAAGATTTTCAGAGACTTTGAGACTAAAGATTTCATTTTGTACTTACTATGGTTTGAAGGAATTCTATAAAGATTGTCTATTGCGTATGTACATGGTCATCGTGTTATCTAGGAACTAGTAGCAGTCTCTGGCTGTCACAGGCCATTCTGGTAAAATACACGCCTTACTTTGCAAAAGGTCTCAGCCCCTGCATTTCCACACATGGTTGGAAAGATTCCTGTCTGAATCTCCAGAAAGCCACTTCCTGTCAGACTAGATGAGCCAGCGCCAGCTTCCTGCTTCTTGGGGACTGTTTGCCTATCCAGAGGCTACTGAAACAAAAATGCAGAAAGTGGAATGTTGGTAGGATTGTGTGTGAAGAGTGTGAAGTAGAGCTTTCAGGAAGGACTTCAGGATTCCTGTCAAGGATGGCTCTCCAGATGTTGTGGGACTACAACTCCCAACGTGCCTGGCCATTGGCCAAGCTGGCTGGGAATTGGGATTCAGAAACGTCTGGTGTGTTGCAGGTTCCCTGCTCCTGATGGCAGCCTTCTGTTGAGCCACAGATTGAAGAAGGACATAGCTTGAGGGCATGCCTTTGAAATGTTCTGGCAGCTGGATAAATAACTTCCAAAGGTCCCACTTTATACAGAGCCCTCACCTGTGTTGCATATGTGGAGAGACAGGCCAGCTTCCAGAAAATGAAAATAAATGGGACAGAGTTTGTGGCATCTTTGGCCTTGCCTTGTGATGAGGGGATGTAATTGACCAGCAGAACTGTATGAGGTAAGGTCGCATCCAAACCATACATTTAAAACCCTGTTATACTACTTTAACAGCCATGGCTTCTTCCCAGAGACTCATGGGAACTGTAGTTACCTTGAAATATAAAACAAGCCTGCTGGATCAAGCCAATGGCTCATCTAGTCCAACATTTTATTCTCATAGTAGCCAACCAGGACCACCAAACAGCATTCAGAAGCTTTGCTGCCCCTGTACGTAGTTTGTTAAGGGATGCTGGGAATTGTAGCTCTATGAGGGGTCTTCTAACAACTCTCAGCACTCTTAGCAAGGGTTCTTTGGGGGAATACATGGCAGCTGAAGTGGTATAAGAGTGTTTTAAAAATATGGTATAGGTGTGACCTTGTAACAGGTATGCTACAGACCAGCAGAAGGATGCTTTCAGAACTAACAGAGAAAGGTCCTTTGAGAAGAGTGAGTTGTTTGTAAAGAGCTGTTAAGAAAGGCTTCAAGCAGGCTTTGTGGCATCTCATTGGGACTAGTGGTGTAGTCCTTGAATTTCATGAATGACATTAACCTTCTGTATTGTCAAAGCAAAAATGAAAACAACCGCGGTGTTAACAAGAGAAAGAGAGGAAATGTCAACGAAGTTGTTTTGTGATGTTTGTTTATGATGGTGGGCACTTGGCTATTATTAAACATGCTATGAAAACAGCACGTGGAGATAACTTGTATCAAGGGCGGACTTTGGTAATCTTTTGCAATATGGCACCCTGTGCGAGGCCAAAATTTGGCGCCCCCAAGTGGATCTTTTTCAATGATGGATGTTCTTAATTTTGCAGCCTCTCAGCTTGGTGCCCTGTGCAGGGGCTGTCCACACTGCCCAAAATCAGACGCTGCTGATAACTCATCTTCCCTTCAGTAAAGAGGCTTTTCAAAGGAGAACTTCCACTGGTGATGATGTCAGGGCAAGACTCTGGGGGCAGAATCTAGGCCCCACCCATCAGGTGACATCCAAATTCCAGCAGAACTTGCCTACCACATTTTGAAGTATATAGTGCACATTACTACCTAAAGAAGGAGGCTCATGTAAGACCTTTCATCTCGAGTCTAAAATGGCTTAATTAGACCACTGGCCGTTTCCAATAAAAGCTTTATTTGTAAGAGATTACACTGTACAGAGTGCTTATAGTATTTGCTTTGTTTTACAATGTTAGGAAAACACATTTGTAGCAAACAGGCACTCCTTCCATAGACAGAAAAGTCCCGAAAGAGGAACCTGTGAAGTGCCCCACAAGGTCACTTACCCAGTTTCAACTAACACTCCTGAGATACACACTCTCTGTATAGGCCTCTCTAGTTCTCTGTCAATTCCAGCTGCACACTGGAGTTCATAGAACTTGGAAGGGACCCTGAGGATCATCTAGTCCAACCCCCTGCAATGCAGGAATCTCAGCTAAAGCATCCATGACAGATGGCCATCCGACCTCTGTTTGAAAACCTCGAAGGAAGGAGAGTCCACCACTTCTCGTGGGAGTCTGTTCCACTGCTGGACAGCTCTTACTGTCAGAAAGCTTTTTCTGTATGTTTAGTCGGAATGTCCTTTCTTGAAACTTGAAGCCATTGGTTTGAGTCCTACCCTCCAGAGCAGAAGAAAAGGTTATATACCAGGGGTCCTCAAACTTTTGAAACGGGGCCAGTTCACTGTCCCTCAGACACTGTCGGGGGCCGGACTATAGTTTGAAAAAAATTCAACGAATTCCACACTGCACATATTTTATTTGTAGTACACACACAAAACAGGGAAAACAATACAATATTTAAAATGAAGAATGATTTTAATCAACATAAACTTATAAGTTTTTCAATGGGGAGGGGGAATACGAGAGAGAGAGAGAGGAGAGTGACCGAGTAAGAGGGAGGAAAGGAAAGAGGCGTCACCTCAGGTTCTGGGCAGCAGCGGCGGCAGCATCCGGCTGCTCCTCCCTCAGTGCCCTCCAGCAAGAGACCCTCAGCCCAGCTGTGGCTCTGGCGACGGCCACTGCACCTTTGCACTACGTTTGTATTTCCACAGGCCTTCCTTGGCAGCAGCGGCTCCTCCGGGCTTGGCTCTAGGCCCGGCTGGTCCATGGGCTGGTCCCTCCCCTTTCAGACCTGCTTCACCTGGCAACCAAGGAGGAGGAGGAGCGTATATGAAGAAGGAGAAGCCGGGTGGGAAGGGCAGGGGGGATTGCGACAGCGAACCAGTGGTCCCTTCCCAGCGGTTTGAGGGAGCTGCCACTAACTGGCAGTGTCTCATTCTCTCACTCACTCACTCTCTCTCACACACACACCCCTCCCTAGTGCTCCTGGGTGGGATTGATGGACAGCCAAGTGGGATGGGGCCGGAGAGTGTGGTCTGAGGAGAAGCCGGGAGGGATTGGACCCAGCTGCTGGCTGTTTATTGAGGATCCATTCTGATTTGTTTTCAGGGAGAGTATATGATGTTGCTTCGTTATCTCACACTTTCCAGTCGCTTTTGTTACCACAGATGTATTTCTCTCTCTCTTTTTAAAAGGTTTGTCACAGAAGAGCACCAAATATTTAATTGCACAACCTAAATTTGCCAGTACTTGACTGAATCCCATCAGGAAACAACTCCAGTGTGGAAGTTGCACAGTTTCCATGCATTCTTTTCACAAACCAGTGGCACTGGTTTCATATTTACAGAATTATAGCCATAGCTGTCAACTTTCCCCTTTTCTTGCGAGGAATCCTATTTGGAATAAGGGAATGTCCTTTTTAAAAAGGGGAAAGTTGAAAGCCATTGGAAGTGGTCAACCTGTAGCACTGATGTAGTAAATGGCACAGGCGGAAAAGGGTTTTTGCAGTCTTCCCCCACCCTGCCCAATAAAATATTCTGTCAATATACCCAACCACAAGGCCTCAAGGTGGCTATGCTTAAAAAGGTTTATAACAAACTATGGAAAAGAAACTAAAATAGATTCTGAGCATTGTAAAATACTGAAAAGTGATGAGGCCAGCTTGAAAATGTTAAGACACAATGTACACAAATATCAAAAAATAAATCCCATATTGCAAAATGGATATCCAATCTCGCAGAGCTGCTTGTGAAAATATGTGTATTCATGGGGAGAAAGCAGAAAAAAAGGAATCCACTTCCAATCATGCATACATTTGTAAATTCAAAGACTCTTCATGAATAACAAATTCAGTTCTTGCTCTGCCAATCTTACTCCTAAATATCAAAACCGAAACAGATGGTGCTACAGAGACAATGGCTTTATATACCGGATGTTCATGGGTACCTCTGAAGCCAGAAGACATTATATGAAAGCCATTCCAGCAAACCCATTGTCATACAATCACAGGTGCAAATGATGTTTTAGGAAAACAATTTCAAGGAGCACATTCATATGGGCATAACACAGGCATAGGCAAACTCAGCCCTCCAGATGTTTTGGGACTACAACTCCCATCATCCCTAGCTAACAGGACCAGTGGTCAGGGATGATGGGAGTTGTAGTCCCAAAACATCTGGAGGGCTGAGTTTGCCTATGCCTCGCATAACATATTTGATATAGGTGAAAATGCCACAAATATTTTGGATACCTTTTCTACAGGAGGAGAATTGATTACTTAGATATATGTCAATGGTGAGAGGAATTTGTGTTTTGTTTTTAACTGATTGTAGATTCACTAATAGCTCAATTTGAGGGGTCATATATCACAGTGATATAGAAGTGCACAAGAAGTTAGCATCCAACTGCAACCCTGTACATTTTATATCAAGGCAATGTTGTGGTCACCCAAAAGTCGGTCATCTGAAAGCAAGAAAGCGTTTTCCTCCATTCTTCCCCACTAGTGTAATGAATTGTGTCTCACAAGCAGCAGCAGCAAATGGGAACTTGCAGCAAAGTGTTGCAGTGCATGCCTAGCTGCTAACAGGCTCATGGGGAACGAGAAAAAAATAGGGGTCAAAGGAACCACAAAGTGGTTATCTCTGGAAGCTCAATAAAAGTCCATAAGACCTGAAAGCTCACAGACCTTGTCAAAATATTTTATTTTATTTTTTGCAGGGGTTGGGAGCTAAAAGTGAGTTTGTGGTTGCACAGCAACCCTCCTTCCCGAACTATAGCACTCTTCGATTACCTTGATATTTGCTTAGTCCACACAAACAGCAAAATAAGACATAAAAAGTGTTCCTGGACTTCTCTGCTTCAGAGTGTGTGCAGGAGATGAGGAGCATTTGCATGATCTGATGTTTTTCCACATGGAAAATCCCCACACGTAGAAAACTAAATGTGAGAGTCCAACCCAGCTTCCCTTCTACTCCGACAATACAAGAGTTTTGAACGTCCTGGGAATCTTTTTTTCATTTCAGAAGCATTCATCCAAGTGATCTTCCACCTGCTGTTTGAAGCGTCACAGTCGGGGAACACATTCACCAGCTTATCTGTGTAAAGCAGGGTTTATTTCATTAAATATCTTGGGCCCTGCATGGTTGACAAGGCTTCCTCCTTCTCCCTATCTGCTTTCTGTGCTTACTATATGGTTTTCTTACCGTATCTCTGCTTTTAACCATCAGTCAATTGCGGGGAGCAGAGAAGATAGTCGCGACTCCTGCTTACGAAGAGTTCATTTCACCAGAAGGCCTTGTTGTGTGGGGAGAAGCAGAGGGACTTTCCAGATGTTTCTTTTAGCGTGCACAGATGTTGCTCAGATCTCAAAACATTGTTCCATATGGAGCTCATTCCGTTGCAGAGATGTTGTTATGCCCCCAAGCTGAAACATTACATAAGGGCAGGATATGAGTTATATCACTGGTGCTGGATCACGGCTCGTGCTAATAAAGTGCTAAAAATAAAACTCATTTTAATCTTTGTCTGGAAAGGTCCATGCACCATATGCTTTTTTGTCCCAAGCTATGCATTGCGTAGCCATATGGTTCCGAACAAATCATTTCTCTGGGCTTGTTTATGCATCTGCACAAGAGATAACTGACAATACCTTGACATTGCTATTGTGAGCTACTGGAAATGTTGGAGAGGGGGGAAAACTAGCTTGCTTGTTGTGTTACAAGCTCCCGCTCGTCTTTTTAGGCTCATTATCACGGTTAACATTTATTACTCCAGGATGCAGGATAAGTTGTCAAGGATCTTTCTATGGCAGAAAGACTAGTTTCTACTCAAGTAGAATTAAGTAGGTCTCTGTTGCATTGCTCTTTGCTCCATTGAATCTGCTTCCTATGCTTTAGCAGGAGGAACAAGAATTCCCTGTGGATACATAACTCTGTACTGATGACAGGTCGGCTGGGAATAGATCTGGATGAAGGAAATTTCACATAGACATTTCATTCTGAAATTTTCTAAGACTAAATGCAGAAATAAGATCCAATTGATAGGAAATATCTACCCACTGTAGCACCCCCCAAAAAGAATGCTACTGAGAATGAGTGATGGTGATGATTTGATTTCTTACCTGCCCTTTACCACAAAGTTCCAGGGCAGGTTACAGTTGCAATTTAAAATTTTGATATTAAAAATCAGTTTAAAACAAATACAATCAATATATCTCATGTGTTAAAGGTAAGGGTAAAGAGGTGTGTCTTCAGTATGCAAGGACACTACATAATTTCTTTTTTATATATAGAGAGAGTTACGAGCACAATAGAGTGTATCCTTCTAGGAAAATCCAGTGAAGTTCCCCTTCAGTTCTGTAATCCTAGGGTAACTGACAATTGGAGCAGATTGTTCTTTCTGGCAAGAAAACAAATTCATTGCAACTACTTCTTCTTTGGCCAACGGATGGAATCCAGCCAAGTCTACACAACCCTTACCATAATGTGAATTCTCTTGCAAGTAAAAATCATATACAATATTCAGGTTTTTCTTTTTACCTTTGTCTGACTACATATGTAAGAGCTTACTACTTCAAGGGGCAAATGAAGAAATTATCATGTGCAGGATGAGGATAAGAGTCACTTTGCAGAAGCAAACTCTATGGAGAATTGGACTGAAACTGTAGTCTCTTTTTACACTGTTACAAGGTGTATGTCTGAACCCACATACACGCCTACCACACATGCGTCTTCAGCGTACAGCTCTGAGAGGACTGGAATATTTTGCATGGAGTCAGTACGTGCCTCCATTTAAAATGGTGTACACCTTTCACCCTGATGCCCATAAAGTCCTTTGTACACCATAATGTAAATAAAGATTGGTTTATTACATGAAAATGAGACATATAAAGTATATAGCCTTCAGTCATCAAGGTTTCACATATGCAGACAGCAATACAATCATTAAACGTATACACCTTAGCTGTGAAGAGTAAAGAATCATTCGCTACTGAAAAACATAGAAAGAATGATCTCAGGAATATGTCTTCACTAAGGAGAAGAGAAAACCAGGTATGTGGGGATATAGAAGAACTCGGAGCAAACAGAGCACGTTGTCAGGGATATGAGATAAAATTTTCAGTGGACAAATAAAGTGAAAGAAATGAAAAAATGAAAACAAAATGTGCTTTAAACTGTAATGCAATACAATTGTACAATACAACTAAATATGAATTTGTGAAATCGAGCATGATTAAGTGGGCACAAGGTGTGGGTCACAATACTGATTATGAATTATGGAGAAAGTTGTGGAAAATAAATATGAAATTCACAACATATTTTGCAGTAAAAGAAAATATGATGAAAATGACCCACAGATGGTATTTAACACCCACAAGATTGGTGAAAATGTCTTTAAAAAAAAAAGGTAAATGTTGCAAGTGTAATGAAAATGAGAGATTTTTTTCACATGTGGTGGTCCTGTAAAGTAATTAAGGAATATTGAGAAACTATATATAATGAATTTTTTAAAGATAATTTTAAAAACTTTCCCCACCTGTGATTTTCCTCTTGGGGATAGAAACAACGGAGGTCCACAAAAAACAAAAGAGTTTATTACTATACACCACTGCCGCAGCTAGAACCTTATTGGCACAAAGGTGGAGAACAAGTATAGTACCCACTAAGGAAGAACGGCTGTGTAAAATGTTTCTCTTTTTTTAAATAGATTTTTTATTAAGAATTTAAACAAAACATATTATCTTAAAACATATCATCCTTAATTCCCCCCCCATTTCCCCTTCCCCCTCTCTCCCATAAAACTAACACCCCCGACTTCCCTCAGTTCCAGTCTCTGGTTTCTCTACAAATGCTATTCTCTGCATGTTACAAATTTGTATAGATCCTTAATTTGTCTAACTGTTTGTTATCAGTAAAAAGTTTGTGAGTATTTATTCAAAACCTGCCAAGCAGTCCAATTCACTTTGTTGCGTCTTTAAGTACTTTGTAAAAGGTTCCCATTCATCTTTAAAGGCACAGTTATCCTTGTCCCGTAGTTTATGTGTCAATTTTGCCAATTCTGCATAGTCCATCAATTTCTCTTGCCATACTTCTTTAGTCGGAGTTTCCTCAGTCTTCCATCCTTGTGCTATTAAGACTCTTGCTGCCGTTGTCGCATACATAAACATATTTTTCAACTTCTTTGACAGGTCTTTCCCTACAATCTACAATCCCTAACAAAAATGCTAAAGGTTTTTTGACAAATGTTAGGTGGAACATTTTCTTCAATTTGTTGCATATCATTTCCCAAAAAAATTTAATTACATTACAATCCCACCAAATATGATAAAAATTCCCCTCCTTCTCCTTACACTTCCAAGATATATTTGAGCTAGTTTTCCCTAACTGCACTGGTGTCATATACCATCTATACATCATCTTCATAGAATTCTCCCTCAGCAAAGAACAATGTGTAAATTTTAGATCAATTTTCCATAACCTTTCCCAATCTTCCATCATAATATTGTGACCTACATCTTGTGCCCATTTGATCATGACTGATTTTACCTCTTCATCTTTCGCCTCCCATTCTAGCAGTATGCTGTATGCAGCCTTCAGTAATTTCACTTTCCCTTCAATCATTTCGATCTGAAACCTAGATCTTGTATAGCTAAATCCTTTCTTACTGTCTTCTTTATATGTTTCGTATAATTGTTGATAGTGCAACCAACTCTGAAAATGATCTTTGATCTCGTCATAATCTCTTAACTTCCATTTTCCATCATGGTCCTTTAATAAATCAACATATGTGAACCATTTTCCTTTCTTTCCAAGTTTGAGCAGTAATGCTTCATGTGGTGAAAGCCACCAAGGGGTCTTTTGTTCCAGTAAGTCTTTATATCTCTCCCATACTCTCATTAGTGATTTCCTAATTATATGGTTATAAAAACTTCTGTGAACCTTTCCTTTCCCATACCATAAATATGGGTGCCAGCCAAATCTGTTATCGTGTCCTTCTAATTCTAATGCCTCTTGCTTATCCAACCTCATCCAGTCCATGATCCATACCAGACAAGCAGATTCATAGTACAATTTGAGGTCTGGGTGGGCAAACCCACCTCTATATTTTGTGTCTGTAAGTATTTTATGTTTTATCCTTGGCCTTTTGCCCCCCCCCCCCCGATAAATTTTGAAATCTCTTTCTGCCATTTTTTAAAGCATTCATCTTTCAGGATGACTGGTATTGATTGGAAATAAATAGCATTTTTGGCAACACATTCATTTTAATCTCCTATATCTTGCCTAACAATGAGAGATTCATTCTGCTCCATATTTCTAAATTTCTTTTTACCTCAAGCCAGATTTTTTCATAATTATTTTTAAATAGGTTTATATTTCTTGATGTTAACCAAATCCCTAAATACTTGACCTTTTTGTGGACTTCAATCTCAATATCTTGTTCTAACTCTGTTTTTTCCTCTTCCTTCATATTTTTAACTAACAATTTTGTTTTATTCCTATTTAACTTGAATCCTGCCACTTCCCCAATTTTTTTCTATTACTTTGGGGAGTGAAGTTTTAGGTTCTTCCACTGCTATCACTAAATCATCTGCATATGCTTTTAACTTAAATTCGCTTTTCCCAGTTTTCACACCTATACTCTCTTTGTCTGCTCTTATGTTTCTGGCAAGTACTTCCAGTACCAGGATGAACAATAATGGTGATAAAGGGCATCCTTGTCTCCTTCCTTTTTGGATCTTACAGTCATCCGTTTTCACCTGATTTATAATTAATTTTGCTTTTTGTTCTGAGTAAATCGCTGCTATTCCTTTTAGAAATTTAGAACCACTTCTAATTTGTTCTAGCAGTTTTGTCATTAATTTCCAAATGTGTAAAATGTTTCAATATGCCAAACTGGCTGGTCTGGTGTACAGGATAAGAGAAAATGAAGATAAGTAAAAAAAGAGGAATGGATAATGTTTCTTGAAAATTTTAAGAACCAGTATAAACAATACATAGCTTAGCAGAGATGAAATAGAGTTTTTAATAGATAACAAACTGGATGATTAAAAAGATGTGGATTACGCAGAGTAGTAGAAAAGCAAAGGAACCAGGATAAGGGTGGAAGGGAAGTCATATGGTATATGTATACATGTTGTATTTGGTACGAAGTTGTAAGTGGAACAGGGAGAGGGAAGGGGCTAAGTATGCTCCCTGTTCCTGTTTTTGAAAATGCAAATGAAATAATAAATGGGGGGGGACTGTAATACAATACGATATTTATGTATATAAGTAATGCTGTTATTCCGACCAGTATATAATTATTAACAAGTCATTATAATTTTACAAGTGCGTTCCAAGTGTCATTATATTTATCCATACACTTTCATAACTCCCACCACCACTTTGTTCTGAAATGTAGGGAGATGCCCAGGCAGTGGGACATCTCTGCAGCATGCTGAGGAGACGTAACCTTCTCACTACACTTCTGATTGTGTTGCCATGGGGGCTTCTTCTTACACTGTTGAATCAGTACCCAACTACCCGCTACCTCAACCTTCTGAGAAGTAAGTGCACCAAGCCCAGCCTTACAAAGAGCTTCTTTTTACCCCATTGCAATTACAGTGCTCAGGGATAATTAAAATACAAATGGGAATGTGATGAAGGTCTTGGTGGCACTGCAGTGGGTGTTTTATGATTTATTCTCTCTATTCGACTTGCCTTAGAGGAAACAGATGAAAACGTGAAGGCCAAATTTCTCTTCAATAATAGCACACCACTCGCGAGGGAGGATGGACTCTCATCATGTGCTCAGCAGCCGGCTGTTGGGGCAGCTCCAAAAGTAATCGGGAGCTATGTGTACTCCAGGCCTCCCCCATGGTCAGAGGCTCTGCCTTCCATCTTTGTGATCACCCCTACCTACAGCCGGCCAGTGCAGAAGGCTGAGCTGACCCGTCTGGCCAATACTTTCCTCCACGTGCAGAACCTCCACTGGGTGGTGGTGGAAGACGCTCCCAGAAGGACCAACCTAGTATCCAATCTGCTGGAGAAGACAGGGATCAATTTTACGCACCTGAACGTTGAGACGCCTAAGAGTCTGAAGAACCCTTTCTGGCTCCCATCTCAGAAACCGAGGGGCACGTTGCAGAGGAATCTTGGACTGCATTGGCTGAGGGAGAATTTCAGCACCACACCACCACCAGAGGGTGTGGTCTACTTTGCTGATGATGACAACACCTACAGCCTAGAGATCTTTGAAGAGGTATGAGACTCGAGTTTAGGGTGGTTTCATCTTTGGGGTCCATGACTGAGGCACATTGGTTGAGTGCATTGCCTAGCCATAGTGGACAGCGTTATTGGGGTGGATAGGAAGAGGTGCCAAGCCGATGACAAAGGGGAGGTGCTGGAGCTCAGTGGTAGAGCACTTGTCCTAGCCTTGGGCGCATACCCCCATTGGATTCAATGGGATTTATTTCCAAGTAGACATGGTTAGGATTGTGCTGTTTGTGCTACTGTTTTTTACAACGCTATTGCTGTGCCCATTAACCTGTCGGGCTTTTCAGAAGGTGGGTGCATAGAAGGGAAGTCGGAGGAATCAAAGTGGAATGCTTGAGGAATTCTCAGAGGAACGGCCATCACAATTTTGTTTTCTTTCTGACAAGCAGATGCGCTACACAAAGAAGGTGTCCGTCTGGCCAGTCGCCTTTGCTGGGGGCCTCAGGTACGAGTCCCTAAAGCTGAGCCCGGCAGGCAAAGTGGTGGGCTGGAAGGTCGCATACGACCCTAAGCGGCCCTTTGCCATCGACATGGCTGGCTTTGCCATCAGCCTCAGGCTGATCCTGGAGAAGCCTCAGGCCACTTTCAAGCTGGACGGAGTGAAAGGAGGTTACCAAGAAACTAGCCTGCTGAAGGATCTGGTTACGATGGATGAACTGGAGCCCAGAGCCGCCAACTGCACAAAGGTTAGCATGGCCAAAATGTTTGTGCAACAGCCTTCCCGCACACCCCGCCATCCACTTCCACCATGGAAGGTGCCTCTCATTTGAGATTATGCAGGCCAAAGGTGGATTTGGGGGAGAGCGTCCAGTTCTGTTGCATTGGGCACAGAGCTTCTGGGGTACCGCAGATGGTGCCATAACTATGACATCCAACGGAAGGCAGGGGGTTAGGACTGGATTTTGGCGTCACCCACAGGGGTGCCAATGACATTTGAGACACCAAGGTCTGCCACTGGGTAGGCACCTACTGCTGAGTGTTTCCAGCATGTTTTAGCATCTGACTGCAATGAACATTAAAGTTTTACTGATATTTTATGAAATGTCTTATGGCTCAACATTCTGTGGCTACAGAGTGTGCTTAGTCTTCCTTTGGGATGTTCCCAAACACTGGGGTTCCGCCAAGCCCTCCGTTCCCCCTCCCTCTTGTGAAAATATGGGGGTTGTTTGGTTACAAAGGGGTCAGTGCTCATGGAATTGTTCGTTGGTTTGTTTCATATTCTGCTTGATTGTAAAAAAATAAAATAAAAACCCACCTCAAAGCAGTTTACAGAAAGATAAGCAATAAAATAAAATTACAAGCCTAATTTAAGTACACAGTTAAAAAACTAAAACAGATTAAAATTACCTCAACTCAGATGAATCCCACATTAGTAGGAGTGATTGTTATTTAATTGGGGGTTTTTTTGTTTTGTTTCATCTTTTAAAAGGGAAGGTTTTTGCTTTGTTTTGTGTTTTGTTTTAATTATTTACTTGGTGTTTTTATCTTATATTTTATTCTGTGAACCGCCCTGAGATCTTGTGACAAAGGGCGGAATATCCATTTAATTCATTAATTCATTAATAGAAAGAGCAGTATCAACATGCCCTTCCAACAAGGCTTGCAGCTCCTATCGATGTATACATGTTCCAGAGATTTTTCTGTTCAGACAGTATAGTTCTGTTCAGATGTATATGTTCCAGAGGCTTCACGGATGGCTGCCATGCATATTTGCCAATATTTGCCTTCAGGTTCAGCCATGACATCCTAATAAGGTGCACATTCTCTCCGTAGGTCTTGGTTTGGCACACGAGGACGGAAAAGCCAGGACTGGGAAATGAAGGCAAATACGGATTCACAGATCCAAGGATGGAGGTGTAATCGGGAAATCAATAAGAAGACAAAAAGAGACAATGCAATGCATCTTAAGTTATTAAATGGTATGATGTATTTTTGTTGTTGCTGATTCTCTCATCTACTTCAAGACTGATTCAAAGAGAAATTATATTTCAAGAATATATGTGGGGGAGGAATGCTGATACCTCCTTCAGATATCCACAATCCTTTGCACAAACTTAATTTCAAGCTCTGTTGAAGATTGTATTTAGCTGCGTTTAGGAAAAAAATGCACTGGTTTAATTTCTGAGGCAGATGCGTGAAAATGAGAAAGACGGACCTTTGGCTGTGAAGATAGCTTCATGCATGGTGCTTAGTCAGTCTAACATTGTCATTTCCCTCACCCACCCTGCTCTGCAGCTAAGCTCAGATGATACTCAGAATAGCTACCGTACCCTTGGCATGCTTCAATGGAGATAGTTGTAGCTTTTAAAAAGCTATCAAGTCAACTTTTAGTTCAAGAAGACCAATAAATAAATAAATCTGCATTTAAAAAGGAAACCTGTGACCTTGATAAGAACTTCTGTTTGGATTGAGAAAACTGCCTGTTTAATTGGGATTTGAAAGGATGGGAAGGAGGAAAACAAAGCAGTCTAAAAAGGAACTTAACAGTGAAACCTGTGCACCTTTCCCCAGAAATTTAATAAGCATGAACAGGGTTGCAGCCTATTTAATATATAGTACCATTTTAGATCTGGAGGGACGTGGTTTAAATAGAGGATGGACCATTGTCTTAACTCCACAACAACTTAATACAAACAATAGTATATCTGCTTCATTTTATTAGCATAATCACTTTTAGGGACTCTGGAGCCACACCCTTTTAATCAAAGTCAGCTTTTATTTCAGCACTACTGTTTAGCCATTCAAAGCCCTATTCAGACATTCAAAAGAATGTTTGTTGTTTAGTCGTGTCCGACTCTTCATGACCCCATGGACCAGAGCACGCCAGGCACTCCTGTCTTCCACTGCCTCCCGCAGTTTGGTCAAACTTATGTTCGTAGTTTCAAGAACACTGTCCAACCATCTTGTCCTCTGTCGTCCCCTTCTCCTTGTGCTCTCAATCTTTCCCAACATCAGGGTCTTTTCCAAGGAGTCTTCTCTTCTCATGAGGAGCCAAAGTATTGGAGCCTCAGCTTCAGAATACCACCCCATTTTTGTGCAGTTTTGTGATTTCTCCCATTCCCCACTAGGTTTACGGAGCTGAAGTCAGTGGGATTCTAGGCAAAATGTTTGTTTATTTATTAAAGTATTTGGTACCCACTACCAGTGCAGTTTACAAATTTATAACACAGTACCCCTCCACACACTTACAATTTAAAACCTGGAAAATAAAGGAAAAGGTCTTGAGTACATGGAATGATCTGAGACTCAAATGCTCATACTAATGAAACCAGTATAGAGCTATTATGAAGGCTGACTGGGAACCTGACTATAATGACTGTGACTAGACGCTTACAAGGTGATGGTAGAAGAGGTCCAGATTAGATCTGATAGTGGTAGTTCAGCATGTTTATTTCCAGAATATCCACAATTAATTAGCAAGGGGTGAGCAGGCTGAAGATTCACTTCAACAGATGGAGAGAATTTCACAGACATGAACAACTTAGATCTTATGATCCTAATCAGGGGATTCAGCTAGACTGGTGAAAAACAAGTGATTTATATGCGTTGTATGTGCCAATCGAGTGGCACTGTGGGCCTAGGGCCCACTGAGCCTAGGGCTTGCCAATCAGAAGGTTGGCAGTTCGAATCCCTGCGACAGGGTGAACTCCCATTGCTCATTCCCAGCTCCTGCCAACCAAGCAGTTCAAAAGCAAGTCAAAGTGCAAGTAGATAAATAGGTACCGTTCTGGCAGGAAGGTAAACAGCATTTCTGTACACTGCTCTGGTTTCACCAGAAGTGGCTTAGTCATGCTGGTCACATGACCTGGAAAAACTGTCTGTGGACAAACATCGGCTCCCTCGTTCAGTAAAGCGAGATGAGCACCGCAACCCCAGAGTCGTTCGTGACTAGACTTAACTGTCAGGTGTCCTCAGATGGATTAATGGCAAAATATTATAAAAAATTAAGTAACAGCTGGTAAATCCATTCAAAGATCTGATGAATGAGATTAAAAATATTAAGGGAGTATATACATCAAGATCAGGTAGGATTGCTTCCAGGTAGACAAATGAAAGAATATAAGAAATATTTTGAATGTAATAGAATATCTGGAGGTAAAAAATGAAAAGAAAGCAGCAATGATATTTATAGATGCTGAAAAAGCTTTTGACAATGTTTCTTGGGATTTCATGAAAAAAATTGCTTGAAGAAATTAATTGTGGATCTAAATTTTTAAAAGGAATAGAAGCAATATATTCAGAACAAGAGGCCAAGCTAATTGTAAATCAGGTGATAACGGAGGAGTACAAGATGCAAAAAGGTACTAGACAAGGATGCCCGCCGTCACCACTGTTGTTCATTCTGGTTCTGGAAGTACTTGCAAGAAATATAATATAAGAGCAGATAAAGAGATTATAGGTGTAAAAACTGGAAAAAGTGAATTTAAATTGAAAGCATATGCTGATGACTTAGTAATTACGGTGGAGGATCCAAAAAATTCTCTTCCTAGAATGATAGAAAAGATTCAAGAATTTGGGGAAGTGGCAGGATTTAAATTAAATAAAAATAAAACTAAGCTATTAGTAAAATGAAGAAGAGAAAAGGGAGCCGAAGCAAAGTATTGAGATAGAAATCCATAAAAAAGTAAAATACTTAGGGATATGGTTAACAGCAAGAAATATAAATGTGTATAAAGACGATTGTGAAAAAGTGTGGTCTGAGATAAAAAGGAATTTAGAAATATGGAGTAGAATGAACCTCTCCCTACTCGGAAAAATAGCAACGATAAAAATGAATGTATTGCCAGAAATGCTCTTTCTCTTTCAGACAGTCCCAGTAATGGTGAAAGATGACTGCCTCAAAAAATGGCAAAAGGATATTTCTAAGTTTGGGGGGGGGGGCAAAAGGCCAAGGATTAAACATAAGATACTTACAGATATAAAAGAAAGAGGTGGGTTTGCCCTCCCAGACCTTAAATTGTACTATGAGGCTGCGTGTTTGGTCTGGATTAGGGACTGGATAACTAGAAAAGGAAGAGGCATTAGATTTGGAAGGCCATGATAATAGATTTGGATGGCATGCATATTTATGGTATGGGAAAGGAAAAGTTCACAAAGGGTTTTATAATCATATAATTAGGAGATCATTAATGAGGGTGTGGGAGAGATATAAGGATCTATTAGAACAAAAAACACCATGGTGGCTATCACCAACTGAAGCTTCGTTGCTCAAACCGCTTGGTAAAAAGGGGAAATGGCCTACATACAGAGATTTGCTGAACGATCAAGAAGGAAAATGGAAATTAAAAGATTATGAGGAAATAAAAGACCATTTTCAGAGTTGGTTACATTACAGACAACTACATGAGATGTACAAGGAAGACAACAAGAAAGGGTTTAGTTATACAACTTCTAGATTTCAAAAGGAAGTGATAGAAGAAGAAGTGAAGCTGCTGAGGAAAGCATATAGTATTTTGCTAGAATGGGAAACAAAAGATGAGGGGGTCAAGTCAGTTATGATCAAGTGGACACAAGATATAGGGCATAATATACAATTTGAGGACTGGGGGAAATTGTGGAAAGTAAATCTGAAATTTACATATTGTTCTCTTTTCAAAGAAAATTACATGAAAATGATGTATAGATGGTATGTTACACCAGTACAGATAGCAAAAATGTACAAAACCAGGTCAAACACATGTTGGAAATGTAAAGAAAAAGAAGGGACTTTCTATAATATGTGGTGGGAATGTAGAGAAATGAAAATTTTTTGGGAAGTGATATACAATGAACTGAAAGAAATGTTTAAAAACCAGAAGCATTTCTGTTAGGGATTCTAGGACAAGACCTGCCAAGAAAAATAAAGAATTTATTTATGTATGCCACAACAGCGGCAAGAGTCTTGATAGCACAAGGATGGAAGAATGAGGAAATCCCAACAAAAGAACAGTGGCAAGAAAAATTGATGAGTTATGCAGAACTGACTAAATTGACATACAAACTGCGGGACAAGGACAAGTGTGACTTTAAGAAAGAATGGGAGCTTTTCACAAATTATCTAAAAAGAAAACAAAATGAACTGGACTCCTTGGAAGGGTTCAAATAAACATACACAAATTTATTGGTTGATAACATGATAGATGGATAACGTAAGGATATGTATAATTTTATAACATGCAGAAAATAATATGTGCTGAGAAATCAGAGAGAGGAGCTGAGGGAAGTCTTGGGGAGGGAGGGTTAGAAGGGGGTGGGAAAAAGGGGGGAAAATATTGAATATGATATGTTTTGATAGTTTGTATGTTGAAGTTGTTAATAAAAATATTTTTTTAAAAAAACAACCAAACTATCAGGGGTCCTTTACCTTTACTTTTATGTGTGATATAACAGTGTACCACCAGATGGCAATGTGGGGTCCCATTTATTTCTGTACCTGTTTTCCCTGTTTAAATTTACAACGCGTTTAACTGAAATGCTTCTTTGATGTGTCTAGATCCAGCATAGTACTTATTTATTATTACTATTTGTTAGGGCTGCCATACGCCCTAACAAGGAAAGAAATGAAACTGGATTCAGGAAGCAGTGTCTGCAGTGATACTGCTGATAAACATCAGGCAATAGGAAAAAGGAAGCAAACCACAGAGATGCTGTCAACATGTTTTGAGGCTTTGCCAGGTCTGTTTAACCTTCTGCAGCTGCTCCTGCTGTCACCCACTGTTGTATCTGGAGCTTTAATCCTAGAATAACAGGCAGGTAGGACTTTAGAATGTAGTAATCTGATTGGCCGTGGGAGCCGTCCAATCTAGCTCTGTAAGGGATGTTTGAACCAGCCTATCAGGTGTGACCTGGGGTGTGAACAAAGGATATATAGCCAGGCAAGCACTGACAGACGCACCCGATGACTGACAGTTTTTATTACAAACTGATATAAACTCCACACAACTGAAGGTTTTCTCAGAGTACATTTCACCCACCCAGCTGCCTGCCTTCCAATTTCCATGTTTTGTACCCCCAGGCCCTCACACGCCCACAAAAGGTATAAAGAAATGGTGTCACACAGAAGCAAAGGACTCCGAACATTCCCACTTCTCCTGAGAAAAACAAAAGCACCCTACCTTTGTTCACCCACCACTCTGAAGGCCTCAAACACACATATGCACACCAACATCTGATTCTTTGGACATGATTTCCCAAAATTATGCAACATCAACCGCAGAGGCTTCCTAGCTTAAAGTGTAACGTTTTGTCCATTTGACAACACTGTTTTTATATTGGCATAGCATTTGGGAGAGCCTTAATGGATATTAATTACATTTAACGAAGGCTGGATTTCTCTGAAAACCAAAACAGGATCAAAACATTTTTGTGTGTGTTCACATTGGAGTAACAGGGGCATTTGCTTTAGGCCATGTTTGGTTGTTCAGCCTCCAATCTTTCTATTTACATGGGCTAAGATGGAAACCATCTGAGTCTGACTCTTCTTGGCTGACAGTTCCTGGGGACCAATAAAAAGGGGGTTATTGCTTGCAACAAATGTTCCCGTTTGCTTCAATGTTTGATTAAGCAGTCTGAAGCTAGGTCGTTCTGTGTAGAAGAGCACCTTGAGAATTGTGTGCTATCCACCTGTCTAGACTGCCGATTACAGCTATCTAGAAATGGCCATGTTTTATTAAAAAGTTAGTTATGAGGATTCGTGCAGGTTCTTCATGCTTCTTCATTACACAAGTTTCTTGGTTTTGAGGTGCACCCATCAAAGAACAGCAGGGGATTTATGACCAAGAGTCAAATTAGCAGTGAAGCTGTCTGGGGCTGCAAGTTTGTGCCCTCACTCTACTTTTACTTTAAAAATAAAAGCATTCAGCTCTTATGGATGAAAAGAAGTACTACTTAAAAATTGGTGGTGGTGGTGTGTGTGTTGACATTCTGGCAGCCCAAACTTATTCTTGTTCCTCATCCACCCACAGCAAGTTCCACTGATTTCATGGTGCTTAGTCCTACAATGTGTGCATTACATCCTGTGGCTTAAAAAACAAAGTATGTGGCTTGATCTGCCTGTCTATTTGTAAATGAATGATTGCTGTTAAAGCAGAGTAGAATGAGGAAATACACTTGTCATTTGAATGAGCATTTTGCCCAATGCCAGTTTCTCATTTGCATTGCAAAACAGTTGCAAGTCAAATTTCAGCCTCATGTGGAAAGGTGATTGATTTGGCTATTTAATTTTTTTTTATTAAGTTTCAACATTTTTTAAAGAAATACAATAAAAACACCATTCCGTCTTTTCTCTTATTTTTGTCGACTTCCCACCTCCTTTTCCATGGGGTTCTTGTTTCTCTCCTTCTGCACCCTTTCTTCTTGATTTGCATTGTCACGTAGCTCCTATTCAAAAGTTATTTGGTGTAGAAAGAATGGCACAGTTTCAGATAGAATGGAGAGATGCCTACACACACAAATCTTTATGCGCAGAGGCTTATTTCGGACATTAAAATGAATTCATGTAGACTGCCCCTCCCTTTGGTGCTGGCACAGTAGTAACAGTGTCAGAATAGATCCAAGGAGACCAAGGCTCAAATCACCACTCACCCAGCAGACACACTGGGAGAATTTGAGCTAGTCACCAACTTTTCTCAGCCCACCTTATAGGATGGGCTGTGAGGATAAAAATGGAGGGGGAGGAATGATGCATTGAATGCTACCTTGAGATCCTTGGAGAATGTGTGTAGTATACTTTCTACACAGAACAATATCTGAAAAGATGTTCCCTGTCTTATGGCTACTGTTCCATTACCTTACACATCTCCCGAGAGACCTTCCTATAATGCAGACCCTCTTCTCTAGATAAACTACCCTTGTCCAAACTCTTAAACTTTGCTTTCAGAATGCTGCTTTGCTTCAATGGCAGCAGACCTTCTAAATTGGACTGAGTATTGGGATCTAGCTTGAAAACGTATCTGTAAAATGTTCTGGTGAAGGATTTCATCGAGCACAGACTACCCTTCTTTCTGACAGACTCAGACCTGCTTTGCGTCAGTAAGTTTACTGTGCCATGTGCAGTCTCTGTGGCCTTGGGCTAACCTAGCAGATCTGTCTCATTCCTGAATACAGCACTTAGGTCCCAAAATCCAAAGGTTGGTGGTGTATATTAGAACTAGCAAAACTGGTGAGATAGTGGAATCAACCCAAAGAGGTTTAAGACAGCAATATATTAAGCTTGAACCTACCAAATAAAGCCACATTTTAAAAATTAACTGGTAAACTTGGTTTTAATAATTGATAGTGATGATATTTAAAAACAATATTAGTATGTCTATAAATGTAGTGGAAGCTGACAGCCACATCTACTCGTCATTCTGATGCTTTTGCTGCTTCTCAACTTTTCCTTTTAATGTAAAGGCACAAAATGAATTGTTATGTTTCTGCTATGAAATGTCGATACTCTCACACTGTAACAGCCCCGAGAGCTGTGTCACTTATATCTCTTATGTTTTGCAACACACAACGAAAGTTGCAAAACGGGGCAGCCAATATAATGTGGAGCCTATGGGGAGGGGAAATGGTTTTTAAGGGCCTTTTGCATCTGAGGCTTTTTAGATAAGAAGGGGGGGAGGGGAACAAGTATGTGGCATGAATGTGATATAAAATTATGTATGAGGTGCAGAAGGTGGATAGGGAGAGATCAGCCTTTGCTCCTATCCAGCAGAGCTCTTTCGTCCACTTTGACACTGTGCTGCTGCTTTTGTATTAAATATTATTTTCTTCTCAGATTTTAATCTCTTCCCTGCTCTTTAGAGAACGAGAGGGAAGGATTCGCTTGAAGAGGAGTCAGTTCTGCGAGCGAGCGCGCGGGGGCGGGAGAGAGAGAGAGAGAGAGAGAGAGAGAGAGAGAGAGAGAGAGAGAGAGAGAGAGAGAGAGAGAGAGAGACTCCGTCTGACAGGCGCCGATTCCTTCTCCGTAGACTACAGCAAGGCAGGAGCCTTAGTGGACTCCGATTCCCAGCATGCAACGCTAACCCCACCGAGAGGGCCTAGGCGTCACGTTGCATCTCGGGAGCTGTAGTCCTAGAAACCCTTGTTATGCAAAAAAACACGGGGATGAAGTGAGGAGGTGGGCGGGTCCCGACGACAGCCCCCTGGACGGAAGTGTTGCACACGCGCGTTCTCTCAGGCGGACAGGTGAGCAGCCCCATCTCTCGCCCTCGGCGGCGGCGGCGGCGGCACCTGTTCGCTCGTCAGGCTTCTCTGAGAAGCGGGGTGGGTTGGGGGGGGGGAGGGAACGGGGCTTCGTGTGAACCGTCAAGAGGTGGCGGGTTGGGGCCGGGAACCCAAGTAGGCCGGGGGCTGGGGAAGAAGTCAAGACATATAAAGTTGCCCTTTGTCTCGTAGAGTGAGTTAAGCGACTCTCCAAAGTCTCCTCGACTGCAGCCTTTAAAATAATAATTAAAAAATACTTGTATAAACAAGCAAACGGGCAGATAGGGGTGAGGGACGGTCGCCTACTACCGGCACCGAAAGCTAAATCGAGGGGTTTTCGCTTCGCCCTCGGTCTCCACACACAAACACGGAGTAGCTTTTCTTAACTCGGGTCTTGCCGGGTGTGAAACATTTCAAGGCGCGGGATTCCGCCCTGGATTTGGGCTGCGGGGCGAATTGTAAGGCGATGATGGGACTTTGCGCTTCAACTTTTGAGGGGTGGTTTTTTGGGGGGGTTGGGGTGGGGGTTAAGTTAAATTTACCCCGCCTCTGCCAGCGCTGCTGTGTCCGCTTCTCAACCCTCCTTTTCCACCCTCACCCCCCGCGGTTGTTTTCTCCTCAGAGGAAAAATGCGAAACGTCACAGTTCTGGTTGGCAATAATAATGATAATAAAGGAGTCCAAACTGTCATACGCTGACTTAATCCCTCTCAGACGCACATTGTGGGGATAACAGGCTGTGTTACTGGCCTTGGTACGCGATTTTTAAAAATGGCATAGCCAGGATTTTTGCTAGTGGGGCTGACTTTTGTAAGGGTGGGGGACTTCAGATTTGTATTGATTTTGATTAATTTGGCTATGCCCATGTTTGTGAGAAATAAATTAATAAGGGGTTCCCCCACTGCCACACACACACACGTAGAAGAAGATCCGAGTTGCAAAAGCCCTGTGAGGGCTTCGCTATTTAAAAGCAGCTTTAGTTACTTTTTAGGACTCACAAAGCAGTGTACGAACAGGGTCAAGGCAGGATGTCATGATGAAATAGCCACCATAGCAAGCATACAGGTTAGAAGAAAATCCTTCCTGCCCCACCGGCTAGAGAATTACTGATTCACTGCTATGGTAAAATCCCGAGGTTCTCAGTTGTGTTCAATAGGAAGCTCTCACTCAGCTTTACCCGGGCCTAATGGAAGATCCAAAAATGGCTTCCAGTGTGAATGCGCAAGCTCCCTGTTTTGCACAATACTGTAGATCATTGGTAGGCAAACTAAGGCCTGGGGGCTGGATCTGGCCCAATCGCCTTCTAAATCCGGCCCGTGGACGGTCTGGGAATCAGCATGAGTAGAATGTGTCCTTTTATTTAAAATGCATCTCTGGGTGATTTGTGGGGCCTGCCTGGTGTTTTTACATGAGTAGAATGTTTGCTTTTATTTCAAATGCATCTCTGGGTTATTTGTGGGGCATAGGAATTCATTCATATCCCCCCCTCAAAAAAAAATAGTCCGGCCCCCCACAAGGTCTGAGGGACGGTGGACCAGCCCCCTGCTGAAAAGGTTTGCTGACCCCTGCTGTAGATTGATTGCTGGCCTCTCCTCTTATTTCTCTATTTTGCCTTCCGTTGGCACAGTTCAGGGGCCTGCTTGACCCTCTTCTGAAGCTTCCCCCCCCCCCCAAGGCACCACATTATGGCGGGACTGCTAAGGACACTTAGAAGCGCCACTTCTGAGAGAAAAATATGCTCAAGACTGCTCTGTGTGGGTAGAGGTAGAGGTGGGAAGCCAACTTCTTACCCCTTGTGATTTTCTCCTATCTCTCCACACACCCCCCCCCCACTTTACATTTTCTGTCAGTAGAAAGTTTATTCCATTCTGTTGTAGAGTGTAGGCCAGGGGTCAGCAAACTTTTTCAACAGGGGGCCGGCTCACTCAGACGTTCTGGGGGGCTGGACCATATTTTGGAAAAAAAAAATGAACGAATTTCTATGAAAAAGGTGAGATGGCAGGGCTCTTTTACCTCCTTTTAAGATGTCCCCACCAATCCTGCTGGTTCTCAGCGGTTGTGAAAAGTCTCTGCATATGGTTGAAAGTCTTTGTGTCGATCTGTCTGATTTCCTCCCCACCCCCATGTTCCATGACTGACTCCTGATATTAAAAACAGTATCTGGGGTTCAGGCATGAGATATTCTAATAGTGTGCTATACTGTTCTATAAGATCAACTGAGTATTTCCCCTGTGCTTCAAGGACACTGCGTTCTGGATTTTGAAAACCCTGAGAGTCAAAGACCATTTGAAAGAACAGTCATTCTCGTTTCAGTGACCTAGGACATGTTTGAGTGCCAGATCCAATTACATTCAACTTTCCCTGTCTGGTTGAAAGAACACCTGTTCTCAGATGAATGGAGAGAGTCAACCAGCTAGCAGTGAACCACACTGAAACTCTTGCACTACTGGGATAATATTCAAGTAGTTCAAAACACCCAGCTGCCATAATAATTCGTATAACAGCAAGAAAGGCCATAAAGTACAATTGCTTAGCCAATAAAAATGACAATATGTGAGAACAGCAATGAGAAAATACAGTGGTACCTCGGATTAAGTACTTAATTCGTTCCGGCGGTCCGTACTTAACCTGAAACTGTTCTTAACCTGAAGCACCACTTTAGCTAATGGGGCCTCCTGCTGCTGCCACGCCGCCGGAGCACAATTTCTGTTCTCATCCTGAAGCAAAGTTCTTAACCTGAAGCACTATTTCTGGGTTAGCGGAGTCTGTAACCTGAAGCGTATGTAACCTGAAGCGTATGTAACCCGAGGTACCACTGTATATTATTAATAATTCTTCTTTTTCTTCCGGATGAGGACAACAGTTTACTTAAAACACATTTTGTAATGGTTTTATGTAGAACAATCTATTTTACTGTGTTAGAAAATGATAATTCCTGTGAGCACTCATGCAAGGTGTGCTCAGTGTTTTCATTGTTGTTGCAAGTTTATCTTGATACCCAAATATGCTGCCAGTCCTTAATATTGTGAGTATGCAGTGCGGTTTCTTCCCAAGTAATACATTTTGTTTGTTTGTTTACTACAACATTTGTAATTTCTATTTTCAAGTTTTATTTGCCTGTGTCCCAGGTGGTAAAAATTAAGACACCTGTGTTAATTAAGTAGCTTAATTAACCTGTGTTTTAAGTAGCATAGGGTGCTGCAGTCTGCCTTTCATTCACTTGCTAGTACTGTACAGTATTGGTTATATTTGCTTGTACAAAAGTAAGGGTCCAGTCGTATACTGCATTTACGTGCACTTTGCAAAATGGGCTGTTCTTCTGAATAAGTATACATAGCATTGCTTTGTAAAATTAAGAAAAATGCCAAATAAGTATAATATTATGCTAATTAAGTGTTAAATTGTATATTTTGTATTGTTAAAGCAGCAAAACAACTTTAGGTTTGATAAATAATTAAGTAAGTATTGAATATATTTGAATTTCTCACTGAATTGGAAGCCTGGGCTTCACAGTTTCTAAAATTTTAAATCTAGGCAAACACACTGACTGACTTATGCTTAGCTGCCAAAGAATGCTGAGTCTCAGTTGGAAAAGAGAAACATAAAACTTAGGGTTGGGAGGAGAAATAGTTTATTCTGATTCCTGAAAGAGGGCCTGGCCAACTGACGAGAACCCTGAATAGGAGTACTCTGCATTGCAGTATTGCTTTAGATCCTATTGTATTAGATGGAATAATTATGCTTGGGTTAATCTTTCTCCTGAAACAAGAATTTCAATAACGTAAAGAAAATTTATTGGCTAAAAAACCAGAATTTAATCTGAAGTGTGGAGATCAGGATCTGCACCAAAACGTAATTTTAAATGCCAGCATTTTGAAACTGTTTGACTCCACAGTGGCAAGTGGGAAACAGGTGATTATAGATTGCCTCCAATAAATGCTCATACATTTATATAAATTAAATACGTAAATGAATTGAAAGTCACAGTCCTCCCACTTTGCTTCTGCTGTCAGCCCTTTTATCTATCTAACTCAGTTTCATCAAGCTGCCTTTCATTCACTTGCTAGTACAGTATTGGTTATATTTGCTTGTACAAGCTGAACTGGTGGCTGTTCTCTAAGCTTCTGGCAGAGGGCTTTCATAGTCATGTTACCTGAGCTGCTTTTGACCGGAGACACCAGATGAACCTGGGACCACCTAACACGGAAGAGGTCAAACAATTGTTAGTTTTAAAACAGTATTCCTAGTTATAGTTTATATGCCATTATATCCAGTTAGAAGTCAAATGTATTGTTAGCACCTTTTCATTGCTTTTCTCATTTTAATTGCAGATTGAATAATAGAAGAATGGATAAAGATGCATAGAAGATGTTTGAAATCTAAGATGTTTGATCTGCAATAATAATATAGGTTGCATTATATCCTGTGAGAACTTTGGGCATTTTCCAAAGATGCTAGCTCCCTTATTCAGCTGCCCATCGAGAACATTTACTGTTCCACTGCACTGTACCCATGAAGTTAAAATGTCGGTGTGTCTTGAAGAATTAAGTATTTAGCCTAAGTATGGCTTTTGGAAAGAAAATGTCCCTTTCTCGAGTAGAAAATCCGTGCTTTCTGCTTTTTTTGATAATCTTTCAAGCAATATTCATCTTGATCCTGTACCGAGGCAGCAATTCAACTGTATATCGGACTTCTTTTCCGCTACCTCGCCCATTGGACTATTCAAAAACAGAGGATGTCTATACAAATCTCAGTTTGTTCACTCCTGCTCCTGATAAGGCAAATATGCGGTACTGCACTGAGTCACCAATATTGGGTATGTATTGTTGCAGGTTGATGTTGGTAATGCATCCTAATGATTTGAGTTGCACATGAAAGCTGTATTTGGCTGTGATCCTAACTTGCACTTAGGAGCAGCAGGGCTGCATGAAGTAGTGGAGCCACCATCTCTTCCATTTCCTGGTTGTACTGCTCAGGGATAAGGAGGGATACACACACAGTAAAATTTCCAGTTTTCACTGTGCCAGCTCCTGGCTGGTGTTGCAGAGGGGCCTGGATCAGGCCCATTGGTAGTAGCTGGACTGACTAAGGCTCCATAAGAACCTCAGCTGGGTGCAGTGGGATCCACCTTGTTCACAGAGCACACCCCACACTCCAGGACTGGGTAGAGGGAAACCTGCTGCATTCTATCTCTCCAGTTAAGCTGATTGGGTTTTAGGATTGCTTTACCTGTGTGTGGGATAGTTATTATACTGGGACCGATGTGTGAAAGCATCTTTCGTAGTAGCATTAATTTCAAATATTATATCATTCTTTTAGAATATAGAATTTTGATGGGAAATTACACCTGTTGGCTTGTATTTTCTAGTGCTGGAACTGCAGGATATCCATTAAACAATGTATGTACTTCCTTTTTTGAGTCAACAAACAGCATCATAAAAACCTGTAGCTATATCAACTACTTTTGTTTCTGTCCTTGACTGGCTGGGGATTGTCTTTGTTATGTGTTTGATAAATGGTTGGTTTGTTGTGCTAAGAGAACCTTGGCTACTACAGGAAACATTGATTTGATATTGGATGACCTTCCAGTGGAGCCATGTGTTTGAGCTGTTTGACTGTGGAACAGTCTCCCTCTGGAGGTTGCAGACTCTCCTTCTTTGGAGGATTTTAAGCGGAGGTTGGGTGGTCATCTGCCATGGATGCTTTAGCTGAGATTCCTGCATTGCAGGGGGTTGGACTAGATGACCCTTGGGTCCCTTCCAACTCTACGATTATATGATAATACAATTTTCATATGCTAATTAGGTAATAAATTATACATTTTGTGTTGTAAAATCAGTAAAAGAAGTTTTGACTTTATCAGAAAGGCAGTACTGTACTGTGTGTATTTACTGCCCCCACCCCAATTATGCATTACTAATGAAAGTAAGGCAGTTTACTTCAGGAGTGATTTCAGTTTTATATCCTCAAAATGCAGGCACAAAAGCAGACAAATTTATATTCAGGCGTTTCAAGCTATGCCTGGGGGACAGGTTTAGCAACTGTTCCCTTCTTCCAGGTGATAGCTGTATGCTACAGGGGCAGTCAATGATCTGACTTTCTGCATAACTTGGGTTTTGATGAGATGTGATTTTGGTTTCCCAGGTCTTCCAAATATTCATACTCACACATCTGCCATACAACAGCAGACACACAACTTTGGCTTTGTATTGCTTTGCTATTAAAGGCAGCCCTGTTTAGGGAAGTTTTTAATATTTAATGCTGTACTGTTTTTAACATTTGATTGGGAGCCGCCCAGAGTGGCTGGGGAAACTCAGCCAGATAGGCGGGGTATAAATAAATTATTATTATTATTATTATTATTATTATTATTAAGCTACCTCATGAGCAAAGCTCCATTGGTGTACTGTATCTTAATCTCATCTGACAAAAATGTTGCCCAACACTTGGACTTTTTATACATAAGGCATTTGAGACTCAGTCCACATTAGTCTGACAAGAGATTTTGATTGTCCTTTTAACTTTTTGCCTTTGTTGTTGAAATTTAAGAAACCCTATGGCTGGTGAACTTGCTTTTGTATTCTGGGTTGTAGGATTGTGTTCTTTTTGCATTACTTTCCTATATTAATCCTCCATTGGAAGCAGTTGCTTTTGCTATAAGTAAAGGTAAAGGTACCCCTGCCCGTATGGGCCAGTCGTGTCTGACTCTAGGGTTGTGCGCCCATCTCACTTAAGAGGCCGGGGGCCAGCGCTGTCCGGAGACACTTCCGGGTCATGTGGCCAGCGTGACGAAGCTGCTCTGGCGAGCCAGCACCAGTGCAGCACACGGAAACGCCGTTTACCTTCCCGCTATAAAGCGGTACCTATTTATTTACTTGCACTCAAGAGTGCTTTCGAACTGCTAGGTGGGCAGGAGCTGGGACCAAACGACGGGAGCTCACCCCGCTGCGGGGATTCGAACCGCCGACCATACGATCGGCAAGTCCTAGGCGCCACCCGCGTCCTTTGCTATAAGTAGCTATCCTTTTTAACAATTGCTGTTCATCTTAAGATGTTTTTCAATGTGCTAGATATTAGCATCCAGTACCTCTTATCTTGCATGTTGCTATTTTTAAAAACTTAATCTTTTTCAGTAACTACTTCTGAATAACTGCCTGACTCTGGATTTGCGCTTGCATTATCTGCTCCAATGACTGTTTTTCTTACTGCTGTACTGGTTTTGACATAAGGCCAAACCATAGTTTAGCACAGGGGTAGGGAACTGGCTCTTGTGCTTGCGTTGTCTATTCCAATGCCTGTTTTTCTTACTGCTGGACTGGTTTTGACATAAGGCTCACCATAGTCTAACACAGGATTAGGGAACAGGATCTGGTTGACAGGCCAATTCCTTGTTTTCCCACCCAACTCTGGCAGGCCTCTCAGCTGTCCATCACCCAACATCACTATGATTTCAGTTGACCAATTCGTTCTTTGCAGCAAAGTCATCACCCTTGGCTTGTGTTTTTTCCACATGACGGCGAGTTCAGAATTGTTTATTACTGTTTTCGAATAACCTCCAGCTTGCTGTGTCATCCAAACCCAAATTGTGTTTAATTTTAACTATGGTTAGCAAAAGCATGCTGACTTGGACTCAAACTCCCATCAGTCCCAGTCCTCCCATCAGATATGACCTGAGTTGTGGTTCAGCAACATTTGGAGGACTATAAGTTCCCCATTTCTTCTCTCTTCTCATTACATTCTGATCAAGCCGATATTATAAGGTGAAATGAGTGAAATGAGTGGGAGTTGTGATGGTACTATATCCTAGGCAGCGTTCATTTGGTTTTGATAAAGCTTGTGTAAATCATTCTGTGCGGCAGTGGCAATATCAGCAAATAGGAGCCAGACAAAGTATAGTTGCCATTCTGTGACTCCTGATGGGAAAGCAGTAGATTTGCAGTAATGAAATTCACACACTTGAAAAAGTGACACTGTCAATCTTTCAGCCCTTGTCTAGGAAAAAAAAGTAATAGCTGACTCAATCCAAATAGTGTAGTCAGGTTGTGGAAGAGATGGTGTTCTTTGCTTTTGTATGCAGTAAATGTCTAGGGTCCTCATTAGTAGTGAGAAGAAATAACTTCATTTCCATATTCTTGAAGGGTAAGGTTTGTAATAGGCTGTGCTGCTTTTTGAGAAGATGAGTGTACCTATGATTGAATCATCAGTATAATCTGCTTAGTTACCAATGAAGTCTTCTGCACCAACCATGGCCATAACCAATTCTGGATTGTAGTGTGGTGCAGGCTGTTCCTTTGCACAGGACGCTGAGCTGAGGGGGCGCAAAATAATAATAATGATAATAAAACCTATATTTATACAGGCACCAACTGAGAAGATCCATTTTAAAAGCAACAGCACTAAAAGGAATTATTGTGAAGATAAGGAATATTGGGTGTGCCAAATTCTGTTCTTGCCCAGGGCACCATATTACCAAAGTCCTCCCCTGCCATTACTATTACTGAGAACTGTAATTGCCTTTTCCCCTTGAATCAGCAGATCTGATCCCTCCTAGTTTAGAGAGTTTGTTGGAAGCTGCCCAGAGTGGCTGGGGCAACCCACTCAGATGGGCACGGGATTATTATTATTATTTGGTATGTTAACTTTAATTTTATATGCCTTAAGTAAGTGTGGTTTGACTTCCTATGCTCTCCTCCTACCCTTTTCCTTCCCATGAAGCCAACTGAATATCTTGAACCTTTTAATCCTTGTTCTGCATAACTTATTCTTATTTTCCAGACCATTCTAATTACAGTGGTACCTCAGGTTACATATGCTTCAGGTTACATACGCTTCAGGTTACAGACTCTGCTAACCCAGAAATAGTGCTTCAGGTTAAGAACTTTGCTTCAGGATGAGAACAGAAATCGTGCTGTATGTGATTTATTCAGCTGTTAAAAGAGATCAACAAACAGTGTGGCCAGGGGTTGTTACTCGCAGTGCTTGTCCCAGTGTGGTCTGTCTCCTGTGGATGCATGAAGGAAGTCACACAGTACAGTGGAACCTCAGGTTAAGAACTTAATTTGTTCTGGAGGTCCGTTCTTAACCTGAAACTGTTCTTAACCTAAGGTACCACTTTAGCTATTGGGGCCTCCCGCTACCGCCACGCGATTTCTGTTCTCATCCTGAAGCAACATTCTTAACCCGAGGTACTATTTCTGGGTTAGCAGAGTCTGTAACCTGAAGTGTCTGTAACCCGAGGTACCACTGTATGCTCTTCTTGTTTTCCATTTCTTCTTGTACAGGTGCAATCATTGGATCTGCTTGAGTTAAAGGAACCAACGTTTGTTCTATACAGGATTAGAGTATGGGGATATTCTAGTCTGCAGTAAATCCATTCCTCCTTCACTCTATACCAGCTTATATATGCAGTTTAGTTGTAGTGTCCTTGCTGTGCTGGTGCAATGTCATATTCAACTGCGTGCTGGCATAGCAATTGGTGTTCCCTTGGCATAAGAAGGATCAGTCCCTCAGAATAGTAAATAGAGTTGGTCAATGTATAGCTTTATACCAGCCTCTGGTTTCAAGGCTGCTATTGATTGTGAAAATGGAACACTTTTAATTTAAAAATGTTAATTGAAGTGCTATGACCCCACTGACCCAAGGAAGCTGCATTGTATACTTAATAGCTCTTGCTGTTTAAAGACAAATTAAGTACTGATTCCACAATTAAATATATTTTCTGTGAAGTACTTATATAAAAACATGCTGGAATTTAAAAACCACCTAGAGTTTGTAAGAAAGCAGTTGACTAGCTTCTTATTGCAAGGGATTGGCTGATTTGTGCCTGTCCCTAATTGATTTTGCGTTCTAACATAATGGCCTTGTTTGGATGAGCCTTGGGATCATGCACTCATCCTTGCACAAGTGCAAAGAAGCATTCATTTTAAACTACCAGCAGCTTGCTGGGGACATCTAAGCTCAGGCAAGCTGCAAATCAAATTGTACTCTTATGAAGCTGGCTTGCTTTAGTTTAGTTTAGCCATAGTTTAGGGTTTGGACGGAATGCTAAACCAGTTAATTTTAAATGGAAGTAGAAGCCTCTAATCTCCTCTGCATCCTTATCAGAGGAGAGGGGAAATGCACAGGCCTGAGGCTTGCAAAGGCTTGCTCTCCTAATGCTAATTAGTGGTTTAGTCAGTTATGTCTGAGCTCATCCAGAGCCTCCCACACTCATTCTTGTAGAAGAAAAATGTTTAAATCAGCACCTGTGCTCTACCAACCATCCTCGTAGGAGACTTTATCTCCATGAATAACTTATTCTGAAACTCACCCACTTAACCCTTCTTCTCATACAGTTGGACCCTTAGCCGTCACATTTGACACACTACCCAGTGAAGAAATGATCATCAGCAAAAACCCGTATGTCCAGTCAGGTGGTCACTACAGCCCTCCACATTGTGTGGCTCGCTACAAAACTGCTGTCATTGTGCCACACAAGAATCACGAGAAACACTTGCAGCACTTCCTCTATTATCTCCATCCCTTCCTTCAGCGTCAGCAGATTAACTACTGTATCTACTTGATTCATCAGGTAAGCCAAACCAAAGGCACACTGCAAGTCTCTTTAACATGTTTTTTTTAATAAAATGAGCTAACGCAAAGGTTGTCAGATAAGTACAAAATATGGGAGTGTGCCTGCAGTTTCAATATACGACTGTCTATAAAGTGCTCCTCATAAAATCAAAATCTGCTTTACGTAGAATCTTCTGTGGAGAAAAAAGTTGAAATGTCAAGGATGCTGCTGCTTTCTAAATTGCAAGTGGTTAATCTTCTAATCAGCCATGCTGCTTTTATGCCAGATGGAGTACATGCTATGAGTGCTGCTTAGTCCAAACTCTTCCTATGGATGTTTCTATGAAAATAATGTGATCTGCTGGGGAGTTTAAAAAATAAAAAATAAAATCACATGTAAAGATCAGAAACAAAAGGGAAGTACTGAAGAGAAGGCCATTTGTGGAGGAGTTAATTAGTTGTTTTTCATTTCTAGGTGTGAATGTGTACAATTGATATCAGGCTTGTATGTTACAAATTTTGTGGTCATCACACTCATTATTAACCATGTAAACTTCACTTTACAGCTGTTAACATATTGCATGAAATTCCAGTCCTGAAATGCTGGCAATCGTGGTCCAGTGATTATTAGCTCCATTTTGCTTCTTCCATTTCCTCAGATCCTCATTCTCCACTTACCTTTCTTCATGTTCTTCTTTACTTAATAGCTATTCTTCACCCTTATTTTAGCCTCCTTATCTCTCATCCCATAGTCCAGCTGCTTGTGTGAGGTGGCGATCCCTTCCTAACCACTAATTTTGTCTTTCCTCACAGTTGCTGGACTGCAAACTAGTTTCTTCAACAACTGATTGATACGCCAAGCATGCCGAATATCTCAGTGTCACAAAAGCAACACAATATATTATGAGCACCCTCTAACCAATTCATCATTGTGTTCTAAGGCTGATTTTCGTTTTCTCTTTTCAGGCTGGAAGTGGCCCATTTAACCGAGCAAAGCTTCTTAACGTTGGAGTCCGCGAGGCCATGAAAGACGATGACTGGGACTGCCTGCTTCTGCATGATGTGGACCTCATTCCAGAGAATGATTATAATGTTTATGTCTGTGATGATTATTTCCCCAAACAACTGTCCACTGCTATTGACAAGTTATACTACAGGTAATAAATATCCTAAGGAAAAGGTATACTAGGTCCATAAACCATAATATTACCATTGGCTGGGGGCGGGCAGGAGAGAGGAGAAGAAATGTAACACAAGTAATACAAAAATGCAAATAGTACAAATGAAAATGAATTTATTAAATAATAATTGTTTAAAAATTATAAGGGTTAACACTGGGCCAAGTGCTTTGCAGTCAACCAGCAGTTTTGCAGGTTCTGGCAATTTCATTTTTTATGAAGCAATTGGATAGAATATGTCTACTCCTTTCCCCCTTCTAACATTGTGTGCATATGGATTAGGGTACGGAGCATAAAACCACACAGGTGTTCTCCTGCATGCGCTTCTTTTGTATGGCACTTTGAACTTGGGATTGTAAGTCCCATTGAATTTATTTGCAATTTATTTTTATTTGCAAATACAACAAACCTTTAGAAAAAATGTGGCAGTGAGAAGCATACAATCAACAATAAAATGTTCTTCATAAAACAAGTACATTAGATAAGCCTAATACATCAACACAGCACCCTTCAGGAACGCCGATGAGTTTTAAGCAGGTGTGTAAGTGCCAATACTGCAAGCGCCTTCCTGGTGTTCATTGGAAGCACATTCCAAAGTGCTTTGCTTCTGTTGCAAGGAAAAACTGTTTTCTGGTATTTTCTTACTTCTAAGCATGCTTAAATCATGGCCTTAACATTGAGATGTAAGAGAGAAGAAACTTGGAAGGTATGTTTTTAAGCATACTGAAGTCTTGAACTTTTTCCAGAACTAATACTCCCTGTCTTCACAACACTTCTGGTACAGCATCAGGAGCACTAAACTTGCATGAATGTGAAAGTCATTGTGTCCTGATGCTCCATGTAGGACCAAAGAAAAATAAAGTATTCTAGTTTGTTGTGCCAGATGCATGTACTCTTTGCTTTCCACAGTGCAGTGCAATATTTGTTTTTCTCGGTAAACTGATCTAGGTTTATTTTTCTTTGTAGTTTCCCATACTGGTCCTTTTTTGGTGGTGTAATTGCTTTGACCCCAGAGCATTACATGAAGATAAATGGGTTTCCAAATACCTTCTGGGACAAAGATGGTGAAGATGATGACATTGCTGAAAGGTACTAGTGAGGAACAGGCGTTGAAAAAGGTTGTGATAAATTCAAACATAACAACAGTGAAGTTGTGCCTGCTTAAAAGAATGATGTGAGAGCTCTCCATCGCTCAATAGGACCTCTGTTCAGAAAGTGGTTGGTAATTACTTCATTTGATAGGTTGGATTTAAAGGTGCCCTTTTGCGTGTGGAATGTGTTTTCCATTCAAAGAAGCACTGCTTTGCACCTTTAGTTAGAAAAGTGTGAGAAAAGTTGGCTGAAATGGCAGAACATTTGAAAACCGTCCTCTGAAGGCTGCTATTCCAAGGACAGGGCTCTACGGTGCAAGAATCTATAAACAAGCCTGAAGCTGCACTGCAGGGAACAGAAATTTTCACTCTGTTGTTTGTTTGCTTTTAAATCCAAACTCCTTGTACCATGTGACAAGCTGCTTAGGAATTTCCAAAGGAGTTTATGATAAAGGGTAGAAGATTGCTGTCTGAGATAAAAGGGCACCCATACAAGCCTTTGCAGACAGTTAAAAAGACTTTAGATTGGGATGTGTACAGGGGGCTGCAAGGTGACAAGGTGGTTTCTTACTGGGCGTTGAATTGAATGTCAGCCAGTTGCTAGTTTGAGCAAAGATCAGCCCTATCAAACATGAATGTGGCAAAGTCTTGTGAAATTTCTGTTCATCTTTCCCGGGCGTTTTTCTGTTCCCAGACACTGTTGACAGAATATAAAAATGTAAATGGAACACTTTGTTCTAACCGCTGTTCAAAGTAAAGGTGACTAACCTGTGGGCGGTATCCAGGCCTCCCCGCCCCATGTTTTGTGCCCCTCAAGATGTCCCCAAATTTGTTGATTTTTGTTGAAAGGCAGAATTATCCCCCCCCATTTTTCTAGTTGTTAAAAATGTGTTAACATTGACTAACTCTAGTGTGATGCCAAATTGTTTTTGTGCCCTTCATGCTCCCTATTTGTCCATTTTATTGTTATTAATTACCATTCCTGAGGATCTCCTCCTGTGATTCTATGGTGCCTAATAATTGTTGTGAAACCAAAGACACCCTTCTCTAATTCCTTCTTTAAAAAATTGTTAATGAATGATAAATAATTTAAAATAGTGCAGAATAGCAGATGGGAAAGTATTTTGGAATGTAGACTTGATAACTGCAGTTCTCACTTTGGCCCAGTGCATTTGAAGCAGAGAAATCTGACACAGCATCACCAGCCTGATAGGCTTTCATACTGGCCACTGAAGCCGTGAAGCCATTGTCAGCATATGTGGTTATATTAAGACAATGTTACTCATATGCCTGCCCCCTTTCAAAAAAAGGAAAAACCATTTCTAAGGAACCGCATTGAAGCTCATCAGATTGAACTTCAAAGAATTGGTTTCCTAACCCTAACCCTGATACAGAGTGGAGGCTGGTGCTAAAATCTGTTATTTCGGGTTTTGTGAGCCATTTTTGAGCAGAGGCAGAGCAATGCACCCAAGGTAGGACAAGAAAGAAAACGGCTGGCCTGATCTTATATAATTCCACCCACCAAGAGCAAATTATCCAGCCATCTTGTGTCTGTGTCATTGCTAGACAGAAAATAATTGACAATCATGAACCCTTAGAATATGCCAGTCCTAACCATTTCACCTTTGTTGCTGTCTGCCTTGATTTTGCCATTTTTATGGAGAAATGTTCTGAAATGCATGTACTTATGCTAGTAAATTAACATTTTCACCATCTCTTCACTTCAAAAGGATTGCTATTGCAGGAATGGGAATAGATCGCGTTCCACTTTATGTTGGGCATTACAAAATGATAGACTATGGACAAGCTGCTGAACGTGTACAGAACCTTAAAAGGTGAATACAGATTTTCTTCTTTCCATGACCGGTTTTATGTGCACTACACTTCCCAGCAGACAGGGCTTGTAACACATTGCATCCGCACTGGATCAAACCACACCCTCACCCTTGAGCCAGGATATATATTTAAGTAGTAGAGACTTACAGTCTTTGGCACCTCAAATTCATTGTTTATCAATGCAACTACCAGCAGGATGGAGCAAAATATTTAAATATCTTATTGATAAACATCTCCCCAACAGCCAGAGTTGAGGCATTCCAGCAGCTCTACTGGAATGGAGATAAATGAACAGCAGAGGTGCCTATCAGCTACATCATCTGACACAGAAACTCTTCTCAGCCTTCGCTGTTGTGGCTGCTTTGAGCTGAGAGATACTGTATATGCTCAGAGGCACACCAAGCAGATTACTGGACTGCCCTCGGTTCATAGCACTCAGATAGACTGAAAACTATGCCGCTCTTTGGCTGCACCTGGCCTTTTTGGTATTGAAGGCTCTGCTTGTGAAGGCATTCAGTCTGCCACCAAATTTCCCGAAAGAGCCTCATGTGCTTAATAGCACATTCCTGGGTGAGGCACCTCCTACTTGGGAAGTTTTTCTTTGCAAGAATTCGCCTATCTATTCACGTTTCATAGCGCTAGAAAACTTCCTCTTCATCTCTGCTGAAAAACCTAGACCTGTAACATTGGTATCTGATTAGCATTTTTATCTCTTTACTGTCCCTGCCTCACATAATTCCCCCTTTACTTTCCCCTCTAGGCCTGCTGAACTGAACACTAAAAAAACGTGGAGAGATGATGGGATGAATTCTTTGGAATACAAACTCTTGGGAAAGAAGAAGTATCGTCTGTATGTTAACATTACTGTGGATATTGGGGCTGCACCCGTCCTACCACCCGAGGGCAAAAACAAAGGAAACAAAGCCTGACTCTGGCAGCATTGGACTCTTGCAGTGCTGGAGTTTGCTGGGTACAAAAGGATTGTGCGGTACGCAGACATGAAGATCCATTTTTAAAGCTTCTATTTACAAGTAAAATAATAATAAAGTCACCACGAATGAACACGCGAGTATTAAGTTCATGTATTTTTGGAAAAGCATGCAGCCATTGTAAAGTGCGATGTCTACTGAACCCTGCACTCTTACTCACCTGCACAATTCTTGAAGAGCAAGTGTTAGATCTTATAACCAGTTACACTGTGATGTGGATACTTGACATTACTGTATCCTCTTAACCGTATGAATGTAACGTGAATTTATGTGTTTGTTCTATTTTTAGACATCTTTTGCATTATAAATTCTGTTCTCTTGCACCAGTGTTAATGCTTTAAGGTGGCAGTTAAGTATTAAATGTGTTTCAAAGTGTTAATTTTGTAAAAGTTTATTTTTCAATGAATTTAAATAAACTGCACTGAGTATTAGCGTTTTGTCTCAGCCGCAATCATCACCTGCTTTTCTGAAGGATCATTTCTCTCCTTAGAGGCTTTGCATTGCTCCAGAGGTTTCTGATATACAGTACATGACAAGGGAAAACTATAGCCAATGGGTTATTTGCCTCCTTCCCGTATAAAAGAGCACATGGTCATTTTACAGTAAGGCATGGGTGTTAGGAGCTAACTCCCTCGTTCACATTCCTCCCTAAAGCAATTCCATCTTAAACGGAGATAAATGATAGTGAGGTGTGAGAGTGGCCAAGGTTTGCACCCCGCATGCACTTTTGTTGTAAAAATTAAGACACCTGCTTCTAGGTGTATGTAGCTCTGTTGCGCTTGGCTATATTCATAGAATCCTCAAGTTGGAAGGGACCATGAGGGTCACCTAGTCCACTTTGAAACCATGCACAATTTAAGCGCATGTCAGAATGCTGGGTTTTGCTTTACAGAAGGTGCTTCTGCGTCTTCCATTAGGGCATCCTGTACTGTGCCTCTTTTCCTCAGAGCGTCCCTGATATGGATCAGTCAGCTCTTGGGAATGTGCTGCTAAACTTTCTGGTACCAACTCAATTTTTCTTTTCTTTTTCCCCACAAGCCTCTAGCAGAATTAATAACCTCTTCTTTCTATTCAAAGCCGTCAACAGAAGCCTTTACTCCATCGCTTCATTATGCCTTGAGATCTGATGACTGTGCTATAAACAGGCGGTGATCATCTTTACTTATTTCAGTGCAAATGGCAGGGGGACTTGACATATGAGAGATTAAGCATTTGCAAATTGCTTATGCAGTGCATTCAGTAATGTACAGCGAAGATGCATCAGTAGTTCATCTTGTGTAGAACCACCATATTACAATGTTTGTTAGGTGTGAAGCAGGCAACAGGAACGCAGGGTAGCCCTGTGTACTGGCAGCATTCCCCCCTCTGCACAATTATCCTGAAGGAAGCGTCTGGCTTGCATAGAGAAGGTCCCTGGCTCAATCCCTAGCATCTTCAGGTAGGCCTGGAAAAGGCTGCCTGACTGAAATCTTGGGAGAGCCACTGCCAGCTAGTATGGACACTGGAGAGCTAGATGGACAATAGTATGACTTGGTATGAGACAGCTCCCTATGTTCTTAAGGGAGCTGCTTCAATAAGGGCAGGGTTTGCTCCACAGGGATGCAAATGATCTCCCTTTTTCCATGCACATAAAAGCTCTCTTCAGCTAGTCGATTATGCATTGTGCAGCATCACTGAGGGTGAGGCCAACACGTTCCTATTGGTCACTTCACTCACAAAATACGCATTGCATATAGGCGGTGGCCATTTTGCACAGGGGTTGCATTCCTGACCCCGGCATGTGTTGGCGGAGCACGTGTAAGCCCGTTCCACCTCTGTCCAGCCCATTTTCTGACCACTTCCAGGTTGCAGTGACGCACACATGTGCAGACAGTCGTGGCCTGTATCTGCCTTGCATACTGTGAGGAACTGAAAGCATATCCACTAAGTGAAGTGACAAATGGTATCTACGGAGCGATTTGCAGACAGACAACTTGAAATTGTAACAACAAAGGCTTAATCATAGGAGCGGGCCTAATGAAGTCTATGCGACTTAGTCATGACTTGATGTAAGTCTCGGTGATTTATCTATTCTAAGCATTACAGCCCACTTTCATTTTGAACACCCACCCAAATTCAATAACTATTTTATTGAAAAACGCTCAGGATCAGTGGGCAAATATCAGTTGTATAATTTCTTCAAAATGCAAAACATTTCCTTCTAGGAATTGTTGAAACTTCACTCCCCCTCCCCGAAAACATTTTCTACTTTTAGTACCATGGCCTGAAATGCTTTAGAAGATGCACCTAGAAGCTACACAACCACTTTTGTCATGCCCACACCCCCGGTAGTTGTTTCCAGACCATTTTACATGTGTGCATTATGCCTTTGAGGAACTGCATGGAGGAGCTTCAATATTTACTTCCGCAACCTCTCACTCTGCATTCTCTTGCTGTCCTTAGGCAACGGCACCACAAACATTTTTACAAACCAGCTGCAGAATTAAATAAGGTTTCTCACGCACCCTTAAGCTGACAATGTAATTGGAAAGCTTCACCAAGACAATGGAATACTTTTCAATATGCTCCATATTTTATTGCGAGTTTTCAAATCTCCCTCATTCTCTCTGTGGGTATTCTTAACACGATGGCATCAGATACCTTTACCTCAGGAGGTTATGATGAATGCTTGTTCAACTGGCTGAAGAAAAAGCCATTTCCAACAGGGCTATCCTATTTAAAAAAGAATTGCCCATTGGATGAAGAAGCCCTTTAACTTTGCACCTTGGAAAAAGCATGGCAGTATTGTCCTTATATCCTTGTTTCCACTTTAAAATGGTGGAGATTCAACAGCAGCTATCAAAATAGATAGCTTTCAGGCAGTGGAAGTCAATTCCCTCCAGAGGAAGGAATTAATATTTTTAATCCAATAAAAAACCATGATCATAGAGTTATTCATGTTAACCGCAGTCACCAACTGGCCAGTACTGTCCTGAACTCCAGGAAGAAACATCTAACAAAGCTACTAGAGATCGGGTGTGGGTGGAACCCTATTCTTCCCCCTGTAATGTACTTGATTCTGGGAAATCACCAACAAAAAGGTAGGTGCTTGCTCTCGGCCCTGGAAATTGTCTTCCATTATCCATACAGTTCATTAGGCACAAGAGACGGTTATGAAATCTTGGTCGGCGTGCCAAAGTCCACTGTGATGTTGGTGTACAAAGGGTTGTGTTCCACGGAGAGCAGCTTGTAAGAGCAGGAGTTTAGCCCGTCTGTTTTCCACACTTGAGATACCTGACGCAAGAGTTTCATTCTGAACAATTAAAAATAAAAATGGGTAGGGTGGGGTGGGGTGGGGTGGGGTGGAGAGAGAACAGAAAAGAGGGCATGAATTAAAATGTCATGAAGGTTCTGTTTTAGAGACAGGTACGCTATGTAAAACTTTGAAAGCAGATGAATCTTAAGTTCCAGTGGCCGAAGATGCAAACTGCAGTTTAAGAGGCAATACAGACCTGAGCAAGGACAACTTCTATATATGATATATTGTCAGGCTTGGTGTTTCACAATCCATTCATATAAGTACCGTGCCCGCACTATGTTTAGACCAGGGGTAGTCAACGTTGTGCCCTGCAGATGTTGCAGGAGACAATGCCCATCATCCCTGACCATTGGAAATGCTGGCTGGAGCTGTTGGAAATTTTAGTCCAAAACTTCTGGTGGGCACCATAATGGCCACCCTGGCTTAGACCATAAGTCACGTTTTCCCCCATTTCCCATCCACCTAGTTTTGCTACCATAATATGACCTCATTGACTCACCTCTGTCGATTTGCTTCGTTGCCTCTGTCTCTCGTGTGGAAGATCATCGTGTATTTGGCCACATGAGGAGATGGCCGGATAACCTTCATCTTCTGCATTTCAACTCTAAATGCAAATATAGCAATGATTTGCAAGCATGTCATGGAGATGGGGGGGGGGGGATGAGGCTTGAGAATGATGATCAGAACCTCCCAACCTCCCCCAGCTAAAAACTATAAAACAATAGGCATCTGACTCACACCCCCTCTAGTGCATCAATGCGCTTCAACTTCAACTGAACTGACAGCCACACTGCGCATTTTTGTACAAGCGGTAATGGAAGACCCTTAACTGTTACCTCTGCTATTAAAAATGTGGGGCACCGCCTCAAGTTTTCAGATATCTCTCAATGGGGTGGGGCAAACTTTGGGGCCTTTTAAATTCATTTAGCGCTTCCAATCTGGCTGTGCAAATAAGAGAATCAAGGCTAGCAAGTGCTAGTTCACTTCTTCCTAATCCCATTTCCTTGTGGGTGAGCCAGGTTGTCCATCCGCTGATTTAAAAAACCATCATATTCGGTTAGAACCCCACTTCACCCAAAGGCATGTACTGAAAGAGATCATGGGGGAAGGGGAATGCAGCTTGCACCTGACCTTAGCTGTTGAGTATAGCAGATTAATTACATACTGTATCTTTAGCTGCCAGGTGAAAGGGTTTTTCTATATCCAGGCCTCTGGCTGATTAACATTCTATGGCCTTTAAAATGTCTTTGTGGGAGGTGGGCTCCTGACCCCTGGTGTAGACAATACTGAGCTACACAGACCAGTGGCTTAATTCGGTATAACATAGCTTCCTAACTTCCTATAAAAACAGAGATACCCAGAGCTGTAAAACAACCAGTGAAAGAAAACCAATAATGATGGTATTACAGCTCAAGACTTCATTTGCTTAGGGATTCTAGGCAGTCATGTTGAAGGGACAAAATCCATGGAAGGCTTTTTACAATTAGAAGCAGTTTGCTGAAGGACAAGGCCTAACTAATCACTAATAACTAACAGACTCAAAAAACAGCACGTCAGTACAGCACTGAGCAAAAACAAGTTCTAAAAAAAAAAACCCCAAACAAAAAAACCCAAACCCTTTCCCACTCTGCTTTATAACCCGACTTCATTTTGTAAGAGTGTAACAGAGGGAACTGCTGCCCTCTATTGGATTCATGGATGACAGCAGCACCAAGGACAGTCTTTTTGAGTACGGACGTTCTCTAGCCCAGTGGTTCCCAATTAGGGGTCCGGGGATCCCTGGGGGTCCAGGGGATACACACCCAGGGGATCCCTTGCCATGGACTCACTTATCTTGTTAATTGCACAGTAAAAGTCTTCCACGGATCATCCAGCCTCTGCTCACGACCAGCAGCTGCTTGCTGGCAGGGGGAAAACTTGTGAAAAAGTTTCTGGATGACAAGTGAGCTGGGATTGGACAAAAACCTCTGATACAGTTTCTTCCAGGGGAAGAGAGAGTGCAAATGGCTTGCTCCACGGGGTAGATTCACATGCTTATCATTTTTAAAAATGTAAGCGATCCCTTCCCCTTGCTCTCTTCTTTTTAACTGAAAAAAACTTCTACTTGCATTCAACGACTATCAGGTTTTATGGTCTATCCCACTGCCTGTAGGTAGGGTTTTCTTGCCTTATTTGGGATTCTTGTCTCATCTGGAATTCCAACAAGGGAAACAGCTAAGCCAGTGGCTTTCAACCAGTGTGCCGTGGCACCCTGGGGTGCCTTAAATGATGGTCAGGTGTGCCGCAGGGAGCACTGGCCTCCATCCCTCTTTCCTCCCCTCCCTCGTCTGATACCCTCTCACATCTCTGCTGCCCAAAGGCTGTTTGTGGCAGCAGCCCTGGCTATAAGCTCCCCAGGTAAATGGTGCCTCTGGGGCTGGCCAGGGGGTGCTGGTTTCCAGGAGCTGAGGCAGACTTGGAGTAAGCGAGTAAGCAAGCAAGCAAGCAGGTGAGGGAGCCCAGCCAGCCAGTCCACCAAGCCCTTGCTTGGGAATGGGAATGGACAGACAAGTGGGAGGCTGGGCAGGCAGGTAGGCGCTGCATTTTCTTGTGCTTGCTGTGTGCAATGCCTGCCAAGAAGAGGGGAGAAGAGGGAACATTTCACAAGGAAGGGTGAGGGACTGCCGGCTCTTCGGGGAAAGGGTGACTTAACTAGGCTTCTGAGGCTCAGAGAATGTTTTCCCAAAGGGGAGTCACAGAAAGAATGTAGTTGGTCAAGGGAGCCGTGGACTCAAATAGGTTGAAAACCTCTGAGCTAAGCAATTTGCCACTATGGTTAGCACAACAGCTCACCCTCTGATGATTTAGTTTAGTGCTAGGGCTGGGTGATACTTCCTTTTCAACATCGTGATATATCAGCAGCTAAATACCAGTATATGTTGACATATCACCATGACTGGAATTGATCTCGGCTGCTTCTTCCCACCTTTGGAAAGGAAGAAACAGCCAAGATACATGGCCCAGTCCTACACAGTGAGCGAGTCCCGATGCCTCTCAGGCTCATATGCGAGTCAAGGAGCATTGGGGCTTTGCTGAACTGCTCAGCGGGGGGGTGGGGGGGTGGAAGAGGCCTCCCGTCCCCCAACTCAACGAGCCAGCGGTGGGCTGGAGGCTCCGTTAACCGCTTGGCTGAAGGGAGCAGCAACCATGTACCCCTCAGCTAAGAAGGAGAGGGAGGAACAAGCTGTATTGCGCCTCTCCAATGCAGCTTGTTTCTCCCTCTGCTGGTGTGAGGGCAGAGTGGGATAGTGCCTTCACTCAGCTGTATATCGCTGGTGAAACCACTGCTGCTCCTGAGTCCCTCTGCTACCAGCACCAGCTGGAGGGAGCCAAGGGAGGTGGTGGTTTTGCTTGCAATAAAGTGAAGCCACCATCACAGTCTGCCTCTCACCCAGGCCTATTTAGTGCAAAAGGCAGCCTGCGTGGATGTTGTTTCCATGTTTTCTGTGGGAAGCTATGTGGCTACATTTGTGGGTGGGAGGAAACAGATGTACGGCAGAATCCTAATAAATTAAGAAGTTGGTTGTTCCTATTAAGCAAAGAGCAAGAATAAAAACCTCACTCAAAATAAGTACTGTATTTAACTAATTAATCTGTTTAAGCCAGGGATGAAACTTGGGCACAGGAGGACTAAATAATAATAAATTATTATTATCAGTACTACTGCTACTATTACCAACATTACAAAATTCCAGCTGTTTTCTATTTAGTCTTCACTAATACTGTATCAAGCCCTGACCAAGCCTTCACCTATGTCTTGAAGGTGCAAGATCCTTCAGTTAGCAGAACCATATGCTGCAAAGTTTTGCTAAGGTGTACCATCTCTGACTACAAGTAAGGAATGGCATGTTTGAATACTCTCTCATATAAAAAAAGCCTTCTGCAAATAGAACACTTGCACGTTAGGGACACAATTGCTTTTTTATTTTATTCAGTTGTAGTGGAGCAACTGAGACAAGTTTTTCCTACTGTCTGGGGATAGGCAATTTGTGGCAATATCACAAATTTTAGGGTCTGTTTTTAGTATACCTACAATCCTTTGCTTACTAGGGGCTAACCTACATTTTCTTCAAAAAATTGCTTTGCACAGGTAACCACCATAGAGGTATTTTTTTTTTCAAAAGTAGGGGGTCCACGGCTTTGGCTTTTAAAAAATAGGGGATCCTCTGTAATCAGCTATCTGGGAACCACTGCTCTAGCCACAAACTGCAAATTACATGCAAGAATACACAGGGATCCCCCAACCAAGGAAAAACAGTTTTCTGATGAGGAGATTAGAAGCACAGAAGCCTGCCCACCACATTTCCCCAGCAACTTTTTGTTCCCCCAGCTGATTTTTTTCCCTTTGCAGAATTCTAGACAAGACTTTATCTCCATTTACGAAATTCAAGTAGGACCCTGCAGGAGGCGCAGCAGGGATTGGGAGTGGAGAGGAGGAAGCACAATTGCACACACCACTTCCATGTTCCTTGGCTTCTCCTCTCAACTCTGTTTTTCCTTAGGAGGGCGAGGAGAAGCCACCAGGAGCTGGCATAATATGTAGTTCTGCCCATGGTGAGCCCCACCCAGAATGCACAGCTGCTACTCAGACCACGCAATTGCAGATGTTGCTGCATGTTGGTCCTACTCCATGTCCACCAGAGCTCTGGGGGACTAGAAATTGCTGCCAGCACTGGATTTCAGCTCCTCCAGGCTTTGATGTACTCATCTCAGGGGAAGGGTATATGTACCAGGGACCGTACGCTGGCAGCAACAATTTATCTAGACTCTGGAATAAGATGGTCTGCAGATCATCATAAAAAAATTAAGAGCCACTCCTTTAGGCTATTTCATCTTGGAACCATAAAATAAGTAGCTGATGTTGACTGATAGTACTGGACATGTGCAGCATCCGTGCACTTATTGATAAAACCTTCACTGGCAAATAAACAGACCTCAGTGAAGGGTATAGGGAGAAAGAGAAGCCAGAGATATGGAGAGACCCCGGATCAAATTACCAGTTGATATGGTTGAAAAATAACTCCTTTTTTAAACAGTTGGTTCACAAGATGCAAGGATACTTATGGTTTTTGAGAAAGAAGAAACTAAATGCCTTCCTACAGGACCCAGCTGATAAATAAACTTTCAAAAGGAGCCAAAGTTGACTTCTGGAAAAAATAACGCTATCAGTCACATATTTTCAAAATTTCAGCAGCATTACTAATGCAATAAGGCACATGCTGCACCATGAAGATGGTCGAGGAAATAAAGTGCCACCATGTTAATTAAATTAATTGTGTCTGATGAAGTGGACTCTGGTTGTTTTTTTAAAGAGACTTATGCCATAATAAATTTGCTAGTTTTTAAGGTGCAACAAGACTCGTTGCTGTATTTCCTGCAAGAGATAAACACAGCTGGGACTGGAAATTGCTGCCAATCTACAGAAAAAGACTGCCTCTCAATCCCAGCCCGTCCCTTTTTAGCATTCAGTCAAGAGGAACAATGCTTCTATCTTTCCTTTATTTCAGCTTGCAGTATTTATTTTCTTGTAAATGGCAGTTCTGTTGACATTCAGAGAGGAAGGTAAACAGAAAGGACAAGTTCTCTGAGGCAGCAATAAACAGATCCTGTAACCAAAAGCCAATCAAACTGTCAACGCAGCTGGCAAGCAAGACTCCCCAACAACAGCAAGAAGAGCCAGCAGTTCAGAAATGCTGACTTATGAGAAATTTGATTATGATACACCATGATTACTGTTTTCTTTTTAATTCCACACACTGCACATTTCTGTGGCTTCAATGTGTTAGAAATTGTTTTTTTCTAGCAACAGCAGCAGGAACATAGCATAACAGATATGCTAGACATTTGTACCTCTCTCAGTGCAAAGCTATCAATGTCCAGAAGTTTCTCAAATTTCTACACGGGAAGTTAAAAATTTGAAATGCAGTGGTACCTTGGTTGTCGAACTTAACCCGTTCCGGGAGTCCATTCGACTCCCAGAACGGTCCAAAAACCAAGGCGAGGCTTCCAATTGGCTGCAGGAGCTTCCTGCACTCAATCGGAAGCCGCAGAAGCCATGTCAGACATTTGGCTTCCGAAAAATGTTCTCAAACCAGAACACTCACTTCCGGGTTTGCGGCGTTCCGGAGCTGATTTGTTCAACAACAAAGGCTTTGACTACCAAGGTAGCACTGTACTCTTAAAATACCTGCACAGTTTGCCGCTTATAGTGAGCACAAGAAAACAAACTTATGGTTGGAGCTAATGGTGGTTTGTTTTCTGGGGGGGAGGGGGGGTTCCCCTCAAGTCACACTTTGTCCTTAGTTGCTGTGATGCACCTGCTTTTCAAGGGCAATAATGCAGTTTGTTGCAGGTGTGTTTTGCCACCAGGAAATCAATTGTGGTAGCAAGCTAGATGTTTCTTAGATGGTGCTTTGGTGTTCGAAGCAAAAGTGCATTACGAGCCCTCCCCCCATCTCATTTTGAATGCTGTGCCCATTTTACAGTCCTCCTTCCAATATTTCTTTGGTGGGTGGTCCTCACCAATTTTAATACTTAAGCAGATACATGTAATAAAGAGAAAGCAGGATTCTTTCCCGCTGCCCACGTTAGGAAAGGCCTTAAATAATAGTTAGGTACAAGGGGGTCAATTTAAAAGATAGGGGCATAGGAACCTGCCATATGCCATTGGCTCATCTAGCTCAGAATTGTTTACACTGACTGGCAGGGGCTGTCCAGGGTTTCAGGCAGGAGTTGTTCCCAGCCCTACCTGGAGACTGAACCTGGGTCCTTCTGCATGCAAAGCCGATGTTCTATCACTGAGCTACAACCCTTCCAGCAAGCAGTTTCTGGTCACTAGTCAACCAGTAACTCCCTGTAATGATCTCATCTAAGTGCAGTCAATTCAAACTAGTGTCTGTACTCCTGTCAAGATTTCATATCCCTATTTAGGCTATTTATATTGCACAAGCTTCTCATCTCCAATTCGCCCGTAGCACTTCTCTTCCCCTTCTGCATTCATTTTAAGCAACGTATGAGTCATATCCAAGGAGCTCCAATCACCCACAGTCTATGCCACCCACTTTGCTTAGGTGTGCAATTACCTGATGCGGAGGTCATCATCCTCTGCTCCCCAGCCCCAGTAGTTGTTAGAAAATCCATTCACCTTGGAAAATTGCTCTCTTGTTAGAGCAGTTACACCCCCAAAGTATCCTTGGTAACGCAACCTAGGAACACGTAAGAAGTGGTGGAGAAAAGTCTTTTCAGAAAGTGGCATAAACCCAAACACAGCCTTTATCAAAAACTATTTTATAGCCAGAAAAAAGTTCAGTTACCCATCTGCTGAAGCAAAAAATTAATAATGAAGTGTGTGTAGCGATGTGCTCTCATGGGCCTTGCCATGTCCTGAGCAAGCAGTGTTAGTTAACCTATGGCATGAAATCTGGCTCAAAGACATTTCATTCTGTGAAATGAGAAAAGCCCCACAGATATAAAATACAATGGACAGGACAACTGGTAGGGGAAGCTCCTTGAAGATGGGTAAGGCTGTGTACAGTGGTGCCCCGCAAGACGAATGCCTCGCAAGACGGAAAAACCGCTAGACGAAAGGGTTTTCCGTTTTGAAGTTGCTTCGCAGGACGAATTCCCCTATGGGCTTGCTTCGCAAGACGAAAATGTCTTGCGAGTCTTGAGATTTTTTTCGCTTTTCCCCTTTATCTAATCTGCTAAGCCTTTAATAGCCTTTAATAGCCTTTTAGCAGCTAATCCCCTAAGCCTTTAAGCCTTTAATAGCCGCTAAACAGCTGATAGCGCTAATAGCGCTAATCCGTCAATGGGCTTGCTTCGCAAGACGAAAAAACCGCTAGACGAAGACTCTTGCGGAACGGATTAATTTCGTCTTGCGAGGCACCACTGTACATATATACATAAAAGGCACTCCAAATTTTTCTCCCAGCTGGCAACTAGCAGCCCTAAGGCTGATTTTATGTAGCTGTTGGGTCTAATTTCAGAAGCCCTTTGCCCAGCATTCAGCTCCTACCACCTGTAAGAATAACTCATCCATCCACCAACAGCCTACTGCAAAGGAAAAGAGAAGTGGAGAAGAAAGAGAATGGGGTAGTCCCACCCACACTTTGATCTGGCCCCACCTGCTTCTGGCTTCATGTTCACTCACAGATCACATGCGGTCCCTTACAGATTACACTCGAGAGCAGAGTTGCCCACCCCCCTGCTTAGAAAAACATGCAGAGGAAAAAGTGAGTCGTGCCAGGTCTCTCTCACCTTCCCAGAAACTGCATCCACCTTATGTCTTATCATGGCTCCCAAGGCAAGCTTTTTTCTCAGGGGGACCAAGATGGGTTGCAGTGTGTGTGTGGGTGGGTGGGTGGGTGGGTACACATACACATAGGGATGGGTGGCTGGGGTGCCTGCTTCAATTCTGCTTGCAAAATTCAAGCAATGGTAATCACCTGTTGTTAGTGTCCCTACTTGTATCACTATGAAAGGGCATGCAAATCAACACTTCTTCAGAAGATGCAGGTTCTCTCTCCTAGCTCCTACCTGTAGCCTGTGCTGTTTCTACCCACTACCAAGTGCTTTGGCTGACTGCCACACATGTAAATGTTGAAGTCATTCTCTGGTACCAAGTCCACGTCATGGAATATGAAACAATCCCAGTTCTCTTCCTTCAAGGCCTCCAAGTATCCCACATTCAGCAGTTTTGCCCTGTTAAACTTGGCACTGCCAGCCTGCAAACAAGAAAAGGAAGCAATTTACGTCAGACCTGTTAAAACTAAGTAAACTTCCTATCAGAATGCTCTCCTTATCACACGTTTACAGTATCCTTTCCTGGCTCACAGCAACTGTACCATAAAAGCAGCTGTGGGATTGAGAGAAAAGGTAATGGAAATATTATAAATGAATAAAAACATATGTGTGTTTTGAGCCCAATCCAGCTCTAGCTGCAAACAACTCGTCTTGCATGTACAGTGTCTCTCATCCCATCAGCAGCCATCCTTCCTGGCTGCCTGTAAAGGAGAACACAGGGCAGCAAAGGCGCCCTCCATTAACTTGGCTGAGACCAGCTACCGTTTGGCTGCTCCCTTCCTAGAACTGCCTCAATCAGTAGCTATTCCATCTGAACTATTGCTAAGACCACTGGCTGCTTAATCTATTCAAATGTCATGTGGTTGTTTTTACCTAGGTCTTGGGCTATATTGGAAATTTTATTTTTTGTTCTTGTAGTTTTACTTGTTTACCTTATAACAGAATTGTTAAGTTACTGGGAAAGATCTCCACAACCCATGGACATTGACTACAACAGAGGTATGATAATTTAAACATCTGGCATTTAGTATGCGGCTTAAGTTTTAAAATACATGGGTATGGACTCCTTTCGTATGTCCCACTGTGTTCAATGGGGCTTATTCGCTATAAGAATAATTAGGATTGCAGCCTCAAACTTATATTTTGCATTCTAAAGTTCACTAGCATTGGCTATATTTCATTCACTCTACAATAAAAGAAGATTTTAAATTGAATACTAATTTCCTTTCTGTGTAACTGAGACAATATTGTTTTGCCCCCACTTATTCTTCTACAAAAGGGATGCGGGTGGCGCTGTGGGTTAAACCACAGAGCCTAGGACCTGCTGATCAGAAGGTCAGCGGTTCGAATCCCTGCGACAGGGTGAGCTCCCGTTGCTTGGTCCCTGCTCCTGCCCACCTAGCAGTTCGAAAGCACGTCAAAGTGCAAGTAGATAAATAGGTACCACTCCGGAGGAAAGGTAAACGGTGTTTCCGTGCGCTGCTCTAGTTTGCCAGAAGTGGCTTAGTCATGCTGGCCACATGACCCGGAAGCTGTACGCCGGCTCCCTCAGCCAATAAAGCGAGATGAGCGCCGCAACCCCAGAGTCGGTCACGACTGGACCTAATGGTCAGGGGTCCCTTTACCTTTACTCTTCTACAAACATATATAAAAAATACATATTTTCCTTCTCTCTTTTAAAATTGAGAGAAACTCCTTCAGCAACCTAAAGTCTGTTATAATGGCAAGGATGTGTATACTTTCTTATGGAGAACAGAGACACTCACAAAAGCATTCAGAACTCTTCCGGAATAGCATTCACCAGGCAAACAGGAAATGAATAAAAGATGAAAAGCCTTCTTAAAAGGAAAAAAGAGCTCCTTTTTTCTCTTTCATACAGAGCTGGTTTTATAAAAACCAAGTATTGACAAATGAATATTAATGCCATACTATTAGCTGCTTTTGTTTTAAATTAGACTGAGACTGCCAAGATGAAGCAAGTTGTCACTTCAGCACTGAACTTGAGATTCCAGGCAGTTTCAGGCAAAAAGCAGGTGCTGCAAAAGGACAGGTAGTGAACCCAGGTCAGTATTGTCTCCAACAGGGGAAAGGAATCTTTGAACTCAAGAACCACATTTGTTCCTGGGCAGCCTTCCAAGGGCCAGGTGTCAGTAGGGGCAGGGCCAAAGGCAAAACGTAATGCCTCGGTAAAAATGAAATAAAAATCCTACCCTTGTATAGTAGGGTAGTTTCTACACACATTCACATTCTCCTCTTATCCTCCATCCAGATGAGCAAGAGGCATATTCATTATTTTTTTTTATTATTATTATTACTACTACTACTACTACCCCACCCATCTGACCAGGTTGCCCCAGCCATTCTGGGTGGCTTCTAGCTTATATAAAAGCATAATAAAACATTAAACAATAAAAGGTTCCCTATACAGGGCTGCCTTCAGATGTCCTTCTGAGTTCAAGGATACATTCCAGCCAGGCAAACAAACTCAAGAAGGGTGTGAAGCTGGGACAGACCTGGGTAGAGGTCTGAGGGCCACAGAGAGAGGCCTGGAGGGCCACATTTGTCCCCCAGGCCAGAGGTTCCCTAGTCCAGGCCTACAATGACTTGGAAGCAGTTCTTCACAGCTTCAGACAAGGGTCTTCCTTAGGCCTACCTGGAGATGCCAGGATCGCTGTGTAGAATGTCAGTGGAAAGTGGAAAGTGGAAAGTCAGCCCTTAAGAAAGAAGTTCTAGCCAAGTGTACAACACTTGCAACATACTTCAAAGTTCTGCCAGGAGAGCTTATCTAAAAATTTAGCCCACCTCGCCTGTTTAGATGACGAATACATGTGCAAATATTACTTCTGAGCAGAAGACTGGTGCAGTTTAAGGAATGGAACTCTCATTCCCTAGCCCCAATAATTTGTATTATTCCAGGAGATTTGAAAATGGTTATCACATTCCTCATTTAGGTTCCCACTAAGCCAGAATGTAATTGTGTACAAAAGAGCATCAAACCAATGTCAATTTGGTCTACTTAAGAGTATTACATCCATCATGGAACTCAAGGTGGTGGACATGGGATTCCCAAGCCTCCTATCCAAGCCCTGACCAGACCCAAACCTGCTTTGCTACAGCGATGTGGCTGCATTATACCCCCTCTGACCCCGTCTTGATTCATGTAGCTTACAAGCCTAGGAACAGGAGCAGCCAATAAAATAATGGATAGGTAAAGCAGCTCTGGAGGGCAAGAGACCCAGATGTACCATCTCCAGTTTCCACTGTAATCCTTTTTAAAAAAATAAAAAATTGACTAGATAATGTATTATTTATTAATAGGAGACTGACTTATGAAACATGAAGCGTGAGCCAAGAATATGTGTCTCTATTGCTATAAATTCTGCCACATTTTGCACTCAAGGGAAGATGAAGGCCAAAGAACATTTTATTCTTTACAAAAAACACCACCTCTAAAGCAGTGAGTGCAAGGGAACTTCACCAAGCATAGCCGAAGGAAGTCAGGCACACACGAAAATGCCAGCCAAGCCCCAGGACACAAACAGGCAATTATTTGAGCAAGACACATTTCTCAAGCCTGGCAGCTTTGAGAACAATGCTCTACCAACAGTGCATAAAGTTAATTTGCCACCCGCTCCGCTTAATTCATCTGATCTGCTTTAAGCTCTTGCAGCAGAAGACGAAACTCATCAGCACCGGTGCACATGGGGACTCCTAACCGCTGGTAACACACTGATATGGATTTGTATCAGGACTGGGGGAAACGATGTGGAATGTGCCTGAAGCAGTGTTCTGATCCCCAATTGCACAAACAGACACAACAGTCAAAAGACCTCTAGGCACAACCACAGGGCAGGAAGGTTTGGATTCACCCCTCATCTTTAGCTGCAGATGTTTTGTATGGACCCACCTGGTGGATGATATAAATGCTATAGTCCAGCTGCTGCCGCTGCAGAAATGGGTGAAGGTGCTCCAGCAGGTACAACAGGTGCTTCTCTCGGTTGCGATGTGGTATCAATATTGCGACACGTTGCTGAGCTAAGCAGCCTTCTGGTCGATGACGTCCCTTTGACACTCGAGGATTCTCTTTCTGCACCTCCTCCAGGGTGAGAGATGCCTTAAAGAAAAGCTTGCTAGGGCCTCCTATGGGAAAAGGCATGACTTCAGTCTCATCTTCGTAAACTATAAACACAGCTGCTGTAAGTCGTAAGAGCAAATTAACTTAAATGCTTAGGAATCTGTGAAGCCATTTCGGAGACTGAGGAGGTTTATTTGATGCTTTGTTTTTTAAACTTAGAACTATACACTAAAATCTTTTGTAAGCAGCTAGATTTGGCCAGCAAGCTACTCTTTAAGTTACCTGGGGGAGAAGGGGAGGATGATTGGGGGCGGGCAAGCAATATTCTTCCTCAGTGTGGTCAGCTGTCAATTAGGCCTTCCATCCAGAGGTTCCCTGGGGATCCTACCTTTGACTCTGTACCATAATCCAAATAGCAGACTAGAAACATAACCCCAAAACTGGGAACTAGTAACCGCAAACCATAAAGGGAACTCTGCAAAAACTGTAAAGCAGTGGAAGGTAAGATGACCACAAGTTCATCATCCCTGTTATCAATGTCAGACTCATACATTATTGGTGTGTTACAGGAATAGCTTTTCCACTTGGTCCAGCAATATCTGAATAGTGGAATCATGTGGGGTGGCTTGATTATGGAGGAGATGCTCACATTAGCACTGTTGGCTGCCATCTCACAAGTTTCCGCACAAAAATGGAAATTTCTCAAAGGATCTCCATGGAATTCTAATATTTGTTGGCACAGGATTCAGCCACAGAACTGTGACATATGAATCATGTTTTTGAATAGTACTAGAAGATATGTCAGACGGAGAAATGTAACACCAAGAGGAAAACAGAATGCTGATTTTTACAAGCTACAAGTGTTTTCTCATCTATGTGCAAATGACAAATTCTCCTTAAGACAGGGATAGGAACTAGATCTGGACAGCAGGCTGGATCCCTATATCCCCCACCTACTGTGGGCCAAATGTGAAAGGTGGGAGAGACTGCCCACCTGTCAGTCACCTGACATCACAATGACACCAGTTGACCTGTTTTCATCCCACGAGGCCTGCAAGCCCTGACAATCAGCTGATCATTGGTGTTTGCAGAGAGCCCTGCACAGCTCTTTGAAGCCCTGACAATCTGCTGATAGTTGGGGCTTCAAAGCCTAATGGACAGCTCCCTGCTAGCTCCACCAATCACCTGATCATTGGTGGCTTGCAAGAACCACACAGAGCACTATACGCAGGGCTCTGCAGACGCAATCTCCTTTTTGGCACAGCTGCGACTTTACCTGCCTCACTTCCAACACCTTGTATAACATCAGGGTATGGCAGGTGGATATGGCTTGGTCAAATCAGCCTTGCAGGTCCAATGGGGAGGCCTGGCAGGCCTGATTAGGCACACAAGCCTGAAGTCTCCCCCCCCCCTCGATGCCTTAAGGATTTTTTTTTGGGGGGGAGGGAATCCTCCCCTCTTTGACTTCTTAGCTAAAGCCCCAAAATCCATGAAGTCTTGCTTTAAGACTGAGATTGGAAAACTTGAATCAACTTACGCAGATACGGAGACAGAGAGGGACACGGGGGCTTCATTATGGGCAGTTTCACAGTAGGCATGGTGCTCTTGTCTGGATTTTCCGTTCGCTCCTCTGTGATAGTGGTTGGTTTTCGGAAACTCCCCATGATGCTTTTTGCTCTCGGAGTTTCGTGCACGGCATCCACTAGGTAAGTGGAAGTGGCCCAGCCCACCAATAAGACACACAAGGTGAATAGCATGAGCAGCTTGAGCTTGTAGGAGACGTGAAGGCTGGCATAGCTCAAGCCCATGGCCTTGCCTGGTTTATACGCTGCTCCCTCGACACTGTCCTTGACGTCTCCTTGTCACAGTGCACTTCGAGGAGAGCAGGAAAGTCAAGACGAAACAAGGAGTCCTGGGACGCCGCATTCTGACAAGTCTCCTCTGACTTTTGAACTCATGTCTTTCTAGCTGAACAATAAGCGGAAGGCAGGCATTACAAGAGTCGACCTGTTCAGAGAGAGACGAAAAGGTCATTCTATGCCATCACCCCTCCAACCTTTAAACAGAAGCGCTGTGCAAAGGCTGTGAGACCAAAATACACAGGCCGTGGGAAAGTGGGGTTTTCTTCCTCCCTCTGTAACAAAACAAGCTCCGAAACTCTGTCATACATAGATAAAATCTTAATTTCCCAAGTGTTAGGGAAGCAGTTGTGAAGAAACCATAGCTCAGTAACAGAGCGTATTTTTGCATGCTGAAGATCCCTGGCAAGAGAGGATGAATAGAGTAGGAAAGACCCCTCTACCTAACAGCCTGGACTGCTGCTAGATAGACAACTGGGGTAGGTGGAGAGTCACCTGGTATAAGGAAGCTTCCTGTGTTCCTATATTCTGTGGGGCAAGAGGGCATGTGGGCTGCATGACTGGAAGTTTTGGATTATGTCCCCAGTGAGTACAGAGTCTATTTAGTTGAGAACAGATGTTATAGCAACCAATTAGTATAAACGCTGTTCAAGAAACATATGAATTACCTAAGAACCTGGAAGCATAGAATTGCAGAGTTGGAAGGGACCACAAGCGTCATCTAATTCAACCTCCTCCAATGCAGGCATCTTTTTGCCTGAAGTGGTCACAAGTTACAAGCTGTTCAAGAAATGTATGAACTCCCCTTTTCTTGTGTGATTCAAAAAAAGCACTCTGGGTCAGGTAGAGTTTAAAGCAGTCTTCCCCATCTTGGTGCCCTCCAGATATTTTGGTCTATCGGTTCCATCACAGCTAATGTTCAGGGATGACGGGAGTTGTAGTACATAAAAACAGGCGATATACTCCTGTGGTGGGCAACTTTTTTTTGTTGGGGGGAGGAAGTAGCAGGTAAACCAACTTGTAATCATTTTGGTGAAAGGTGGCACATGATGATTTTAAATAACTACTTGTCAGGTGGACAGTTTTCTTGCTGGGGACCCAGCCCAGGGGGAACAAGTTATCTCAGCTTGAAAAAGAAAAGATGAAAGAGTGCTTATTGGCTGGACACCTGCGGCACAAAACTCCCTCACATCTCCCTGGAGTAGTTTTTAAGCCTAAATAGAAAAATTGGGCACAATATGATTGCACGTTTAAACAATCATACGTAGGAAAAGGAAGGTAAAGACTCATCCCATGGAACCAAAACACATGTGGACTCCTATTTTCATATACATTTGAAAGCAGCCTTAAAAAATCCCCCCGGCTTCTCCTTATCAGCCATATCATCCTAAGATGACAATGTAGCATTAGAATAGTGCAAGTCACCAATGGTTCCTTCCCCTGCAAGTACATAATTAACACAACAGTAGGAGAAATGCAATACAGATGGGTAAAAGATAAGCGCATTAAATGCTAAACACAAACACACACACACACACACACACACACACACACACACACATTGATCAATCTGCAAGTTCAAGCATGGCATTTCAGTCTCAGCTCAGCAAACAGCTATGCAAAAAGGAAGTAGGGAGGCTGAAGCATGCACTCTGAATATATGATCTGATGGCTGGTAGATAGGCAAGGTACGCGATTTTGAGGAATGCATCTTTGCAATGCTATGTGCCAAACAACTGATGCAGGAAAAATAGGGGGATAAATACATTGGGGTTAAAAAGTGCAATATCAACTAAGCAGAAATTTTTAAAAAGTTGTAGAAAGTGATTAAATATGCAACAGGGATAGAAAAATAAAAAAAGCACAAGAATTAAGCCATTGCATGGACAGTTTCTCACATGCAGTATCTTGTTTCCACTTGTTAAAGTTACTAGTTTGTGGCACGCTCTAAAACCAGCAAACTATAATTTGCACCTGCCCTCTAAGCAAATAATGCTTTGCAACAAACCTGCAACTAACTAAGCAAGTGGAATATACAAGGAAAGATGACAAAAAGGGCTTTTTCCCATACCACCAAATCATGAGATGTGTAGTTTCGGGGTTCACTATGTTTTGTAATTTTTTTTTGTAATTGTATGTTTTCGTTTAACCATTTTTAATGTATTTTTAAACTGTTGTAACCCACCATGATACCTTAGGGTGAAAGGCAGATAATATATAATAATGTTAATACACATTCAAAATAAGCAATATGGCGAAAAGGCACTGTGATCGTGAGACCTCAGGACATGGTGTAGCTACAATGCAAGTATAGGATATATTATCTGGCGGTGTTTCGTTGTTTTTCAGTATTAACTATGGACTGCAGCTTTGGCAGTAATGCTCATTTATTTATTCACAATTATATATAGCAATGGCGTCTTTTTGTATTGAGAAATGGCTGCAAATAGGAGACTGCAAGGTTCTGTATTGTTTTTTTTAAAAAAATAATATTTATTAGTAGTTTCAAAATTATAGAAAATAAAGAAAAAATAAAAAGCAACACAATAATACATAAAAAGGGGGGAAAAACGCAGAAACCAATACAACAGATAAAAGATAAAAAAGATAAAAAAGATAAAAAGAAAAAAGGAAGACAAAAAAACCCCACAAATCCCAAATTACATATCTATAACTTCCATTTGCTTGTTTCATTGACCTCCTCACACCTCCCTTCTTGCATTCTAGTTCAATTAGTTATTTCAGCAAATTCTTTCCCTCTTTCTCAATTTTTGTTACAAAATTTATCTTAACAATTTAACCTAATAATTAGCTCAACAAATCCTTTCCATCTTTCCCCATATTCTGTTATTCAAATTACCTTAGTTTATTTAACCTTATCTTACCCTAAAATACCTTAAAGCTTAAGTCTTAGTTCTGTATTGGCTTGGTGTGGACATACGCCATTGAATGAAAATGGCCTGTGTTTTTTCTCCCCGGTAACTAATGGCCAATTTTAAGCATTTGAAAACCACAGACACAAAGACACTGTATAAATAAATGTATAAAGCGGGAGAGGGGAACAGTTTTTCAGTCCAGGGGCTGCATACTCTTGCAGGCAACCTTCTGGATGCCATATGTCAGAGCTGGGTGGCAAAAAAGGGGATGAGGCAACAGATGTGACTCTCAGATTTGTACAGAAGGCTAAATTCCAGCAAAAGAAAAATTCAGAGCTTTCTACGTGCACACACACATCCACCCAGGCACTCAAGGAGAGAGCAGGGCAGGGCCAGTGAAGGTGCAGCCTGGGCAAAGTCCCAAGGGCCAGACAAAGAAGCACCCAAGCCTTGGGTTCCCCGCTTCTGTATTAGGATATCCCCTACAGAAAGACATGTGTGCAAGCACGAAATAAGACACAGTGGAACCTCATGTTATGGACGGGATCCGTTCCAGAGGCCCGTCCGTAACACAGAACTGACACAAGCATGAAGTGCCACATCTGCGCACGGTGCGATTTAGCGCTTCTGTGCATGCGGAAAACCCGGAAGTAACCCGTTCCGGTACTTCCGGCTTGCCGTGGGACACAACACGAAAACACGTAACCTGAAGTGGACGCAACATGAAGTATGACTGTACTGACTGGGCCATGCTGTTTTTATTGCAATTATCTGTATGTGGTTTTTCAATTATTCCACCCCCACCCCACCCTACTTTCAGATGTTCTTATTTTAAACTGTAAGCCGCCTTAAGTCCCTGTAAGGGGAAAAGATGATGTAATAATTATAAGAGAGCATTTACTTTGCATGCAGAAGGTCTTAGGTTTAATCTCCAGGTAGGACTGGAGAGAAGCTGCCAGTCAGTTCAATAGGGAGCTAGATGGACTAAGAGTCTGACTTAGTATAAAGCAGCTTCCTATGCTCCCAAAGGAAATTTTAAAAGAACATCAGAAAAGGCTGGAAAGCACACACTAGCACACACATTTGCATTTCTTACACTTGCAGGCAGATACACTGCTACCTAAAAAAAACCCCCTGAAGGCAAGGTGAGCTGAAAATACCGACAAGAGATAACCTGAAACTGAAAGAACTAAGACCTGAGTTCAATTAATGCTTTTAAATTCACCCCTTTCCCGACTTTCATCATTTCTAATATGGCTTCAGCTGTCCTTCTTGCTCTCTACGCTGAAAATCCTTCCACTGGAGTAAACGTGATCAGGCTCCCATTCAGCCTGGTCCATTCAGCCTGCAACAGAGACTCGAGTCAAAGATGCAACTCATCCACTCGCTCCCGTTTCCTTCCTGCTGTTTGAGCCAAGAGAAAGCAAGCCCCTTAGACTTACTTGATCCTGCCACCGCTGCTCCTCTTCCTGCTGCGGTGAAGCTGTTTTGTCCTTATCGCAACTACCAGGGCTCCAGTGCCAAGTGGCAGGGCACTTTTCAGACCTGAAACCCCACACCATAAAGGAACCTCTGTTGCCTCTCAGGGATTCAGGAGGAGTCTGCTCAAAACTGCAGGAGCCACTGAAAGAAAAGTCAACAGTTTCAGCCTTCCCCTGTTAGAAAGCCACTCCCTCACCCCTTCCGAGACATTTAATTCCTCCCACCACTCTTCTTTTCTTTCTAGCAAGATGTGAAAAGAAGCCACATCAGGGAAATTCTGGAGAGCTGGAGCAGGGAAACACTCACAGATGCCTGTGCAAAAGTGGCCTGACAACATCAGTTGCCAAAACATACAAGCCCAGATTTATTTCTGTCCTGCAAGTTTCTCTGCCTTTGTAGGAAGTCATAGATCAAAGAATTGTAGAGCTGGTCACGAGGGTCATCTAGCCCAACCCCCTGCAATGCAGGAATCTTTTGCCCAATGTTCATGACCCTGAGGGCATTTTGCCCAATGTGAGGCTTGAACCCACAACCCTGAGGGTAGGAGTCTCATGCTCTACCAAGTGAGCTGTCCCAGCTTCAAGATATATCATCAATTTCTTTGTGAGTTAAATGTACCATATATGCCACCCACACAGAATAGCTCCTGGGTTAATAATAAATAAAATCAGTTTGGAGAAGAGCTGATTTTTCTATAACAGTAGTCAGACATGTGCTTTGAATGCAGATGGCCCAAAGTACAATCCCCGGTGTCTTCAAGAAGGGGTAAGAAGGTTCCCTGCCTTAAACCATGGAGAGCAGCTGCTAGTCAGGGAGTGGACAATACAGAACTCAATGAACCAGTGGTCTGACTCAGAATAAGGTCAGCTTCCTACGTTTCTGGTCTATAAACAACATGAAAAGGGTAAACAACATATAAAGACCAGAGTGGGAATCAACTAAATTTTACGTAGTAGACACAATGAAATTAATCAACATGACTAAGGTCCATTAATTTCAATAGGTCTACTCTGAGCTCAACTGATGCCACCCCAGCATAGGAATAGCAGCTTCCCACCCTCCTTACCCTGCACTTTGCTTCTTCACTTACATGTTACAAACCCTGCTAAGGAGTTTTAGCAGCCAAAGTGCTACCAAATTCAACAGTTATGTAAGAAGCAAGTTGTCCAGCAAGTCCAACATGTTTGTAACAGTTTGTATAATCTGATCTGGAAATGAAACCTGAGGATTCAAGTGAATGCATAGGAGCAGAATTTCAACCAGACTTTAACCAGGTTAACACTTGAGTTTATATGTGATCTGAGCACCACAATGCAGCTGCATTACTAGCATCTGTCTTGTTTAATTTGGTTCTTCACCCCCCCCCAAAATCACTTTATAGCCATTTAACAATTAAAAGTCATTCTCGTTTCAATCTAAACTTATGATATATCCTAGGAAACGTTTCCTCCCCCTTCGTGCTTAGGAAATCTAGAATTTCAGATGTCCTCTGACAAGTAGTAATAAACTCTAGTTTTATTATCTGTTTGCCAGTCTATAAAGGAAAAGAAACACGTTTTCTGCTGTCTTGTACACTAGGTATAATTACTGAAATTCCTTATGCCAGATAAGACAACAGATTCTGGATGATAGGTGTCAAGCGGACAATGTAATCTCCCTTTGTCCTCCTACAGCTTCCAGCTGGTAGGTGCTTAAACAGTGATCTTAATTTAGGAAAAGTAATCTGTTCTTGCTCCATTGAAATCAATGAGGCTGATTAGTTGTAATCCAAGCATATTCTATTCATTTATGTGCAGCTTCGGGCATCATTAAATTTTTCTGGTTTGGCTCCAACACTTAGAGCAATTACTAATATTAACTTCAAATGTGATAAAGCAACTTTCTGAGTATATAAATATCCTGCTCCTGGGAGTTTGAAAGCCAAGGATCCAATTCATTCTGGGAATCTTGCACTATCTTTTGGAACTGCTGCCCTGGTGAGAAAAAGTAGTGTACCTTGCAGATGCCAGAGAGCAAGGCAGTTTCTATTAGCAAAACCAAAGAAAAAGTCAGCCACACATATCGAGACAAATTATTTCCTCAGGTGATGATTGCATCCAGAAAATTAATTAGAAGTTGGTTCAATTAAAAGAGGTGCAGCAACTCCTATGCACAAACACTCATTAAGTTTCAGCAATAAATGGGAGCAATAAAAAGACCCATGCTGGGATGGGAGAGGCAGCAAATTAAATAGCAAGCTCTGAACTTCCGTCTCCTGTCTGTTGAGGCACTGTCAGCACTCATTTGATGTACAACAGCTGCGATCCTAATCCTGGTGCATTCCCTGGTGCTGCCACATAATGATGCATACGGTGGGGCTATAAGGCAAGGTTAGTAGCAGCAACCCTAAAGAGCCCTCTCTTCCTTTCATTTTCACTGCTTGCAACTTCACCTTGTAGCCACTGCCCACTTTTGGCCCTGCTGCCAACTTCAAAGACTGGGGTTACTAAAGAAAATGGCCAGGACTTTGCTCCAGATAGTTTTCAGGTAGAGGAGCACAATTCAAACTGCACAATCCTTCTGTCAAAGCAAAGCACACTTCAGTTGTGTCAAACTGGCTCAGCATCTTTGAGAGCAAAAAGCAGCAGGAGGGGGGGTGAGAAGGGTTTTTTTGTGGGAAACCAGTGTGACAGGCTCTGTTGTGAGCTCAATTCATATTGCCCCAAAACCCAAGGCTTCTTTTTATTCTTCAAAATAAAGAAACAGCAACATTAGGTGCACTTTTTAAAAAGCATGATTAAAACGAAGTATGATTTGGCCCCTAAAAGGAACTTGCAGGAGGAAGTGAGATATAGGAATAACTCTCCCTGTCTCCCCATGGTGCTTTTCACTGACTGGAAGGGAAAACTGAGGCTTTGCTCTGTTGTATTCAATGTTGATGAGGAAGGAACGGAAGCATTGTGAGAATTAATGCATATGCCTCTGTATTCTTGTCTAAGTAATTCTCACATGCTGTGTAGTCATAGGGGGACAACATGCTTACCAGTGTTGTTTGTCTATAACACTTGTCCTAACAAATTAACACTGGTAATGTAATGGTGATCTTTTGAAGTGAAAATGAAAGCAACTAATAGAGGAAAGAGGGAAGGGGGAAAGGAGGGAGAAAAGGCCACAGCTGCTAAGTGTAAGTAAATCAATGATTGGGCGTTGTCCCTATTCTAGAATGTATTCTGTAAAGTATCAAATGTTGGAATTATATTTACTAATAAAAGTAACTACGCTTTATAGAAGTTAAGCTCAAGTATCAAATGTATTTCTGCAAATGTCAACAAAAAATGAAATTAATCATCCAATGTAAACTGTTTTAACACATAGTTCTTAATAGAACACAACAGTGCAGATGAGCGACTTTTGGAGTAAAAGGATTGTTCAGCCAGCTGGGTGCAGTGCTGAGAAACCTTAGGTCAAGGGGTTGAATGCAGCCCTCCAGTCTTTTCCAAATGGCCCTTGGAAGTCTCTCAAGGCCACAACACGCACTGACCCTGCTCTTCCTTGAGTGTTTTTGCCTGGCTAGAATCGGTCCATAAAGTATAATGCTTCTTGCTTGTCCAAACAGAGGGTGCTGAGTTCTGCATGTAAGAAACCTTTAGAGTTTTGCATGCCTAGCTTGTACAAAGGCAAGGGTGCATACCCTGCCCCACCTACTTTGGTCCCTGCCCCACCCACCAGGGGCATGCAATCCTCAGGCTGCCCACAAGGAAACACATCCTTGACTTGAAAAGGGTACCCTATTCCAGGACTAGAGGATCAGGTTCAAATCCCCATTCATATATAAAGCTCACTGAGTAGCCTGGGGTAAATCATCCACTCTCACTCTAGTAACCTACCTCAAATGGTTGTCATCCAGCTCACACACCTCTGTGGCCTCCTTAAAGGAGAGACCTAGCAGAGACAAGCAGCTGTATGGGACTCCAGGCAGCCTCCTCCCAGACAAGCCTCGCTTTTGGAGTCAGCCATCAACCGAGGCCTTGTGTACAGCATTCCAGGCACATTCCTTGAATTTCCCCCTGACAGCCACCCAAGTCCATGCACTATCCCAACCAGAGCTTTATGAGAACTGAGAGGAAGTAGAAAAAACCATGTGCTCTACAGAGTTGTGTTTTAAAACACACAGAGAGAAAATGCATTAAACACATATTCGTTTCCGCTAGGCGTTTTATATACCACCCAGGATCTCCTGTGAGGACCCTCCCAAACTCCAAGTGCCCATTCCTCTCCTGTTCCCATGGAGCGGCGCTACAGTGGTACCTCGGGTTAAGTACTTAATTCGTTTCGGCGGTCCGTACTTAACCTGAAACTGTTCTTAACCTGAAGCACCACTTTAGCTAATGGGGCCTCCTGCTGCCGCCGCGCCGTCTGAGCACAATTTCTGTTCTCATCCTGAAGCAAAGTGCTTAACCTGAAGCACTATTTCTGGGTTAGTGGAATCTGTAACCTGAAGCGTCTGTAACCTGAGGTACCACTGTACTTGTGTTGTGAGACGCGCATTTTACGCACCTCCGGCTTGAAAAGCGCCAGGCTGCGCTACTTACGCCCCAAGATGCCTGGTCTTACTCGCCGCCACCCCCCCAAACCCCGGACGCTTCGACGGAGCGGTGCGCCCATAAACCCGCTGCCCCGCCCCGCCGCAGCCGGTCTCCTCACAGGCAAGTCCCGCCGCGCTCAGGGGGCTCCGGCTGTCCATTTACCTTCGGAGGAGGCCCGCCGACCACAGCGGGGGTTTTACGCCCGAGAAAGCGCCCACCGGCTCGGGCAGCCCCAGAGCATCCCTTCCCCGCTCCCTGGAGAGGCCGCTGCTCCTACGCTGGAAGCTGGTACGCGGGAAGCGGGCCGAGGCGCCACGGGGCTCCTTTACGCGCCGCCCGCCCGGGCGCCTCTGGTTACTCGGGGCTTCGGGTATCAACCCAAATCCCCCGCCAACCACAGAGACACGGACGGAACGGCCGCCTCCGACGACCATAGAGAGATTCCTCCCGGCAGATAGAGCGTCACGGAGCTTTGCCCACCCCAACCCCCACCCCCGCTACAGTTGCCTGGAAACGAGGCCCGGCGTCTCTCTCTCGCGCGCGCAAATAGCGGTGCGTCCTGATTAGCGCGCTTGGCGTCTCCTTTCAAGGGCTCCTCTTCTGTCTCTATGTTGAAATTGCACCCCATAAGCTTAGGACTATAGACCATCCGAACATTCCCAACCACATACAACCGTGACCTTGTCAATTCTCATCCAACAGATGTTCTCGATTGAAATAGGACTTTTTCAGCCTATGACATAACACCAAATGAAGCCATATTGCAATAATAGTGGGGACATTGTTTTCCCTGTATTCAGTAACTTGCAGTGGCAGCTGCTTTTATGATAGATAATTAAATTTTGTTTTACAATTTAAAGTACTCATTTAAACATCCTTACAATATCAGTGACTTCCCTCCTCTTTCCATGGTTCATTTTACGTATCATAAATCCCTGCATATTTTACAGAAACTATACTATTCAGTATTCCATTATTACATCCATCAAAACTTATTTACACTGTTGAATTTATCTTAATGCTGTCAGCGTTTTCAGCTGTACACAGTTATTTCCCATATATTCAATAAACGTTTTCCAATCTTCTCTGAATGTATGTTCTTGTTTTCTTATTCTATATGTTAAGTCTGCAAGCATATTCTGTCAACTTGAATTGCTATTCTTTGGTTGGGACCTCACCCGTTTTCCATTTTAGGCCGCAATGGTTTTATTATTGTTGGTATGTGATTGGGTTGGAATGGTTATTTATAACTAACTGACGTTTCAATCCTTTATAGCTTGTTTTACGACAACCTTAAAATATTATGTTCATACTGTATACTCAAACTGAGTTATTTGGGTTACCATGCTACGCTTTGAAGTTCTTCAGTATTTGATGGCTATAGTCATTATGTATCGACTTGCATCTTTGTTTTGTCGAGAGTTGCTTTGATCATATTTGCATGGGAAAAGCGGCATATACACTTAAATTAAATAAATAAATATTGCAACCAGTTGTACTAGGCACTGATGGGTTCACTAGGTAATTTGGTACGATTTTCTTACTAAGGCTGTATCGGCTTTATGTAATTATTTATTTAAAACATTTCTAAAGACAAGTACCATAAAAACAGCTTTCCAAGATACACCAGTTGTCTCGCTTATTCTATTTATCCCACATACTGTATGACATTTGTTAATACAATACCTACAGTAGAAGTGTGAAAGCAAGTTTTAATTAACTGCACTGCTGACCTTTCAGTGCAAATTGATTTCAGCCTCATATGCACATATTTGCCCACAACAACAAGGAATGCGCATGGTAGAAGAGATTTTAGTTTAGAGATTTTCTTTTAACTTTTGGCACTTGGAAAACTTATTCCTATACCCTACTTTACAGTTATGGTGTAAGTCACTTCTTATTTATTTATTTATTTATTTATTTTTACCAAGCAACAGCCTTTTAAAACATACACAATGCACTTGTAGTGTTTTTGATGTAGTGGCATACATAAAATAAAGGATAAGGATCAGAGTCCTAGGGATGTAGCAGGGGACTCTAGAGGCAGGTGATGTAAAGATTCAGATCCAAGACTCATAACCACCAGCTTAGATCTAATCTTACCCAAAGCAACATGCATGATAAAGGAAAGGGACCCCTGACCGTTAGGTCCAGTCATGGAAGACTCTGGGGTTGTGGCGCTCATCTTGCTTTATTGGCCAAGGGAGCCAGCGTACAGCTTCCAGGTCACGGTGGTGAGCATGACTAAGCTGCTTCTGGCAAACCAGAGCAGCTCACGGAAACGCCGTTTACCTTCCCGCCGGAGCAGTACCTATTTATCTACTTGCACTTTGACGTGCTTTCGAACTGCTAGGTTGGCAGGAGAAGATGCATGATACATACGTATATATTTAAAAACACAATCAAACACTAGGTGGTGCTAACTAACTGATTTATACAAATCTTACCCGAAAACCCTAAAACAGGGCAAGCAGAATATCCTCTGGATGATTTGTAGATTGACAAGAATTTCTGATTGCCAATTATTTATAGCAGCAACAAAACGACCCCCTCCCCCAAATATAGGTCTGAAAAGATGAACGTGTGGGGTAAACCAGGTGTATTTTGGGGAGGGGTCAACTCTGCAAAATTCTACACAGCTACACCTCTGCCAATTGATTTATATGACTCATGTTTCTGCTACATTTCACAGTGTCACATAAATCTAGAGATCCCACCAGGTATTTTACATAAACCAAGAGTAAGGAACCTGTAGCCCTTTAGATGTTGTCCTAATTTAAAAACTAATCTGTGGATTTGCTTCTGTTTGCAGCACGAAACTAATTTGTGGTAAACCTGCCAGAGATATAATTGATCCTGAATACCAATGTATATAAAGCCCTGAGGACTACTCAGGCAGTTAAACTAAACGAGATAGTAATTGGCTCGGATATAACTAAACCGTTAGTCAAATGTTCTGCATGCATCTCTGACATATATCCATGTCAAACATACATTATGAGAAACTGCTAAAGATAAATGCACCATTAAACAGCATGTAAATAACTACTTCATAGATTAGAAAGTGTTATAACATTATTGTTAAGAATAATATTTCCCTGTGGATTGTAGTCCAAAACATTATTTTAAAATCAGTCATGAAATTGTGCATGGTGGGAGGGGGGTGGGAGTACAACTTCCAGCCCCTTTTTTATTGCTACTTATGCAACTGCAGTTATTAAACTTTAGTACTATAACAGGAAGGATGGTCCACTCAGTCCCCAAGTGCCTTAAAAATTGATTTTAATCTATTTTTTTTAATGTCACAGGTTATTAATTCATTCTATGTGCCAATTTGACTATACAGTGGTACCTCGGGTTAAGTACTTAATTCGTTCCGGAGGTCCGTTCTTAACCTGAAACTGTTCTTAACCTGAAGCACCACTTTAGCTAATGGGGCCTCCTGCTGCTGCCGCGCCTCCGGAGCACGATTTCTGTTCTCATCCTGAAGCAAAGTTCTTAACCCGAGGTAATATTTCTGGGTTAGCAGAGTCTGTAACCTGAAGCGTATGTAACCTGAAGCATATGTAACCCACTGTACCACTGTACATTTTTGTAACCTCATAACTCATAAAGGAGTGTCGCCAACCAGCCACCCCCTTGACCCTTGCCTTGCTCAACTTTGCTTATTAGAATTAACCAAAAGAGGTTGACTGGATGCGTCCGGGAAGTGATTAGTGTTTCAATGGAGAGTTTGAGGTGTCAGAGGAGGGGTAGTACCTCTGGTAAAAGATACATTGTGCTCTTTCTGGGGCAATTTGTCCACCTTTGGTCCCCATTTTCCCCCCTTTGTCTTGTTTTTGTTTTTTTGTTTTGTTTTGTTTTTTTTTTGGTCTGCTGTGTGTTAACATACCAGGTAGGGTTTTTCAACTTTTTCATTTCTTTTTTAAAAAAAACAAAGCATGATACTCAGAGCTATACCGATGGTCATAGATAGGGCTGCCATACGTCTTGAATTTCCCAGACGTAGCCGGGATTCATCCTTCAAACATCAGAAATGTTGATTTTTTGGCTCAACAACTTTTGTGTCTGGATTTTCACTTTTGGAAATATGACCCTAGTCATATGACCTAGTCAAAGATTGTGTGGGGGGCTAATGCTGGATTGTTGAGCAGGAGAACCCGGCTTCAAATTCTTCTTCAACCAGGGAGGTAGTAAATATGAACCCTCTGGTCTGTTAACATCCTAAAATGGACACTTCATAAAGTCTCATTAAGGAAGGTAAGAAGTCTCCACAACAGGGGCATCCATTCTTCTTGTTTTGAAATAAGATTTAATTTCACTTTTATTCTTGTCTCCAGTTGATCTCCAGTTTTCGTGGCTTATTGTCAAGACCAATTTCTCTCCTATCTGAAAATGTTGGATATTATGAACTTTGGTGTTTAATAGTCCAGTGGTTTGTAATGACAATATCATATTTCCTGTTTAAGAGTTCATTAAGCTAAATGCCTTTTATAAACAAAAACAACAGGAATAATTAGTGTACCAACAAGGAGGACAGATAGGAATCTGTAATCTTTGGCTGTTATTCTTGGCAACATTAATGACTCTGTAATCTTAAACAGTTCACTGGCCTCTCCATGGCTCGGTTTACCCGTCTATGAAATAATTGAAATATTTCACATGCTTTAATTTTAAGGTGATGAGTTATGAGAGTGAAATCTTGCTGGCATCCCAGGAATGGATCTTTAAATGAAGATGTTGCATGTGGATAGGGATTTTTTTTCTTTCATAAATAGTTTTTATAAAGACCATGTCATTGTGCTTGAGAATGAAAGAGATATTGCAATTATTTTTAGCAGTGGCTTTTCATCATGTCCCTGAATACTTGTACAAACCTAAATTTTTTGAAACTTGCATATTTTAGTGACACTCATAGAAAGGTTTCATAGGAAAGTAATATATACAAAGGAATCCTACAAGCTTAGCACCAATAAATACTGGAAATTTCAATGTACCTTGAGCAATTGCTCTTAACTCACTATACTGCCTTAAAACATATTTTATTAGAGATTTTGATTGTTGGAGAACCATAGGAAACAAATTTATAAGAGGCAGTTCAACCATGGCCCAAGCTCCCTTGGGGGTATTTTAGTTATGGGATGTCTTAGGGCAATAGTTTGGATTGGGTTGCCAGCTTCATGATGGAACATGCATTACTTACTAACTGTAAATTAGCATTTACAAACCTTTTATAATAAACTCATAGTACTAGCAGCACAACAAACAGAGGCTAAAATGATTAAGCAACCTTTGTCCAAACAAAAAACCTAAATACAAGTCCAATGACTGCAATCTGTCTCTGAATGTAGACATTTTGAAGTGAAGTAATGTAATCTGTACTCTTTTAATCAATTAGGTATATAATTATTTGACCTTGCATGCTTATTTGACCTTCAGAGTGTTAATGTAAACTTCATATCTGCACACCAAGCTCCTTAAATTACACTCTGCTAGTGATTTCATGAAAACAGCACCGGCCTTTCTTCTGAGAATAAATATCATTGCATTTTTTATTTCCTGTTCCAGTACGCCACCTGATGTGGAGATTCTTTACATACTCAAGGCTGCCTTGAAAATGCTTACCACAGAGGTCACTATCAACCAGAAGGAAAGTGAAGTTCAGGGCACTCTTTATACTTCAGTAGATGTCCTGAGAGTCAGTCTACAAGCTTGTATTGGTAACTGGACCCCTTTGCCTACATACTATCCCCCCTTCCAAAAAAATACCACCAGAGCTCAAATATCTTTGCTGAGGAAGAAACAGCTTGTGAGATGTGTACAGACTCACAAGTTTCAGTGTAGCCTCCTGCCCATTCTTGCATGGAAAAATTTCTCAGTCCTTATCAGATGTTGTTGAATCAGGACTCCTGTGAATCGGGTACTAGAGCACACCAGAATAATTCACCAGGAGAGTAAATTGCAGGGAAATTCACAGGCCATAGACTATAATCCTCTAGGTTAGAGGACAGGCGAAAATAGACGGCCAATCTCATGCCATGTCTTAGCTCCCACCCAATACGTGCAGACAGAGGCTCTTGCTTGCAGGTAAGAAAAATACATTTCTTTCAGCAAGTAACGGTGCTAGCTCAGCAGCAGACACAAGGCTCAGGGGTCACAGTTCAGGAGCAAGGCAAGAAGTTCAGAACTGGACAGAAGCGACGAAGGTGTCCCAACAAGCTGCCCCCCCCGCTTGCCAAGCTTTTAAAGACAAGGCCTTGGAGGAATGCTGAGGTTGCAAACACATGCTCTGTCAGGGTGGGTGGGTGTGATCTCATCTCCAAAAGCAGTGCCTGGTTCTAGGCAACAAGACTGTGCCCCTGCTGTTCAGGCTCCCATTCAGTCACTGCCAGCTCCTGTTCTGTCTCCTCTATCAACTGATCAAAGCTTCCACTGAGGCTTCCTGCTGCACAGGAAGGGGTGAGGGTACAGCTGACATCCCTGTTATCTCTTCCAAAGCAACTGAAGTCGGGGTGGAAAGGGGGAAATTTCTCTCCTCCAGCTTTGATTTCCACCATTCAGGAACACCCTCGTATCTTCCTCTCCCTTTTCTACTTTTCTCCTAACCTAAAGTGTTGTTGTTGGGTGTGGTTTTTTTATTGGTTGTTGTTGGTCCTTCTATACACTTTCTGGCAGTAAGAGCTCTTTGACAGTGGAACAGACTTCCACAAGAGGTGGTAGATTCTCCTTCCTTTGGGGTTCTTAAGCAGAGGATGGATGGCCATCTGTCATGTATGATTTAGTTGAAATTCCTGCATTACAGGAGGTTGGACTAGTTGACCCTCAGGAACAATTCCAACTCTACAATTCTGTGGTTCAATACACTTGGAGACTGAGGCTGTGCCACATATTAGCAGCTTGAGATGCAGCAAGGTCGTTTTCCCCGCACTGTATTTGAGTCAAGTCGCATATGCACTTGACCACACCAGAGAGAAGGTGAGGAGGTACTTCACTCAATGCTCATTACCTGATTTGTTGTCCCACGTCTGCAAACCCCGCCCCCCAAACAATGAAGGTGTCACCTGTGGGTGTCCACACACATGCAGGGGATGTCTCAAATGTTTACATCTCCATGGAACCACAGCTTAATTTTTTTAATTGGACGTAAGCTGGTGAAGGGATAATGCATCAAACAAAAGCATTTCTCAGTATCTGTTATCCATCCATTGTCCTGGAAAAGCCTAACCTTTGAATATGTCTTGATACTGTTTTTATGGTTACGCTTCTGAATAATATTTTGGACTGCATCAGTACATACTCAGCAGCTACTTTCATAGTATATTAATGCACATTAAACAGACAAAAAACTAGGAGTGAACGATTTAGGCTTTTGGAGTGCATGTAAGTCTCTCCGTATCTTTGAAACAGAATCAAATGGGCCCTTCTTCTTTTCTAGAAATATGTTTGTGGCTTTCAATCAAGCAGACCACTATCATCCTAAAAGCTGCTCTAGTGGCTGTGGAGCCATGGTGGTAAAGCAATATTCATTGCTTGATTGGTTGAACAGAGTCGTTCGGCACTTACCCAGCTGAAGTCTCAGCAATGAACATTGCAAATATCACAGCATGGAAACCCAGTGCAGTTTGTACAAATCATCAAGAGCAGATGAAGCGCTTTTATGATTACCTGTAAAGCAAAGGACAGGGAGCATTCCCTTCTCCAATTTTTGTCTCTTCCCAAGCAGAGGTTGCAACAGAAGAGGGTGAAATGTTATCTCACTAGAACCGATTATTCCACAGCTGAAGATTGAGACCTAGGTTTGGAGACCTGATGTGCCTTCACCTCATGCCCAAGTGGGGATTTGAACCCTGGTCTCTCAGGTCCTAGTCCAACACTCTAACCACTATACTACACTTGGCTCTCTATGAAACTATGACCATTCCACCCATTTCCCACCCAAGAATACACAACAGCATGGCGCCCGCACCCTAGTCGAAAGCTTATTAATGTGTGAACCTATCAATGTTTTTTTCCTGCAACATTAAGCAAACTCAGCAATGAAAGCTGAACTTATAAATAAACAAGGTTTATATCACAGCCCCATCATCATACATGAACTTGGAAGCTGGTCACAACAATTCAAAACACAATACAGTGGTACCTCAAGTTACATACGCTTCAGGTTACAGACTCCGCTAACCCAGTACCTCAGGTTAAGAACTTTGCTTCAGGATGAGAACAGAAATTGTGCTCTGGCGGCGCGGCGGCAGGGGGAGGCCTCATTAGCTAAAGTGGTGCTTCGAGTTAAGAACAGTTTCAGGTTAAGAACGGACATCTGGAACGAATTAAGTACTTAGCCTGAGGTACCACTGTACACAACAAAATGGAATACCCTTTAAAATGTGTGTTTATGGTGCAAATGCCCTGCCCCGTGTTGTTTCTCGGCCACGTCAAAGCATATCTCATATTGTTGCTGACAGAAACAAATTGGGGCCTACTGAGTCAATATCTTGCAAGCTGTTTTTATTTTTTACTTTTGAGCTAAGGACCATTGAACATATTACGTACCCAGGCTTGCTCCCACCACTGGCGCTGAAGAAATGCCTGCCTTCTGTCCATACCTAATATGCAACTTAAACACACACAGAAACTGAAATGAATGCATTTTAGTTGTTTAATAGTTCTTTTGACACAGAGAAGTTTGTGCATCACCATTAGGTTACTGACTGGTCCAATAAAATAGATAATTTAGCTGATTTTTGCATTGCTATCTCTGTAGGACTAGCACAGCCATCAGTACTTTGATCTACTACGAATTGTCAGAGGCATTGAGGTTGTTAGCACTGCTAACAACTTAATTGATGTGAACAATGCAAGGGAATTTTAGAGAGAGAAATTCCAAGGCAGATATAATGCTTGTTCCTCATAGTTCGCCTGTTTAAATTTCCCTAGCCATAGAATCTAGCTTGTTTGACGTAAATACTTCATAATTCTGGGATGAAAGACCCTATTGAAATATAAAGTACTGCTAATCAGAAACTGTTCGCTTATCAGCATCACCGCCCCCATCCCAGTACAACAAACAAACCAGAGGTTTGTCCTCCGGCTCTCTGCCTGTATATAGGCTTGAAAGTACTATATCTGAAACATGGTTTCTGCGTACTATTATGGGGCACGGTGAGGCTCAGACAGCAATTTGCAACACGCATCGAAAGGAGGTTACTCAAACAGTCTCTCTAGTTTGATTTATTATTATATTTTTACTATTGGCAGGGGTGCAGGGACACCATTCAACTTTTACTTCTACTAAGGAACACACAAAGGTAACTCATAGCTGTGCCTCCAAATCCATTCCTAACATAAGCAGTAGAACCTAGGCGGGCTGCCATATAAATTCGATTTCTGCTCCAAATGCTGGCACACATTCACTTAATGTAGGCAGTGACATAGCATAGATAGGGCCACAGTGGCAGTTGCCCTAGGTGCAAAATTCTTAGGGGTGGGAAATTTCAAAAGGAAAAAGAAAAGTAGTAATAATAAATAAATAAGAGCATGCCCTCCCCCTCACATAGAAAATCTCCCAGTGTTTGCATGGGCGGTTTTGGATGACGGACAGCTGCTAGGGCGCATTCTGCACAGGCTTTAGAAAGATACCCATTCCCAACCAATCTCCCGTCCCACTCTCCACCATGCTGGACGCTCATGGGGTGCCACAGCTGCCACTCAGGTAGCTCACTGAGCTATTGCTCCTTCATTCCAGTCTATCGGCAGGCGGTGCCATGGATACTTGTCTTGCCCGGGTTCTGGCAACCCACGCTACACCACTGAATATATGGCATGGAAGAGTGAGGCTGGTTCTCACAACACAATAAGCCAAACTGGCAGGGGTCTTTCCATCCCTGACCCTTTTTGCTCTTGGCCATGTTGAGCTAAGTCAGGAGTTGTCCTAACATGTCATCCAGGCAGGAACCTTGGCTATAGTTTGTGTTGAGCGAGGAGATCTTAATCTCAACCTCCCATTTGGATGGCATGCTAAGCCAAACCTTGGCACAGAAACGAAAAGGATTGAGGAAGAACAAAGCAGCTGAGGGCTCCTCTCTGGGGGCCTGCATGTTTGCTCCGTTCCAGGAAGCCATACTTTGACTTACCACGTCATGTGAAAATGCTCTCCCTCTCTCTGTGGGAGAGGGTTTTTTAAATAATAGTTTTTATTTGCTTTTCTATTATATCTCGTTGTCAACGCATACTATGTTACAATCATACATAAAATAATAAGAAAATGATAGCATAGATATAAAGCAAGAACAAATGATAATAATAATATTTCAATATTCCTCCAAAATTATTTAAATCCTGTGGGAGAGGGTTACAAATGTGAACACCTTTGTCAAGGGAGGTTAAGCAAGGAAATGTTTGCTGAGTCATTTCCACTGGGCCTTGGCAAGCATGGAGACATCTCAAGCACAGTTAAGCATGTCAGCTAAATCACTAAGTGCCAAACCCTGGCATTCTCTCAGTTTGCCGTTTCTGCAAGCCAAAAAGAAGGCCCGCTCTTTTAAAAAAAATTTTTTTTAAGAATCTCCATTTAATTGAGTCTCTTCTGGAAATGGCAGGAACAAGTCCAGCTTAACACTTAAATTAAAAAAACAAATACAATTTCAAAAGTCTTGAAACCAGTTAGACATTTCCCCGGCTTCTGTTAATGCTTTGGCCAAGAGATTCTCACAAGATTGTCAAAAGTGAGGTTCATTAGGAATTGACTACTCTGCAGCTTTCCACACTCTAAGCTGCCCAGTGTTGCCTCTAAGGCTTTGCACTTGGTCAACTGTACTTCCAACTACTTCAGCTACTCATTTAAGGCATTTTTATCTCAACATCCCTCCAAAGATCTCAGAGCAGAATACATGTTGGTCTCCCTCCTATTTAATCATCAGCTGGCCTCCTCAGTGGTGACACTTGCAAGGATGCCATTATCACAGAAGCTTGCCTATCGCCTTGTTTATGACCATTTCAGGCCACGTGAATGTGTATGTGTGTGTTGTAAAGCAGAGGACTAAGCTGCAGTTTTCCAGATATTGCTGGACTACAACTCTCTGAGCACTGGCCATGCTGGATGAGGTTGATGGGAGTTGGAGTCTAACAACATCTGGAGAACCACATGTTTCTCATCCATATTTTAAACCACTTATCACGTGTTGCGATTTTGGTTTTATTCTTCTCTCTTCTGGAAACATGGACTGCATGTTGCTTTGTTGTTTTAATTGTAATTTCTCATCATTTATGTTTGTGAGCACCCAGAGAACAATGTGATTTAGTGGCTTTATAGAAATATAGTTAAGAATGAATGAATGAATGAACGAATGAACGAAGAGGGAGGGAGGGAGGAAGGTTGCCTTGTGCAGTAGTTTAACAGAAAGTTACTGGACAGAAGTTGGAAGCAACTGTGTGGAAACCCTATCTTTTGTGCACAGTTCCAAGTGTAGGTTGGAGGTTCATGAAACTTAAAGCAAAGACCATAAATGTATTCTCAAGGGTTCTTCAACTACAACACCATCATACCTGACCATTGGCCATGTTGATAGCAGCTGATGAAAGTTGTAGTCCAAAACATTTGAAGGCCACCAGGTTGGAGGAGACTGATGCAGTCCTATAGAATGGGAGGGACAGCCTCTGGCAACAACCTCCCAGCCACCCTGAGTCCTGTACCACCTGAGGGAAGGTGATGTGGCAGCCCACCATTTGCCTGCTTAGGAACTCGCTGCCCCAAGGTAAAAGGGAAATTTTAAATAAAATTATAAGACTACCCTTATAATCCCCAGTAAAAGGTAAAGGTAAAGGGACCCCTTACCATTAGGTCCAGTCGTGGCTGACTCTGGGGTTGCGGCGCTCATCTCGCTTTATTGCCCGAGGGAGCCGGCGTACAGCTTCCGGGTCATGTGGCCAGCATGACTAAGCCACTTCTGGCGAACCAGAGCAGCGCACGGAAACACCGTTTACCTTCCCGCCGGAGCGGTACCTATTTATCTACTTGCACTTTGACATGCTTTCGAACTGCTAGGTTGACAGGAGCAGGGACCGAGCAACGGGAGCTCACCCCGTCGCAGGGATTCGAACCACTGACCTTCTGATCGGCAAGTCCTAGGCTCTGTAGTTTAACCCACAGTGCCACCCGCATCCCATAATCCCCAGTAGGGATGATTTACTTGGGAAGAGTTGGCATCAGCTGGCATTCTGCATCCTGGTCTCACCGAATCCCATTTTCAGAAAGGCTAGGAAGGCTAATTTGTTTAATGTTTATGGAAAATATAAACAGTTGAGTCCTGTTAATTTCTTGCCTGTTGTTGAGAAAATCTGGCATTGGGTTTGTTCTCCCTCCACTGTTGTGGGTTTTTCTATATACAATTCACATAGCTGTCACTTCCCTGGTTTATTATTCCTTTGCTTCTTTTAATTTGTTTCATACAACATGTCATCTCATGCAGACACTTGCTAACCAAGGTGTTTATTTAATGTTTATGTATTCTAAATATTTAAGAATAAAAATCATTTCCAGACATTTTCCTGCCAGTATTTTCAGAGGCCAACCTAACAATACTTGTCTGTCTGATCCCAGAGTTTTGTGTTTCAAGTTCCTTGTTTCAACAGCGACGGGGATCTATGGATCCCTCCCTCCACTCAAGAGAGCTTCATTGGAGTTGAAGGGTGAAAAGTCCATCAGCTCTATCTGCATTTCCAGTGCTATAAATCTGTCTCTGGAATAACCAAGTTTGTCTTCATTCTGCATTCTGATAAGATGTCATTACAGGAGTTATTTTAATCAAATTTTCAGTTATTGCATTAGCGCATACTTACATGGGGCTTCTCTCAGCTAGCATATGGTGCTTAAAGTCTTGTGGCGAGGAAGAGGATGGAAAACATTTGATTTTTTAATTATTATTTTTTGCTTTAAAAAATGGAACCTCCAGCCAGACAATAAAAAATTATGGAAGCTTCAGCCAGTTCAAAACTGTAAAATCCATTGCCTGTCTAAGTTGGGTCAACATAAGCACATCAACACCAATTAAAAACTGAAGCCCCAATTCTTTTATGATTTTATTATAAAAATGTTTAAATTGTTATATTGGGGACGACTTTTCCTATTTTATAGAGGGCAGTTTCCAATTTGAAGGACTCTCAGATGTTGGTCCTCTTTTGAAGAGCTGTCTGGTACAAGTATGGTTTTAAATTGAAGAACCATAGAAGGGAGAGCGGAGCCTGGTCATTTCCAGTCGCCAGCTAGGCTAAAACCGTGTACCTCTTGCCATGTACTCAGGTTCCACAATAGATACCAATTTTGTAGTTTCTTGAGCAATACTGTTTGGTGCATTTCCCCTCAAACCATCTTTCACCTAGGTTGAAAATGTGAGCTACTGTTAAGCTGAGGTGTGTACCTTTGAGAGAACAGCTGCATACTGTGAGTGAAACCCCATGCTTTAATGTTACCCAGTTTCATTGGACTCAAACTAGCTCAGGCACTTTAAATACAAGATGTACAAATATAGTATTGTACAGCTTTCATTTCATTTATTTTCATGGTGCTTGAGGAGGAAGAGTGCCCGGTAAATTCTGCCCATTGGTTTTATTTTCCCAAAGCAGGGTGGACTTCTGAGTCACAAGGCGTTGGGTGTGTGATGGAAGATTTAGAAGTCAGGGGAGGAGTCAAAGTTGGTCTCTTACGACTCTTGGCAGAAATGAGCAAATGTACCAGTACTCTTGCATAATATTGCTTTTAATAAACTGACACCTCATTGCTGCGAAGGGTTTCCTGTGAGATGTGTTATGATGTGGATTAGCCTTCCAGGGCAAATGACATGGCTTGCAACATTTGAAAAGCAGAGATTATTCATTAAAAACCAGAGGTCTCCAATCTTTTGGCATTGGTGAACATATTTGCAAACCGGAGAAACTGTTGTGGTCACCACAAGCGGAGTACAAACCTAGCACACACCGCAAAATATTATATTGGCTACAACAGAATGCTTATTTCATGCCTACTTTCAGAAGTGGAAAGGCGGAACAGGGAGAACACACTGCAGACATCAGGGAAGGCATCTGCAGGTGCATGCATGCCCATAGATGCCACATTGATGTTCCCTGCATTGAACAATATACTCTAGGGTACAATCTGGTATTTGACAGGACCTAGACTTGGTGACCTAGTTACGACTCTATTGTATCTTGTTCCTCCACAATATGCCCAGAATCCATGTCATAGCTGTCAACGTTTCCCTTTTTTTAAGGGAAATTCCCTTATTCCGAATAGGATTCCTCGCAAGAAAAGGGAAAAGTTGACAGCTATGATCCATGTAGTGATCTGAATAATACTTCGGGGGGAAAGAGAAGACTCTATCAAGCTGTCCACCTATCCACATCTACTTTCCTCTAACAATAATGCTGAGAAAATGACCTGCATATATTGTTGACCAGAGAGCAAATAAAACTGTCTATAATCTGGCAAACATCGGGGATGTGCAACAGGCAGCAAGTTGGCCACTTCTTTGGATTAAGTTAAGAGTGGTTGTGTAGGCCACATTCCCACAAGTTAATTCATCAGGGGCCACATACTAGCAATGGGTGGGTACAGAGCTGTAAGTGAGCAGGGCGAAAACCAGATGTGATGGTGGCTACTGTTACTCCTTTTAATTTATATGTCATGGGCCCTGAGGGCTGGGGTTGGCTGTGCAAGGAAAGAGGAGTTGCCAACACAGATGAACCCGGGAAGGGATCCAGTGGTCTGAGAAAGTCTCCTGTTCTGATCCTTAGACTGGGCAAGCAACCTAACACTTCTCCAGGAAGGCTGAACCAGTCCTGTCTGTTCATGCCTGGATTGGCATCTATGTGACCTGAGTAATGGAGGAGGCATTACTGCCCTCTCAGAGGAAGATGGGACAGGCAAGGTAACAGGCTCCCCTGGAGGGGCAGGAGTAGACATGATTTCTGACAACGGTGGAGGTGGTGGCATGATAGTACCAAATCATGCCCCTCTCGTTAAGTCAAGGTGCCTTGTACCCTAAGGCCACTCAAATTATTTGGGTGCTTGAGGCAGGCAATCCCAAAAGTGTCTCTTCCCATTCCTGGCAGTAAAATATTAAATATTAAACACATTAAAATAATTTTAAATACATATAAACACTTGTGCGTGTGCATAGATAGATACATAGATGATGATAGATAGATAGATAGATAGAGAGATAGATGTCCAGATACTATAGTGTCCAGATCAAGGGAAGTAATAGTACCACTCTATTCTGCCCATGGACTGCAAGAAGATCAAACCTATCCATTCTGAAGGAAATCAGCCCTGAGTGCTCACTGGAAGGACAGATCCTGAAGCTGAGGCTCCAGTACTTTGGCCACCTCATGGGAAGAGAAGACTCCCTGGAAAAGACCCTGATGTTGGGAAAGATTGAGGGCACAAGAAGAAGGGGATGACAGAGGACGAGAAGGTTGGACAGTGTTCTTGAAGCTACAAACATGAGTTTGACCAAGCTGTGGGAGGCAGTGGAAGACAGGAGTGTCTGGCGTGCTCTGGTCCATGGGGTCACGAAGAGTCAGACACAACTAAACAACAACAAAAATTCTGCCTTAGTCAGACCACACTTGGAATACTGTGTCCAGTTATAGGCACCACAATTTAAGAAGGATGTTGACAAGTCGGAACGTGGGCATAGGAGGGCACCAAGATGATCAAGGGTCTGGAAGCCAAGCCTTATGAGGAGGACCTGGGTATGTTTAGCCTAGAAAAGAGGAGAGTGAGAGGAGATATAATAGCCATCTTCAAATATCTCAAAGACTGTCGTATAAAAGATGGACTGAGCTTGTATTCTCCTGCCCTGGAGAGTAGAGCCCAAATGACTGCTTCAAGTTACAAGAAAGGAGATTCCGACTAAACCAGGAAAAACGTTCTGACAGTAAGAGCTGTTCAACAGAGGGACGGTCTCCCTTGGGAGGTTGTGGACTCTTCTTCCTTGGAGGTTTCTAAGCACAGCTTGGATAGCTACCTGTGTAGATGAGATTCCTGCATTGCAGGGAGTTGGACTAGATGCCTCATGGGGTCCCTTCCAACTCTATAATAAATATCTCATAACTTCCAGTCCTTTCAGTTGCCCAAACCCAGTTGCCTGAGGCGGCAGCCATACTCTCTGCCTAATGGTAGAGCTGGGAAGGACTTTAGGGTTAGTGACTGAAGGACTTTAGGGTTAGTGACTGCATGGCACAGGCGGTGGCAGGAGGGGAGCCGCCCGGGGAGAGGCAGGGGCCACCCAAACAAAAGCGAAAGCACTCGCTTTGCTCCTCAGGGTCAGCCAAGCAGCCAGGAGGACCTGCCTCCTCCCTCCTCGCGCTGCCACCCCTCCCTTCCCCTCCCCCCCCCGTCCCTTCTCCCGCCATCGCGGGCCAGCCAGACTCTGCCAGCAGCCAGAGAGAGCGAGCGAGCGAGAGAGAGAAGGGATTCCTGGCCGGGTTCCAGGTCGGCGCACTAATACAAGCTGCGAGGCTCCCGCCTGACTGACGCCGGCGGAGGCTGCCTGCTCGCTCGCTGCTGCTGCTGCTTTCGCGCTGGCCCCTGCCGCCGCCGGGTTACTGCCGCCGCGTCCCTTTGCATGGTGAGTACTCTTGAGGTGTTTTTTTTTTTCTTTTAAGCGAGAGCAACTCGCTCCAGAGAAGTTAGGGCACCAGCAGCCGCCAGCAGGGAGACGGCGGGCTAGGGAGAAAAGGAGAGGCGTTCACCCCACGGGCAGGTAAGAAACTTAGGCTTTCCTTCCCCTGCCCTGCCAGAAACACAAAACTGGCTGGAGTTGGCATCGCCACCCGCAGACTTTCTCCCCACCCCCGCCCGGGGTTTTCTTTTTTTGATTTCCTTCCCTTTCTTTTTTTGGCTCCTCGTCTGAGCTCTGCTCTCCCGACTTTTTGCTGTCTGCAACCTCCCTCAGATGAGCTGCTCCTTGCAAGCTTTTCATGTTTCTTTTTTGCATTGCACTTCATTTCATTGGAGGCGGGAGCTGCATCCTGCCTAACCTCGCCTCAGCAGAAGGTGCTAAGCCCTGAACCAGCCGCTCGAGGGGACTTGCGATGATGCGTGTATGTGTGTATGCGCGCGCGCGAGAACACACACACAGTACCTCTCATTTGATCATGCCGGACGAGACCCGTCTATCTTGTGCCTATAATGCATGCATAAAATACATGGAGAGATGCTTAGGCTGCCATCCTGTGCCCGCTTTATTGGGAGTAATCCCGCAGACCTCGGTGGCCCATACTTCTGAGTAGACATGCCTAGGATCGGCACGCATGGTTAGCCTGCTCTCTCCCGTGGCGGGCTTCAACCCTGCGCGCACCTACTCGAGAGTAAGTGGCAGTGAGCGCAGCGGGAGCCGGTCTGCCGGGCGTTCCCCGGGGTAACCCCCGCTATCAACAGAAGGGCGCGCGAAGCCGTCGCGATTGCTTCGCTCTGGAACCGGAATCACCAACAAAACAGTGTAGTGTAAACTGACCGCGCGGTGACATCGCCCTCGTCTATTATTAACCTGCTGCCACTGCTCCTTGTTGGCATCGTTATAGAAGCTCACACTCTTTGTGCCAGTAAAGGGAATGTGCTAAGGACGAATCTCTCTCTTTCTCCGCCGGATTAATTCTGTTTTATCTTCCCCTCCCTCCCTCCCTCCCTCCCCACTCCGCTACTTTTTTAAGTTTACAACGTGAGGTCCTTGCAGAAGGCAGCGAAAAGGCGGTTTGGTAGGAGAGACTAGAGACAGGAGACAAACTGACGCCGGCATTGTGATGGGAAGGAGGGTCGCCAGGCGAAACGTTTTCACGGCTGGTTAAACGCTGTCAAGCCTTCCTCAGTCTCTTTTATTTTGATTCCTTTCTCTCCTCAGCGAATCAAAAGTGAATCCGGTTCATTTTTTAACTTCTTACGTGTTTTTAATAATAAAAATAAAAATAATCTTTTAATTTCTTACGTTATGGATACATTTTGTTTACCAAAATGTATCCGCACAGTCTCATCATCAGAAATAAAGGAGCACTTTAAAGACTACCCCCCCATCATCATCATCATTAAAATAAAAGTGGCTCTTTAAAAATGGAATAGATTTATTGTGCCATAAGCATAATACTTCCAACCTGCTTGGCCCCAGTTTGAGGTTAAGATTTGCAGTATGATCTCATGCGTGTCTACTCAGAAGTAAGCTTCACTGGGATTTCTCCCCGGTAGGTGTGTCCAACAGTGCATAGTTAAAACTATGGAACTCACTTCCAAAGGGGACTGACAGCCACCAACCTAGATGGCTTTAAAAGAGAATTGGACAAAGAGAGCACTAGGGAAGATGTCTAGCCATGATGGCTGTGCTCTGCCTACGCAGCTGGGAGGCACTAATGCTGGAAACCACGGTAGGAGAGAGTGGTCTTGTGCTCAAATACTGTTTGCGGACAGACATCTGGTTGGCCACTGTGAGAACAGGATGCTGGACTAGATGGGCTTGATCCAGCAGGCTCTTCTTAATGTTCTTACATCGCAGCCTGACCAGGTTACCCACCTAGAATTTGTCGCCATCTAAAGGGATGTGGGTGGTGCTGTAGGTTAAACCACAGAGCCTAGGACTTGCCGATCAGAAGGTCGGAGGTTCGAATCCCCGCGACGGGGTGAGCTCCCGTTGCTCGGTCCCTGCTCCTGCCAACCTAGCAGTTCGAAAGCACGTCAAAGTGCAAGTACATATGAATGTTAGAAGGATGCTGGAACGAAGCTATATGGCTTTAGCAGAAATGTTATAAAGAATTAAGTAAAAATAGATTGTTAATGGACCAAAGTGGAAAATTTAAGGTTAGTGTGTCTTAAGTCAAATTTTAGAACGAAAATTGAGAAAGATGGAAAGGACTTGCTGAAATAGGTAATTGAACTAGAATACAAAAAAGGGAGGTGTGAGGAGGCCAATGAAACAAGTATATGAAAGGTAAAGATATGGAAAGGCTAGATGTGTTTTTAAATGTTTTTGTTCTGTTTTTTTCGTTGTTTTATTGTATTGTTTTTTTATGTATTGTAAGGTATTGTTTTGTTTTGTTTAATTCTTTATTGTTCTCTTTCTTTTTCTGTAACTTGTAAACTCTTAATAAATATCTGTAAAAAAAACAAAAAAAAACAACAAAGTGCAAGTACATAAATAGGTACCGCTCCAGCAGGAAGGTAGACGGTGTTTCCGTGCGCTGCTCTGCTTTGCCGGAAGTGGCTTAGTCATGCTGGCCATATGACCTGGGAGCTGTACGCCGGCTCCCACAGCAAAAAAAGCGAGGTGAGCGCCGCAACCCCAGAGTCGTCCGCGACTGGACCTAATGGTCAGGGGTCCCTTTAACCTTTAAATGGAATTTTGGGACAAAGTGTAAAACATAAGTTATTAAAATTAAATGGTCATGTCCAAGCCAAAGCCTTACAAAGAATAAGCCACTGGCAGCCATTGATGGATGAAACCCAAAATTGGTATTGTCCTGAAGTTGGAGAGAAGGTGAATTGCAGGTGCCGTGGTGCTTTTTAAAAAATATCCAACTTTATTCCTGTTACTGATACGCGTGGAAGTGACGAATTTGTAGTTACTAAGTGTTTTCAGGCTTGTTCCCAGCGCTAAACGTTCCATTTCATAGTTAATAACTTCCCCCTTTCTACGAATAGAGAAGTAATACATGCGTAATCAAATGCTCATATTCTAAAGGGCAAAATCGTATTCTAAGGTGGGGTAGCATGCCCTCAGGGAATGGATTTTCTCATAGTCTGGAAATGATATGCAGGTTTCTTGGAATGTAATCAGGTTTGTGACTGTCCAGGAAGGACACTGCAGATAAGAGAGAGAGATGTCACAGTGAAGTCTGTAAATACATGCTTTTAAAAGGCAGTCTTTAGGGATAAGCAGCTATTGTCTTCTGCAATGCAATCTAAAGGTACTGCAGTAAGATTATTTTAAGAGCAGTATATCCCAGAGCAATGGGTAGAACAATGGTCACCATTCAGATTATCTTTATAGTCCACCCACACAGAGCTCTTCTTTCTGATTTGATAATTGCCTCAGCTGCTGCCAAAGCTGCTGCTGTTGGGCTGATTTGTGTTTGACCTTTAAAATGAACATGCCTTCAACTGAATGTCTTAGTATGTTGTGTCTTCTTACACTGCAATCCTGCACACGGTTTCCTGAGAATGAGCCCCACTGAAAACAATGGGACTAATTCTGAGAATGCAGATATAGCATTGTTCTGTTCCATAAGTTATACGAGAGAACATTGGGTTAATTGGCTGTGGAAAATACACTTAATTTCAAATACTAGAGATAAGGTTCAGATATACTTTTTGTCATTGTTGGGTACTAATCCGTGCGCTTGAACAGTTCACATTAACTTTAATGGAGCCCATGTGGAAAGCAGTTCATTATAGATTCCCAGTGGATTGTTCCCAATTTGATATCCTTCAGATGTCGTTGGACTACTTCTCCCATCAGTCTCAACCAGCCTTTGAGTCCAGCAAAATCTGGAGGTCACCACACTGGTCACTCCTCTAAGAGACTTCCTTGTATTGCTACATGGGGTTCAAAGCAGCCTGCAAATTATCCCCGCCTCTTGAATTACTGAACAATTAACAGGGCATCCAATCATATTTTATTTTGGGACACAGACTACGTTGGTTGTACTGACAGTTCTGCAGTGTGGGCCATAGATTGTTCATTGGTAACACTGGTAATCTTCTCCCCTTTTTAAGCCAAAATGGGGGTGTGAACTTTAAAGATGCAATATTTAAAGACTTTTGCCTTGAGCTGGGACAACGTAATGCTGAGAAAAGCTGTGGAAACATACTGCGAACTTGCGGTTCATGACTAAGTTGTGTGGTGAGGACCACACTGTGATGAGTTCTCTTATTATGTGATGTTTCAGCTTCAGGGAAGGCAGGAGAAGGATGCACTTACTCTGCTGATGACTCAACTGAATGGAGCTTTTCCAAGCTCTGCATCGCTGGCAGGATGATTTCTTATTACATGCAGCTGCTCTGGTCCTGGTCTTTCTCACACCTCCCCGAAAGTGGAGGTGTGTTCCTTGGGTGAAGGAACTGGCACTTGGGCACACCTGGGAGTTAGGTGTTAAGCCAGATCTGAGTTGGGAGTAAACATGATGATAAGCAGAGGAGAGGGAAGGTAGACTTGCACTTCCTGTTTCACACGCTTGCCTACCTAATTCAAAATACATTGTGCATTTCCCTGCAGCAGGAATATGTCCTTACTTTACTAGGAAAGAGATACAAGATAAAGAAATTTGTTCAGGCTCCCACTCTTCCACTGCCCCTTTTTAATTGTGTCTGAAATAATTATCAGTTTGTACCAAACTTATTTATTACATTGAAAAAAACCTGCCATTCTAGGTGCTCAAAGCAGCATGTATCTTATCATCATTTTGTCCTGGTAAGTTAGGTCCATGATTGCCCAGTAAGCTTCATGGCTGTATAGAGACTTGAATGTGGGGCTCCACAGCTCTAGTCCAACACACAGGCATGACTTATGCCCCACTGGCTGCCAGGACTTGGCTGTGCTCCTTGCAGAAGTCTTCACTTTCATTTTGGAAGCCTGAACCCTTGGAAAGATATAAAAATGCCATTGTCCCCAGAGATTCAGTGTCTCCCAATTTGATTCCAGTGCCTTTGATTCCAGTGCCTTAACTATTAACTACACGCTGCTTTTATGTCCAAATATAATGCATGACTGAAACAAGTTTGCTAAGGTTCAGGGAGGACAATTTAATACCAAAATAAAGTACAGTTTCCTTCTTGTTTGCTAGTCGAGAGGGGGCTGAGATGTTTCTTTCCTTATCTGTATCTCAGAGGTAGCCCAACCTCTTTCCTTTTGTTCCTAAAATTAATGATTCCATGCTATCTCTTCGAAAGCCCTCTTTGCTAAATCAGTTCAGGCAGACCATCTCCTCCTCAAATACATCTTGGCCCTTGGCTGGAAGGGAGCTAGACACTGCTATCAGTCCTTCATTTGCACCTTGATTGCTATCTGGGGTTAGTATCCAGTCACTGGTGAGCTCCATGAGAAGTGGATGTGTGATAGAAGAGATGAAAGGAGAAGGGTGTGCTTAGGTTTGTTGCTCCAGCCTGATCAAATCATGCTTTGGAGGAGAGGAATGTAGCATCTGAATGTAGTCTGATTCAGGCACAACTCTAAAGTATGGTTCAATGTTGCATGCATGCACCCTGGGCTTCTGGCCTCTCCTCCCAGCTTCTGGAGTTGTTGCAGTGATCAGAAGCTTTGCTTCCATTTCACTCACTGACCGCTTATTGCTGCCTGTAAACCTGAAGCTGTGCTTAATCTTATGTATTGCTATTATTTATTTGTCACTTATACATACAGTGGTACCTTGGTTTACGAACTTAATCTGTTCCGGAAGTCCGTTGTTAAACCAAAATGTTCTTAAACCAAGACATGCTTTCCCATAGCAGTGGGGGACTCAATTTACAAATGGAACACACTCGACAGGAAGCGAAACATATTCTGCTTCCAAGGCAACGTTCACAAACCAAAACACCTACTTATGGGTTTGCAGCGTTCTTAATCCAAGTTGTTCATAAACTAAGCTGTTCTTAAACCAAGGTACAGTACCACTGTACAATGTCTCAAAATGACCATGGTGTAGGGCAGAGGTTGTCAACCTGGTGCCCTTCAGATGTTGCGGGCTACAATTCACAGCCAATAATAGTCAGGGATTACAGGAGTTGTAGCTGTTCACAAGCTTTTGGGGAGTGCTATGTTTTTGGCTAACTCTGGTTTAGGGAAACAAGCCAACTTCCTAAACCATGGCTTGAGGATAGCTTCTTTTAATAAAGCACCCTAAAGACTAGCAACATTTTGTCTGGGTTCAGGCATAATTATAAACAGCTGTTAGGAAACCTTCACCTCTGTTTTTAACTATCTCCTCCTCATTGCCCACTAAACTCTGGCAGCATCAATCACCTGTTTTTCCACCTCTCTTGATGGGGAGCTTTAATTCAGCCTCCGCACCCAAGCAGATTGCCAACGCAGGTGGATGTGACAGCACAGGCACCTGTCCAGCAGGGAGGGGAAGTTTGTTGTGTATACCAATCCTGATTTGGAAACATATTTCCATGTCATTCTTTGTCATTTATTCTGATGGCCCTTACATAAGGATAACCCGGTTCTCCATTCAGGAAACAGGAAGCCCTAATACTGAGATATAGAAGTAACATTGCACGTTATTCATATTTGCAACCGTGTACTTATATTAGTACATGGTTCCAGGGTTTTTGAATCCCAGTTAAATAATGCAGAGGGTTAAACTGAACCTATGCCCTGCAAGAAGATGTTGCTTATATTAATTAGATTTGAGATAGAATGACAGGAAGAAGAAATAGAAATAATTGTTTTAGTGTAAGTTGAGGAGCTTCTTTCTTTTTCTCATTTTTAGATACCATCCAGCTATATGCTAATAAGCAATAATGTTTTGGAATAAATAGTTATATTGAGCAACAGAAATAGCATTTGTGTTTCAGACCTTTCACTTGGTTTGTGCATTGATTAGGGTTAGAGTTAAGTAAAAAAACAACAGCAGCAACTATAGAATGAGGACTGCAATGAAAAGGAAAGAGAGTAGACAAGTGTCTTAACTATTTAGGACAGCCTTTCTCAAACTTGGGTCTCCAAATGTTGTTGGACTACAACTCCAAACATCCCTAGCTACCAGGACCAGTGGTCAGGGTTGATGGGAGTTGTAGTCCAATAAACAGCTGGGGACCCAAGTTTGAGAAAGGCTGACTTAGAACATATCACAGGCCAGATGTTCAAGAAAAGGAGGCAGGAAGGTGCTAATAGGTGTTCTAGTCCAAAACACTGGCGATCATCTGGTTGGGGAAAAATTTATTGAAGGGTTATGGGTTTGTTCTCTCATGCCAAAAACTCATTGTCCTCTCATTTTGATATGAAAACAATTGTTAATGTTAATGTAGGCAAATGCTAGATTCCGTATTGTATTTTGCATTGAGCTGTCAAAGTGGTTCTTTGCATTCCTGTTATTTTTAGCTTTCCCTCCAGCTCATTCTGAGTATGTATTCTATACTACTTTGATGGAGGAGACCCACAGACAACAACATTGTATTTATAAACGGATGCATTATTTAGGTGTCACAGGAGACTTCGAGCCCCATCTCTCATTGGTTCATACGTCACAGTAAGCCATAGTTTCAAACTGTGGTTTACTGTGAAGAAGTAAAAGTTGCATGCTGTTCAGTTCTGGTGGGTAAGCTTGAGTTTGTTTGGAATTATAGCATACCATTACATTGAAAATGGCATGTTGAAATGCTCAGGACTTGCACAAAATCACATCATAGCTGTCAGGGGTTCAGGAGCAGAGGCAAGGGCAAGGGAGGAAACAGAGAGCGAGGGGGAGGAGGCAGAAGAAAAGATGAGTGATGACGACGACCCGAGATCTCCGAGTCTTTCCAGTGAATCAGAAGATTCACAGAAAGGAGCACCAGTGGCCAGGGCAAGGGGGAGCCTAGGGGACGCCCCAGGAAGATAGAGCCAGAGGGGACTCAGAGGGGAGCAGTTGGAAATCGGGACCAGCGTCACCGCCAGAGAGCAGGGAAGAGGAAGGGAGCCAGGGATCAAGCGCTGGCAGCTCACAACAGGGGGGAGGGCACGAGTCAGGAGTGGCCACACCTCCATCGGGGAGCGAAGAAACGGTCAGACGGAAGGTGGAAGGTTGGGCGCGCGCGCCAAGTTCAAATGCACAGGAAGGTGGCACAGTAGGCAGCCCGGAAAGGGAGCCAGGTCCTAAAGCCCGCCGAAAGGAGGGAGAAGAGTCAGGGGGCGTCAGCGTCAGAGGAATCCCGGAAAGAAGAGACCCCAGGGGGCAGAGGGACCCAGAGAAGAACAGTCAGGCGGAAAAGGTGGAGCAGGGCTAGGATATTAAGTTGGTGTACAAGGGGCGGAGACTCAGACGGAGCTTCGCCGGTCTAACCATGAGACGTAGAGTTGCACGCAGCAGTTTGAGAATGGAAACTGTAACTCAATAAAGACTTTTGTTTAATGATCGCTGGCTAGCGTGATCCTCTGTGAGCTAGGATCTGGAAGCAGCTCTGACAGTAAGCTCCGTCTCTATAAATTGTGGGCATCTACAGCCTCGCGGAGAGGAGAGAAAGCGGGTGCCTACTAGCGAGCTCACGAAAGGCAGACAATATGACGGCCGAACAGCAGATAGCGGAACTCAGAGAAGCAGTGTCACGACTGAATGCCGAGGCTCTTGCATCCAGGAAGAGAGAGGAGGACGCAGCTGCCGCCTACAGGGATCTCCAGGTCAGGTTGGAAGTGCTTACGAAGCAAGGGCAACTGACACCCAAACCGGAGGGGATTGGGTTGGGGAGACGAACAGGCGGTCTGGTCTCTCACTTCGATGGGAATTTGCAACAGTACCCCAACTTTAGAGCAGATGTAATGTGTGCACTGCAACTGCTGGACAAAGACTTTAGAGATGAGCAAGAGAAGGTGGGATTCATCATGTCCCATTTGCATGGAGATGCTAAAGCATGGCTGCGCAATTTGTGGAGAGATAAGGATCCGGCGCTCCAAAATGCGGATGCCTTTATTAAAGCGATGGATGGGTGCTTTTTATCAAGCATTGACGTGGATCTTGCTCGGCAGCAGATACATGGACTGAAGCAAGGGAGGGCCAGCGTAAGGCAGTACCATGCCCGCTTTTTCGCTTTGGTCAGTGCTCTGGAATGGGACAGAGATTCGGCTCCTGTAAGAGACCTGTTTTGGGAGGGATTGCACGGCTCGGTTAAAGATGAAATTGCGAGGGGGGAGAGACCCCGGACCACGCAGGAGATCGTTCAGAGGGCGCTGGCGGTGGGGGTGCGGCTGGAAGAACGTCCGTGGAGCAGGGACGAAGGGCGTGGAGGGCGCGAACCAGCCAGGGGCTCCTCCTTCCTTCCCAGAGAAGCAGCGCGTGCGCAATCCACGCCCCGCCAGGAGGAGGAGCGGAACCTATGGAGGTTGGAGGTGCAAGGGCTCAGTCAGCAGCCAGAGCCCTAGCACCGGCAGCAGTGAAAGCGAAGCCTCCTAGAGGGAACAGGAAGTGTTACATCTGCGATGCTCCACAGCATATGGCGAAAGAGTGTCCCCAGAGGCTCCACAAGCACACTGCAGCTTCAGCAATGGTAACTGCAGCAACGCAGCAAGGAGAACCACAGCAGGGAAACGACGGAGTCTGGTTGGAGGAAGAGGCACTGGGGCCCAGCCAGACGTGTCAGTGAAGCAGTCCCCAGAGATTTTACAGCCCATGGACCCCTCCCGCCCAAACCAGTAGTGAGGCTCACCGCGTCGCTCCAGCTGCCCAATGGAATCACCATGGACGTGCCAATCACCATTGACTCCGGAAGCAATGCGGACTTTATAGGGCAGGACTTTGTCGACCGGCACGCTATACAGTTGCTGCCTGCCACGCTGCCCCTGCAGGTTGTCACGGTGGATGGCAGGGAGCTGCTAGGGGGGCAAGTGGTGAAGCAGACGCCACCAATGGTGATGCGGCTTGGGAATCACAGGGAAATCATCAGCTTCAATGTCACTCAACTATCGGACACGCCCATTGTATTGGGCATGAGTTGGCTGGACAAGCACAGCCCGACGCTGGCTTGGTACCAGAGGCAGCTGACCTTCGGCTCTTCCTTTTGCGCTGAACACTGCATCGTGCCCCGGCAGGAAGGAGAGGAAGAGGAGTCACAGCTGCAGCTAGGCACGCTGCAAGCGGTTCCCCACAAGTACGCAGAATTTTTGGAGGTTTTCTGCGAGAAGGAGGCAGACAGGCTACCCCCCCACAGACCATATGACTGCAAAATTGACCTGCTGCCGGGGGCGGCGCTGCCCAAAGGGAAGCTGTATTCCATGTCTGAGGACGAACTGCAGGAACTCAAAGAGTTCATAGATCATAATTTGGAGCGCGGTTTCATCCGAGAGTCCAAGGCAGCGGGGGGCAGTCCGGTATTCTTTGTTAAGAAGCGGGACACGCCCCAGAAAAGACTTGTAGTGGACTATCGCATTTTGAACAGCGTGACCAAGCCATCGGACTTCCCCATGCCCCGAATCGATGACCTCCTCGCAAAGGTACGGAAGGGCAGCGTGTTCACTAAGTTGGACCTGCGAGGGGCGTACAACCTCATTCGCATGCGGGAAGGAGATGAGTGGAAGACAGCCATGTTCACGCCCCTGGGCACCTACGAATATAGAGTTATGCCTTTTGGATTGCAAAATGGTTCCCACGGTTTTCAAGCGTTCATGCATCACGTGTTGGCGGGCTCCTCTACAAGACGTGCGTCTGTTTCTTGGATGACATCCTGATCTTTTCGGAATCGCAGCAGGAGCATGACAGACACGTCAAGGAAGTGCTGAGCAGGCTACAGCAACATAGGCTTTACGCCAAGCTGGAGAAGTGCCAATTCGACGTGACGGAGGTGGATTTCCTGGGCTACAAGTTGTCTGATAAAGGGCTCGCCATGGACAGCGCCAAGGTCCGAGCAGTGTTGGATTGGAAAAGCCCACGCAACCGGAAGGAGGTCCAACGGTTTGTCGGCTTTGCGAACTTCTATCGCAAGTTTATCAAAGGCTTTGCCATGCAGACAGCGGCCATCACGGACACGCTCTGTGATGGGATGATGAGCTGCTTGTGCGTAAAATCGTATCCCCTCAGAGTTTGTTCAAGTCCACAAACCTCTGTCTGTGACAGAGCCCCTCAGACATGGCTACTCTAGTCACTAGCAGATTCCGACAGTGGTTGCTTTCGTAATCGCTTCCAACATAAAAGCTCCTTAACGGAAACACGTCTTCTGGAATCTCTGCGTGACAGTTTCCGGCGAGGAGTGGGTGTTCTTACAGGAGGTCCTGAAACCTCTCCACTGTTTTCGCTGGAAGTGTCTCTGAGCCATCCCTCCAGCTCAGCTCCTCTCCCCCTGCTGGTTCCCTCATCAGCTGCTGCGTCTCTCCCAACCTGTGTGAGCCCTTTCACCTCCCTGTTGGTTTCCTCTTCAGCTGCTGCGTCTCTCCCAACCTGTGTGAGCCCTTTCACCTCCCTTCCGTCCGATGGCAGTTCCCTGACATCCACCTCCCCTCCAGGGCCCCCTTCACCCCCTCTCGCCCCCTCCTCTACGGGCGGTGAGGAGGCAAAACCCCGGAATGAACTTCCTTCATCTTCCGATGTCTCGAACACTTCTCTCAACCTGTTGCGGTTCCTGGTCTCGAAGTACACCTCCTCCTCAGAGTCCATCTCCCCTTCCCCTTCCGAGTCCGGGAATCCTTCCAACTCCTCCCCTTCATCAGTGGTCCCAAAGTATTCCCTCCGGAACCTCTCCACAGGCTGAGGTTTCCTTGGGAACCTTTGATGGAACGTTTCTATCAATACCTCGTCATTGATATCTTCAGCCATTACCCAAGTGTTTTCTGACTCCGGTTCTCCTTCCCACGCTACCAAATACTCCACCTGATCCCCCTTCCACCTGGCGTCGAGGATTTCTGCCACATGGCTGCTGCATTCTCTTTCTTCTACGACCGGTCCCCGAGTGGCCAGCCCTTCTCGTCCCCCTTCGTACGGTGACAGTAACGACCTGTGAAATACTGGGTGCAGTTTCATGTGGTTGGGTAACCGGAGCCTGAAAGCCACTGGGTTGACCTGTTGAATGACCTCAAAGGGACCCAACCTCCTGGGTCTTAATTTCTTACAACCTCCTTTGAACGGCAACCCTTGGGTTGACAGCCACACCCTATCTCCCACCCTTATGGTTTCACCTTCCCTTCGGTTCTTGTCTGCCTGCCTCTTGTATTCTTCCTTCGCCCTTTCTAAGTTGAGTTGGAGCTGACGATGGATTGCTTCCATTTCTTCCACAAAATGCTCGGCTGCCGGGACGCTCCATCTCTCCCCTCTCCCCTGGGAAAGCCCTGGGATGACACCCATAATTAGCCAAGAAGGGGCTCATCCCTGTGGACACATTCTCGGCATTGTTGTAGGCAAATTCCGCCAGCGCCAACTTTTCTACCCAGTCATTCTCTCTGTCATTGACATAACACCTCAGGTATTGCTGGAGGACACCGTTTGCTCTTTCCGCCTGCCCGTTGGTTTCAGGGTGCCGGGCAGTCGAAAAATTGACCTCCACCTGCAGTAAGCTCATGAGCTTCCTCCAGAACCTGGAAGTAAATTGTTTTCCTCGGTCTGAGACCACCCTCAATGGCACCCCGTGCAACCTAAAAATGTTTTCTACAAATAACTTCGCTGTCTCTTCCGCCGTGACTGCATGCGAGCAAGCTACAAAGTGGCACATCTTTGTTAGTAGGTCTACCACCACCATGATGGCTGTTTTCCCTTTGGACTTCGGCAGATCAGTCATAAAATCTATCGACACTGCCTCCCAAGGTCGTTCTGGGGTTGGTAAGGGTTCTAATAGCCCCGCCGGCGCCCGCCTTTCCCCTTTGGCTCGCTGGCATTGCTCGCACCCTCTTACATACTCACGTACATCTTCCCTCACCTTAGGCCACCAAAATTCCCTGGTGACCAACCACATGGTTTTGTGTTGTCCAAAATGCCCCGCCGTAGGGCTGTCGTGCAACTGCTTGAGTACCCTCCCCCCTTAACTCTCCTTCAGGGATATACAGTGCCCCTTTGTAATACAAAGCTCCATTTCTTTCCTCGAAACCCCCCTGGTTCCTCTCCATCACCCCTAAGACCTCTGAGCTTATTCTGGGCGTATTCATCATTCTCTGTTTCCTCTACCAGTTCTCTTTGTCCCACCAATGCCGCCCCACACACCCAGCGGTCTTCTGGAATGACATGTCTCTCTTCGGGTGCCCCTCCCCTCCAAATATTCAGGTTTGCGTGAGAGAGCGTCCGCCCTAATGTTCTCTGGGCCTGGCACGTAACTAATCTCAAAGTTAAATTTGGAGAACTCCTGGGCCCATCTCACTTGCCGTTGGTTGAGCACTCGTGCCGTCCTCCAATACTCTAGGTTCTTGTGGTCAGTGCACACTTGCACCTTATGTTGTGCGCCAATTAGCAGGTGCCTCCATCTCCGGAACGCCTCATGAATGGCTAGTAGTTCTCGGTCATACACCGTGTAGTTCCTCTCGGATTTGTTCAGCTTTCGCGAAAAAAGGCACACGGTCTCCACTCTGACCCCTTCTTGCCTGGCTGCAGAAGCACCGCCCCAATCGCTCTGTCTGATGCGTCAGTTTCCACTCTCATCGGTTTTTGTAAATCCACATGCAGGAGTTGTTGTTCCGAGGCGAAGGCCCTTTTAGTTCCTCAAATGCTCGCTCCGCCTCCTCAGTCCACACGAACTTCTTCTTACTGCTGAGACAGTCCGTAATGGGCGCCGTCAGGTGGGCAAAGTTTCGGATGAACTTACGATAGAAGTTCCCAAATCCTAGGAACCTCTGCACATCCTTCTTTGTTTTGGGTGTTTTCCATTCCAGCACAGCCTGGACCTTGCCGGGATCCATGGCCAATCCCTTGTCTGACAGGCGATACCCCAGGAATTCCACCTCCTTGGTATGAAACTGACACTTCTCCAGTTTCACCCACAGCTGGTTGGCTTGCAGCCTGCTCAACACTTCTCTGACGTCTCTCACATGCTGCTCCTCATTCTCAGAATACACCAACACGTCGTCTAAAAGGCCACACAATTCTTGTAAAGCAAAGGCCCCAGGACGTGGTTCATAAACGATTGAAATGTTGCGGAGCCTCCTTGTAGGCCGAAGGGCATAACCAAATATTCAAATGCCCCTAAAGGGGTGAACATAGTGGTTTTCCATTCATCCCCCTTCCTTATTCGTACCAGGTTGTACGCCCCCCTTAGGTCCAGCTTTGTAAAAATCTTTCCCTTCCGCACCCTTGTCAAAATGTCGTCAATCCTGGGCATAGGGAAGGCTACTGGTTCTGACACTGCATTTAAGGCCCTGAAGTCACACACCAGCCTCGGCTTGTTCGTGTTTTTCTTATCCACAAAAACACTGGGCTGCCCCCCACCGCCCTGGACTCTCTGATGAACCCTCTCTTCAGGTTCTTGTCAATGAACTCTCTTAACTCCTGCATCTCTCTGTCTGACATGGCGTACAGCTTGCCTACAGGGAGCTGTGCTCCAGGGAGTAAGTTGATTTGACAGTCAAAGGGTCTATGCGGGGGTAGTTGGTCAGCTTCCCTTTCGCTGAAGACGTCACGGAGATCTGCATATTGTCGTGGTACCTTCACGTTCTCTGTTACTTCAGTCCCTGCTAGGGTGGCTTGGACCCCTGCCAAACCCTTTCCCTCTTTGCAGTGTTCTAAGCAATGTGCTGAACCAAAAGAAACCACTCTCTGATGCCAGCCCACCAGCGGATCATGTAACGCTAGCCAGCTCATCCCCAATATAATGGGAGCTCCTCCCAAGGTGGCCACATTAAAAGCTATCAGTTCGGTGTGCCTTGCTACCTTCATTATCATTGGGACGGTCTGCAAGCTGACTTCTCCACCCAACAGCTCCCTGCCATCGATCGTGGTCACCTGCAGGGGGCTGCTTAAAGGGATTGTCTGTATCTGGTGTTCAGCTGCAAACTCTTTGCTCATGAAATTGCAGGAGCTGCCTGAGTCCAACAGCGCCTTTATCTTTAGAGGGTGTCCGTTTGGCAGCTCTAGCGTCACTTCTATCACTAGGGCGGGTTTAGGAGGTTCTGGCGTGGGCACTCTCACTGCTCTTTGGCCTGGCTGCTGTGCCCCGACAATGGCAGCCAGGCGTTGGCTTTTAGTTGCTCCGGTATTTTTTCCTCTCTTCCCTCCACAGCTCCCACCATCCCTTGCCATTCCTTCCTCTGGGGGCAGACTCTGGCAAAGTGCCCTGGCTGTTGGCAGAGATAGCATTTCCGGGCGCCTTTTCCCTCCTTCTTTGCCCCCTCACTGGGCTTTGAAACTGCGCGCGCGCGCTGTTCCGATTTCCATCGGCTCTGCCGGTGGGAAAGTTGGCTCTGGAATGTCTGGAATGCGGAACTCCTTCCAACGTTCCCCTTTCCCTTCCCGCCTCTCCAATGCTCTCGCCTCCTGGCGCGCTCCTATGGCCAGCGCTGATTTGGTCAGCTGGTCCATAGACTCCGCCCTGGGCGCCCGGGAAAGTTCGTCTTTCACAGCCGAAGAAAGCCCTTCTTCAAAGAGCATTTGAATGGGTTCCGCCGATAAGTCCCACCCCAATCTGTGAACAAGCATGGTGAACTCAGTCCAGTACTCACGGACAGATCGGCTCCCCTGTTTGCAACCCATTAACTGTCTGCGCACCACTCCCTTTTCAATATCGCTGGAAAACATCAGATCCATGGCGCGAAAGAACTTCATCGTGTCTTTTAAAACGTCACTATTCGCTGCCATCAGGGGTCTAACCCAGTCTCTCGCCCCTTTTCAAGATGCTCAATCACGAAAGCCACTCGTGATTCCTCGTCAGGGAATTCATCAAACTGCAGATTGAGGGCATTTTGCATTTCTGTCCGTTAGCCATGTTAGTTTTTGGGCTCGCCCCCACACGTCTGGACCCATCCTGGTACATTTGTGGCGAACTGGGTGGCTTTCCCCTTTGTCTGCATCCTGAGCCCTCCTCTCCTCAAGCCTCGCCGTCTGCATCGCTAGCTGGACCTCCAACATCTGGTACCTTTCTTCCAGGCTTGGACCCGCTCCAGCTCCTGCTTCTCCGGTTCCGGCTGGGTTGCTCATGATACCTTCTCCTGCACAAGCTGCTTTCAAAGACTGTCGGAATGCTGTGATGGGATGATGAGCTGCTTGTGCGTAAAATCGTATCCCCTCAGAGTTTGTTCAAGTCCACAAACCTCTGTCTGTGACAGAGCCCCTCAGACATGGCTACTCTAGTCACTAGCAGATTCCGACAGTGGTTGCTTTCGTAATCGCTTCCAACATAAAAGCTCCTTAACGGAAACACGTCTTCTGGAATCTCTGCGTGACAGTTTCCGACGAGGAGTGGGTGTTCTTACAGGAGGTCCTGAAACCTCTCCACTGTTTTCGCTGGAAGTGTCTCTGAGCCATCCCTCCAGCTCAGCTCCTCTCCCCCTGCTGGTTCCCTCATCAGCTGCTGCGTCTCTCCCAACCTGTGTGAGCCCTTTCACCTCCCTGTTGGTTTCCTCTTCAGCTGCTGCGTCTCTCCCAACCTGTGTCAGCCCTTTCACCTCCCTTCCGTCCGATGGCAGTTCCCTGACACGCTCAGCTCCAAGAAAAAGAAGTTCATCTGGACAGAGCAGGCGGAGCAGTCCTTTCAGGCACTCAAGCGTCTCTTCGCGTCGGAAGGGCAACTGCTTCATGTCAACCCCAGTAAGCCGATGAGGGTGGAGACAGAACCGTCGGACAGAGCCGTGGGAGCAGTCCTGCTGCAGAAGGACCCGCAGGGGGTTTGGAGGCCGGGAGCGTTTTACTCAAGGAAGCTCAGCAAGTCCGAACAGAACTACACCATCTGGGACAGGGAGTTGCTGGCCATTCATGCAGCGTTCAAAGCGTGGAGGCACTTCCTGATCGGCGCCAAGCACACGGTGCAGGTCTGCACGGACCACAAGAATCTAGAGCACTGGCGCACGGCACAGTTCCTGAACCAGAGGCAGATACGTTGGGCTGAGTTCTTTGCGAATTTCGACTTCCGAATAGAGTATGTCCCGTGGGACACCAACATCATGGCGGATGCTCTCTCCCGTAAGCCGCAGTATCTGGAGGAGGCAACGCCAGCGGCCGCCATGCACATCTTCGCACCGACAGTGTGGGCGTGCACGGCGGCAACAGTTGACCTGGAGGCGGTGCGACGAGCGTTGCAGGATGACTCCTTCGCGCAAGCAAAGATGGCAGAGGCGCACAGGGGCACGGCAGCGACCGACGAGTTCCAGCTGCGAGATGGTTTGCTCATCCGTAAAGGGGCCATCTACGTGCCGGGAGACGAACTTCGCGCCAAGGTACTGCAGCAGCTGCACGACGCGCCCACTGCCGGGCACTTTGGCAAGGAGAAGACGGTGGAATTAGTAGCCAGAGACTTCTGGTGGCCAGGAATGAGAGGGGAAGTCGCGGACTACGTGGCGAGGTGTGACACCTGCCAGAGGGCCAAACCAGTGCACAGACCGCCGGCCGGATTGCTGGAACCGCTGCAAACTCCGTTCGAACCATGGGAGAGAGTGGCCCTGGACTTTGTCACGGATCTGCCCAGCTCGAGGGGCAAGACGGCTGTGCTGGTGGTGGTGGACTTGTTCTCCAAGATGGCACATTTCATTCCGTGTGCGAAGGTGGCCACGGCGGAACAAACCGCCAAACTGTTCATAGACCACGTGTTCAAGGTTCACGGTCTGCCGCGGTCTATTCTGTCCGACCGAGGGCGACAGTTCATCTCGAACTTCTGGCAGAGGCTGATGGGCTTCCTGAACGTCAAGATCAACCTGGCGTCGGCTAGACACCCGCAGACCAATGGGCAAGCGGAGCGGGTCAATGCCATCATGCAGCAGTACCTGAGATGTTATGCGAATCAACAGCCTGCGACGTGGGTGGATTACCTGCCTCTCGCCGAGTTCGCCTACAACAACACGAAGCACGTGTCCACGGGGGTCACGCCGTTCTTCGCCAACAACGGGAGGCACCCCAGAACCTTCCCGGGACTGGAAAGAATGGGGGAGGGGGAGCCGCAGACAGCAGATGCATTCGCGTCGGAGTTGCAGGAGGTCCACGATCAGCTGCGGCGGCACCTGGAGCTGGCTAAACACGCATACAAGGTACAAGCGGACAAACACAGAAGGGTTGGCGAAGAGATCCATGTGGGAGACTGGGTCTGGTTAGCAGCCCACGCAGTGCCGGCCAGGTCGTTGGCGAAGAAGAAACTAGGGCATAAACAACTGGGGCCCTACCAAGTCGAAGAACAGGTCAACCCGGTGGCTTTCAGGCTGGCTCTTCCGGAGGGTTCCAGGATGCATCCGGTGTTCCACAGATCGGTGCTCACTCCATACAAGGCACCTCACAGGTTTCAGGAACCAGGAACGGCACCGGGTCCGCTCCGAGAGAGAACCGGGCAGGGGGGAGTGGCACGGGAGGAGCGCATCAACGAAGCCACGGAGATTTTGGACTCCAGATGGGGTGAAGAGGGGGTAGAATACCTTCTCGCCAAGGAGGGCACCCCGGCCAGTGCCAACAGCTGGGTGCCGGGCTACGCTTTAGACGAACCTCTGCTCAAAGAAGAGTTTCATGCCCTCTTCCCACATAGGCCAATGCCAGCAGACTTTTTCGACGACTGGCTTTTCACGCCCACGCTTTCAGCCAGCACGCTCCGGGGTTCGACTCGGACGAGGAACCGACACGAGACGCCCGTTCCCCGGAGGGGTCACCCTCGGGATCTGCTTCAGAACCCTCGTATTGGTGGGATGATCGACCAGAGGAGCAGTTCCGCAGAAGGTGGCTGGAGGGTCCAGGACGAGCAACGTCTCCAGAAGGTAACGAGGGAGAGACGGACATGGACGCTTCGGGACGACCCGGGTTTCGAGCACGGCGGCACAGAGATGGAAGCGGAGGTGACCGTCGTCAACGAGAGCAGGGAGGAAGAACCGGAAGACTTCAGATGGCGGCCCGCCACGGGAAGCGAACTGTATCCGACATTCGTCCCCTGACACGGCAGCACCCAGATCCCGCACCGGAAGGAGGGGAGGGGGAAGAGGGGGCTTCGAGGGGGATGGATGTCAGGGGTTCAGGAGCAGAGGCAAGGGCAAGGGAGGAAACAGAGAGCGAGGGGGAGGAGGCAGAAGAAAAGATGAGTGATGACGACGACCCGAGATCTCCGAGTCTTTCCAGTGAATCAGAAGATTCACAGAAAGGAGCACCAGTGGCCAGGGCAAGGGGGGAGCCTAGGGGGACGCCCCAGGAAGATAGAGCCAGAGGGGACTCAGAGGGGAGCAGTTGGAAATCGGGACCAGCGTCACCGCCAGAGAGCAGGGAAGAGGAAGGGAGCCAGGGATCAAGCGCTGGCAGCTCACAACAGGGGGGAGGGCACGAGTCAGGAGTGGCCACACCTCCATCGGGGAGCGAAGAAACGGTCAGACGGAAGGTGGAAGGTTGGGCGCGCGCGCCAAGTTCAAATGCACAGGAAGGTGGCACAGTAGGCAGCCCGGAAAGGGAGCCAGGTCCTAAAGCCCGCCGAAAGGAGGGAGAAGAGTCAGGGTCAGCGTCAGCGTCAGAGGAATCCCGGAAAGAAGAGACCCCAGGGGGCAGAGGGACCCAGAGAAGAACAGTCAGGCGGAAAAGGTGGAGCAGGGCTAGGATATTAAGTTGGTGTACAAGGGGCGGAGACTCAGACGGAGCTTCGCCGGTCTAACCATGAGACGTAGAGTTGCACGCAGCAGTTTGAGAATGGAAACTGTAACTCAATAAAGACTTTTGTTTAATGATCGCTGGCTAGCGTGATCCTCTGTGAGCTAGGATCTGGAAGCAGCTCTGACAATAGCACTTAAAAAAAACCAAAAAACTTATCTGTGGATTGTTCCAAATACACTTGTGCTGCTAGGCTTGACAGAGAAACCTTAGCAATGTTTCTCATGAAAATTACTAATGTAACTTTATTGCCTGTCATATATTCCCCCCTCTTCTTTTAAATATTCAGTTGTCAAGACATCACCAATATTCATTTTTTAATGCCTCTTTGTACAGGAACTTTGTTTGAATCCGCTCTGTAGCTGCTTTTGAAATTTGTCCATTTGCAATTTTGACCACTTTCACTTATTGCAAAGTATGTTAGTAGCCCAGAACTAAACATCTGAGCAGGCAAAACCTTATCTTGGGAAAAGGGAAGGAAATAACTGTTGCGTACAGCTTCTTTTCAGACGCAAAGATCTGCAGTGCTTTTCTTTAGCTATAAATTATGCACAGGACATTATTTTCTTGCTGGATTTCATAGTGTCTGTCGTCTCCCAGCTGAAAGCCTCATGGTCATTAACTGGAAACGACATGCTATGCATCATTTTAAGCTGCACAGGTGGGCCTTGCCAGTGAACATGAGAGCTACCTGAAACATACATGGCCTCTCCCTCAAAAATGCTGCCATTTCAATGGCACAGTGACCCTGTTGCTGCTTGGTGGACAGATATTGCTTACAAAAACATGTGGAGTGATGTCTTTCGCTGTGATCATCCTCATCTTGTGTGATATTAAGGTGCCACATTACGGCTGGTCTGATGCAATGCAGTACTGGCTAGAAATAAATAATTCCTATTTATCTGTGTCGTATATTGTGGGCAGAAGGCAGCATTTTTCAGTAGTTCCATTTGCACTGGATAATTTCTCTCTGTGTTGCAGAAGACCCAATAGCTGCCAAGGTCCAGAAAGGCATGGAGTAGTTCCATCTTACTGTGGCCTCACATTGCATATATACACCAACTTTACTTAATGATATGCAGCACAATCCTTTTCAACTTAACCCCCCCCCCAAAAAAAATACTTGCTTGGTCTAGTCTTCCCTGCAGCTGCTTCTAGCTTCTATTGAAGTCACTTACGTTTCTACATATAAGACTGGAAGATTGCACCTAAGGCCTTAGCCAAGTTCATAGACTTAACAGGATTTTTGAGATTTGGACATCACTTAGGATTCTTTCTGCTCCTCTGTTATTAGATTCAGTGGACTGGTTGTGCGGAAGGCATGGAGGCCAACAGAAGGTGGCACCAGAGCCAGTTGCAGGCAAAGCCAACTAATTCTTGTTTTGTCCCCCATCCTGCTGAGTTCTACAAGAGCTGCAATGAGATTAAGGAGGAGGGAGCAGATAGACAGGGTTAGTCCTTGGACTGGCTCTAAGTAAGAAAGAAGAGGCTGGGGGTTAGCTGAGGGAAGAATGAGGTTAGCTGGGGCAGTGCTTCATGTGCTCTAATGGAGTAGCCTCTGCAGTTTAGAAACCTTGCTCCAGGAACTGTCTTCAGAACTTCTGTTGCTGGTGTCTAGGTGACTTCAGATCTAGTCTGTCCAGCTCATCCTCTTCCCTTTGGCACCTGCCTACTTGGCACTCTTATCTTCCTGTCCCTTAGAGCTTATAGTGTGGGTAGACTCCAACTCTCTTCAGCCCCAGCCAATATGACCAGTGGTCAGTTATGATGGGACATGGAGTCCCAACAGTAAGTGAGAGTCACAGGCTCCCCATTCCTGGCTTAAATTGCCTCTTTCTCACGCTGTGCAACCTGAAACAACCATTTCTCCTATTATTTTACAAATTTATAAATAGATGTATGTAAGGAGAGCTGTTTCAAGAGGTAGAAGTTGCCAGAAAGACTGCCAGCTTTGCTTGGCCCAAAGGAGAATCTCCGCATGCTCTGGACTGTGTCAAGTCACTTGTTTTCTAGCAGTTCAAGCAGACAGGAATTGTTGTTGGGAGAAAAACAGCGTGACAATCACAGACTCTGAGAAGGATGCCAACTAAAACATGCTCAAATAGCTATTAAGTAAAATATTTGTGGGCACCACAATGCTATGTTCTGAAAATACCTCTGCAAATGTAGAAACCGAAATATTATAGGAATACTGTTTTGTACGAGTAAACACTCACTAGCCTTGCTATGGCTTGATCTTTTGCAGTTACTATTGATGGATCACTAAGATGATTATCAGCTACCCCAAGAATGAGGAACTGAGGGCACACCAATGTTTTTAGATGAAAGTGTGGGGCTTGTTCTCTGCCTGAGAATGTTTGTGCCAGGAGATCTAAAAGATTAGTCAGAATTTGGCATTTGGCAAGAGGGAGAAAAAGTAGGTGTAAGTTTTTGGTGCTGTCTCATAGAAGCAGTCTTGCGGGGCTGTAGGGGTGCTTTCTTGTTTGGGTTTAGAGACTGTTTTGGGATAGGCACTACTGTCCAGTTTGTCTGCTTGTAATTATAACTGCAAACTCTTAGAGTTGTGAAACCAGTGGTTTACCAGTGGAGTTTTGTTGTGTCCCTGAGAAATGTGGGTGCACAATGTCAGCATTTACAACAAAGAAAATGTGTGATGGAACCATGCAGGGTGGATAGGGAGTCATTAGGTATTATGCTGGGTAGCAAAGTGTACAAGGATGATGAATGCATTGCCAATGCTCGTCCCCGTCCCCCCCATTCTCCCTTCCCATCCCTTTTCCTTTTGTGTCATGTCTTTCAAGTTGTAAGCCTGAGAACAGGAGGTGACTTATTACTGATATGTGTAAGCTCCTCCAGGAGTGGTTTAGTTGTTGTTGTTTTGGCTGAAGAGTGGAGTGAAAATGCTTTCAATAAATACACAAGTGTATAAGTGGTGTACTTGTTGGAGTGTGTGTGTGTGGAGATTTTGAAACTTTGATTTTTATTTTTTTAAAAGGCACAGGGTGTTCTCTTCTTTATGAGTGAGCTAATGGGTATTTTACAGGGCTAGTAACATTTTATTTTTTTCCATTCTATCTGTATGGCTGTACAACAAGTGAGACTTTTAATACCAAGATAGAAAAAGGCTGCTGGATGATGTCACTGGTCTCAATGTCACCGAAAGTGCCAAATCAATCCACAGACTCGAGAGAGGCCTGTCTAGACAGATATATATGGGTAGATAATAAGAAAAAAGCCCACTGTTTCAGTTCTACTGCTAGAATCTAAAGGACTGCAATTTTGTTCAGCTCAAGAACTACAAAGATACTAGTCCCAGCCCATTATTCTATACTGTTGTGGGTTTGGTGAGGGGTAGTCAGTGTGTTGCCTGAGTCCCTTCTAATTCGTGAGTCCTGGATCCAGCATGGTTAAAAATCGAATGGAGAATTCCATTCTTCTGTGTGTGAGTTAATAGTCCTAAGGACCATCTTAGTATGACAAAATAAGTAGCACTGTGCCAGAGGGCAAATAGCAAATAGGTGGGCCCCTCCCTCACCTGACTGGTAGTGAGAAAAACAAAAGCCAGAGTGTGTGTGAGTTGGGCACGAAGCAGGCAGCAACCAGAGAGGCAGACCCATGCTTGATTTCTCCTTTATTCCAAGGCTGTGAATACTGTATGGCAGAAGCAAGAACGTTTGGGGTGTAAATGCTGTGAGCCTCTCTATCGTAGGCTCAGGTTGTAAGGTAAAGGTAAAGGGACCCCTGACCATTAGGTCCAGTCGTGACTGACTCTGGGGTTGCAGCGCTCATCTCGCTTTATTGGCCGAGGGAGCCAGCGTACAGCTTCCGGGTCATGTGGCCAGCATGACTAAACCGCTTCTGGTGAACCAGAGCAGCGCACGGAAACGCCGTTTACCTTCCCGCCGTAGCGGTACCTATTTATCTACTTGCACTTTGATGTGCTTTCGAACTGCTAGGTTGGCAGGAGCAGGGACCGAGCAACGGGAGCTCACCCCGTCACGGGGATTCAAACCGCCGACCTTCTGATCGACAAGCCCTAGGCTTTGTGGTTTAACCCACAGCGCCACCCGCGTCCCTAGGTTCAGGTTGTACATATGTGTAAATAAACCATATAGACACCACAATCTCCACTGTCTCTCATTCCAAGGAAACTGAACCCTGGATAAGCTCCTGGAGCCTGGAACAATACTATTCTATTCAATGCCTTTTTGGTGCAGCATTTATGTCATTGGCAGATGCACCGCACTGGAATCCAACATAGCTTTCTCAGTCTGTATGGCCTGCTTCCTGAAAGTTGTGCAAGGTTGTCCCAATGCACCAAGGCAGTCCAGAGGGAAAATGTTTGAGAACCACTGCTTTCAAGGATATGACTTCACAACTATGGACCTCAAGATTTGTTTTGCATTGTACAACTCGTATGCGCCAAGGCTTGAACTCTGTTCCTGCAGATTGCAGGGTCGTGTCACCTCTGTTAAGTTCAAAGGAACAGCAAGGCAAAACTGTTTGTTCTTCCAGGGACTTACATCATCTGTGAGAAAATAATCTCTGAAAGCACGTCAGTATCGAGTTTTGCTCAAACTATCTAATATCTTGTTGCTGTCATTTATTTCCCACTGGTGCTATTATGCAGATGGTGTATCTTGCTCCTTCGTGCTGACTCACTGTGGGCACACCGTATCCTAGAATATGATAAGGGCCACTTGGCTAAGTCCGGCCCCCCCTCCCAGGTGTGGAGGATCAGTGTTGGTGACTGCCCTTGGTGGCCTTCAGTGTAATTCCAACCCTGAAATTATGCATTATGCTTGATGAGTATATGTCTTTGCATCACCCAAGCAGAAAGGAGGGCTAGGCCTTTTAAAATGGAGCAGCAAATCCAGAGGAACGCTCAGGCTAGGCTGCTGAGTAACGTTTTGTATTAAGCGCTTTAGAAAACCTGATGCTAGAATCTTCCCGAGACTGTGGCTGTACCACAAAGTGTTTCCATTTTTATTATTTATCATCACAGTTTGATCCCAACAGTGATCTTATATGAGGAATCTCATTTTATCCTTGCAGTAACACTGTGAGGGAAAGACAGGCCCTGAGAGACTTCCTGAACCTTTCTAGGGAATGTCATAGCCAGGAAGAGATTTATACATGGGATTCTCATATCAAAACAACAATAAACTACACTGACTCTCTCACTGCCAGTGGCATGGCTTTGAAAAATGTCTATTGATGTCACTACTGTCATTTCTGAGAGACTCTTAATTCTGTTCATGCTTAGATGGGCCACTGCTGGTTTTTTGTTTTAGGTAATTAGTAAAAATCACTCCCTTTCATTTGCATCAAACAGCAAGCCTGCTTATTTTTAAAATATAATTATTTTTGTATAAATGCCTATGTCCTGGTCTTGGTCTTATCTCCCACCAGCAGTAACAGCATTGCGGAGTCATTCTGATGTCACAGGTAACTTATTTAATCTGACCGAAAGAGATAACAATGTTTATTTAAAGCCTTGTTTTAAATGGGAAGCAGAGGTGGGGGAACCACAAGACAGCACTCCGAAATGTTAGTTTTAAGATCTGGTGATTGCTTGGCTATAAAGTTACATTAACTTAATCAGGAAACAGATAAGAAGTCTAACAGTAAAAATGGCAGACATGTGTTTTGGTTGGACTTGGGCTTCACTGAGGTGAGTGGGGAACACTCCCAGGTACCTGTGTCTAGTATTGCACCCTCATGTTCATACAGATAGACAGACAGATTTGTTACTCTCCTTTTTTGCACCATTGGTTTGCTCTTTAGCTCTGCCCAGTTAATAGCACAGCACCTCCTTCTTCCATCACAACATTTTTTGAGTGTGAGTGAGATAAAGAAGTGAGGCTGATGGTTGGACTTCCTATCACCAAATTGTCCTGTCTGAACTATTAAGATGTGTGACTTAAATACCCACTGTTTAAAGAACTGCCTCCTCCCAAACCATCCTTCCCACTCCTGAAGGCAGGTGTGGAGAACCTTTGGCCCTCCAGATGTTGCCCTAGCTGGCATACCCTATGTTCTGCCTCCTGGTCAGAACTGCTTTGAAAGAAAGGAATCAAGACAAGCTTTTAATTTGCTTGGTTAGGTTTTTAATAGCCTGAAGCTCAACTTGGTTTTTAATTGGTTCCAGTTGGCCTTTTGCTGCTGCTTAATTTGTTTTTTATGAAATATTGTTTTGCTTTCAAACGATATAATCTTCCCTGAGCGCTGTAATTTTTTCTTAAATCTTTTTCAACTGCAGAATGGAAGGATATGCGTTTTCTCGAACAGATAAATAAATAATTGCGTGTGAAGGAATATTTCGGTGGAATGAAGACATGTTCGTGTTCCTACAGTGAGAGGAGTAGATTTATACAGGCAAATATAGAAATGCAGACAGATCGCAGCTCCAGGAATTTGGAGTCTTGCTTTCAGAGATGGCACAATAATCTGTGTACTTGTCACACCAAGCTTTGACGGCTGCAGTGCTTTAGCTGGTTTGAAATGCAGCCCCCCAAGCCCTCATGGGGCAGTTAGGTGGTTGTATCTTGGGACACCATTGTTGTACCAGCCACATTGTTTCCCACTCTGCTTCCATTCCCAACTTCATGGAATCATTTGCCCAACATGGGGCTCAGACTCACAACCCTGAGATTAAGAGTCTCATGCTCTACCAATTTGAAGTGGTGGCTCTAACATTTTAAAGCCTTTAAACAGCTTGGGTCCAAGTTACTCCAAGAACCTACTGCACCTGTACCCCTCTTGCCTACATATTAAAATCAACAGTGGAAAACCTTCTCATTTGTCCACCTGTGAGATCAGTGAAACTGGTGGGCATGAGGAAGAAGCTTTCTCCATAGTAGCCATGTGGCTTTGAAGTCACTGCCAGCTGACCTTTGTAAAGCTTTTGGGCTTTAGGTTTTCGGAAATGGCTTTGGCCCACTTATATAAACTGGTGTTTTGATGACTGGTGCCATCGGGGCAGGACTTTGGATCTGCAGTCCAGGGCCTGCTCAGCAGAATGAGCAGAAGGCCCCCTAAATGCATCAAGGCTGCCCTACCACATTTTGAATTGCCATCTAAAGAGGGAGGCCACAATAATGCCATTTAGTCCAGAGTCTAAAATTATCTAAGTCTGCCTGCATGCTCCCTGTCAAGGGCATGTCATCAGTGTACGTCTACTATTCATATGGAGCAGTACAGAATTTTTATTCTTCTTCTCGATCAAGTGGTCATGTCATCATCAGAGTCTTTTTTCTCCCAGCCCGCAGGCATCTTTTTGCCCATTGTAAATTGGCAAGGCTGATAAAAGTACTAGTGCCTCCGTAAGATTTTCCTCCAAAGGCCAGCTACTAAGAATGGCTTGCATTGAAATCAGAACAGCCAAGAACACAAAGTGAAATTTTAAGAATGAAATGCTCCTTCAGCTTTAATAGTTCCTAAGAGAAATAGTATAGAATCCCTCTAGCTCTTTTTTAACAGTTGTGTCAACAAGTCATCAGAAATCTGTGCTAGTTATCACACAGTTGGGGGAGGGACTCCATCCCCCTTCTTGTCTGAGACTGAATGCCCCACCTTTTGTCAGGGCAATGACTATGATCATGTGTTTTTCTTCCTTGATGGCCCCTCTCAGCCAATCTCCTGAGAAAGCTGGCTTGACTTATCTGTTAGGCCTTGCTAAATCCATTGGTCAAACCAACACATTTACTAAATTCAGAAATTATGCGGAGAACCTGGCACCTAGGAATTTTAGGAGATTCTTGCCCCCTGCCAACCCATAACAATATTATAACTGCTGGGTGTGATGCACATGTAGGTCCAGCAGGACCCAGATTAACACTAATATAACGTTGGAATTCTCATTCCACCATAATAAAAACAGTGCCATTTTTTTACATGTTTATTCTCTGTTGCATGTATTGCATCGTAATACTCAGGAGTAGATCTGGGGAGGAGAGGGAGAAGTTCCATTGAAGAAGTGGAAGTCCTTGTGCAAATGAAATGGATTTGTTGGATTCAATCCTGTGGGCTTTTACATATCTAAAGACGTGGTACTACTAGGTTAGCAACTTCACAGGCAGAACTATAGCGTTTCAAGATCCTTTCTTAGCTCTCCCTGCTTTTGTTTTTATGAGAAAAGACATTAACAATACCCAGTTTATAGTAATTTACATAGTGAGTAAAGTTTATTTTAAAGTGGCTGCAATCCTGTGCCTGTTGAATTTTGCTAGTGCTGAAGATTCTGGTTGTGATATATAGAAAGATGCTGTCTTTATTTATTTTACTCTAGTGAACAAAAAGCAGAAAAACAAACAGACAAAATTGGTTCAGCTTCAAGGTTAGTTTTTAAAAAGAGAGATGAAAAAGGATCTGTATTATGTCTGACAGAACACTGTTCTTTTATTGCAGAATTGTTCGATATTGGAAGACACTTGCGATGAAATATCTCTAACAACACCTAGGATATGTGTGGACGAGCCTGATTTTGAAAGCAGCTTTCCCCCCAGTGCCGAAATTTGGGCCTCATTTTTTTTTTTAAAAAAAGAGCTACATATCTGGGGTCTCGCTTTGCAATCATACGTATTATCTCCAATTCATATGCACTCCAGCACCTCGATCAGTTCTTTGTTCTCCTTCACCAGCCCGGCTGTGAAGAGACTGCTGGGCTGGAAGCAAGGAGATGAAGAGGAGAAGTGGGCGGAAAAGGCTGTTGACTCCTTGGTGAAGAAGCTAAAGAAGAAGAAGGGAGCCATGGAGGAACTGGAGAGGGCGCTCAGCTGCCCCGGGCAGCCCAGCAAGTGTGTGACAATCCCGCGGTCTTTGGATGGGCGGTTGCAAGTGTCTCATCGCAAAGGGCTGCCCCATGTCATCTACTGCAGAGTGTGGCGCTGGCCTGACCTGCAGTCTCACCATGAACTGAAAGCACTGGAATGTTGCGAGTTCCCGTTTGGCTCAAAGCAAAAAGAAGTGTGCATTAATCCTTACCATTATCGACGTGTGGAGACCCCAGGTAAGCAAGTCATCCCAATAAATTAAAAAAGTACGTATGTTTCAACAGTAATACCATAAACATAAAAACAAAAACATGGAGTGCCTATTATTGGATTGTCGGTTACAAAAAAGTAGCAGTAAGGTACATACATGATAAAGTTCATTGATTAATCTCCAGAGAGATACATGCGTTGTAACAACTGGGCTGACTTATGGATGTGACCATTGAACAAAGACCACTTGCCTAAAAATTGGTCTCTCTTCACCTGTCCATGAATAACTCTCTTGCATTGTGTCAAGCGTTCTGAAATTGCTTTTTCCCATACCCATGTGCACTGCGAAGGCAAAACAAGATTCCCCCCTGTTTCTCATTTGGCAGCTATCGCCATCTTGGCAACAGCTAAGAGAAAAGAGACTAGGGTTGGACATGGAAACGTAGGGTTAAAGTTGCTCTCAGGTGACAAAAGCGCTAATTTGGGATCCAAGATCAAACTATGATTATCAGAGAAATTTCAGAGAAAACATTTTGGATAGTAGATCCCAGAGCATTGCAACCTCTCCAGTCTAAAAATATTTTTTGATGCAAAGGCTACTGGTGCATTGGGTTTCATATTTTGTAAGAAATCTCATTATGAAACCATAAGAATAAGAGGAAAATATAGACTCCTTGATGAAGAAAGAAAACTGAATCAGTTTTCTACGTGAGAAATCTACCGTATTTTTCGTTCTATAGGACGCACATTTCCCCTTCCAAAAACTAAGGGGAAATGTGTGTGCGTCCTATAGAGCGAATGCAGGCTGCGCCGCTAAGCCCAAAGCCAGAACAGGAAGACGGAGCACCGCGGAGCGCTCCGTCTCGCTGTTCTGGCTTGGGAACAGCCTTGCTAGCTTCTGCAGGACAGCGGGGTGAAGGCACCCCGCTGCCCTGCAGAGGTTTGCGCGCAGCCCTCCCCAAGCTAGAGCAGCGAGACGGAGCCCTCCATCTCGCTGTTCTGGCTTGGGAACAGCCTTGCTAGCTTCTGCAGGACAGCGGGGTGAAGGCACCCCGCTGCCCTGCAGAGGTTTGCGCGCAGCCCTCCCCAAGCTAGAGCAGCGAGACGGAGCCCTCCGTCTCGCTGTTCTGGCTTGGGAACAGCCTTGCTAGCTTCTGCAGGACAGCGGGGTGAAGGCACCCCGCTGCCCTGCAGAGGTTTGCGCGCAGCCCTCCCTAAGCTAGAGCAGCGAGACGTATCCCTCCATCTCGATGTTCTGGATTGGGAACAGCCATGCTAGCTTCTGCAGGACAGCGGGGTGAAGGCACCCCGCTGCCCTGCAGAGGTTTGCGCGCAGCCCTCCCCAAGCTAGAGCAGCGAGACGGAGCCCTCCATCTCGCTGTTCTGGCTTGGGAACAGCCATGCTAGCTTCTGCAGGACAGCGGGGTGAAGGCAGCCCGCTGCCCTGCAGAGGTTTGTGCGCAGCCGTCCCCAAGCTAGAGCAGCGAGACGGAGCCCTCCATCTCCCTGTTCTGGCTTGGGAACAGCCTTGCTAGCTTCTGCAGGACAGCGGGGTGAAGGCAGCCCGCTGCCCTGCAGAGGTTTGTGCGCAGCCGTCCCCAAGCTAGAGCAGCGAGACGGAGCCCTCCATCTCCCTGTTCTGGCTTGGGAACAGCCTTGCTAGCTTCTGCAGGACAGCGGGGTGAAGGCAGCCCGCTGCCCTGCAGAGGCTTGGCGCAGCCGTCCCCAGCTAGAGCAGCGAGATGGAGGGCTCCGTCTCGCTGTTCTAGCTTGGGGATGGCTGCGCACAAACCTCTGCAGGGCAGCGGGGCGCTGTGCTCCAAAGGCTTCAGGGATCTTTGAGGCTGGCGGTGGGGGAAAACAGCGCTTCCCCCCACCGCCAGCCCCACAAGCTCTGGTGAATGTACCTTGAACGCACCTTGTTTTGGAGGGGGAGAACAAGAAAAAAAATCTTTTTCCCTGTTCTCCCCCTCCTATGATCCGGTGCGTCCTATGGTCCGGTGCGTCCAATGGAGCGAAAAATACGGTACATTGCTGTTTTTAACCAGGAACCAAGTTCTGCTGCTTCAGGATAGAAACAGCCTTGTTAAATCTTGTGATGAATCTGACTAAACATGGGTTGGAAGTAATCTTAAAGGCTACTTTGTGACAGTGGTAGCAATCAAACATCATAGTTTTTAAAAAGCCATCAGGTGAAATAAGCTGTGTCAGTACGAATTTTTTGGCTGCTGTGATATGTTGCGATACAGCATTTGTTTTTATTTATGGGGTTTATTCTGTTTAAGTGTGTGAGCCAAGTTCAGAGTCACTGATGAGAAGGCAAAATTTTATTTTTATTTATTGATTTGTTTCTTTGTTTTAAATACCCTGCCCTTCCTCCTGATTGGAGCCCAGGGCAGCTAACAACAGTCTTTTGCAACCTTGCAAATATACAGAATCATAAAACAATTGAAATTGAACAAATTCATACCAATTCTGAAACATCCTGTAAAAATGTAATAATAGGAGGAGAAATACATGATTAATTTTCCAAAATAAAGGGGAGACTAGATGAGATGCTGGAGATCTGTGATTATATCTGCCATACGTTGCATTTTTTTAAAAAGTCAAGAATTTGGGGTTGGATTGGGACCACTACACTGGGGAGGTGAGATTCAACCATTCTCCTCCGCTCTCTCAGTGTAAATCACACACCAGGTTATATTTGCGCAGTTAGAACAGTGCTGTGGTCATGTAATGAAATAATTTGCAACTCAGCTCATAATGCTCTGTGTAGTTACAGAGCTACCCTAAATTGGTCAGATGTGCCATGGCAAATTTGGATTGTGCTTCTGTTCTGCACTGAATGAAGCAGACAAATGATTGCTTTACCTCAAGTGCAGCTTGGCACAGTGGAACTCAACTTACTTTGCTGCTGTGGTTTTGCAAACTCTTGTCTCCTCCTCCAAGCACTGCCCTAAAGTCACAAAAGAAGCTATTGTGGTAGTGGATTCCTGGAATGTAGGTGCCCTTAATTGCATTTCCTGCTCCAAAGGTTTCTCTCTCCTTGTGGTTCTTGCTCATATTTGTACTTGTCCAGGGTGCTGAAACTTCAGAAGGTGGTTTTTTTAAAAGCTTCTTTCTTAAAGCCATACTAGATGCTATGCAAGGAATAATTCATCAGTCACCCAATACGTAGGTATCCATTGAAAAGCACTCCTAGGGCATGGACTGGTTAACCCTTTGCTGGGGTACCCTGACACCATTTACCCAATCTATGTCCTCCCAGCTGCTTTTTGCCTCGCTGGTACCGTGGAAGCTCATGGGAATTCACGACAGGATGTTGTAGGAGGAAGCACAGGAAAACAAACAAGAGACATTTCATTAACAGAGCCTAAGGTGGTGGTTGTTTTTTGTCCTGCAGTATTGTCACACCTGCACTCTGAAAGGATTGGAAAATCCTGTTGATGATTTGGAGAGGATTAGGCCCCAAATGAGCTCACCTTCTCTCACATTGCTAAGATAATTGGGCTTTACCATGTTGGCCGGCCTCACCTTCTGAAACCAAGTACACAAGACTGGTTCAGGGATCAGCCTAACCTGAATGCTTCTGGAATTAGGCTCCTCTGCCAAGCAGTCAACAGCCTATGCTTTTGGTCTTCCTTGTTTTGCTAGTTCTTGCCCTTTCTTCTAAGAGGGCACTGGAGGGGCATAAGAGAGAAAGCATGGATTGTACCTGGTCTCTGAGACTATGGGCAGAGGCTGTGTCCAAATCTGGAAAAGATGTGCGTTTGAGTGTTACGAATCAATGAACGATGTGTATTTGTATATGGATCTTCAGCTACAGTCCTGGGAATTGGCCTCTAAAATGCTCAACCTGCTTTCCTGATTGCTTGCAGTTCTTGATTAGTCTCTACCAAAGTTATTTATGCACCTCATGTATCTGCTTTTTGGAATTTAACCTAAGTTCCTGTCTGGAAATATTTTTTAAAATTGAGATCTTCAACTAATATCTTTTTTAAAACATGATTAAAAAAACCCCTAATTTTGTGTAATCTGATATGTCCTATAGGTTGCACAGGATAGTGGGGAGGGAAATGGAGGCATTTGTTTCACTGCATAATTCTGACCCACCTAGGATGTTTTAACATCAAACATTAAAGGCATCCCAATAAGGCCTGCCTTCAGTTGTGTTTGGAAAGTTGTATGGTTGTTTATCTGTTTGACATCTGTTTAACTCAGCAATAAAATTGTCCACTCTTGAGTAAATTATATTGTTTACTTCCGTTTGACTGTGGCATTGCTCCAATGGACTTTCCACCAAAATAACAATAATTGCATCTGTTCTTATGGCAAGATGTGTTTTTGTCCTTCAGCCAATCTCTTCCATTGACTCACTTGCAGTGTAGTGCAGATATAGCCACAGAAAACCCCTTTCTTTTTTTCTTTCTTGCATTTATGTATCTTGAGTTTAAGATTATTCAATAAGATTCAAGTGGGGTGTGTGCTCAGGAAGCCCTGAACTGAGTCAGGCCATTGGTCCATTTGGCTTAGTATTGCCTACCCTGATTGGCAGAGGCACACCAGGGTCTGAGACAGGGGACACTTACCAGTTCTTAACTGGAGATTTGAGCCTGGGACCTTCTGCAAGTGGTTGTGATTTCTCTCTTTTAAATAATTTTTTTTTTTAAATTTCTGTTTTGCTGCAATCTGTGGCAGCAGCAACCGAGCTCTTCTGGGTGTCCATCCCCCCCCCCCAAAAAAAACCCATCCCCACTAAATGCCCCAAAATGACATTTCATCATAGCATAGCATCATGCCAAGGAGCCATGTGACTGCCACATTCCCCCATGGAAGGGCACTACAATGTTTTTCTTTCCTCCCAACCCCATTCCCTTTCATGTTGTGTATTTTAGGTTGTAATCCTGAGGGCAGGGACTGCCTTACCACTGATATATGTAAGTTGGGTGTTGCTGTTTAGTTTAGCAGCTTGGGTGTTGCTGAAGAGCAGGGGGGAAATGAATATTGTGTCCTATAATTATTTCAAACCTCCTTGCTAATACTGTTGCCATCACCTGGTAATCATAAATTTAATAATTATATTGGTCGATATGATGATTCATTCCTTGGATCCTTTCCTGGCTTGCCTAGTATTGTTCTCCTTCCTGGCCAACTGCAACTTCAGGGTCAGGTTGTGAATTAGATTGGGGAAAATAATTCAGGCAGGGAGACTTGAAAACACTTCTTCCAAGTCCCATACCCCTTTCTTAGTCAAATTAGCACTCCCTCTTCCCCATGGGTGTGTTTAGTTGGGTGGGGGAAAATGTTGGGAGAGATCAGTCATAGATCATAGATCTCCTGCCAGTGTTTCTCTAGACCCATGAGTCAACAAATCTTCTGTTCTCATGTATTTTTTATTACATCTGTTAATGGAGTTAACAATATGTCAGAAAGAAAGCATTATCATATTCTGGGGGTAATTCCATCTGGCCCTTGAGATTTATTGCCCTATAAAGATATAATAGTTTCTCTGACTCCTGTAATACTTGACCTTTCAAATTTCTGTCAACTTTTGGTAAATGTGGCATGGGTGGGTTTTTATTTTAAAGACCCCCTCCATTTGCGGTGGTGGGAAGGGGGCTTTTTCATGTATAATGGTAAAATTCTCCAAATATATGTGTGATTTCCCTAATCACAACCCTTATATTATTATTGTCATACAGTGGTCTTTGTTTCTGATGGGGTAGATCCAGTAGAGTTTCCTCTTGTGGTTGTTTTTTTGCTAGTGTGGAAGCCAGTTATTTCCCAGCCAGCCTCATTTCCCATTTTATATGTAGCATGTTTTTGCACATTTTCTCTATTTGTTGACCTGAAGTTTAGAATATTAATCGCATCACATTCATGATTTTAATTTTATCAGTTCATAGAACTTGGGAAACAGTAATTTACATTTTCTGAATAAATATATTAATTGGATACTTAGACTAAATATGTTTTGTTATTTGAGATATTGTACTCTATAATTTTTGTCTTTAAAATATGTATGCCAAGGTGATTCAGATACTGCATTGAAGCCTTGCTACTTGCACCACTGAAAATTCTGCGTAATTGTTTCTTTCTTTCTTTCTTTCTTTCTTTCTTTCTTTCTTCTCCCACCACCTGTGGTTTCTGAGATTTCAGTGTCTTTCGCCCACCAATTTTCAGACCTTTGCATTCTTAAGGACAAGGAATTTTCACAGGTCTCTACTTGTGAAATTCCTAATATGCACTCACAGGTTATTTAATTTCAATTTGCATGTCCTCCCCCCCTTCCAAGAATTACATATGTTCTTGCATGGAAGTTTGGTAACGTGACTGACATGCCAGATCTCAGGAGAGGCATAGCATGTAACTAGGGAGAGGTCGCAGTTCAGTGGTGTGGTGCGTGCTTTGCTGCAGGAGATCTCAGATTCAATCCCTGACGTCTCTTAAGTGAAAAGTTCAGGAGATTCGGGAGAGCTGCTTCCAGACTAATTGGGCAAGAGAAGCAAACGGGGAAACTGCCTGACACCAGTTTAAACTGTGCCCCTAACTGCTTTTAATGCCGCACATGTTTTCCCTCTTGTTCTTGCCTCCAGTGTTGCCTCCAGTTCTGGTTCCAAGACATAGTGAGTTCAACCCTCACCTCAGCCTCCTTGCCAAATTCCGGAATGCGTCTCTTCACAGTGAGCCACTGATGCCTCATAACGCGACCTACCCTGATTCTTTCCAGCATCCTCCATGCCCCCCTCTCCCGACGTCCCCCCACATGTTCTCTCAGTCCCCTAGCAGCATGAGCTACCCTGACTCCCCCGGAAGTTCCTCTACACCAGGAAGTCCTTATCAACTTACAGGTAAAAAATAAATAAGCGGCAGTCTCCCTGAACACGTTTCCAGTGATGATGAATGGGTCTACAGTGACTTCTCTTTTGGGGACAAGAGGGATGCAGGTGGCGCTATGGTCTAAAACACTGAGCCTCTTGGGCTTGCCGATCTGAAGGTCAGCAGTTCGAATCCCTGCAATGGAGTGAACTCCCGTTGCTCTGTCCCAGCTCCTGCCAACCTAGTAGTTCAAAAGCATGCCAGTGCAAGTAGATAAATAGGTACCACTGCGGCGGGAAGGTAAACGTGCGCTCTGGTTTCCGTTGCACCAGAAGCAGTTTAGTCATGCTGGCCACATGACCCAGAAAGCTGTCTGTGGATAAACACTGGCTCCCTCAGCCTGAAAGTTAGATGAGTGCTACAACCCCATAGTCCCCTTTGACTGGGCTTAACTGTCCAGGGGTCCTTTATCTTTTACCTTTTTGGGGACATGGAACTTTTGTGTGGTATTTGGTTCATACGAAAGTGTACAGTCCGTACAATTTTGGTGCTGGCAGTTGTATTACTTTCATCATTTCATGAGATGTGCACTGTTGAAATGTTTACAATGGAATCTTGGGCCCTGCATCTGATCCTTCATCTGAAACAAAACCCCTTGAAAATCCATCTTAATTTGCATGAGACACGGATTCAGTTTAAGTCAGAAGGTTTTGGTCCTTCTCCAGTGAACCTAAACTAGTCAGTTAATGAAATGGCAGGCCCAGTAGCTTTCTCCTTTTCTTTCCCCCCTCTCTAGTCGAAACACCACCTCCGCCTTACAATGTGAGAGAAACGCCAGGAAACCACCATGGACGCTCTATACATGCAACCGCAGAGAATCAGTTAGTCCTGTCATTGCCCAATGGAGGTAAATCTGCCGATGGAGAACCTGAAAGTATGTAAATACTTGTATTGTTTTCTAGGGGGAAATGACCTGAGCTATGCCTGATTTATAGGCCTGTGACAGGAAAAAAGAAATCAAATCCTTAACCTGGATTAAAAGTGATGCTTAACAAAATTGCTTCCAGTGCTGAACCACTAGAATACAGTATTATTGGAACGGTTCTAATTGATGTGGCTGGAACATTGGTAAACTAGCTAGTTGTTTGAAGGCTACCTCTGAGCTTAGATAACAGCCATTAGGCTGATAAATGAAAACCCAAGGAAGCAGAAACATTCTAGTCCATATTCAAGTCGTGCTTTCTATGTATGTGACAACCAGTGATCCCACCAACTCCAGGGCTGCATGAGGCACTTCTTTCCACTCTAAAGCATTTTTTTTTAATCTCCACAGACTAAGGCAGATTAGACCACTATTCCATTGGTTAGTATCTGATAGGCCTGTTGGCCTATCCAAAGAGCCCTTATAGGCATGCTGCTGTTGAGACACCCCATATTTTCCAAATCTGTTTGCCATGCAGCAGCATGAGGCAAACATAATCCGAAATCCCACTTCAGCAGGTAAGGAAGTGAAGCCGCGCAGCATCCTTTGGCAGTGAATTTTCCAGGATATTGCCCAAATCACTTTTCTTTGACTTAAACCTACTGCCTATCAGTTTTATTGCAAAAGCTGTGAGAGCTTACATTTTGAGAGAGCAAAGAATAACTCCACTACCCGCTGCTTTCCAAATCAATGTGTGTGCCACCTCCTGCCCTGTAAGCTAAAACACTTTGCTTTCCATGTTCCTGATTACAGCTGCGGTTTTGTAAACGAAGTCCATTTTTTATTTTTTGATAAAGTGAAGGTTAATTAATGCATTTGTCCTTTTCTGAACTTACCATCTCTAACATTGTTTTTGAGATAAGACAGTCGGAACTGCTTACAATATTTGATATATGGAAGTTTGAAGGCACCTGTTACTGTCTTGAGTTGCAGTGGTGAGTAAGGTTGCAGTCATCCTTCCTCAACACATAGGAGACAGGAGGTGCCAAAGTACACCTTGCTTTTTCATTTATCACCATATTATCACATCTGAAAAGAGGACATGCTAATGGTCTAGTTCTCCTTGGAACATCACACTTACAATGTGTAGCGGAAAGCAAATGCACTGGTGCCTGCTTACGTCTGCCATAAATCTTACCTTGTAATGTACAAAGCCACTCTAATGCTTTCTGTTCTAGCCTCTGTTCCTTTTCCAAAGGCTGCTCAAGTCGTGTTTGCCCTTTCCATTCCACAGCTCAGCAAGTGGATATTTTCAGGGTGCTTTGTGAACCCTTAGACCCCTTTCCTGAGTTGCTATAATTCAAATCAGAACAGAATTATTCCACCTGCTTCAGGACATGAGTTACTCCTTGTTTTTGCCATGTGGTAGGAGTGATAGTGACTTGCAGCCTTCAACTTGAGGCTGGTGGATTTGATGAATTGTCAGGCACTCTTTAGCAGTGTCAGAAGTGCACCGTACTTAATGGTGGGGCTGTCACCAATCAGAAAATAAAAGCAAAATATTTCATTTTATGAGCACAGAAGGATCAGATCCGCTTCTGGACAAATTTGCTGAATGCACATCATGCCATGTTAATCAGGGTAGAATCAGATGGCATGGTGGGGGCATAAAAGCTCACCTCATGGTGCCCAAACACTATCAAAAACTTTCCTCATAGGTCAGTTGCTCCACCCCCTTGATCAGTATCCCTTTTGTCATTTACTGCAGCCAGAACCAGTACCTTCCAGCTGTCTGAATAGACACTTAACAGTATTTTGGAATGATGTAGCTGGAAGATTAGGAAGAAAAGGAACTTGCCACGGAGGCAACTCCTGACAGCATATGTGACTAGACATACTGTTGTGAGGGAAGAGATGGCCCTGCCTCTTTTCTTCATTCTTGACTTTCCTTCCAGACTTCCGGCCCGTTTGCTATGAGGAGCCGCAGCACTGGTGTTCGGTAGCGTACTATGAACTCAACAACCGAGTTGGAGAGACTTTCCAGGCCTCTTCGCGAAGCATACTGATCGATGGCTTTACAGATCCGTCGAACAATAAGAACAGGTTCTGCCTTGGGCTGCTGTCTAACGTGAACAGGAATTCCACTATAGAAAACACCAGGAGGCACATAGGAAAGGGTGAGAGCAAGCCCCTTATTGCAGTGGTAGCAAATAATGTTTAGGACCGCAGGCAGCTCCCCATTTATGCTGGGGTTGCGTTCCAAGGCACCCAAAGATTGGGTTGTGCACTTGGATACGGGTCCTACACAAGGAGGTATGAAGAGCAGGCCACTCGGGAGCACTTTGTTTGCTTTCCAAAGAGTGAGAAGCCTGCAGCAAGTAGGCTCCTTCAAAACATTGGCGAGGAATGTCTGCCAAACTCCTTCTCCAAGTACAGATTTTTAGAATGGACTGTATTTTAAGACTATAATGTCTCTCTCTCAAAGAAAAGTGTCTTTTTTGTATTCTGTATATCACATAATGCACTGTTAAGCAAACAGTATACCATTTTGAATTGACAAATTTAATTGGTGAAGGAGACTACATCAGGGTCTACTGCAGGCAGACTATGCCCCCCCACCCCTAATTTTACATGTACCCAGTCAGATGGGTGGGGTATATCAAAATAATAATAATAGTAATAGTGTTCCATCTTTGGTTTTACTACTTACAAAACTGTAGACTGCCTTACGTGCCTTGGCAGAAAGGCGGCACATAAATGCAGTGAATGAATGAATAAATTTGCTTTTATCTATGTTGAAACCTTTCTGTTTTCTCCTCTCTCCCCCACCCCTCTTTTCAGGTGTCCACCTGTATTACGTGGGGGGAGAGGTGTACGCAGAGTGCGTGAGCGACAGCAGCATCTTTGTACAGAGCCGCAACTGCAACTACCAGCACGGCTTCCACCCTGCCACCGTCTGCAAGATCCCCAGCGGCTGCAGCCTGAAGATTTTCAACAACCAGCTCTTTGCCCAGTTGCTGGCCCAGTCCGTGAACCACGGCTTCGAGGTGGTGTATGAGCTGACCAAGATGTGCACCATCCGAATGAGCTTCGTCAAAGTAAGGACTCCTTCCTGTCTTCTCTACCCCCAACCTTACGGTTGTGAGCTGCCAATGTGGCAAGATTAATTGTCAGCGGAGCTTTTTTCGAACAGCAGCCAGCAAAGCAAGTTCTGCAATTCACAGACACGGGGGAGCAGGTGTTGCTTGCGTGAGGCGCTGCATGTTAGTTCCTTTCTACCCAACCTTCACGTAGGATTCAAGTCAGAGCGACTGGGGAAATTGCCACATGCCTCTGTAATTTGTCAAGGTGGCCCCTCCTATTCCTGGCCATAGTTATTGGAAGGCAGGCAAGGAAACGTGGGTGGCTTTTGTTCACCCACGTAATAGCCACATCTGCACACTCTTCTGTGGCAATCTTCTGGTCTAATTATACACAAGGACATCTAGTTATTCAGTCTGCTTATTTGGGTGAACAGCCTGTACTAATCGGATACTCCTGATATTTACCTAGAATCCTTTGAAAGGCTTCTAGTATCTTAATCATATAAGCTGGTGGCACACCAGGTTTGTATATAAAGGGTAGCCCATGGGGCCCAGTGAAGCAAAACCAGTGTGTTTTGTGACTTGGGCATTTTTGTTGTTGTTGTTTAGTCGTTTAGTCGTGTCCGACTCTTCGTGACCCCATGGACCAGAGCACGCCAGGCACTCCTATCTTCTGCTGCCTCCCGTAGCTTGGTGAAACTCGTGTTCGTAGCTTCGAGAACACTGTCCAACCATCTCGTCCTCTGTCGTCCCCTTCTCCTTCTACCCTCCATCTTTCCCAACATCAGGGTCTTTTCCAGAGAGTCTTCTCTTCTCATGAGGTGGTCAAAGTATTGGAGCCTCAGCTTCACGATCTGTCCTTCCAGTGAGCACTCAGGGCTGATTTCCTTCAGAATGGATAGGTTTGATCTTCTTGCAGTCCATGGGACTCTCAAGAGTCTCCTCCAGCACCATAATTCAAAAGCATCAATTCTTTGGCGATCAACCTTCTTTATGGTCCAGCTCTCACTTCCATACATCACTACTGGGAAAACCATAGGTTTAACAATACGGACCTTTGTCGGCAAGGTGATGTCTCTGCTTTTTAAGATGCTGTCTAGGTTTGTCATTGCTTTTCTCCCAAAAAGCAGGCATCTTTTAATTTCATGACTGCTATCACCATCTGAAGTGATCATGGAACGCAAGAAAGTAAAATCTCTTACTGCCTCCATTTCTTCCCCTTCTATTAGCCAGGAGGTGATGGGACCAGTGGTCATGATCTTCGTTTTTTTGATGTTGAGCTTAGTCACCTTTAATATACTTGTCAGTGTTTTTAAACTACCAGCAGAGGGGGTTAAAGAACCACTTAATGAACCAAGAATCTGATGGGCGCCAGGTTGTGTCAGACACGGTTTCATTCATATAAAGTCAGACGTGAGCATTATGCAGCATAACAGATGGCGTCTCTCTCTCTCTCTCTCTCTCTCTCTCTCTCTCTCTCTCTCTCTCCAAAGTCTGATTTCTTCCTTCCGCCACCTCTGTATCCTATTACGGCTTGTGATTGACATGTTGCAACTTAGTAACAAATAGAAGAGCCTTAAAACAAAGATTTTGGGTGATTTACATAGGAGTGATTACCTGGCATTAATGTACACATTTAAAACTATAAATATGTTCAAGGTTTGCGCCTTACACCAAAACAAGGTAAGAGAAAATATTCGCTTAAGTGGGTCACAAATCTTATCTCTCTTCCTCTGATAATATATGCCTTATGAATGAAAATTTCTGCTTTTGTGATGGGTGATGATTTGTCACTGAGTGATAGTTTGCCTGTGTGAAACAGCTACTCACAATCTTATCGTCTCCAAGCACAGTGCTGCTCAGTGAATGCAGTTCATATGTTCATTTGTGAGTCATTCAGGTGTGAATTGGGCCTCTGTAAGTTCAGAAACCATCCTCAAAGCAAGTGCATTTGAGCTACAGACCTTTAGCATCCTAGATAATGACCTAAAAGAGTGTAAAATCTGTTCAAAATTGAGACAATGCAGTGGAGCTTTTTGCTTTACTGCAGATTTGTCTGTGATCAGTTTCCTTGAATGAACAAATTTATCTTGCTGCAATTAATTTTATAATTTATTGTTCAGCCATTGGCCATCACAACCTTCTACTGCTACAATTTGATCTTCCTTGATGGAAAGAAGAATAAGATGGCAAATACCATGTGAGTGTTTGGTGTTTTTTAAAAATCCTTTGGCATTTGTTCCTCTGTTTTGTAGGGCTGGGGAGCAGAGTATCATCGGCAGGACGTCACGAGTACTCCGTGCTGGATCGAGATCCACCTGCATGGACCATTGCAATGGCTAGATAAGGTGCTGACGCAGATGGGTTCACCTCATAACCCAATCTCCTCCGTTTCTTAAGAATCCTCTACCAACCACCTATGGGATGCAGAACTTTCTCACCTTGCAGCCAACCTAAATTTCTGTATGTAGCTGTAAATATATGAAGGTTTATGTATATAGTATATTGTTGGTGGATTTTTGTCATGCTATGTTCAGTGTTTTTCAGTTCATAAGATGGTTGTACGATCTGTTGTGTTGCTGCCTGCTGACAAAGGTATTGATGTTTGGGTTTAGCAGGCCAGTTTGTGGTTAATGGAATAAGACCAGTGTTATTTGTATTCTTAAAAAATAAATAAATAATAATTTAATGAAATTATGCACTAAGCAAAGTTAAATTCTACAGGCCCATATGCATTTTGCAAATCAAGCAAAGTTGGCTCGTAAAAACCTTGCTAGAATAGATGAAGCTCCATCTAGTCGACTTTCTGCAATAGCCTCTGGAAGCTCAGGAGTGGACAGCTTTGAATACCCTCTGTTTTGCCCCTGGCAGGCAGTACTCAACACGAAATCTGATTGCAGAGGTTCCATTTATTTATCACAAATAAATAGCATTTGCAGGCCTGCCTTCCATTAAATGGCCTATTTGTCATTATTTGGGGTAATTTATTGCACCTTTGTCAGTCATGGGAAGGGAGCAAAACTATGCTTGGCAAGGAAACCCCACCCGCCAATCTCATAGAAGTTGTGCCGATTCTTCACACAAACGCAGCACTGTTCCCGAGTTTTCAACCATGCTGTGCCCATGTCATTTGAAGCCTCAAGTTTTAAAATTTGCTTTTCAAAAGGAGGATGGCCAGTGCTGGAACTATGTGTTAAACTAAACAGATGGCTGGTGCTCACACATTTAATTCTCACCTCCCATGCCGGGGTTTATTTGTTTGATTTTTTTCATGCGATGTATTATGTCTATTTAGTTAAGAAGACAGTAGTGTGACCAGTAATGTCCCTAGAACAATTGTCCTAATACGCTTGGCCCAGGGCCCCACATCATCCAAGGCACATGCAGCCCCTGCTGAATACAGCCAGTGTTTTTAGTTCTTCCCCCTGAAGTGTTGTCTAGGTCAACGTTCCTGTGTCATAGCATCAAGAAATTCTGCAACTCCTCCTCCACACCCTCTTTGTTTATGTGTGTGGTGGGGGACATGCACCATCATGAAACCAGGACAAACACTCAGTACTGGGTGTTAATGGGTTTATACATTTTCTTTAATGCCCTAAATCAGTGGTTCTCAACCTGTGGGTCCCCAGATGTTGCTGGACTACAACTCCCATCATCTCTGAGCTCTGGCCTTGCTAGCTAGGGGTGATGGGAGTTGTAGTTCAACAACATCTGGGGACCCACAGGTAGAGAAAGGCTGCCCTAAATGTTTCTGGTAACTGCTTCTTGCTTACTGTAATATGTAGCTCCTTCCTTGAATTCTCTAGTTAACTTTTTTCACATAAAATGTCCAATTCTGCATTTTTGTGTATGTGAAAGGGAGAATTAACATAATAGTGAAATGCAAAAGATTTAAAAGGCTGTAATTGAGGGGTGGGCAGAAAGTAGATTAGGATCTGCTAATAGATCTTGGGGCGATAGGCAGTAGATCAACAAGGGACATGGAGAAAGCTAACAAGGAGTAGACTTTTATGGGAAAGGACTGCAAGCTCAGTTCATTTCTGGTACCTAAAACAAATTCCTGGGCTCAAAATGTGTTCAGACAGGAACTTGTGTTTTTTGCACCTGGCTCTGACTAGTAGATCATGGGGTTTTAGAAAAAAAGTAGCTCCGGCAACCCTGAAGTGTGGTTATCCCCTACCAGTGGGTAGGAGATACAGAGCCAGTGTGGTGTAGTGGTTAAGAGCGGTAGTCTCGTAATCTGGGGAACCGGGTTCGCGTCTCTGCTCCTCCACATGCAGCTGCTGGGTGACCTTGGGCTAGTCACACTTCTCTGAAGTCTCTCAGCCCCACTCACCTCACAGAGTGTTTGTTGTGGGGGAGGAAGGGAAAGGAGAATGTTAGCCGCTTTGAGACTCCTGATGGGGAGTGAAAGGCGGGATATCAAATCCAAACTCTTCTTCTCTTCTTCTATATTCATTTGTCACAGTCTATTATTTTTTTGCATTTCATTGTCAGTTAGCTACATCTTTCTGAATTGGACAGACTGCTCTTGCTACAAATATGCATCTCTGCTGCTCATCAGGATTTTGAGGGAATAGGAGAAACGAAACAAGATATCAAAATGTACACGAGTAGAAAAATAGATATGGACAACATTTAATGGTGTCATATGAGTGCACCTCATTGACGTAGCATCTTCAGACAGGATTAGTTATACCTAGGATTGCTTGTCTCTACCTCAAAAAAAGTGCGCCTATATAAAGATGTTTAAAAAATGGCAGGATGCATATTGCTTTAAAAGATAGAAACTTCATCGTTTCCTGTGTTTGATGCAAACATGGAAGATTCTTTCTCTCACCAAACAGTATCTAGGTTACTTGTTTCACAGTCTAATTAGTGCAGGTTTGTTTTTGTTTTTTGGGTATCTTCTTACACTTGCTGCGCTAAGAATCAAATGAGTGTTCTTTTTGCACCTTCCAGAAGCTGTGTAGCACATGACAGCAGTGGTAATTAGGAGCACAGACTCTGAAATATCACTGAACTGCCAGCATCCTTAATTTTCAATGTTTCTAATAATGGACAGTTAATGACTATTAAATCATCCTTAGCTTCTAAGTCAGAGGCTCTGTTCAGCCACAAAGAGCAGAAGTAACTGAACCCAGCACATAGAAATAAACTAATTACTGCCACAGTGGGGGGGGGGGGGGGAGAGAGACGGGGACCAGACCATTTCCTTCAATATTCAGTTCCGGCTCTTCATATAGAAATGGCCCCTTTAAATAGTACTTTTTGTACCAAGTTATCAACCAGTATAACATTTATAGCCTTTCAATGTTCTCATAAATATGCCATCTGTTGAGATGTGCTGCCTGAAAGATTTAAAAGCCATTTACTAGAAAAGCTATTTATCGATGGCCAGTTTAAGGAAAAGTCATGTTTTGAGGCAGTTATGTGTGTCAACAATTCCAAACACATCGAAGCCTCTTGTGGAAAATCTTTTATCATTGTGGAGCTATGAGTGTCATTATTATTTTTTAATGTATCCTAGTGTTCAGGCCTGCCATTTTCCTATTAAGAAATTACGTGCAAAATAATTCTCACAGGAAGGTAGTGAATGAAGTGCTGCTAGTATTTTACTGGTGTTCATTGCATATTCCTAGTGAATATAAGGCGGCCTAATAGGCCTTTTATTCTCAGGTTTTAAGTTGCCTGCATGGCTCAGTGAACTAGCTTTGCTGGAGTAAAAAATTAAACTTGTCATGCATAAATGATGCAGGTAAAATGTTAATGATATCACAGGATAATGTTGGCTGGATCATGTGGTGGTGAAGCATAAACATTGTTTTATGAGTAATAAAGCAGAGGGCTTTTTTTCTTTCTTTTTTGCATTTGAAAAGATTGCTTACCTGCAGCTACCAGTAACCACAGCTAGCCACACACAGCTGGGATCGTTGGGTCAGAATATGTGCCCTTCATCCAGGTTTGAAACCTGTACACTGTAGAAATGAAGTGCTGAGCCACAGCCTTTGGGGCACACTCCCACATAATGAACTGCTGTGATCAGAAGCATCTCATCCCACTGCCTAAAATGAAGGATTCCTAGACAGAGATTACCAGACCATAGTTTTTAACCAAGAGGTAATTGTATCTGAAACGTTGTATGGAACAATGAGCATATGTCAGTTTTCATGGGCAGACCTGTACCATGAGTAAAGACAGGTTCTTCAACTAACTGCAAGGAGTTCTGTTGCATCGAGCCAAAAGTATAATCTAGTCCAGTATCTTGTTTCCAACTGTGATCCGGCAGATATTTCCAGGATGTCCTCAAAGGACATGAAGACAGTCTTCCTCTGTCGTTTGTTGCTGTTCAGAGACATACTGCCTTTAACCATACTGCTTTCATTCAACAGTACAGTTGGCAGTTTTGGACTCTGGGGAATGATCTCCTTGAGTGGGCTTTTTTTTTTTAAAAAAGCTAGCAATGCATGTTACTTACTTAAAGTGATCTTACCAGAGGGTCTCTTCAAAATGTGGTCAACCAGCCTTGTGTTGCACTTTCTGCTAATTTTGATGAGTGGAGCTCTGGCCTTTTGGCTCAGAGTCCTATGCTGAGTGCCCCGTGGCTAATAGTTGTTGATCACCCTATCCAAAGCATTTAAAAAAGCCATTTCTACAGTCCATCCCCTCGTGGTGTGGCAGCAAATGCTGTAGGTTAACTATCTGTGGAAATAGTACTTCATTTTGCCTAAGCCAATTGTGGGAACAAGCTCATGGTGAAAACCTTAAGAGATGCTTCTTAAGTCTTCCTCCCAAAGTCACAAATGTAGACATTAAAAGATGCATACTGGACTGCAATCATCACACTATATAGATTATTTCCTTTGGTTTATGTGAATTTTACAGTCAAATCCCATATTTGGATACTCAGAACTAAATCCCACTAAATTCAGTGGTGCTTACTCAGATATATACAAATAAAACTGCAGTCTTACGAATGGAACTTACTAAGCATAGTAAGCTCAGTCTAATAAAGCTTCCTGACTTATTCAAGGTTGTAATTAGTATCAGAAAAGCTTATTAAGGCTGCAGTTTTATACACAGCTGGAAGGCAATCCCAATTAACTACATGACACTTGCTTCCAAGTGGACATGTAGAAAATGTTACTATATAAATGTTCCTAACTTACCGAATAGAGGTTTTATTTTTTTCTTGTGCAACACTAATTTTCAAGAATATGTAATTTTATGCAATTTGACAATTTTCATCGACTTCATTTGAAACATTGTGAAATATGCATAAGTCAATCCTATATTGAATTATTCAATACTAAACCCATACATCTAACATGACAAGCAAAATTGCTTTGAGAATGTAGGAAATTGAGAAACGTTGCTCATAATGTGTATTTGTATAATTATTGTTTTGTAATTTATTAAATGCTGTGTGTGCCTGACTTTTCTGGGAGATTCTTTAGGCTGGCTGAGTGTGTAAACAACCATGCATCTGAATAGAGAAAGCATCCCTCTTAAGTAATCAATACCTTCACTGAACTGTTTCCAGGAATCCCTTTACTAATAACACCACAAAGGATTCTGCAGATCATATTTTCCATATGCTATACATTTGGGTGAGGAGCCAGAAAAGGCTGGTGCCTCCAGTAGGTGACCCAGAATCCTGGATGCACTAAATTGGTCAATTCAATCCCCTGAAGAGACACTGTACAAACACAAGCCAAAGAACAAATATCTCTCTCATCCTTGAAGACTTTGACTTAAGTTGTCCAAAATACTAAGGGGAAAAATAACTTTGCTAAGCATGGTATCAGGCTTACAATAAAACAGAGACACTTCTGTAGCTTATGCCCATAGCACTAAAGGAGGGGAAAGGACATTCTTGCATCGCTCTTCGGGAAATAGGGACTAGGTGAGCTTCCGCCCAGTCAGGCATTCTCCGCCTATTAGTGACCCTAAAATATAGCAAGTGCATAGGGTGAGAGCACTAACAACAGCAGCCAGTGTTTAATGGGCCCAATGAGGTACAGCTGCAGCTGTGGTTTGTAATGTTAATAGCTACCCAAATATAAAGAGACCATTATTGCTCCTTCAGACATTACCCTGTGGAGTATAGGTTTAAAAACAAAACACTGGATATTAATCTGTCTTGTGGATTTGGTGGTGCTTCCCTTACTATAACTTGAATCTAGACTGTTATTTGTGAATATTTTTAACGTGCAGAACATTTAATTGTTTCCCCTGATTTTGTCTCTCGACTGAGAGTAAAACAATCACAAATAAGGTGTAAATAAATTAATCAGTTACATATGACAGCTATCTGTAACAAATCCATCTTCCTTGTAGCAGAATTTCATTCCTGCCGCAGTATCCTTTGATTAGTAAACAACTATATACTGATAGATAATTGCCAGAGAGCTTATCTTCATTCAGGATATGAGATTTGTAACTATTTTGGAAGGTTTAAGTAGGTGTACTCAAGTATACATGATACTTATGAGTCCGAGTACATACTACTAACGTCTGATATTTAATCTAGAGAAGCAGGAAGAAACCACAATTCACTTTTTGGGTAAATTAAAGCATACTAACACCCCAGACATAAACTCACCTACCTATTCATGTGGCTTTGCAAAGGTTTCATTTTTGACACCCAATAGTCATAGTCCAAGTTGAATGTGAAATAGCGGCTGGAAAACAATGCAATATAAATTGTTCTCTCTGATTGGTTTCTTTCTGCAGTGTCCTCCATCACTATAACAGCCAGATCAAAAGCTGCTACAAGAAATGTTCTAGTTCTTGCAGACAGGTTGCAGCAGACAGCTCTACAATGTTGACTATAGTGCTCCTAAGTAACTTTGCCTCAGGAGTTTTAAGGGAGTAATCCCAACCTCTCTGAAAGCTGGCTTAGGGGCCTTGGGAAACAGAGAAAGTGCTGCTCCACCAGCAGGAACAGAGATACCTCTGTAAAATGAAATGCGGGAAGAAGTCCCCTAATATACCAATGCAAAGTTCCACCAACACAAAATGTTCTACCAATAGAGTAGGGGGAAACAGGTTATGTTAGGGGCAGCCATAAAGATGTGCCCAAAGCTCCTTTGTTTCCCAAACAAACAAACAAACAAATGGAGGGACACTACACCCTCACTGACTAAAGTGGAAAGGAGGAAGAAAAAATGTCCCTACCCACAGAAGAATGGCAGGGAAACTGATATGGCAGCTGCTATGCCCAAACACAGTCCTTTACACTTACCTAGAGATAAGCCCTATGGAATTCAGTAGGGCTTACTGTTGAGTGTTACACAATTGCAGTGTTAGTCTAACATTGTTTAACCCCAGAATTCAAAACCACTCTCAAATCTGTAAACAGGCGCTGAAAAGCTCTACTGTCACTGTGGGCAGTTAGACTAGTTGAGTAAAAAAGCAGATGTTTGTTTCCTATAGCTTCTTGTTTAAAGGCTGGCCAGTGAATAAATTTGACATGCTGTCAAGAACAACTTAATTTTGTTGGCTAGAATTGCCCTGCTGTACCAGTGATAAAATTTTGTCTTTACTGTTAATAAAGTTACTCTATAAATAAGTGCAGCAGCTTTATTTTCATGTCTAGAGTTGACAAATTTTTAGAAAGAAGTTTATTCCGTTTGAAAAGCAGTAACATACCAATAAATGGGTCAACAGCAGAATTAGAGTAGGAGCAACTCAGAACAAAATAAAATGGAGCTACAGAAGCAGAAGGGTGCCATTAAAGAGAAAATACAAAGAACTATAATGACAATTTGCTTATACCTTATCACTGTTGTTCAGAGGGTTGCTAAGGCCAAACTGGCCTCTCCATCTTTCGGAGCTGACACACTAACACCACCATCCGCAAATTTGCTTAATCCGCATGTAAAGTAATTTTGCTCTAGGACAGTATAGAACACAATTTATGACATTCATGTAGGCAAAGTAACAGGTAAGTTCTTCCTTATACCAAACACAAAGTATACTTTTCCACTCAAAGGCCCTAGTGAAAGATCGGTTCAATCCTTATCTTGTTTGTAGTGCTATAAAATTTCATTCTGAGGTGCATGAAGTCTTTATAATGACATTACTATATCTGTGCTTCAAGAGCCTCATCAAAACTTGTATACAAATTCAAACTCTTAATTTTCAAATTTACATGACAAGAGTAAACAGGTTTCTTGATAGTTCAGACGATCTGTTTAAATTCTGATAAACAGCTACTCCAAGTGAAGTGGCAATAAGGTGGCACTCAACAACAAACATAAAAAACAGCCCAATTCTTGTGTGTCCAGCATAAATGAACAAAATAGCTTTAGAATTCATATTCGTTTTCATACCTACTAATCATTTGGCAAGCTTGAATGTGCTCTTTTATTTCCCATTAACATTGCTACATACAAACCAAAAATATGCACCTGTCACTTAAGGGTGAACATGTCAAAAAGCAAGTACAACACATGAAGCTGGAACAACTCAGACTTCTCAAAAGAATTAATATAACAAAAGCTACTTGAACTGCATTATGGCTGAATTCATTAAACAGGCTTAAAAAAAAATGAATGAAAAATAGCTGCACATGGCACCAGTTCAGGGAAAAAAACCCTGGCCAGTTCACTCTCCATACTACCAATATGATGGTTGGCAGTAGTCATATTATTGGAAACAAATCCATACAAACCTAATTTGTAGTGAGATTTACATTGTTTCTATATCCATATAGATTAGCTACATTGACAGCCAGTGCTTCTTTCAGCATGATTTTTAGCACTGGTTATACCCCCCCCCCAAATAAAACACCATTTGTAAGAAACCTCAAAGCAGCTTACAAAAAAAGACAAGAAAATCAAGAAAAAAATACAATCCTCCTACAAAACATACAAAAGCTAACACACTAAAACATAATCACCTCAACTGTCTAAGCATCTGGGTGGGCTTGTCTAAACAAGAATGTTTTTAGCAGGCACTGAATGTACCCATAGCTTCCATGCACACAAGGGTTTGCCCATCAATTTCTTATGTATAGGACATTTGCTTCCATCTTTGCAGTTAATAGAGGTGTGTCTGTACAAATTAACTATTGCATGTTTGGAGTGCATATACTTCTCTAGGGCAGGGCACATCACTGTACACTATAGGTAAGAAGTATTCAATTGTATGTTCAAAAGAAAGGTTTATTTTAATCTTGTCAACTCGGTATGCCTAGCACCACTTCAAATATGATAATTGCATAATGATCCTCTCACATCTGTATTACAATTTTCAACTGAACTCTGAGGTATATATTTCCATCTATCTGACAGCTTCCAGACCAAGTACCCTTTTTATGTGCACATCTGATCTCAGATAGTCTCCTAATAAATGTTGTCTTTCCTAAAGCTTCTTTGCTTTGTTAGCTCCAAAGTTGCTTCTATTACGACACCTTGCACTAACTGTAGGAGATTGCAAGATTGCAAGGGGCATGTGGACAGAAATCCTCACTCAGTACAATGGGTTATATCAGGCATAGGCAAGCTCGGCCCTCCAGATGTTTTGGGACTACAATTCCCATCATCCCTGACCACTGGTCCTCTTAGGGATGATGGGAGTTGTAGTCCCAAAACATCTGGAGGGCCGAGTTTGCCTATGCCTAGTTATATGAAGTACAAGAGCAGTTTATCTTGTACGATACAATTGCAAGGTAGATAATGCCACTTTTGATGAGCTAAGATTAGCACTCCTAGCAAAATGCTGGAATATTTCATTCATATTTTACTGCACTAGACTCAGTTAGGTGCCCCATGATATAATAAATCTGACAAGGAAGGTTACTGTGAACAACAGTTAATTTCCTTCATGCAGAATTGAAAACTGCAAGTCAAGGTGAAAACATTTAATTTGCAAATGAAAGAACAGACAAGCGACATATCTTTTATATCTGGATCTCTCAACACAGCTTAGAGTTCTTTCTCTAAAAACAGTAGCCTAGAAAACACACACTTACTTCAGCTTATCAATAACTAGTCAGGAAATTGCTATGAAAGAACAGGACACCAATTATATACAATATGTACAGTTTTAAAATGCTTTAAAAATCTGATGTACAAAAGTTAACTTAAATGACATTTTTCAAAAAGTTTCAAAAAATCCTTGAACACGTTCAAAAATAGCCTGAAAATTACAAAGATACAAAACTGATACCTTAACGTATCCTTGTATGAACAATTTGTGTTCTTTAGTAAACAAGTCATTAAAAATATAAAATTAATATAAATAAGCTCAAATGGATGCCTCTTTATGAATCATGTCAGTAATATACTGCAATACTCACACTAATACTTAAATCATGTTTACAAAAATGCTCATGAAATTAATACCAACCGAGTATACATTATTTTATAATGCAATATAGAAACTGATCAACTAGATTGGCCAGAGTGTCAAATGTCACACCAGTGTTAGAATGGTGGGCCAAATCTTGCTGAACTTCCCTCACAAAGCTGTAAGCCCAGCATTCCCCTCTCCTACATCCCTGAGCAACAGAGGCTACTAGATTGGCTCAAAGTTTACAATTTAAAACTTCCATAGAAAGTAAGTATTGCTTTTTCAATGACTGTCATCGAAGAATAACTTTATGCAAGATATTAACAAATTTCACATAGTAAAACATTAAAATAATTAAATTGGTTTTTATTTGATCTATTAAATTTCTCTCTCCCAGAACACTAAAACTTGGCTTCCAAAATATTAACAGAAGGTTTCAGTGGACGGAGAGAAGATGTATCAAAGCTAACAAAAACAATTACAAATAAATAAATTCTGGGGGGGAAACCAAATAGGTTTTCTTACTTGTCCAATAGAAAGTAAAACCACAGCATAAAACAGCTAGAGCAGCTTGTAGGCCTCTGTTAGTCAACTTCTTTCCTTCATCCACCATTCCAACATGAAACTGAGCTGAGGGTATTTGAACTACATTCCTATCCTCACACTGGTGCTCCTGGAAACTGTTGCTGCCTTTGCTCCAATGCTTGTTGACTTAGTAGCTGCTGTCGTTTCTGGAGAAAATGTACAACTTCTGGACTTCTCAGAAGTGACTAAAAAAAGACAAAAGACACCAAATTAGGCAATGTCTGCAATCTTCCCCTTCCACACACCGAGTACAAGGTATGCAAGGATGTCTTAGAGCCAAAGTACACCTCCCACCTCCCACCATAATAGAGGTGGTGAGCATGCAACACACCTAACCAGGCACCAAAAGATAAGGCCCTCTGCTCTTCATTTGATGCATTCAGCATTCTCATGAGCTGGATTTAAGTTCTGCATGTAGGGCCTAAAAAAGTGGTACAGAGGATGTGCCAAGAGAAAACATGATCACTTATGTTCAACATATGAACGGCCTTTTTAAATATCATCATCATGATGCAGGAATCCTCTGGACACTTTCTATTTCAAAGGCCAGAAGCACTTACCAGTCTTTTGTGGTTCAACACTTGTTCCAAAAGTGTAGGTTTTGCTGGCCGATCACCAATGTTTCCTGTTCTTTGCTTTGATATGGAAACTGAACTTTCAGTGCAATCCTGACCACAAAAAGAAACAGAGGGGGGAAATGTACTTACTCTCACTAGAAAGCACTAATGGGAAGTTTCAATACAAGACTTCTCAATGACTTTTCCTGAAAAATTATGAACACAGTGCAATTTAGTGCTGACTACTGGGGAAGCTAAAAATTGCTTCCTTCCCTATCCTATTGATGGAAACAACTGAGTGGCAATTGGATACAACTCTCAGCTATTATTATGACACTGACACACAATTATCGTAAAGCAGATGATTAATAATGTTTCTTGGCAAGAGTAACTAACGACAGATTTACATTATAGCAGGGGTCGGCAAACTACAGTCTGGGGGCTGTAAATCCAGCCCGTGGACCCTGCTGCCCGCTCAGTCAGTCCCCGTGTGCTGTGGATGCCTCGCCGCACAGGGACTGACTTCCGTGACGCTGGCATGGCTTCTGGGTGGGCGGTGACGCTGGCGTAGCTTCAGATTGGCTGCGAAGCTCCTGCAGCCAATCCAAAGCTGTGGACAGCTCTGGGCAGGCGGCGATGCTGGTGTGGCTTTGGATTGGCTGCAGGAGGTTCCTCCAAAGCCTCGCTGCCCACGTGCTGAGGTAAACCCAGAGAGCCTGACGGGCGGCCAGCGGGTCTGGGCCACGCCATGGGCATCGTGACGGGTGCGTTGCAGGGCTTCAGTCAGAACTTGGGAGTGCCTGCTGGCCCGTGCCTGGCACTGCTGCTGGTGGCGCGCTTGGCAGCTGCGCTGGAGCAGCTGGACGGCAAGCTGCATGCTGCCTACCCGGTGCTCTGTGTGCGTGGCCTTGGACGATGGGCCACAGCATGTGGGCAGCGCCAAGACGCGCTCCTGAGTGCGTGCAGACTGTGTTCCTCCTCCAGGTCCAGAGGCAGCTGTGCGACCGGCTTGCAGGGTATTTATATTTTTCAAAATATAGTCCAGCCCTCCACAAGGTCTAAGGGGCAGTGGACTGGCCAGCTAATGAAAAAGTTTGCTGACCCATGCATTATACATTTAAATCAGCTAAAATTTGTTTTTAATCATGATGGCTGCCAAATAATGAATTCTGAGACAAAGGTAAAGAGCTCTAACAGAGATCTGTGACAAAAATGTCATAGCAGCCTTTAAAAATTCCCCACTTTGTTTCATGGAAGGCATGACAGATTGTTTCACATCAGTTCCAAGCTGGCTGTAATGTGTAGGTCGGACTCTGAAAAACTAAAAAATCAGAACACTTGTCAATGAGGAGACATGTTTTCAGTGTAATAATAGGCCCAAAACGATGGAACTCATTACCATTAGAAATCAGGCAGGCACTGCCCTTCCTAAACTTCGGGGTCCAAGTTAGCAACTGTTTTATTTCAGGGCGACTTTGCACCATTAATAATGTTGTTGTTGTTGTTGTTCAGGAAGTCTTTGCACCATTAATATTGTTGTTGTTAATTAAACTTCTACAAACCCTACATCCAAAGATCACAGGGCGGTTTGTAGTACAAAAACACAAAATATATAACGACAACAATAACAACAACACCCCCTGAGTGATGTACTCTGATGTTTTAATTTATGTTTTAAATATGTAGTATGGTTTTTTTAAGCTATTCTGATACGTGGTATTAAGTGACGCATAAATGTTTAAACAAATAAACAAAGAAAACTATGTGCAAGCTAACCTGTGGGCAAAGCACCAGTGCAGCAATGTTGTCACGGAGATGGTATATATATAAAAAATGCAACCACAAAAACGGCATTCTGAAGTTATTTCAGCACCTCAAAATATACTTAGTCTTAGAACAGGGGTGAGGAACCTGTGGTCCCCCAGGTGCTCACAGCCTCCCCCTGCCATCACAGGCAGCCAGCCAGCTGGTATAAGGAATGATCATTCTAGCCACGGTCCTGCCACATCTAGAAGGCCACAGGTTCCCATCCCTGAGTTGGTTGCTCATGTTCAAGGGCCAGTGATGTTACTACAGCTCCACTGCTGTGCATAAAGGGAAAGAACTCATTTTCCTGCTTTACACACCTCACGACAGAAAACAGCCTGCGTGTAGGTGCGACGAGGAAGAGGGATCAAGCTTGTTTTGTCCTTTTTCTGGAGCACTCATATCAATGGCTTCAAGTTACAGGAAAGGAGATTCTGACTAAACATAGGGAAACTTTCTGACAGTGAAGAGTTGTTCGAGAGCGGAACGGTCTCCCTCGGGAGGCTGCGGGTTCTCCTTCCTTGGAGGCTTTTAAGCGGAGGTCAGATGGATACTTGAGCTGGGAGTCCTGCCTTGAAGGGGGTTGGACTAGAGGACCTTTGGGGGTCCCTTCCTACTCTACGATTCTCTGATTCCCAGCATCCCAACTCCAGAAATAAGCTCTTTTCAGCGGCTTCCCCGTGCCCCTCTCCTCACCTCAATTCTCCCGCTGCCTCCGGGAGAGATCCCAGCTCCAGCCTGCGCGGCGGCGGCGGCGGCCGCAGCAGCAGCTGTGGCCGAGCAAGGGGCGCCTCCTCCTGCTCCGCCCCCGCCACTTCCAGCGCCCCCCAAGGCCTGGTCGCTCTTCTTGCGCTTGTACTTGTCCTTGTACATCTTGTTGCGGTGCCTCTTGCACATCCAGGGCTTGCGCTGCTTGGCCACTTGCGTGGTGGTCTCGCTGCAGCCTTTGTAGGTGCAGCTCTTGCAGCCGCCGCCGCCGCCTCCTCCCGACTGGGCGCCGCCCTCCTCCTCGTCGTCCAGATCCTCCAGGCCTCCGCCGGGGCTGCCGGCGCTGTCGCCTCCGCCCCCGTCGCCGTCCGCGTCGCCCGCCGCCGCCGGGCCCAGCTCGTAGAAGACCATGAGGCCCGAGGGCGCCTCCGAGGCCCCCCGCGACGGCGGCTGCTGCTGCGGCGGCTGCCGCACCACCTGGGGCTGCAGCAAGGCGCCCACCGCCTCCCCGTCCCCGCCGCAGGGCTGCATCACCAGCAGCGTGAGCGGCTGCGGCGGGGAGGGGGAAGGCGACGACGAGGAGAAAGCGGCCGAGCTGCCGCTCGTGTTCCCGGAAGGCTCCGTCCCTCCGGCAGGCCTCGCAGCCAGGGCCTCCCGCAGGGCCCCTCGGCTGCCACAGCAACGGCAAACGGGCGCCACGGGCCGGGCGCTGACAGGTTGCCGGCTACTACGCACGCGCGGCGAAGGCGGCGCGCACGCGACCTCACCGCCTCCTTTCCCCGGAAGCTCACTTAAGCGCGCAAGCGCAGAGGCGGCGGCGGCGGGGCTTCCTCGCTTGCGCGTGCGCGTTGCAGGCCCGACGTCGCGCGTGTTCAGAAAAGGCCGCTAGGGTAAGCGATCTCCTTTATGATATTGGAGTAGCGGGAAGATTCGTCGCGCGCACGCGCCGTCGTGTTGGCAGCCTGTTTGATGGGCGGCTGGGAGGCGAATGGGCTTCTAATAGCGGGTGGGGGGGAATCGCTTAGTCGGAAGTAAGTTCCACCAGCTTCAGTGTGTTTTTCTTCCCGGTTACAATGTAACAGTTCTAATCAATCAATCATTTTATTTGTATACCGTCTTTCCATAGTTCAAACCGTTCTCAAGGCGGCTTACAACATAAAAAAATTACATAACTGCAAATATAACAAAAGAAGTCATAAACAAAACATGAAAGTGCATGACCAGATTGAACAATTTCCACATAAATGGTAAAATCCAGAATAAAGATACTAAACATTAATTGCAACAACAGCAACACCTGCACAAAAAACAACAACCAAAAGAAAACACAACCCAAAAAACGCCCCAGCCCAAGAGCCCATTCAGCAGCTTTAGGTTTTGTAGCTGGAGTCCGTCAGGGACTTGGTGGGAAGCCTGGTGGGAAAAGGCCTGCAAGGCAGGGAGCAGTCTTCCAGGACTCACAGAACATATGGTTTCTTAAACAGATGCAAAGTTTACCCATCATGAGAAGAGAAAGTGAAAATGGGACTAGAGGAGTCTGTCCAAGCTGACTGCAGTGGAGAATGCACAAAAGTCTGAAAAAAAGCATAAGAAGTTCTGAAACCTCCTGAAATCTTGACACAGTTCAGCAGAGGTTGGGGGTGGCATCCAAACTTTGTAAAGGTTAAAGGACCCTTAGATGGTTTAGTCCAGTCAAAGGCAACTATGGGGTGCAGCGCTCATCTTTGTAACAATATAGAGCAGCAGGTTGGTGTCATAATGTTTCCTAAACTGTGGGTTCACTCCTGGGCAGAATATGTATCTTGTTGCATCACACCACAGAAGAGAATAGGCATGCTATATGTGTGTGAGTGTATAGAGATATAGTTACATAATTCTATTATATAACAGCTTTATCAAACAATGAATATAAAATTGAGTGGATCACACCTCAGTCAGTACACTACTTGGAAACGATCACGTGTCATCTTGTCTAACAGCAAACACTAGATGCATTATTTTGTTTAGAGAGCTCATGATTTGCTTTACGGCTTATGCATCTTAAAGTGGGCGAGAGGTTCTCCACCCCAGTTTTAAGGGTCAAAACTAGTTGGGCCTAGAAAGGCACTGGTAAGTAGTGCAGCTGGTATATAAATCCAACAGGATTTATATTCTGAACCGTATTGTGAACCAGCTAACCTTTCTAGATCTTCTTTCAAGGCAACCCCAAAGAGACTGTGTTGCAGTGGTGTAGTCTGCACATGATGGGAGCATCGGCCACTGTGGCAAGGTCAGCCCTCTCCAGATAGGGGTGCAGTTGACGTAACTGCCAAAGCTGGGATAAAGCTTTCCTGGTACTGAGAGTTATTCTACTGAAATCTGGCCACAGTTTTAAGAAACAAACAAACTTATTTTATCGTATGAGCTAGTCAAGTAGAGAGATGTCTTAGCACAGGCATCGCCAAACTCGGCCCTCCAGATGTTTTGGGACTTCAACTCCCATCATCCCTAGCTAACAGGACCAGTGGTCAGGGATGATGGGAATTGTAGTCCTAAAACATCTGGAGGGCCGAGTTTGGGGGTGCCTGTATTAGAACAATAGTAGAGCTTTGTGGATAGAATAACTTAGGTTCACCCTCAGCATCTCTAAGTTAAAGATCTCTACTTGAAATCAGGGAGAGAAACTTCAAGTCATTGTAGACTGACAATACCCAGCAAGAGGAGCCAATTTGCCTGTCTGAGTATAGAGCATATTCATAAGTGGCAAATTCCCTAGCCATAATTTATTATTTAAAAATTATCTGTAAATGGACTTTTGTGCTTTTTATCTTATTATATATTTTTTAAAAAATACACAAAGGAATTGGGGGTGAGTGGGTGGGTGTTCTATCAGATGTAGCTTTAAAAACGTCATTGTAAAGCAAGACTAAGAAATGTGTGCATCTAATGGCATGCTAACCTTACAGAAAAAAACCATCTAAATGCAAATTACCTTACAATTGTTGTACTATTATAAAAGGCTAAAAAAAAAAACCCACCAAAGATGACAATATGGGATTTTAAAATGCTGCTTTGCAAGATATGTGAAGATGTGATCATATACAATGTGAGGAGCATTTAGAACAGTTCTACATCACAATCCATTGCAGAGTCAAGGCACACCTAATAAACCCACTTATCAGTGCCTAACGTTGCACAGGATTGGGCTGTTAAAATTACATTTCACAAAGGATTTCGAAAGGCTCTTAATTCTACTGCTTCTAGAGGTAAATAAGAGCCACAAATCTAATACAAACCTTTGTTTAGCTTACAAGCAAGTGAAGGAATGGGTTTCCCAAACCCCAAAACTGACTGTGCAGGCAGTTTGAAACTGCACCAAAATCCCTATTTTTCCTTAGCTAAAATGCTTTAACTTGAGCTCTTGAGCCGAAACCCAGCTGTATAAAGCTGTGCTCAGAGCCCTCTCCTTTATCAGTTTGTGACAGCAAGTATGGCCTTCACTGTACCAGTAGAACAGAGAAGACACGTCTGTGCCTTATCTTACGTCCTGACCACAAAGACGCGCAGACCCAGTCTGGGAACAGCGCCAGAGTGTGTTCTTGGAGATGGTGACCTCTTGCTCCAAGATAAGAGTAGGAACAGGAAGATCCTTTTATGGTCAGAAGTATAGGAAGGAATACCCTTTTATGGTTAAGAGTGCCGGAGCAGGAACATATGTGATGTCAACCTGTGTGTACAAGCTGACGTGGCTGGATTCCTGGGGAAGGAGGGAAAGGGTGCCTGGAGGATATATATACTGCATGAAATTTCTCATTTCTTTGGACTTGCTGCGGACTGACCACGCAAGTGCCTTCTGCTATCCGAAGAGCAGAATAAACTCTTTCTTTGAACCAACCTCGGTGTCATTTGACTTCCTTCCTCCTGTCCGGGAGCCACGCAGACCCAATCGGTGAACTCCAATAAGGCTACACAAGATATATGCAGAGCCAAATATAACGTTTTGCTTTATTATGTGAAGTTATCACATGAAGCTGATTATGCTGGGGTAGGAAATTCGATCTGAATAGTGGGTTGTATCCCTCCCTCCCCCCAGCCCCTATGGGCCATTTTGCAGATGAGCAGGGCTACCCATCACCTTGGGTAGCATATGTCAAATTGCAATCTTTTGCCTAATGTTCATCACTTTATGCTTGTTTATGTTGAATTGCATTTGCCATTTTACTGCCCATTCACTCAGTCCGGAGAGGTCCTTTTTTGTTTTAAAGACCCTGAACAACTTCATATCATCAGCAAACATGGCTCCTTTACTGCTCACTAAGTCTAGAGTATCTGAAGAAGTGTGTATACACCCGAAAGCTCATACCTAGAAAGCTTATACTTAGTTGGTCTTCAAGGTGCTACTGGAACATCTTTCAATCTTTTTTAAAAAAACCTTTCATCATTGTTATTAAGTCTAGACAGTTAATGAACTAGTTAAAAAGCACATGTCCCAATACTGATCCGTGAGGGATTCCACTTTCTACATCTCTCCATCCGGAAAACAGCCCACTTATTCCTACTCTCTGCTTCCTGTCACGTAGCCAGTTCCTGATCCACACAAGGACTTCACTTCTTCTTTCATGCCTGCTATGCTTACTCAGGAATCTTTGGAGAGGTATGTTGTCAAAAGCTTTTTGAAAATGCACTGTGTCAATCAGATCACTTCTATGCTTGTTGACACTCTCAAACAATTCTAATAGGTTAGTGAGACAGGACTTACAGTACTCTTGCAGAAGTCATGATGGTCCCACTTCCGGAATAATTGTTCTACCTGCTTCTGTATGCAGGAATAACTTTCTGACAGCTGTTCAGCCATGGAACGGACTATCTCAGAAGGTGGTGGACTCTTTCATTGGTGGTTTTAAAGCAGAAGTTGGATGGCCATCTGCCAGGGATTCTTTAGCTGTGATTCTTGCATTACAGAGGGTTAGCCTGGATGACCTTTAGGCTCCCTTCCAAATCTACAATTCTATGATTCTATAGTTATTCTATTTTAACAATATTTTCCTACAGCTTTCCAGTGCCAATTCTCAGGGAATTCTACCTTCCACATCCCTCCATTGAAAGAACAGTCCATTTAGTCCTGCTTTCTGATATTTAACCAGTTACTGAGGTTCACCAGTTAACCAGGACCTCGCCTCTTATTTCAGGACTGCTAAGCATATCAAATCTAAAACCTCAGTATCTTGCAGAAGGAATCTAATTTCTGCTACTGCATTTGGCTCCCAAGTGCTCCCACTGTGCTGTTACCCCAGACAGCTGAATTGCATTTGCTCTTCCTGCTTAAAAAATCACTGCAATATGTGTAAAACACAACTATGCCCCCTGATTACATATCAAAACAGTATCATTTGCCATTCTGGATTTTTATTTTCACCCAGTGATCATAATCTATCCTGGTTGTGCCATGTTTTATTCAGATCCGTATGGAAAACAACAATCAGAATAATTTTAGTATTTGAAAGACCTTCATGAATGCTAGTGACATCATGCTTGATCTTTCTAATGAACCCACCACTTAGCTGTCTCATGAAAGAATTTTTTTCCAAACAAGAAACTGTTACTGCTGAAGGGAGAATTCTTCCAAACCAGAAACTAACAATAGAAGCCAGCAAGTGGTCCCAGATTGTGTCTTAGCTTTTGTGCCAGGTAATTAAAGCTCTTTAAGGAGTCTTTTCCAGCTGAGACCTGTAAAGAACTAGATATCCTTCTGATTCATTAAATTAAGAAAGGGCCTTCAAATAATGGCCTTTAAAATGTCAGAAGGCAACTTAGCATAACACTCGACTGGCACAACATCATGCACTGAAGTTTTTCTTTGAAGTAATTTGATGGAATACATATTTCTTTTGTTTCCTGCAATCACAACAACGGCACATTGTGTATCATGCAGTTACAATTTTTGGAAAAGAGAAATATGAGTGTGCCTAAATCATTCTGCCATTGTGCAGTGGTTGAATACCTGCTTTGCAAACAGAAACCCCAGGTTTATTAAGTGTTGAGCATCACCAATAATTAAAATATTGTGCAGCATGACTGGGAAAAACACATCCCTGACACACTACAAAGCTGCTTCCAAAAGCAGTAGTCCATTATGAGCTGTGCAGACCTATGGTCTAACTCAGTATAAGATTGCTTCACATGGCTTATTTTAAAGCACTGTTGAAGGATTTCTGCAATAAAGTATGTGAAGCATCTTGAGGACGTTATTATTACTTACAATTTCTATCCCAACAGAGCTCAGGATAGCAAACACACCATGAAGTTAAAACAAAATCATAGAATTGTAGAGTTGGAATAGGTCTACGAAGGTCATCTAGTCCAACCCCCTGCAGTGCAGGAATCTTTTTGCCCAACATGGGGCTTGAACCCATGACCCAGAGATTAAGAGTCTCATGCTCATCCCACTGAGCTAAAAACATATTTAAAACCATTTTTAAAACCCCATCTAAAAGCATTTCAAAAATTTTGGAACATTTGAAAACTTTTTAAAGCAATCACATAGCCTCACAGTTGATAATTCCAATGTTGCTGGTTATATTTCAGCCATCAAATACCTGAGTAAGCAGGAATGTTTTTAAATTTCTCCTGAAAGGCAATAATGAGAGAGACAAGACGCAAACTCCATGCCCATCATGGAGGGCATTCCAAAGGTGGGGAACTGCCACAGAGAGGACCCTGTCTCAATAATTAGAGGTAGTTTTATTAGACAGAATTATAACAAAATGTGCTGCCTTCATTGCTGGACACAGTTGGCATCTGAATCCCAGTTTCTGGGACTCGCAGTGGCGACTTCTGTTATGCTCAAGTTATGTTTACAGGCTTCCCATGGGCATCTGTTTGGCCACTGTGAGGACAGGGTGCTGGACCAGATGGGCCATTGGCCTGGTCCACCTGGTAGTTCTTCTTATGTTCTTAATATAGCAACTGTTATGTACTGAGTTGAATAGGATCCAACTGCAGCAGTCTGATTGGTCCTAGAACAATAGGATTCAGAATGCAGCAGTCTGATTGGTTGGCAGGAACCACCCAATCATTCTCCAGATAGAAGCGAATCCACAACCTGATTGGCTTACAGTAGAATTCCGGAATTAGCCAGTCATGTGCAGCCCATTGTGTAAATAATGTATATAAAGCAGATACTTTGAGGGGACATTCATTCATTCCTCCTCACCACTATGAGCTGAATAAAGAGCATGAAATCACTTTGCGACTCTGAGTATATTTCAGCAACTGTCAGGGAATAGTCTGGATATGAAGATTGGGGAATGCAGTCGCTGGCAGATCAGCTTCTCTCAGAAGAGGAGGGGGAATATTCCCCCCTCCTGCCACCTCCAGTGTTTTCAGAAGCAGAGAGAGAGCCAGACACAGACACAGAACCTGAACAGCTTAGAAAGGAGTTACCCAGCTACGAGATAGTGACAAGGGAACCAGAAGGGAGGGGACAGCCAGGAGAGATGTCAGTCGAGAGTGTGGGGGACCCCCTTCCTCACCATGGACTCGGAGGTCTGAACATATCAGAGAACAAAGGAGGCATAGGGAGGGAGGAACTTCCCATTGGCGCCTGTCTTGCTGCAGAAGGAAGTTGGAAGGAGGATTTAGAGTAGGCAACTGCCCTTCTTGCAGAGAGCTGTGTATTTGTGCTCACAACATGAAGCTGTAATAAAAAGGACTATCAATCTATCAACGGCTCATTAATTCTTATCTGTGAAGTTACTGAAGTGAGGGGAGGACTCTCCAAGCTTGACAGCAACTGGCATTGCACCAGTAGAATACTTTCAACAGTTGTCTATCCTGATTGGCAGCAGTTCTCCAGCATCCCAGGCAGAAGTTCCTTCACATCACCAGTCACCTATTTCTCTTAACTCAGGGATGGGGAAGCTGTGGCCCTGCAGATGTTGAGAGTCCAACATCTGGAAAGCTGCAGGTTCTCTATCCCTGATTGAACTAGAGATGCCAAAGACCGAACTTGGGTCATACCACAAGGAAAGCGTAGGCTTTACCACTGAGCTGCTGTCAAAAAACAATCCTACCCTGCTCTTATAGTTCGAACTTTAAAAATATAAGCCTCCCAAGATCTAACAAGAGCACCTCAGTTTCCTTATATAGATGGGTCTGGTGTGGAAGCTGCCCTTTAGAGACTTGAACTAATGATCAGCTGTGAACTTAGCAATGCCCCAATTGTTCCACCTCCCACATTTACAGATCAGCATTGCTAGAGAATTGGATGGCTCAGTCCCAGCCAAGACACCTGCCCTTTAGTTTAGAACATCATAAATTACACAGTTAGATCGGGATGAGGTGGGAGGGAAGCAGAGAGGAAGAAACTAATTTGTAGCGTTTGCGGGATTTGTTGTAGCACACATCAAAGATGTACAATTGTTAGTTAAAATTGCTTCCATCTGCTCATTGTGGCTCTAAATATAAATTTGGTATTTCAACAAAATAATGCGATAATATGCTTTTCCTTTTTTTTTTCTTTTTTAGCAGTGGTGGGGGAGAGTGGATGGAATAATTGCACGGAAGCAGATACTGTGATTCTTGCAGCCCTATCAGTACCTAAGCAAAAGCCCATTTGAATCAATGGAACTTTCCCTGTTTCAAGATCTATAGGTAGAAATGGGGGGGGGGGTGGAGTGCTTAAGATAATAGACTGTGTAGACATTGCTGCCTTAAAACACTATTAGAATTTTCTCAATTTGGATCAAAGCTTGTTCTGGAGGAAACACATCAAAATGAGGTATTTCCAGAGGTGTAGCCGGGGTGGGGGGCGCTGCTGGGATGATTGCCCCAGGCACATTTGGAGGGGGGTCGTTTATGCTGCCCTCCCCAAACCAGCCCTGTGCTGCTTTGCAAGGCTGGGACCTGATTAGAAAAAGTTGCACAAATGGTGTTTTGCGATGCTAAGTTATTACAAGCAAGAAATCCTAAAATGCAGCTATCATGGAAGGGCGCTGCTCTTATGAATATTGCAGTGATTCCTGGTGTGTGGTGGTCGATTATAACCACTGATCATTTTCCCCTTTGGGGAACTTCCATGCTTTGAATATGTTCCTGCTGAGATTTTGCATAATAGCCATGGCAAATTAAAGCCATCCACTTTCAAATTCAGCTCACTCACAGATCGTGGTCTCTCACACTTTCATGGGTAGGAAAATGCATCTGAGCCAATGAAATACCCATCCCCAGAGGATTTCGCTTTTCCAGGACGCCATCTCTGAATAAAACACTTCATTAGCAAATGTGCTCTGTTCCACTGCCATCATCTGATCAGGGATTTTGAGCAAATGTCACAGCTGAAAGCAAAATCAACTACTGATGAAGAGGTAGCAGATTGGGTGGGAAACAAACAAACAAACAAATAAATAAATATGTAGGCCCTGAGACTTATGCTGTTATTGAAAAATATAAGTGAATAAAAGATACGTGTGTGTTTGTGTGTGTAAGGTAAAGGTAAAGGGACCCCTGACCGTTAGGTCCAGTCATGGCCGACTCTGGGGTTGCGCACTCATCTCGCTTTATTGGCTGAGTTCCGGGTCATGTGGCCAGCATGACTAAGCCACTTCTGGCAACCCAGAGCAGTGCACGGAAACACCGTTTACCCTCCCACCAGAGCGGTACCTATTTATCTACTTGCACTTTGACGTGCTTTCGAACTGCTAGGTTGGCAGGAGCAGGGACCGAGCAACGGGAGCTCACCCCATCGCGGGGATTCGAACCGCCGACCTTCTGATCGGCAAGTCCTAGGCTCAGTGGTTTAACCCACAGCGCCACCCGCATCCCTTGTTTGTGTGTGTAGGAATAAATAAATACTTCACATCTGCAAGGAGGAACCTTTTCTCCTGGAAGAAGATCCCGGCAGTAGTTCATGACAAGACTGTACCGTATTCTGAAATGAGCACATTGCTGAAATCAACTCATTGTGCAATTCATCATCTAAACTCCACAAATTTCCACTTTTCTGCCACAAATGTTCATTTCCCACAGACACTGTTTTGGAACATGTCCATCTGCCTTTAGAGTTAAAATATGAATTTTACCACTTTTTTTTTTAAGGCAGGAGATCCCTCACCCCAGCCTCATTACCATATCAAAGGCCTCTGCAGAATATGGAACAGCAGAAGTCCTAATGGGAAGAAGACTAGAGGCTTCAGAGCAATTGCATCTTCATGAAGCAGGCCTTCTGAATGGGATGCATGAAGTTCAGTATTATGGAGGGCGGCGGGCTGAAAAGGTTTATAACTCCGCAGGCTCATCTGTTAAATTACTCAGCAGAAAACCCCGTCAGCTTTCAAGTTGAAGGTGGAAAGGGGGAAAGATATATGACTTGAATAAAAAGTTAAATTGTATGTGTATTTGGAAAGGGCGAGGAAATACATGCAGTAAAGTTTTCTACTTTTGGGACGCTGGTCAGCACATCCTAATAAAATAGCTTTAACAAAGGCAGTCTCACTTCTGACTGTCAGGTGCCTCTTGAAGTCACTGAGGAATGTTTATATTGCTTTTAATGATGGGCTTTTGCTTTGTGTTGTTGTTGTTGTTGTTGTTGTTGTATACCACCCATCTTGATATGACGGTAAAGGAATACTTTAATAAACAGATAAAACAAACTACAGCTTTTTATGGCTTTGCCATCCTCCTTCTGTGACACACCCAAGCCATACCATCTTAGAGATCGACATTAAAGAGCCATTTGGCTGTGAACGTGGCCTCTGGCTTCTAGCAAATGCTGGCAGGCACCTACCTTGTCCTTTAGTAGGGCAGCCGCTTAGAAAGAAGAAATGCATCACTTAAAAAGAGGACAGAGATCTGCATAACACTTGTCATACAAATGCCATAAAATTTGCACATGCTGTTTTGTATGCTATTTTATATGCAAATCTAGACATAATAAGGGTAAACAGAACTATAATTCATCTCCCTGCAGTGGGGAACCTGTCTGTTGTCCAGGTGGGCCATTGTTAATGGCCAATTTAAAGACCACTGTTATGTTTCTCTATCTTTAAGCTGGACTTGGACCAGACAGCCCTTTGAATAGAGGACTGCCCTCTGACAGTGCTCCAGATAGAGGATTGTCTGCTGTAAAGTAGGACACTTGACCACTTTGTCATTCAGGAATTGCTGGAAACTACAAGAGGAGAGAGTATTCTTGTGCTTGAATCCTGCTTGCTGGTTTCCCACAGGTATCTGCCTGGGCACTGGGAGAACAAGTTGCTGGACTAGATGGGCCATTGGCATGATTCAGCAGACTCTTCTTAGAAATTGACATTGACTTCCCTGCCGGAGAAAGGATAGCTAGGAACAGTTTTTTTAAAAATTATTATTATTATTATTATTATTATTATTATTATTATTATTTTATTTATCTCCCGCCCATCTGGCCGGGCCTCCCCAGCCACTCTGGGTGGCTTCCAACAAAATATTAAAATACAGTAATGCATCAAACATTAAAAGCTTCCCTAAACAGGGCTGCCTTCAGATGTCTGCTAGTTGTTGTTCTCTTTGACATCTGGTGGGAGGGCGTTCCACAGGGCGGGTGCCACTACCGAGAAGGTCCTCTGCCTGGTTCCCTGTAACTTGGCTTCTCGCAGTGAGGGAACCGCCAGAAGGCCCTCGGTGCTGGACCTCAGTGTCCGCGTAGAACGATGGGGGTGGAGACGCTCCTTCAGATATACTGCACTGAGACCGTTTAGTGCTTTAAAGGTCAGCACCAACACTTTGAATTGTGCTCGGAAACATACTGGGAGCCAATGTAGGTCTTTCAAGACGGGTGTTATGTGGTCTTGGCAGCCGCTCCCAGTCACCAGTCTAGCTACCGCATTCTGGAGATTCTTGAAGTTACAGGAAAATCTCCCCTGTCTGAGAGGTCATGGTTAGAGTTGTTGTAGGTGCAGATCTGGCAGCTGTCAGTCAGGTCATGTTGCGCCTTCACAGCTCCCCCTTCTCAAGCACTTTTCTGATCCCTGATTCCTCCTCTCACCACAGACAGACAGACGGCTGTGCTTTCTGAAGTCTGCGGTACAAACACTGCTACACCATGGACCTGAGTGAGTCAGGGATGTGTGGCATTTTAAAAACACTTATGCATACATCAGGACTGACTTACCACATTTCAGAGAAAGTGAAGTAATGCATATTGCATATTCCCTGCAAGACTATTCATTCCATAATCTAAACATTAGCTAGAATAGGGCAAAGCCTAGATCTAAAAACAAATAATAAAACCTCAGTGCACTCATTGTGGTCCCTACGTCACTACTGGATAAAAACACAGGTTTAATAAAAGGAGCATATATGTCATTACTATACTCTTTATGCAAGATAATGCCACATCACCTCTAAGCATTCACTTAAACTACAAAGCTTATTCCAGATCACTTTGCAGTTGTTCACACCAAGATGACTTCATTCTAGGACAGGGAAATGACAATGCCAGGGGGGTAGGGCTCCCCACATCTTTATATTTATCGTTTTTTGTATGCTCTTTATTGAAATTCATGGGCTTTAGCTTCAGCTTACATCTGAAGTGATTGTTTAGCAGTAGTTCTTCCAGGAGTTTAGTCTCAAGATTGGAATTATGCAGAACTTTACCATCAGATTACAGAAGTAGATATTTTTACAGAAACCACTGACATGTTTTTTGTTAGCTCTGTTCTCAGCAGATGGCAGGGAAACTGGTGCAGTGCCACATGGTTGTAGTTTGCTTAAGTATTAACGTGCCAGATATTACCATGGACTGAATTTTATGAATCGGTTCGACTGTAGCACTCAGTCTCAGGGCCCCTCCTTGCTTTCCTTTCACAAACAGAGGTACGTTTGCATTTAGGTAACTCTAGACTCTGGACCAAAGGATTTTACCTTTTTTTTTTATCAGATTGTGGATTATTTCAATTACTTCCCATTGTGGTAAGCCAGACCTGCTGTGCTTATGCTTCGTCCTGTTCAAACTGCAGTTTACTTCCCGGCTTCCCAAAATGAAGTATCACAGTTGCAGCCACACACACACACACACACACGGCTTTCATTTCCTTTGATGGTTGGAAATGGCAGCACAGTGGGTTGGGCCCTCTGATGCTTCCCCAAGGAAGCCACTTTCTGGAAGGCCAAGTCCCTGTCGGTCGGGTGTTGCAACCAGTTCTGCAACCCCAGCCTCTCAGCAGCTTTTCACAGCAGGGAGCACTGCCATATTTCAGTAACAGAGGTATTTGGTTTCTTGACGCAGCCTTGTTTGGCTTTGTACAGCTGAGTGATATCTCAGTTCTGCTGAATATCAATGAGAAGCGATGCATGTGGGAAATCATGGTGTTTGTAACAGAAATGAAAATGTTCGCATTCTGTTTACCTTCTACTCAAAGTCTGGAGGTCCTGGTAGAGTATTCGCCATGTGGCCTCCCCTGAATACATTTGCTTTGGGTGCTTTCATGCACAACCAGTCTTACGGGATTTTGAAACAAGCAAGAACGTAATTGTTAAACACAAGAACAGCACGCGTGGAGCATGATGACAAAGCAGCAAGCAGCAGTGTGCAGTCAGAAGGTGACAGTCAGGCCACCGCAAACACCTGCCAGGAAGAGGGTCACCTTTGCCAAGTGTCCCAGAACCAACAGGAAGGGGCATGGATCTAGGGACCTAGTTATATAACCATCTGGTGCCTGAGTGAGAAGTGCTGAAAAGGTTGCAAGCAGTGAAATTCCAGTCTGTGTGAGACGTGCTCATGTCTATCTGCGGCTACGCTTAGGATTTCGCTTTCGTTGCATTGGAAAGTAAGCAGTGGCAGCTGATGCACTAGGACAAATAGGGCCAGCCCCTACCAGCCTGTCGTTTTACTTACGTACAAGAATTCCGGGGGGGTGGGGGTGGGGGTGGCACTGCCTGTTGGCTTCCTACTCTTTAGTCTCAGGGCTTATCCACACTTACCCTTGCTCTATGCTTTCCAGGCACAAGTCTGGACTTTCCAGGTCTGTGTCTGAGCAGGCTTATTTTTCCTGTCCCAGGCTTTGCCCAGGAAAACCTGCATTTTACCTGTGAATCAGAGCAAATGGCACTCTGCACAAAACCTGATTGCCATTTGCTCCAATTCAGCAGAAAACACCGCTCAGTCACTGGCCTGGAAAGCCCTGACCTGTCCCTAGCAATGTGGAGCAGAGGTTAAGTGTGGATGAGCCCTCCGTGTTGTCCTTGTAGAACTCAATGGGAAGAGGAGGAGGAGTTTGGATTTGATATTCTGCTTTATCACTACCCGAAGGAGTCTCAAAGCGGCTAACATTCTCCTTTCCCTTCCTCCCCCACAACAAACACTCTGTGAGGTGAGTGAGAAGTGTGACTAGCCCAAGGTCACCCAGCAGCTGCATGTGGAGGAGCGGAGTCACGAACCTGGTTCACCAGATTATGAGACTACCGCTCTTAACCACTGCACCACAGTGGAGAATACACCACAGAGGAGAATGGGGGCATAGGTTGGCTCTTCCTGTCCCTGGCTCCATCTCCATTTGCTGTTCTATGAACAGCAGTGTTTACTGACACATGGATATACACAGAAAGCCGAATCCTTGAACCCTCACTAAAGCTTACACATCATTAGTATCTCCCTTCTGTGAAGTTATCTTGGGTGGGTATCAGTCTCAACCCACACAGCTGAAACGGTGGCAGGGAAACATGAATGTTTATTCATATGTAGTGGTCTTGTGAATGGTGCAATGATTTTGGACTAGGGTGTACTCTAGGACACCGTGTTGTTGCCATCAGTGGCACTTTTGAGAATATGTGCAATGGGAGGTATTCCTGGATTGCATGGATAAACTACAATCTGAATTTAGAATTCAGTTTTGGAATTGAATCAGCCTTGTTCATCCTGATGGGTGACCTTTATTGTGAGAGACACAGGAGAAGTGTAACCTGCTACTTCTGCTTGATTGCTGTGGCTTTTGATACCATGGTATCATCCTAGACTGGCTCCATGGGATGAGTACTAGAGGCAATGTATTAGGCTGGTTCCATTCTTACCTGCAGGGCCATGTTCAGAGAGTAACACAAGATGAGTGCTCCTCAGCCCCTTGGCATTTGTGCTACAGGGTTCCACTGGATACTGTCCTCTCCCTAATGCTATTTAACATGTATATTTAACATGGAATGATGGTGTTTCCTGAAGCCACCATTGCACACAAAGATGATTGAAAAATATGAGACAATGGGCAGAAAGCTACAATCTTTTAATTGCAGCAGCTACTCATGATTCTCTATCACAGCAAGGAAGAGAGTTTGATGGGTTTGATCCATATCTCCAGGCACTGCCCGTTGCCTTTTCTTCTTATTTCTATCCAGCATCTTGTTGTTGTTGTTAGAAAAGTATTTTCAGTTCATAACAAGTCAACAGAAGTAGCAAATTTTGTCAACGTGTTGTTTACTTATTATTACAGGGTATAAGAAAGATGTGAAAGAACGCAAAACCCAAATTTGGACTTTCCTACTGCTGGTGGGGATGCTGAGGCTGTCAGAACAACAGTTTCCCTTGTCTCT